GCCCAGCCACCCTGTGGAGGAAACTCATTTCGAGCGCTTGTATCTGCGATCTTGTCCTTTCGGTCACTACCCAGAGCTCATGACCATAGGTGGTCTGCTCACTGGCCTCTCCAAAAGAGCTGTAAAACAGCTGTAGTACATCCAGAAAGCTGCAGTTTGGGTCCTGACTTGAACCAGGAAGTACAAGCACATAAGTTCTGTGCTCAGGTTTCTGCACTGGCTCCTGTGGCTCAGAGAATAAACTTTAAAGTGGCTCTGCTTGTGTATAAGTCTCTCCACGGCCGAGCACCAAAGTACATCTCTGATATGTTCAGTGCCATATGAACAATCTCGCACTCTGAGGACCTCAGGGACCGGCCTCCTGCTGGTGCCCAGAATCAGGACTAAACACGAGGAGTCAGCATTTCACATTTACGCAGCTAAAACCCGAAACAGATGAAGATGTGAGACAGGCCACTTCTTTGATGATGTTTAAATCCAGGCTCAAAACTGTTAGGACCTTAATTCTTTCTGTGGCTGTGATATTACATCATGACACAGATGCAACTGTCTGGAAAAGTCTCCTGTGGTTGTTTGCTCTGAGTCCCCCCTTCTTCTCCAATCTCCACTTAATTTTAAATTTTGATTATGCACCAGGACAGAGAATCAAGTGTGAGGCAGTTGTTTACCATGATTCTTAGTAACATACCATGCCTTAGTAATGTGTCTGATGGGACAAAAAAGGTGACCTTGTTAGTAGTTTCTGTATTAATTGATACAGAATAAAATGCCTTGTGAAATGCTTAGATTAAATATTACAGTCTCAATAATATCTTATTTAGCTGTTTACTATGCAATGTAAGATGCAGAGGCATTCATCCTGACAGGAACAATTTAAAATCAAATGCAGGTCCCAACAATTCAACCCTACAGTGATCAAGTTGGAGATTTTGATACAATGAGAACACTATCTGGTATAATTTTTATTTATGTATTTTAATAATAATAATAATAATAATAATAATAATAATTCAACCTTACCAATTGTGATCTTTACCTGTACACGACATATTGAGGACAGTATGTGCTTCTTCATACCACCACTGGCAGAGGCTGGGAATGCTGCAGTCATAATTGAGTTCCCACAAGGGCTGTGGCTCAGGGAGGTACATGTCTCTGGAGGAGATGAAGGCCCCACAGCCCATTTCTTTGCACACGTTTGATAACCAGGTCTCTCTTAAGGAGCCCCAGCCTGGAATCAGAGGCCTCCACTCCACTCCATTCTTCCCCTCGAGATATATATATATATACTCCACACTCTGTGGTGATAAACTGCTATTGTAGCCACAGGTGACCTGGGGCAGACTGACTGGAGTAAGGCTGTCAATCTGCATCTGCCTTTCTGACTACCACCAACACTCACACACTAATCTTTTGAATGTGAATAAGCTCGCGAAATGTTGCACAAAACAAGAAGTTGAAACCCATGAAAAGACATGAGGTTATTTATGAAAATAAAATGTGTAGGCTTTACAGTGGCAGTTGAGTAGGAGCACTTTTTTGCAGTCGCTTTGTGCCGTGGAGTGACATTGATGGAGCTGTGTCTCGTTCCTTAAACACTGAATATTGATGGAGGGGACAGCTGTTTCTTGAATGGAGTATGTGGCTCGGCTGACAGACCCACAGCCCAGCTCCGCACACATCAAGTCCGCCATGAAGGGGTCCACTTCAAGGGGTTTTTGAAACACAAACGTGCAACCAATCTTGATCAGACTTCACCCTCACTGTTCCCAGAGCAATAAATAGAGTCAGTAGCAATTCTCAGGGTCTCTGCAGAGAAGAGGAGAGAACAAATAGATTATAGGTTTCCATAGCCATCAAATAGGCCTAGTCAGTTTTGTGTGACTACAATTGGACACATTTACATGGCCACATCAGATAACTCTATAACCCATGTTTATATGCACAAAAGAAATCTGATAACCAAAAACACATATGTTCCATTTCATTCATAGAATTTAGAGAAACAATGGTATTGGTATATATATGTAAGTACAGATTGTGGGAGGAGATAAGGGCTGGATGAAAGCAGACATTTTCTTAGCACTCAAGCCTCAGATACAGGACAAGACAAAATTGCTCAAACATGCATTAACCATCCTAGAGAACAACTCTGGAATATTTTTCTAACTAGTAAGGAGTAATGTCATGATAAGGAAACACCATTGGGACATGGCTTAGAAAAAGGTGATTTTGCATAATAGACCATGTGTCCTTTAAGATGAATACAGAGTGAACATGCATATTTAAAGATGCTTTGAGTAACTCTTCATGGAGATGTGTAATTAATATGATTAACTGAGATTCAGGACCATGCCACAACTGCCCTCTCCTCCTCATCAGCGAACCACAACTCACTTCGAACACACCTCTAATTTCCCAGAAGCCTATTTGTAGCAGCCTTTCCCATCATCCCAGTTTGTATTGGCTAACTCTTGTCTGCCTTTCAGCCATAAGACGCCTATAAGGGGGGGTCCCATTTTGGCTGAACCAACTGAAGATTGAGATGAAGCCCCCACTTCGAGTCTCAGCCCAGCCTTCTCCGCACTAACGTGTACATTATCAATAAACTTCTTCTTCTTCGCACTATGTCGTTGTTGGCGTGGTCCTTGCTAGTGAAGTTATTGCTTTCTCTGGAATGTTGTTTCACAGTATGGTATTAAACCTTTTTATCTTCATGGAGACCAAACCAGACCAAGTTACAGCTCAGATCTGTGGAGAGGCAACCACACTCACAGTCAGAATGCTTGTTTTTCTATGTGCTTTTTTTTTTTGCTATAAAACCACATGTAACTGAATAAATGTAAGGTAGAGCTGTTTAATGTTATACTGTGGAACATTCCAGGCAAAGCAGTAACATGTCCATAAAAACAAGCAGGTGAAGGACCCCCAACATTTAAGTTGTCAGGAGTAAAACAAAACTGGAGTCAATGTCAAAATATGTCTCCATAAATATGTCCCATACCTGAACACTCCACCATCGTGCCCGAAGCGTAGGACTCCACGGACTCCACTTTTTTGCGATTTGCCTTGTCTTTGCACTGCCGGATGGTTTGCTTGGTGCCATGGCAGAAGAAGTGGACCTCCCACGTGGGTTTGGGATTCTTGACGTTAAATTGAAACTTAACAGATGTGGCTGAACCGCAGTCCATCTGTCGACAGGCCAATTCTGCAAAATCCACCACGCGAGACCATTCAGTGGATCTCACTTTCAGAGTCCTCCACTGGCCCTGGTGCTTCATTTCCAAATGTCCTGAGCACTAAGCATCTCCATTTATGAGACGTGCATCCACCACAGCTGAAAACAGAGGGACACATGAAGCCTAGAGGCTGTTCTTATTAAAGCTACAATAAGTTACTTTCTGGAGGTGGCTTGTCACCTGCATTATTCCATGGAAATAAACAGAATAAAAATCATTCTTCGGAACATTCTCAGTGAAAATAGGTTTTATGCCAAATGGTGGAATATTACTGCTAAAGGAACAACATCTCCACAGAAATAAACAGAAGGAGGCTCTCCTCTAAGCCAAGTAAGAGTTAGGTATATGGAGATGCAAGCTTGCTCAGAGTTAGGTTGCATGTTTTCAGTGCAATTAAAAAAAGAAGAAGAAGAAGAAGAAGAAGAAGAAGAAGAAGAAGAAGAAAACATCTATTTTTTGCTACAGATTGACATAGTGTGCCTTTAATGTCATGTTAAACAATTTACTTCAAATAGTGTTTCAAGTGTTTCAGTGCACCTATTTTACACACCATAGTATCAGCTGATTAGAGGGAGGCCCACTCCCAGTAAGAATAAATGTTTTTCAAGATGAAGATAAATAAGTTTACTGACAATGCAACATTCCAGGCAAAGCAATAACATCTATAATGGAGGCATTCAGGTAGCAACCCCCACCATAAAAACAAACAAACCAAATATAATTATCTTAAATTACTAGTAAAAGGAAACACTGTACAAGAAAAAATGTGGGTATCAGCATCACTGGTTAATGCCTTTTAGTTTTAACATTTTAGGCCCTACTCAAAATATGAACACAAATGTTCTGCTCACTACAAAAATAAACAAACAAAATATATATTCTGTGTGAAAATACTGCAATGTTTTTTGGCAAGAGGTTTTAAAATAAAATGCAATTAATTACAAAATAATTAAAATATAATAGATGTACTCACGACTTGTGGCAGTTGGATTGGTGCCTTTTGCTATTGTTCTGGACATCAGAGCCCATATTAAAAACAGCAAAAGACATTTCATTAAACACAATTATCATGAAAAACTGAACTAACTTGAAATCAATCAGATGTTCCCACAGAAAACCCAGGATGAAAGGTGCAGTCATTTATTAGCAGCAGTTTATCAGAGCGATCAAGGGACATGTTGACATGCCCTGAAGGTTCATGTGATCAGATTGTCAACAAAAAAACAAAAAAAGGGCCAATTAGTAAATATGATGTCTTTTGGTTTACAGTTTGTTACTATTTAAAAGTCAGTTTTAGATTATTATGCAAAATTAAAAAGTATTTATAGAATAAAATACCCCAGTGGAGTGTGCAATATTTTATTGTTTGGTGTGTCATGTCTGTCCATTAACTTGCTGTTCCAATCAAATAAAAAAAAAATTAATCTAATCTATTTTCTGGGAGGAATTATCAGAGCCTGGAATAATTTAGATAATTATCTTTTTTCAAAATTGCGTATTGCACTTTTTATGCTTTAGAAATATTAGATCTACAGAATACAGACCTACAATCAGCCTGGCATAATGGGAAAGATAAAGCTGTAGACCTGTGTCAATAGCAAGGTGCACATATGGCCTGAAACAAATGTGAAATTACTGCTCTGGCCATTTTTGCCTTCTTCTCCTAGATAAGAGTCATACAAAGTTGATGCAGCCAGCTCAAGTGATGACCTGAGTGATTAAGTCACAGTGATGCAAATAATTCATGCATAAACAAGAATGTTTCACAGCAAATAGTTTATTCCAACTTTTTTATAGAAAAGTAAATAAACATATAAAACAGCAGTAGATGGCCAGAAAGCCACAGGGTTAAAAATATGACATTAATAATAACTTATTTAGTCTGATGAAAAAAAAATGCCCTAAAATAGGCTTCAGTTCAGAGGTAAATTATTAAGTAAAACAGTTTAAAAGTTTGTAGCTTTTTTTTTTAAGTCTATAACCCTCAACTTCATAATGGCCAAACCTTAGTAGTTGATCTTTACCATAACTCTTCAACAAGCTCTAGTATACCATAATCATAACAAATATGTGGAAACATAAGCTAGTGTGGAAGATAGAGCTCATTTTCATAAGTAGGAAAACGCACACACACAAATATAGTAAAATTCTGACTTAAAATGTGCTATCATCTTTTCATATTCTTTTCAGTTAGTGTTTCTTCAATATTACCGTATGGCCATTTACTAAATCTGCTGTAGATCATTCCAAAAACTATTCAGGTAAGGTCATATTTTTCTTTTCTCATTTAATTTATAACCATTTTATATAAAATTCAACTGCTTGGAGAAGGCTCAGACTTATAATAGTTTAAGTCAAGTGAACCAGCAAATCGATCTAAACTTTGTCAATATCAATGCCTGTTAAAACACGCAATGTAAATGCAGATAAGTGAAAAAACTGAGCAAATGTAAAGCATTTTGTTGTGTAATACTGATAGCACCTTGACTTTAAGTGTTTGCCAATAGCTGATATCAACCTATACCAAGGCAGACACTGAAATATAATTTATTTCCTTTAAACACAGTGTATGGTTAAAAATTATAATGAAAAACCTGTGAATATGTTTTCTAACTGTTATTTATCATTTAAAGCAACTACAGAACAACTTTGAAAAAATGTACATGGTGTTTTAGGGTTAACAGTTCAAACTACCTGTTCTTAACACAGGGTTCACAGTCAGTTACCAGACCTTTAATATTCAGATTTTTTTGTATCTCCAAAACAATTGCTGTAGTGTCTATTTTTGAGATTTCTCCCCCTTCTTCTCTCTCTAGGTTCCTCCTCTGCTCTGTTGCATGCAGCTGATTGTTGATTGTTGGTGCGTCTTTAAATTACAGATCCAAGCGAACGTCTTTCCACATTTATTGCAGCTAAACGGCTTTTCTCCGGTATGAACACGCTGGTGTTTTTTCAAATTTCCTGCTTCGGAAAAACGCTTCCCACAAGTATCACATTTAAAAGGCCTTTCTCCTGTATGCACTCTTTGGTGAATTTCCAAATTTGACCAAGCAGGGAAAAGTTTACCACAAATTTTGCAAATGTATTTTTTTCCTATTTTATATTTTTGTGAGGTCGAAGTTTGAAATGTATGATTTAACGATGTGCTAGTAGATGGTGCTGAGGTAGAAGAGGAGTTCAGTGTAGCATTGGGAGTATTTGAGTGGTTTTGTTGAGGTGTTCTAGTGTTGAGAAGCAAGTGCGGGTTTCTTAACATTGTAGGAGTCCATTGGGAATGAACTGACTGGATTCGTATTGAAGACAATGGGGAAGCTGTGGGCAGAGCTGCAGAAAGAAAAAAAAGAAGTCAAATTATTATCTTAAATATGGAAATGTGGGTAGAGCAGTCTTGTCCATGTTTTTCTAATACATTGCTGTGGCGCATTACCCTAAATCAAATCCATGCATCCATGCCTCTCCCCTGTTCCAGCACTGAGAAATTATTAATTATATATTTAAATGAAAAGATGAACATATCAGGTTTATCATTTTTCACTGTAAAATAAGGGTCTAAATTAGCGTATAGACTACTTGAATGCGTACTGTATGTTTTTTTCTGAATGAGGGCCCAGTTGCTTATCTCCATGGAAGTGTTATTGCTTTGTCTGGAATGTTCCACAGTATGGCATAAAACACATCCATTTTGCATTTATTAAATTACAGGTTTTATTAAATTACAGGTGTTTTTATTGACCTCATTCTTAATGTGATTGTTCTTTCTTCCCCACAGTTCTGTAACTGTTTGCTTGCTTGTCTCTGTGTACATAGATAGCAAGTGGCTGACCCTCCACCATTACACATGCATAGTGCACTTCAAGTAAATGGTAAACGTCTTGCCTTGCAAAGCACTGGGTTGTGGCTGGTTTGGGGCACTTGTTTCATTGAACCTCTCTCCATTCACTCTGCTTCTCTCATTTTCCACAGTAACCATGTTCTTCTCCCTCTCTGTGGAGGCATTTCCAGTGAACAACCCACCAGGGTGTGCTGTTAATCCTTTGTCTGGGGCCCAACTTGTGAAAAATGGCTCCAGTTCAAAAAAGGCTAAATCAGAGCCAGTGGCAGAGTGTGATGAGGCGGGAATCTTCACATTACTTTGCTGAAAAAACAACAAAAAAATGTTGATAAATGATTTTGGTAATTCATTGTTCCTATAGGAATAGTCATACACTGCAGGCGACGGCACCTTCTACAGCACCTGACAGTATTTGTGGCACCTGCCAGATATGCCAGACCTTTTGTGGCACCTAGCTGTCAGTACTGATCTAGGCTGGGAAGCACTAGTGTACCACCAGTTTCAGTTAAATTAATTCATGTGTGTATTTCAATGCATAATTTACTATTTTGGAGTGTCCTGGGCAACCTCTGAAGCAGTTTAGAAAGCAAAACAATAATCATTCCTAAATATGAAGGAATCAGATAGAGGGGTGCTTTACTAGATCAGAAATAGTAGCAGGAGGAAGGTAAACTAGATTGGAAATGTCAGCTAGAGTAGCACAGAGGGTTAGACATATCTGGCAGGTTCCACATCAAGTGCCACAAGTGTACTCAATTACATGTACAAGTATTGTTGCCAAAAGTGTACTTAAGTAATAGTAAAAAGTATGCATGAAAAATACTACAGTTAGTTACAAGTTACTCTTTAACAGAATTTTAGAAACATTTTAGGTTATGGTTTTAAACAAAAAATGATCAATGTTTAAGTGTGAGTGTAAGTGGGTTTACTGAGGATCTAACATCTAAATGTAAAATAAAATTTTGTTATTTTAAACTTCAGTCTGCCTATCTTCTGAGCTCTGGCCATCCAGAGTAGCCTATTCAGCACAGTTATGTGTGTTTGTCAGTATAGAAGGTACAGAAATAGCTGTGGATTGTGCAGTTGGGAACAATACTCAGTAATGTCAATGCTTTAAAATGTAACTAATTGCAATTACATGTGTAGAATTATACTCAATAACAGGTTGAAAAATTAGCTAAAAAATATATATATATATATATATATATATATATACACACACACACACACACACACCCAAAGATCCACTCAATTGCAGTAATGTGAGTATTTCTAATTAGTTACTTTCCACCACTTATGTTTATGTTGAAGAGGAGGTTATAGACCTGTGTGGTTTCTTTTACCAACTATATATTCAGAAAAAGCTAAATTTAAGAAAGTAATACAAATAATCTGCAATTGTGTCACAATTTTTTCTTATCACTTCTCTGTACAAAGAACAGATAGAATTTATCAAAATGAAACACACAAAACAACACATTTTCATTTTAAATTTTTAATTATGAAATTGCAGTTTATATATTACAAAATTGTGACACAATCCAGTCCTATTACATGATATCTAGGTTTATTACCTTTTGAACATACATTACACAGTATAATCATACAAAACATTATACAGTTGAGTTGAAGAAATAAAACTTATAAAATATATACTTTGTAAATATAGCTTGGTTTAAGGTTCAATTCTATCTTCTCTGATATTTGAGTGTGTTGATTTTGTTTTTGTTTGTTTTTTTTAGCTGTTGAATATGGCTGTTCTATTATAGAGAAATCATGATCACTATAAATTAAAGTCATGATCACATTTTGTACAGGTAAAGTTAACTAGTGGAAGAAGACAAATACCAAATAGTAACTGTATGTAAGATTTTGATTTTAAATTCCAAAAACATTACCTAACTGTGTAAACTTGTTGAAATCGAACATAGCTTTTAGTGATAACAACTGTAATGGTGATTTATTCTTAATTACAAAAATGACAGCCAAGTTGTTTGTTATAATTTGTTGTTTTAGTTCTCAAGATAATTATCCAATCAGAAAGCAAAATGAGCTTCAGAGGTGTCTCAGTGTCATCTGAATTTTCACTACCTAAATCCCAGTCCCTGCAGCCAGTGCCTTTGTGTGCTGTCCATATACTGAGAAAAAACTTGTGTGTGTCCTCTATATGCAGGTTTAGGCACTGGCAACACAGGTTCAGTTGTGACTGCAGTACCTTTTTAAAACTGTAAGAGTGCAGGATACATACAGTTTCTTTAAAGAAAGGCCAACACATGAACAGTTTGTTAGCTGAGGCTGAAACATGTGCAGACAAGAACACATTCATTTTCTACAAAATTACAAATCCCATTGTTCCTGATTTCCCAGTCCACTTTTTAAAACTATTTCTGAATTCATATCAAATAGCCGGAAGGTAAGCAAACATAAATTGTGGAAAGAAATCAAAACAATCATGGAGGAATGGATAGATTTATACTTAAACAGAATCTTTTTTTTGTGCTTTGTGCACAACAGGAAAGATGTCTGTACTTTTCTCTAGGTCTTTCCCTCCATATAAAAGAGAGATATCTTTCTGGATTTTCCAGGCAACTATTGTGGCACTTTGCCCAATCAGCTAGAAGTATTCGTCTGCCCATTATTATTTTGAGTGAAGTGTCTTTTTTCGTGTTTCTTCAGGTTACTGGGGTCTGAAAACTTTTCATTGCACACAGAGCACTGGTAGGGCCTCTCTCCTGTGTGAATGTTCTTATGAATCTTCATGTTCCAGATCTGAGAAAACAACTTTCCACAAATGTTACATGCGAATGGCTTCTCTCCTGTATGTGTCCGGAGATGGGACTCTAAATTAGCTGGAGAACTAAACCTTTTACCACAAAAATCACATGCGCAATTCTTTTTACGCTCAGTTTTGTCCCTTCTTTTCTTAAAACTAGTCACCAAATCCAAGTTTGGATCTAGGAATTCAGCTGGGAGCTGTCCAGTTAAAATAGCACCAGAAACTTGGATATTGGAAAATAGATTTGCACTGGTGTTGTAAGATGCTATTTGTGAAGAAGGACCAGGGAGATTTGGGTCTTGGGAGAAATTTGTTAAATTATCATTAGTCCAAAGAGATGTGGAGCTGAAGCTAACCTCAGATAAACCCTGGTTGGATTCGTGAACCTGATTGGCTGAAATCTGTGAAGCTGCGGCAAATGGGAGCTCAGCTTTGAAGTCATCTGTGCTGGACTCAACAAGACCTGCAGATAAAAATATGATTTTTAGGTTATCCAGTACAAATTACAAGTAGTCGTAGTAGTAATAGTAATGTATAGATAGTAATAGTATTTATTATTCCTTTTTAAACCTGTAAAAGCACATCCTACATATCCTCCCCCTTTAAAGGCACAATGTGTAACTATCCTGGTAAGGGATCCACTGCACACTTGTTGTCACTGAGACAGTATTAGCTGTTGTCTCCATGGAGATGGACAATACCTGGCGCCACCAATGCAAGTTACAGGTCAGATCTGTGGAGAGGCAACCTGACTCTCAGTAAGAATGCATGTTTTTCAAGGTATTTTTTTGGCAATAAAACACCTTATTGAAGAAATGCAACATAAAGAAGCGTAATGCTCTACTGTGGAACATTTCAGGTATAGCAATGACATCGCCATGGAGTCAATCCGGATGTAGGACACCCTCTCATCAGAAAAGTTACACAGTTCACCTTTAGCAAACTAACTTTATGAGTATTTCTATAGTTTTATGTGGTGGACCTTCTTGTATGATGAGGCTTGGAGTGTTGGGTTTGTCCCTCAGTTCCTCTGGCTCCTCCACTTTGACCAGCACCAAGTCAGGTTCCTCCTCCGACTGAAAAACATAAATTAAATGAAAACAACTTTATATTTCAAAATGTACAGAGACTGTGGTATAGGGCTACATGATTTGAGAATAATAGTAAAACTGTGTCAAATCTTTTAACCAAACATAGTGTGTGTTCACATTTGCTCTGGTTAAGTCCTCGTTTGCTTCCAGTTTTTGTCTTAAGGTAGAATGGGTCCAGTTCAAGTCCTGGTCTAGTCCAGCTTTATTTCATTAACTGTATAAAAAAATGGATTAAGGGAGTATGGCGTCACCCACAATGTTCAACTCCAGTCAAATGAAGCTCACCAAGGCTAGAAGATATACAAGTCAATATGGAGCAGAGTATTAGGAATAGGAAATTTATTTACAGACAAAATAGGATCACCAGGATCATGTAGAGCGGGCTAATACATACATTTTAAGATCAAAAGAGGAGCGTGACAGCAGCAGTTATGGAGAGAGGGGCAACATTTTTTCAATACTTTCTATCTGGAATGCAAAGGCTAGCAGATTAACTATATATTGAGTCTATGGTTTATTTCCAGTTTTAAACCCAGTTTTGAAAATTAACCAAATAGGCTATAATATATATGCTGTAAATAAGCAGCTGAACTACAGGATAAAAATAAAAAATATAATATATATATTTTTTTAAAGTACTTATTATTACTTTCTGTCAATGTCTTATCAAAGTGTTAAGGAGGCCTGTTACTATTACTATCTTGTATTTATTTTACTGTGGTTGCATTAGCTTTTCACCAATACAACAACTAAGAAAACCAACCAAGTCATTTGAATGCCATGCTTTATTTACTTTATTTTAAAAAAGAACAATTTGAATAGGTAAAATGTATAAATACAAAATCTATCACAACCTATATCTTATTTGTGAAACAAATGTCATTTTAACTACAATATATTTCTGGTGAATCAACAACATTAACAACAAAACATTTTCATTTTCTTCATCATGTTTGAAAAGTTTTGTCACTCTCAAACTATGATGATACAAAATAGTTAGTAAGAAGAAGTAAACTCCAAATTTAGAAAATCTTTTGCTACCATTGGAGGTAGAAATTAATATTTTGATGAGGCATTTAAGTGTGCACTACCATGACCGTGCTGCTTAAAGAAACTGTATGTAACCTCTCTAAGCTCTTCCAGTTTTAAAAAGGTACTAAAATTACATATGAACCTGGGTTGCTAATTCGTTAACCTGGAGACACAGGACACATAAGTTTTTCTCATTCTCAGTATATGGACAGGCCATACCTCAAGTGAAAGCTCAGAGCATCCAGATTTCCCTCCCTGAGCTGCAGAGGCTGCACTGGCATTGAGCAATGACTGCCTGCAGGTGCTGGGGTTTAGGTAGTGACCATTCAGATCAGAGGGAGGCATTTTAGGTTTAAACCAACTGGATTTTCACACTGAACCTGGCAAGCAAATGCATACCTCTTTATTAATGACAACTCATTAGAAATAAAATTGTTCTGACTGCTGGAATAGATAAAATTTACAGTATTGTGTAAAAAAAAACGTTTTGCAAGGGTGAGCAACGTGGCAAATCATAATATGCTTTACTTGGGGCCAGATCATGATTTCAATTTCATCCTGATTCATACACAGTTCAGTATCTTCCTAAGCCTTTCATAGGTAAAGTAATCTGCCATTTCTGAAAGTTACGCTTCACTGTAATCGATCCAGCGGTTACTCACTCACAGTCATACAGAGGCTGACCAATCGGATGGGAGTAGGTAGGGAAAAAGTGTGTTTGAGAATTGGACAGAGAAATGGTGAATGAATGAATGAATGAATGAATGAGTGAGTGAGTGAATATGACCAAAATAGGAGTTTATCACAGGCATGAGATCACAATTTCTTTCTGTATCCATCCTATTTTATTTTATTTTATTGACCTTTATTTAACCAGGATAGTCCTGATTCAGTCCTTAAGACATTGGACACATTTTAACTCTCGTCCTGGCAGGCCTCAGGATGACACTTGATCTTGTGGTTCTTAACGTTTCGGATCCAGGCGAACGTTGCTCCGCAGATGTCACAGCTGTACGGCTTCTCCCCTGAATGGACCCTCTGATGTTTCTTTAAGTTTCCAGCCTCTGAAAAACTCTTTCCACAAGTCGCGCACTCAAAAGGTTTCTCTCCTGTGTGAATCCTCTGGTGAATTTCAACTTTCTTTGGACGATTGAACGTTTTGCCGCAAAAACTACACACGAACAGTCTCTGCTTTGGTGGGGGCTGGTTCCATGGTTTCCCACTTTCTGGGAAATTTGTTGCTATGGGATATTCAAGGATGTAGGGAGAGGGTCCGTTCAGATTTGATGAAGTTGTTGAGAAATTGTTTGTAGACAAAGAGTAAGAACAAGTTGGCTTCTCCGCATCAATAACCGAAGTCTTGTTTAAAAGATCCTCAACTAGTGCCATAGGGCTTTTGTTGTTGCACATTAAGTCGAATGGTAAGTCACTGTTAGTTTGAGAAGTTTGAGGAGAGGAGTCACTGACCTCCACTCTCCTGTTGGTGGTGCTCTTTCGTCGCAGGGGTCTCGGTGGGGTCTGGGTCCTGGTCTTGGGGCAGGTCTGGATTTGGCCAATTTTGGGTCCCTCTGCTACACATGGGGCTGGCTCCATGATGTCTGCAACAAAAGATACAAAAAAGTTTGGTCAGTTATTTATTGGTCAGATCTGTGAAGAGGTGACTCACAGTAAGAATTTTCTAAATATCTTTAAGGAATAAAAAGCACTAACTACATAAAAGCAGGATAGATATATTAAGAATATATTAAGAATGACATCTCCATGGAGACAAGCAGGGCGTGAACACCCCACTAGAAAAGTTACATGGTGAACCTTTAAGTAATAGCGGATGCTACATTCAAGTGGTCAGCGATTCTTCTGATATGAGAAGTTAGGATCATAAAGTCAGAATAATCATGTCACTATGGATGGGCAAAAATATCAAAATATTGATATATCGTACTGTTTAATCTGTTGACACATTATTGATATCAGGGGTTGCTGTATCGATATATCGACAAGAGTATTTTTTTGGTATATTTTACTAAATTATTTTGTTACAGAGCTACAGTTTTATTGCTTGTTCAGAGGAAGGAAACTCGTATGCGACACATTTGACGTTTTCACAGTTTTGATAATTAAAATGTTTGTGTTTCATTTTAACTTTGCACAAGAAGTGGTTTAAATTTTTTTTTAATGTCACAGCCACGATTTAGCCGTTATTTTTTATTGAACTGTATCAAATTGATTTGAAATATATCGTATCCAAGCAAAAGTGCACTGTATCGAGGTATTTATCATGGCCTGTGTATCGAGGTATGTATTGTATTCGCAACTTCTTAATGATAAACAGCGCTACATGTCACAAATCAAGAAAATCACTTGGCCTGTTCGTGAACAGTGTAGAAAAGAGATAACCAGTAGGCTAATGTTGTCTTCAGATTGCTGCATCAAAATCGCACCAATTTCAGATTTTTAAACTCAAACGCCCCGCATGAATGCGCAAAAGTGCTGCAGAAACACTGGAACAGCATACACTTTGCATGTAAACCCAACGGCCCTGACGCCACATCTGAACACAGCATTGATGTTGCTACTAGCCTTCTAAACATTAGTTTATTTGTTTACATTGGCTAGTTAACGATACATTGGTAATTAATTAAATAGCTGTAGTGTCAGGTCTTTCTTGAGCAGATCTGTTGCTCTTAAGATATGAATGACTGACAGAAACCCCCTAAATGTAATATGTTTTAGTCAAAGAGCTCAAATATGCAGACTGTTGTGGCCTGGGTTCCTGAGTTGTTTTTCTGACTTGTGCCAGTGTTCATATGCATTTTTTAAAAACTTTTTTTCAACATTTTCCGGAGTTCCCAAGGACCACATGGACACAGCAAATAGCACATGCTCACACTGGCTTTTTGATTAGCTCCAACGCAATTTTAATTTGATTTTCAATATTTAATACTATATGCGTACCAAATGCCATGCCAATCTCCATTTAAGTTTTTGTTTGCCTGGATGCTCCAACGTGTTTAGTTATTACAAAACTGAATATGTTCCTAGAATTCTCATGTAAATACTGAATGCCATATATTTGAACTCACCATTGTCTTCAATCAAATGGACGACTTCTTCTTTTGTTTCTGATTTAGTTTCCTCCTTCACTATTACTGGCTCTGGCTCCACAAACTGCACATCTGGAGACTGATCAAAACAAGTAACAATGAAGACATGTAACATTGTGTTTTAAAATCCATTTCTTTGAGATAATAATTTAACGCATTATATACACTTACTTTACTCTGAGGACATTGCGGCTCTTCTGTGACGCTGGCTGTGAGGGCACGATCTGGCCAGAGCGAGACAGTCTGCTGGTCGAATGCTCCATCTAATAAAAGAAATTCTGTTAATGATTCTCACACCTCATACACCTTTAAACATCGGATTTAAACAGACAGAGCGTGCTTTCACTATCCCACCAACAGCACATGAATGTAAAAAGATCAGGAGGATGGAAATTCTGCCATCTGAACAGCCCAACATACAGGTGACAGCAACATAAATCAATTCATTACTGAGAAAGGGCAAAGGATCATGGTCTATGTAGTTCTTCTGCCTTTTTAGCTGGAAAAAGCTGCATATTTTAAACAAAGTAGCTTGAAATTGAATAAACTGTATTGAAAATCAAATATTAATTGTCACTAAAACTGCTATCAAAACTAGACACTCATTTAAGCAAAAGCATTGTATCGATAAGTATCAATACTAGAGGAAAAGAAATCAGGAAATTTCAAAACAGTTTGACCTTTCTTGAACAGTTTCATCTTGAGTTTTATCAGAACTAATGTAAGACCACATGTTATAATACCCCACAGACGCACCATCTGTGGTCAGAATGTATTATCTGTCCAAGGTGGCATTTATTGATTAACTGATTTTCTATGGAGACTTGCATACATATACTTGCATGTACAGGCAAAATATTAAGGGGTGGGTATAAATTATCTGTGTGGACAAATTGACAGAGACATACTGTGCAATATACATGGAGTGTGCAATATTCCATTGTTTGGCCCTCTGTGATCCCAGTCCTTTGGGACAACAGATGGAAATGAGCCTTTGGCTATAATCTGGGGTCTGTCTGTCTTAATTATTTTGTGTTGAAAATTGCAATCATGTCTAAAAGAGAGCTTTTAAAATTGTCATTTGGGTATCAAAAATTGGTATCGAATAACGCTACCTGGTAGCACATGCTCCATGTATGTACCCTGTGTATTACTCTGTAATACATTATATTGTTCTATTACGTTACAATACACTCCTGACTGCTCAGCCTGAAACCAGAATTGTCCAAGCAAAGCTGCTATAAAACAGAACTAAGAAAGTCAATAAACCAAAGTGTTTAAACAGATGTAAGTTTCGGGGATAGGACACAGTGCCAAAAACTGGGCATGTAGGCCTAATTTTGAATTTAGGGAACCTGATAACCATGTAAAGTCACACATCGGGTAACACGAGCATTTTTTTATGCAACTAAAGAACATCATCTAGCCAATTTATTCAACATTTCCTTAAATAATAATTCATATAAAAGTTGACAATTCTGTCAATAATGATCTAGTTTAATTTAAGAGGTGTGTACAGGTCAAATTATTTAGTTAACTATTGTATTCTCATGGCAGCTCATGTTTTAAATTGTATTGTACATTTTCAATTTTTGAGGGATAATTCTGCTTTCCTGTTATGGTGTCAGTTGCATAAATTGGTTTAGTTTATAGTCTTCACATTTATAGACAGGTCTACTAGCACGTGAGTTAGATGGTACTCGATACAAACTGGGAACATAAGAACTACTCAGCTGAAGTGATCCTTTTTCCTTCTTACCTCCGGAGGATATCTCCCGGAGCCTGTCGTTGCCGCCGCCGCCGCCGATCTGCACCCTCAAGCGGCCGCTGTTGAAGGCGCTCTCCCGCAGCCTCCTCTCCGCGGTTCCCCGGGCCATCTTGAGCTCCAGGAGATGCAGTTTTCTTTTCAGAGCTTTGTTTTCCTTCTGACACTGGGACATCTGTAGACTCACCACGGCATAGTCATCGTCCACCAGTTTGCAGATCTCGGCCACCGCGGCGTTCGCTAGTACCTCCATGATGGATGCTAGCTGGGTTTGAAAGGCTAAACGACTCGACATGGCTTTCTCTTTCTCTTCTTTTTGATAAAACTAATGCTAAAACGTATAATGACTTCTTATAAAAGCGAACATTTAAGCAAAAGCTGTCTAAATGTGCCCTTTGCGACAGTAAACATAAGCAAGCTGCACGCACAATAGTTCGCTTCTGGTTGCTCTGACTAAATCGTCACTTCCGGGGGCGTGTTAAGGATTTACAAAATACGAGGTTGCTGTTCGAGCCTCGGCACAAACACAATAAATAATTGGATTAATAAATTTATATCAGAATATACTTTGGATGGACACAAAATGGTGTAAAAATAATAAAACAGATTTAGACGATTCAGATTGCAAAAGAGCAAAGGTATCACATGCATATTTAGAATAAGACATAGTATAAGAAATAGTTGCATGTATAAATAGAATAAAATACAATTGAAAAATAGTAAATATAAATATCTTGGCTATTGTGGAGTAAGCAGGAGATACAGTGCACAGATGAAATGGTGATTTGAAATGACATAGGGTATACCTTTTATGTGTTGTTGGGGTGTTGTTGTACAGGTATATGGAGTATGGTATGAAGTTAGTCCTGTATCGTTACAACAGAGAAAATTATTATTGCATTTTAGTTATCCAAGTTGCTCTGATTTGAATATGGACATGTCCTAAACTGAACTTGACATTTTCTATAAAGTTCACTTCTCTTTTTGTTCACTAGATGGCAGAAGTCTTGCATTTCATTCATTACACTAAGTTTTTCCACATCCTGTTGGAAAAACTTGTGCCTGCACCCTCCCCCTTTACCCACTCTACCTGCGAGTTCAATTTTACAAATTTTATTTACTTTTACGCACATTTTTAGACATATAATAAACATGTGGATCTTGGATAAACATCGAATATCTTTTGGTTGGGGTTTGATGTTGTTTGGACTTTTCTCCACGTTGCTTTGTGTTTCGGGGGAGACCCACACCTCTTCTCCCTCTGGCTCCGGGTTGATCCAGGACTTACGGGCCGCGCTGGGAGATCTGGCCGGGGTGGGGAGGACCTACCTGGGCGGGCTGTTCGGGGAACAAACGGTGCTCTCTGTTCAAAAGGTAAAACACATGGATATCCACTTGGAAATCAACTTTTAAGTGACATTACAGGAAATCACATTTCTATCATTTCTATCCATTTTTACAAATTGACTATCCAAATTACTTTTATATTTTTATTATAAGGGTTACAAAAAGTGCCCATTATATGATTGTACATTTGACATAGTAGCCTACATGCTCAAAGCTATGCTAAAAACCACTTGAGCATCCCAACTTCCTGGTTTGACTAGTTTGAATTTAAACAGCAAACATTACTTGACCTAATTTGCTCATACAGAGTAGAAAGCTATAGGCCTAGACCTATGTGTGTATATATATATATATATATATATATATATATATATATATATATATATATATATATATATATATATATATATATATATATATATATAATATATACCTTATGTATGGCACTGGACATTTCTAAATTGCATTTCTTTTTCAGGCTTTCTCCAATGTTTTTAAAGTTGTTGCAGAAAATGTGGCCAGTGGACTCAATGTGATTCTTCAGTATATTTCACACTTATTTGAAACAGCTGGAATCAACGGTACTTTCAAAATCATTGTTCTTATAATACAATTTCAACATATTGATAAAAGATCAAACTTTACAACTACATTTTTCTATTGGTGATCATATCTCGGAACATATTAAACTGCTTTTTATCATTCATTTTCAGGGCTGAATGAATCAAAGCATGATTTGTAAAAAGACTAGCTATACAATGTTAATTTCAAGTTTTAATTATGACACATACTAGGACTGCAAGCTGCAAGTCAAATTGTGATCAAGTCAAAATCACAATTTGAATGGATGCAATTAGTAATAGTAATAGTGCCATAATCTCCTTCACAAACAAAATATCCTGTTTTATTCTGCATAAACACAGCTAATCCTGTAGTTGAGATATGTGCGCACACGTTCTAAAATGTGATTCTTGTATTAGTTTGTCAGTTAATTTTTCAGTATGTTTCTCAATTATTCTGGACACATGTAAAATACTTTGAACAGAATCTTATTTAAATATAAATCACAAATAACATCACAATGCTTGTCAGAAAAACACAGCTGTATATTTTTCCCAAACCATGCATCCCTGCCACATACAACTTGTGTCTTTGTCTTACAGTGAAAATACCTGCCCATGTGACCCCATCAGGAGTTGTTTTTGTGGTGCAGTGGATCCTCGTAGCCATCCTCACCTACTGGATAATTTCGCTCACCTTCCAACTTGTTGCCTCTACACTTAAACGGGCTCTCTGGCTTTTCAAAATTAGTGTAGCATTGTTTTTCTTTGTGCTAATTTTAAGAGACTATAGCGTTGGTACAGAGACGATGGCTATTCGATTGACTGTGCTGGTGCTTGTTTGTGTTCTGCTGGGGGTGGGCTCCTCAGGGGGGTCCAGTGCAGCTGATAAAACTGCAGATTTAGAGGAGCAGGTGAGGATTTTGGAAAGGCGGCTGAGAGAAATGGAGAGGTGGAGGAGAATAGATGAGTAAGTTCTGGTTTCCAAATGATATGACGACAATCAATAAGCCTTGAGTTTAATTGAAAAATTAAATGAACGAACCCTATAGGCCTTATGAGAATTTTAAATATGTATGCAAAACTAAACACAATCCCAGCCCTACTTATGTTATGCAGATAATGGACCTAAAATATCATGTTTTTATATTAAATGATCAGTTCAGCATTCATCATTTTCATTTCTTTTTTTTGTTTTTTTGTTTCAAATACCATATAATTGATACCTGCCCCCAAATGGAAAAAAAATCATTAAAATTGAGCCCACATGAGTCATATCTCTGATACAGTTTTAATTACAGTAATTCAAAGTCAAATTTTTTATTGTTTGTCAAATAATAATATAGTTTTGTACTCTTTAGGTAACTTGTCATAATTCCAGTCAGAACAGTTGTTTTACCAACTTAACCAACAACCCCCTCCGAAGTGTTCCCATAGACTCATATGTACTTTAACACCTTTGAACATCTCAGGACTTGTTTTGTAGGAGTATGTTTAGTTTTATTATTACCCAATGCCATTTTCTCTTTACCTATGTTGCTTTTGGAAATGTTACTGGTGTTGATGTAGTTGCTATTTCTTTTATATGCCATCTGCATAGACAGATGGCAACATAATCTGTTTTAAAAATGCTGGAATAACTTAGAAGTGCACTATGTAAGTTTTCTGGTGACGGGGAGGGGGGTAAAATCTTCATGGTGATATTATTGCTAAGCGTAGAATACGCCACAGTATAGTATTTTATCTTGCATTTATTCAGTGACAGGTGTTTAAAAAATACCTGGGAAAAACTGGTGGCTGGTGGTGTCGTGGCATCCCCTGCTTATCGCAATGGAGATAGATATGATTAATGATATACTGTGGAACATTCAAGAAACATTCAAGGTTAAGCAGTGACAACTCCATGGACTCTTTTTCAGAAAATACACATATTGCACCTTCAATATCTACGCCGTATGTGGTGCCTTAAATCTTTTCATGTATCTCCATTAGGTTAAATGTCACTATACTTGAATACTTTTTTGTCTCTGTACTTTTTATGATGCAGTTTTAATGTTTTGTGCTTTCATTGCTTTCCGTCCATTTGTTGTCCAATTTCTAAAAGGCACTTTACTACTTAACTAAATCTTGCAGTATATTAAATGTCTTGTCTTTTTGTATTGTGCCATTTTATTCTTAATTTCCTCAGTCCTTCCAAGTGTTGTTTACACAGAATAATGTTGCAAAACCAAAGGGTAACCAAATGGACATGAGGATATTGTATCTGAAAATGTTTTAAATAATACATATTAAATGCTTTCTTAAAATTGTGCCACATGTCTTGGTTACTTGAAAATTATGTGTGCTGAAAATTTGAGCAAAGACATAGGGCCAGATAGATGAAGTTGTTTTTATGACTTCCTTATAAAGAGTTTTCAATTAAAGTTGCACCAGGTGACCTTCTATTGAGAGTCCCAGCACATGCATGCCTCCAAGATGTAGGTACTTTGCCCGGAATGTTCTTCAGTATGAGATTTAACTTTATCTATATAAATACCTTAAAAAACATGCATTCATACTGAGAGCAAGCTTGCCTCTCCACAGATCTGACCTGACATTGGCCTAGTGCACCTGCCTGTCTTCATTGAGATAGATCAGTTTATTTGTATACTATGGAACATTTCCAGAGAAGCAGATGACAGAAACTCCACCCAAAAAGTTACCTTTAACATACAAATAGCCCAGGAGGTACACAAATTCTGCAGGCCATGACCCCCACTGCACAATGAAGTCATAATTTCAACTTGCAAAACATGAATTAATCATGTTTTGTTGTGTTTATTTTCAGTAGTTTACTGTGTTATTTGGTCGAATTTCTCATACAGTTTTCAATTAAAATTAGGTTAAATATCGTGTCATAACTTTAGCCTGTAGCCCACTTAAAATGAGATGGTTTCTAGTTTGAAGTGTTTAATTAAAAATACCTCATTCAACCTTCCTTGTTGGCCTTGTTCCAAATATAAAATCCTTCACTTATAATGTATGATTCTAATGTATGTGGCCTTTCAGGATCATCCGCTTGCTCAGTAATCAAACTGGGCAGAAAAGGAAGGAAGCCTTGCCCATAGCCCAGAGAAATTTTAAAGTAGAAAATATTTCCAAAAATGTGATGGTGCCCTTACATGACTTTCACTGCTAATATTTAGTTATTGCACAAACAAAAGGGTCATACGAGTACATACATGTTTCTGTAATTACCACTATATTGACTGAAGCCTCACCCAAGTGACAGTGAGCTTTCTAAGGATAACTTGTTTATACTTGATACTCAGACGCTGGGTGAAGGTACTTCATTACTACACTTCACTAAAACTGTTAGGGAATTTTGTTTCTTCTCTTCATATTTCTGAAGTGAATTTAAAAGTAGTGAGTTTTGATTTAAAGGTATTATTTTTTGTTGTGCCGTGCCGTACATGCAGGGGCCATAAAGATAAAATCCTTGGTAAAATAGTTGTAACCAAAATTTTATTCTCAAAAAGAAAAATATTTAGGTGCACTATGCAAGTTTTCTAGTGAGGTGTATACATTTTCTTCTTCTTCTCTCAATGGAGATGTTTTAGCATTGCTTGCAATGTTCCACAGTATGGCATTAAACCTATCTATCTCAATCAAAACAAGCATGCAGATGGTGCCACTAGGCCAAGTTACAAGTCAAATGTGTGGAGAGGTGTCTAAGTAAGAATGCATACAATGGAATATTTCAGGCAAAGAAATACCATTTCCATGGAGACAAGCAAAAGATGGACCCTCACACCAGAAACTAGAAAAGTTAGAGGCACCTTTAAATAGTCCATAGCTTGCTAAGTTTTCTTGAATAAATAGTTTTCCAAATCATATTTTTTTACATCTACGTTTTGATCAATATTTTTTTAAATTAAAACATTCTCTTGTTTACAAATCAGATGCCCTTCCCCATTCAACCTCCTTCATTTAGTTGAACTGGCTCAAAGATAAACCTGGCCTGTATTTAACTGAATCTACATAAAAATGGTGTAAAAAGACACACTACTTCAGAAGTTGTACAGCACATCCTTGTGTTTATTAGAATTGTAAAAGACTAAAAAAAAAGTCAGGTTTGAGGCAGTTGTTTTACATAAAGGCAGTTTGTAGGTGGTTTTGAGAACAGAAGGTTGTTTCCAGTGTTGGGAAGGTTACTTTTAAAATGTAATCCCCTACAGATTACAGATTACACACCCCAAAATGTAGTTTGTAACGTAATCCATTAAATTACTTAAAGTGAGTAACGTAATCTGATTACTTTGGATTACTTGATATTGTCATGTTTTTTTAAACATGAATGTAGCAACCACATCCTGAAAATTCTTGTTTGTTGTCTTCAAATTGTCTGAGCCCAAGTCTCCATGAATAAGCAACTGTTTGCTATAGAGAAACAAAGACCACGATATCTTAATATAAGAGGTTTTGTCTGTTAAAAGACAGTAACAAGATAAGCTTTTCCTTCACCATATTAAAAAATATTATTGATAGAGAAATTATTTTTTATATGAGATCACATTAAATTATGTCAACCTACTGTTAGGTGTCGTGTTGTTTAGACCTGGTTTAGTCCTGGTTTAGTCCTGTTTTACTCCTGATTTTAGACCTGGTTTAGACCAGGTCTAGACCAGGTCTTTAGTTCTGGTTTAGTCGTGGTTTAGTCCTAGTTTAAACCTGGTTCAGTCCTGCTTTAGTCCTGGGTTAGTCCTGGTTTAGTCCTGGTGTTAGTTCTGGTTTAGAGGCGCACAGGAGGAAGCGCGGTTTACGCGAGAAAACACGGTCCACACGCGGCGCACGAGACGGCGGTGTCCGCGCTGTAACTACGGAAGGAGACGTGGTCCGCGGGTTCTCAGGTTGATGACGATGATGAAGGTGTGTGTTTGTGTTTGTGTGTGTTTGTGTGTGTTTGTGTGCACGTCCACTCATGTCGCAGGTCAGTCTAGGACAGTAGTGCAGATATTATGAGTCTATGCAGGTTGTTTTCACCGGTGCCAGTAGCTCTTGTTTCACATTTAAGTTGTAGGCGATTTTATATTTGTTTTTTTTTATATATATATCTCACATCGGGAGAAGAATTTCCAAGACACAAATGCGTTTTTACCAATGCACTGCTGCTTCCACTGTGGGACTGACACCGCCAACGTTAACATGACGTTTACATCGCTCTTATTGCGCGCGTTCTGTTTGGGTTTCCGGCAATGAGTGAAATTACCGAAATAAAAAAATAAATAAATGGGATGTAGCACAAAATGTGAAAACAGGAAAATACCGCCTTGTAATCCACGTATTTCAGCAAAGTAACTGTAATCCAATTACCACTCATTGAAACAGTAACTGTAACGGAATACAGTTACTCATAATTTGTACTCTGATTACGTAACGGCGGTACATGTAATCCGTTACTCCCCAACACTGGTTGGGTCCACACTGGTATGAAAAGTAATGAATTCATCCAATTAAATCGTATAGTCTATAAATGGCGCATTAGCCATTTGCACAACAAGACTTTCACTTTACACTAACACTTTATAGTAATTATACTACTGCCTTAACGCTTTAATTAAGAGCAAAGAGTTCATATTAAACAGATGAGGGCAGCTAAAATGATTAATGTTAAAATGCAGATTTTGTTGCAACACAGTAAATTCTAGGGGTAAGTCTATAATAGAAATGATCCGGTTCAAGATTTGCAAATTGAATTTACCTTTTGGATATTTCATGGTAAAATACAATATGATCAGTGGGGAAATTTGGCTCTTGCCCCAACTGGGATCATCACATCATCATCACCTGCTCCCTGTGTCTCTTGAAATGAAAAGTTTGTGGAGCCAATCTAAAAAATATTCATATTCAGCATTTGTAGATCACAAGTTTACATATTTCTATCAAAGGCAGTGAATCCCCCATAGAGATATAGCCCTGTGCCCTCCATTTGAAATTATGACATTAATGCATAAACACAGCCTTCTCATGCCAGTAAAGTCTACCGTACTGTAAGAAATTTCAGTGACGCAATCAATGGCAAATGCATTGAAACTACTCTGAAATAGTTTCTCATTATTTTTTATACCAGTGTGAACGCATCTGCAAGTAAAAGCTTTTCACAGTTTTCCCCATGAGTATAAAATGAGAGGTAGGAGCTTTAGATAGTTCCTAAAATATTAGTATTTTATATAGATATAGTGTAGTGTTTTACATTCACAAACATCAAATTATTTTGGTGTTTAAATACCATAATATTTTTCGCTACACCACCATGTTAAACCCATCAGATAATACTGCCTACAATAAACAATACATTTCTACTTTCTGTTACATTTAAAACAACATTGAAGACTGTTAGTGGCACCATAGAGAAAACTATAAAAATAAAACAAGGTCTGTTAGTAGTATATATAACAAAAAAAGACATTCAAAAAGGCACAAACTGAGCAAAATCTAAAAGGTGCATCATATAACTTTTCTGGTGGAGGGTCACATGGTTGTCTCCATGGAGATGTTATTTCTTTGTATGAAAGATTCCTCTGTATGGCATTAAACTTCTTTCTAGCATGTATTTATTTACAGGTGTTTTAAATCCTCAAAAATGACTTGCATTTTTACCCATATAATTTGTGTCATCACCTGCTTGTCTCCATAATAGACTGATGGACAAACCATTGTGGAGACAAGCAGATGATGTATATGCCCTCCACCAGAAAAAGTTACATAGCGCAACTTTAACATGATACATACAATAAAACTAAATATTAGAGTATATGCTTAAACATGATCACATTGGAAACAGAAGCTAAATAATGATTGACAACAGGTTTATAAAGATGAGAACAAATTCAGTGTAATTTCTCCATAGCAAAGTGGGAAGTTAATTTGGCCTGTATAAACTTGCAAATGTTATGAAATATTTGTCTTATACTTGGAGTTAATTAAATAAAATAATGATAAATAAAAATATAACTACTTCATACATTTATACTCTAAGCTGTTTCAAGTTCTACATTGGTACTGTACTTAAGAGGGTATTGCACTTGAGGTCATAAGTGTTACCACAACATATTTATGTTACATGAGTTATGTTTTTGACACCATTTCCCCCCTCCCCTTGCTATCAGCACTAAGTCACAACATAATCAGTGTGCATTCTCTAATGAAACTACTGCACATTGTATCAGTTTGTGAAGTTGGAGTGTATTGTTTTAGATCCTGCTCTTATATTTATGTAAAATATGTGGGTACAAGAAGTATGGGCTCATACTGCTAACTGTAAGGAGGGTTCCAATAGGGCCCAGAGGCGGGCCGTGGGGGAGATCGCAAGATTACTCAAACATGCATGAATGACATTTGAAACCAGGCATGTTTTTAGATGAGAGAACATTATAACATGGTAAAAAATCAGTTTTTCCTAATACCCACTCTTTAAGATGTTTTCAACAACTGCTTTCTATGTCTAAATCAGCTAAATGTAGATATATTGACTGTGTGATTTTTTTTTTGATACAGCAGCAATATACAGCAAAATACATAAATAAAGCTACTAATTAAAGCTAATACTTTGTTGTCTCATACTTAAAAGGAAACTATTGACTGAAACTTGAGAAGTGGAGTGCAAGATTAAAAAAAATATCTAAAAACACACCAACAGAAGATACCCGTGTTCTTCATGTAACAGTTTCCTCTGCTATTCCACAGACAGTGATTATGTCATGCAAAAAAAATAATAAAATATATATGTATGTATGTATGTATGTATGTTTATATATATATATATATATATATATATATATATATATATATATATATATATATATATATATATATATATATATATACATATACATATATATATATATATATATATATATATATATATATATATATATATACATATATATATATATATATATATATATATATATATATATATATATAAAAAACACAGTTTAAATAATGTAAAAACACATTGAAATATTTGTACATTAGCATTGTAGTGGTTTTAAATTTGCTAAGTTATGGTTACCAATTCTCAACAAGCAGGTCATTTAAAATTTGGTATTTCAATGTTAATTTATTTCAAGCAACAATACTGGTAATTATTAAATGGGCAAATGACAGATTGATATACAGAGATTAATAAGGTTAGCGCTGTGATATAAATCTGGAATGGCCCCATTTAAATTATTTGGGAAGGAGACAGAAAAAAAAGGACACTTTGCCAATAATTGCTCCTTAATTTTTACAAAATAATAAAAAAATATATACTGACACTTGACATTATGTTTAACATCATTTTAACCTCGCTCTCCATTTTTGGCATTTTCTGTATTTACCCTAATCTTTAGAAGGTATCTATATAGATGCATTTTGCCTGAAAACCTTGACCATGTATTGTTATTTAAAAGTTACAGTATGTAACTTTCTGAAGGTGGCATGTTGCCAGCATCATTCCACAGAAAAATAGTTAGAACCACATTTTGGATCAGTGTCCATGGAGAGAAGTTTTATGCCATTACCCTGGAAACAAGCAAGATGAGGCCTTACGAGAAGTTTTTTGGACCAAAAAAAAACATACTGTGGCTTTAAAAGCTTAAACAACTCATATAAACTTTCTTTCCATATAGAGAGATGTTCTCAGCTGAAACAGGCTCTGTATTATATAAAGGAAGCACTTTAGCTAACTCTATATCATGAAACAGTTTTGATTAAAAGAGTCTTCTTGAAAATTGGCTCATTTTAGATCCATTAAGTTTTATGCTTAAATTTGCGCAAAAATTGTATTCCTACAGTACAGAGCTGTACAGGCAGCTTTTGAGGTAAAATGAAAAAGTCCACTTGCATGCTGGTTGTTGTTAAATTTACCATGGTGGCAAAACACCGCTCTGAAAAGTCAAAGTGAAAAGTGCTTATGAACTTGGTACGGTGAATAATTTGGATGCTCGATATGCATAAGGTAAGTAAGTGAGGAATAACTTTGAACCATTGCAAACCTTTATGGCAGTATTTATGATCCATACATATTTTGTGTGATACTGTCAGAATAATTTTATTATCCCACATTTGCTAAATACTTGTGTGATATTCTAGGCCTATGAGTTAACCATTTATGTACTACAATTCTTTGATTTATAATGTACCAATCACTTGTCACTTGTTGAATAACCTCTCTGTGTTTGACAACTGTGTGCAGTGTCCTATCGCTCTAGTGAACCTCGAGATGATTCCTCACATGAAGCCAACTCCCACTGTCACACATGCAAGAGTTATGATGGTGTCTGTCCATACCTAAGACACCTCCTGATTGTTAATCATGTTTTATGTGTTTGTACTATGCATAGCTGCATCAGTTTCTTATTATGTCTTGGCTGTTTCCCCTTCCCCTTGAGAATTATCATTCTGTAACTAGGGCCTCCTAATGAAATAAAAAGAGGAGAGCGGCCTTGAGTCATCAGAACGTGTGGAGACTGTTGGCCTGATGCCCACTCTCTGCCCGTTCTCCTCATGAGTAAAACTGAATTAATCTCTTGTCTTTCTTCTTGTTTTTAATGTTTAGATAAACCTAACAGATACTTAAATCTCAACTAAGACATTTGCAGGCACATTTTAGCAAATTCCTTATGCACTGTTAAAACATACCATCTGACCATCGCCAAAGAGATAATAAAAATGAGCAACTTTTTTTTTTTTTCCAATATCGCCCACCCCACTGTATACTCCCTGCTAACAAATAACCAATCAGATATTTATAGGAAGTTAGTGGAGTTTTTGCTGATATCAAAAGTAGCAGCAGTGTCAGTTGAATGCAGTGCATCTATAGTGGAGGGGGGAACTGGAGGGGCAGAGCCTGAGGATGGAGAGGTCTGAAAAGAAAGACAAACAGAGTGGAAAGAGGGAGACAATAAGTTTTTGTAAACAGAATATAGTTGTTGACATGTCATAAATTCTCTCAAGGTCCAACAGCATGAAATTAAGAATCTAACATCTATTGACCTTATTCCACCTTAACTTACTTTTGCCTCTAAATGCTACTAAAATGCATTTTTTGTTGTGGTGGCACTTAAAATTTGAGATTTTGAGAAAAGTTTTGCGGTTAATATAAAGTAGGTTGAATTATGTCAAATATTCAACCATGCACCTATTTTCTGTATAGAACTTATAGAACTTGTTTTCAAGTAACCTCATGCAAAATAATACAATCCCAAAGCAACTTCAGGAATAAAGTGAACAAACAATTTATAAACTGTGTCATGAATTGCATTGTTCTTGTGATTTTGGCATTGGAAAACAAATTAAACTAATATAACTATTGCACATCGCATAAGGTAAGTGAACTTGTAATGCATTGTTTTTTATCATGCTTTTGTATATTTATTGAAGATGGCAGTGCAGAGCCATGGGTGATGTAGGCTTTTGGGCTGAGCTTTGGACAGGCTTGTACTGCCAACCATAAGGACTAGGGGGGTTCGAATAGGGCCTGAGAGAGATCGCAAGATTACAAAAAAAAAATGCGCTGATAAGTACCCCATTTGAAGGCCTTTCATTACATGTCAAATTCAAAACACAGCAAAGGTAAGCTACAACTAAATAAGACTATACATTCTAAACTTAAGGCCGCCACACACTACAGAATTGTTCAGTCTTAAACGCTTTTTTAAACATGTAACAAAAAGTGCACACCTCAGACACAAGGAAAATCTTAAGAGATTTAAGACTGCAGCGGGATATAGCTGTGTACCAGTGGCTACAAAGTTATGAGCGCACCTCGTGTCAGCTGTTTCCTGTCTAGAGTAAAACCATTTGATTTGAGACTCAAAAAGATCAGAGCATTGAACTTCTAGTTTAGATGCAAGTCAAAACTGTGTTATTATTATTTGTGAAATGCGGTACAATACTTCAGATACATGATTTTTTAAGCACAGAAGGTTGACGATAAAGTACACAGGAAGTAGAGTCTCGATCTCTAATCTGCAGCTTCACCATAATCTGTGCTGCGTGGATGTAAACAGACACACATGAGGAACTACCCTTTTGAATGCTTCAAACTGGAGTAAAATCACAGTTTTGTGGACTGAGGGTTATTTGTAGAGGACAAGTTCTATGGAGAATGGATGAGGTGCTGCAGTTTAAATTTACAACTTACGAGAGGTGAGTAATAGTTATTTTCGCTATGTCGTGAGTTTGGTTATTGAGCCTCTATGTCCATCACTCCATCTGCCCCAACACTCTGTTCTATTGGCTTCTGGTGTGGTGATGCTTTGTGGTTAAATTCTGACAGCGCAACTGAGAACACTGAAAAAAATCGCACACAAAGACACAAAGTGGGGTCACGTCTCCCCGACCTTGGGGAGAAGCAAATCACAGCCTAAATTGGGCAAACTGTGGCGGCCTTAAAACACATTATTTTTTAATCGCTAATTGAAGACTCAACACAAAGAAAACACTGTGCTATGTTACGCTATACTGGTGTTCACTACCTTTTACCTTATTTCCAATTAGATGTTAATGTTCACAAGTGGAGGGTGAGCATACATTGGCAGTAAAATATTATTCTTGAAAAAAATAAATGAAAATCATCACATTCTTGCACACACATATAATTTAAACAAAAATAAACAGACAATTAATATGCAGATTTGTGTTCAGACCTGTGGAGGCTGAGCCAGCAGAGGGTCGGTGGGAGCAGGAGCCATGTTTTCCATTTTAATCTCTTCTTTTGCTGGAGGTTCACTGTACATTACTGGAGCTGGCGTATAACCCTAAAACACACAAGAGTTTAATTTAAAGGTACAGCATACACACCATATACACAATATGGCAGAGAATTTATTTATTTATTTATTTTTTATTTAGATTTTTTTTTTTTTTTTTTTTTATTACTATGTAAAATAATTGCCTTTATGTAGATTACTGTTGGAACATAATGCAATTTTATCATTTATCAAATATCCGAATAAAAGTATTATTTTTACAGCTGCCTATGTCCAATAATAATGTGCTTAAAGTCAAGTCAAATTCAGTTTGTGCATGATTACATTACTAACTATAATTTTATAACTTTTTTAATGCTGTATCCTAAATTGTGGATAATTAAGATAACATAGCATATGATGAAGTATATTTCTGGAGATTAAAGATTAAAAAGAAAAAATGACAACAAGAACCGTACAAAACCGAAAACTGCGACCTTAAACCGCAACATGAACCGAACCATGAATTTTGTGAACCGTGCTACCCCAAATATGTATTATATATTTGCAATAATGCCTGTATACTATAGTGCAGGGGTCTCCAACCTGTAGCTCGGGGCCCTTTACAAGTAGCACGCTAAGGGATTTCAAAGTGATACCATTGTGCTGAATAACAAAAAATTTGTTTAATTATACGCCTATTACCATTGTAAATGTATGATTTTGAAGTCCAAATTTGAGCAAAAGAAATGGATAAGGGTTTATGTTTTATGGGCATCTAACTGTAGCCAAAGGCTTGCCCCCTTTCTTATAATCTTCTCAGTTTCTTGCAGATGCTAATTTTTGTTTTGTAAAGGTAGCTCACTGGAGGAAAAGACCCCTGCTATAGAGAATTTTAATTTTTTTATTTTTAAATAATATTGTTTCCTTTTAATAATATGCAATATATACATATTTATATAGTATATTTCTTTTCTATGGATCATATGATTGCTCTCTGTGTCCGTAATAAAGATTTATCACACAAGTATTTTCAGCAATGTCTTTCTACCCTCCTGTCACTAGTCATAAAACTATCTTTGTCCCAAGAGGTCAAAGGTGATTCCCTGGAAATATTCAGCATTTCTTTGAGCCACAGAAAGCACGAGTCATACCATTGGAGCGTTGGGTGCAGGTGAGTAAGAGGGGTAGGGCCCAGCGGCTGGAGGTGGACCATTCCATTGGGGAGCTCCTGCAGGGGGATAACCTGGGTTTTGAGGAGGGTAACCTGGGTTTTGAGGAGGGTAACCTGGGTTTTGAGGAGGGTAACCCGGGTTTTGAGGAGGGTATGTTGGGTTTGGAGCCGGGTTAAAGCCCTGTTAAAAGAGAAAATAAGGAATCACTTAGGGAAATGTTTGGATTGAAGTAGCACTAAACCATATAAAAGGGAGTAAACTAGAGATTAATCGCAATTACCATAACTTTTTCCACAAAAAACACACACAAAAAAATGTATTCTGCATAAAACTGTTAATCCTGAAGTTCAGATATGTACAAACATGTTCTGAAATCATGTGATTCTTGTTGTTGTTTGTCATCATTAAAAAAAGAATCACAAATCTAATCACAATGCCTGTCACAAAAATCACATTCAGGTACTTTTCCTAATTTGTTAAGCCCTAGACTAAACAAGGACTTAGCCAATACTAATGAAGACTAAACAAGGTCAAAACCAAGCATATCAAAACTAACAAAGAATGAACTAAGCCTCCAAACCAGGACAAAATAAAAAAAAGACTAAAGTTACAACAAATCTAACCGGAGAAGTGGGTGGGCCATTCCACTGTCCTGGACCTGGGGCAGCAGGAGGAGGGTGGATGGAAGGACCCTAAACAGAAAACAGATATCATTATGTTAACATGCATGCTAGGAAAACCGATGAAGTGTGGCCATACCAGCTTGTCAAAGCCGGATACCATCAGATCTCAAAAGCTAAGCAAGGCTGGGCCTGGGTAGTACTTGGATGGGAGACCCCTTGGAATTCCAGGTGCCACAGTGGGGTGCCAGTGGTCAAAACTGTCGCTGTGTCCTTAGGCAAGACACTTTGCCTAGTATGGAAGTAGTGTGTGTGTGAGTGATGGTGGTGGTGGTCGGAGGGGCCAATGGCACAGATTGGCAGCCTCGCTTCCGTCAATCTGCCCCACGGCAGCTGTGGCTACAGTAGTAACTTACCATCACCGAGTGTGGGGTGAGTGAATAATGAACTGTAAAGCACTTTGGGTATCTTGAAAGGCGCTATATAAATGCAATGATTAATTAATTGAGTGTTATGACTAACACAGTTAGGAGGTAGAACACCACAAATGTATGGTCTGATATGTAAAGTATCAAGTAGAGTTAATTTAAGGCTAATGAAAAAACTATTTTGGAAGCCACAGTTGACCTGCGGCACACTGGCGGCAGTACAGCTGCCATTGCGAATCTACGTTTGCCACCATCTTATGCTTGGATTTTCATTTATTGGTGGTTTACTTACCATGGTTTACTTACCATGAAATCCAAAAGGTAAATTCTCAAATGCTGAACCTTATAATTTTTATTACTGATTAGATGTAAAAACACACTGTATTATGACATAAATCTACATTTTAACAATATTATTTTTAGCCGCCTTCCATCTGTATGAAATATTATTGGCCAAAAGAACAAAAGAAGCCCAGCAATAGACAGTGATTGTGCTATATTGTCACAACAGTACGTAACTGCCAGTAGTTTAGTTTAGTTTATTAGTTTATTTTAACAGTGACTATGTGCACGCATTCATCTCATAATTCTTGTAGGAGATGCTTGCTTTCTTTTCAAAAAATAACATTTGCACATTTAAAATTACTCAAATACTAGTCGGATATTACCATATATAAGTTCACATCACAATTAATGCACAATTACATGCAAATAAAAAAAGAGTATTGACTGTGTTTACTCTCTACAAAGGGCTTTCATTGTAAGTAAAGTCCCTGGGGTGAGAGGAGAGTTTCAGCTTGATCCACCCTTTAATGCCCTTGAATGAGAAGGCCATGTGTGCAAAGGCTGAGCTACATCTAGGAAGTCTGTCATACTGACTTGTGGACCTGGCTGTTCTGGTGGTCTGCTCAGAGCAAAGCTGGACAAATCTCTTAAGTGGTAGAGGTGCAGCATTGTTTAAAATTCTATGTATTAATTGCACATCCAATTAAACTGAGAATTTGCTTGTGTAACATTTTATATTTTGTAAGGATTTGACGATGATGATGCCTTAATGTTTACTTGTCTAGCACTTTTTTTGCCTAATTATACAAAGATTTGAGTGGTTTTAATGTTGTCTCTTTTGTTTGAGACCAACTGGAAATGCAATAGTTTATATCAGAAATGTTTTTAGCGTCTAGAAGATAAACCTTTGCTGCATAGTGAAGCTTGAACCCCAGCCTTCAGGGAAGTGTGTCATTTCTTTGTTTTTATGGTTGTAAATGTACCATTGCTGCAACCTTGTTTTCTGGCCATTCCACAAGCATTTATAACCTGCTTACTAATAATAGTGCCATCCCTATGATAAACTGAAGGGGATCACATATGCTACAATAGAACATAAACTAGTCTACATAACACTAGAATATGACAGCCGGTGAATTCTTACCAAGTCAGTGCTTGGTGCTGGGTAATATCCCTGTGAAAAAACAAAACAAAAACATCATCAGAATAACAGGCAAGGATCTTTATAGATATATATATAAAGTCTTTAAAATGTTCAGGCTGGAAATAAATTTTTTAAAGGTCTTACTCCTCCAGGCTGTGGCTGGTTGTATGGAGGGCAAGGTCCGGTCGGTCCACTAGGTACGACTACTGTACCAGGAGAGGCCTAAATTAAAGAAGTACTTAGGTTTAGCATTAAACTATAATGTAGATCATGATTTTACACTTTGTTTTACCAGTGATCTAAAATGGCTTATACGCAATTGTTTTTCATGTATTTGAGCTAAATTTGTCTTGCCCCAGTATAAAAATATTGTGGAAGCCGCATTTTAAAAACAGAAAATACCAGACTTAATAGGCCCCACCTCTTCAGGGTGGCATTTCACCGTAACAAGCAGTGGATTTTCAGTTACTTATTTTTACAGTTGAATAATGGCCATGTGAAATTTTTTAACTCTATATGTATAACTCAAATCTTTTTTAATAATTTTAAGTACAGAGCAGTGGACAGAGATTTACAATTTACTGAGCACTCAAACCTCAAATGCATGACAAGATAGGATTATTCCAACATGCATGAGTAGTAACGCAACTCACAATGAAACTCTGTTAAAACAAGGTTAAAATAAAAAGGTAAATTTTGGTTCAGAAATTGCACAGTAGCTTAGAAAATAGACTAGTTGGAAAGAAAAAAGGCATATTATATTTATAAATTTATATATAAAAGTTAGACCTGTGTTTGGGCGGTCGTGGCTTTCGACTTGAAGATCTTCTTTCGGCAGCAGCAGCAGATTCCAGCTGGTATCCCCAGGAGCAACAGCAGAGCAAGGAGTGGGTGTCCATTCACTTCAACATCTGCACAAAAGAATTGCCAACAGTAATACATAACATGCACAATCCAAAATAATTTTAGAGTAATTTATTTACTCGGCCACAATATTGCTGCGAGCACAGCAATCCCAAACATGTCAAGTGAAATGCGTTAATCCCTCATGATGATGAATATAAATTGTACGACAATACACCTGCACACTGTGCAGTGGTTCACACTAAGTTTGTCAGTGCAATTATCAGGTTCCAGGCTCTGTTTGGTAATGTCTCAGTAAATGTATTGGTTAACAGAGTTTCCGCATTTGTACAAGTCTGAAAATTAACAGGAATCGGGGCGAGATGGTTCTTTCACATCGAAGCTCATCTGAGGAGCACTTGTATTTACTATTGATCACAAAAATTGACTGCAGATTAAAAATGTGCACAGATAAGCCAAAAGGGCAGGTGCTTGAATACCACCTGGGCTCTAAGTGCCCTTGTGGTCAACACAGTTTTTAGGTTTAATATTTCCCCCATGAAGACAGCAGTTCTTTCTCTCCTGTGTGTCTCTTGCCTGCTCATGTGCGTCTGTCTGTCACAGCTTCTAGGCTCGACCTGTATGTCTTAACTTTAAGTACATAATGCCAGTTGAAAGGCTGTAGTTGTCATTCCACGCCATTTCAACAAATGGCCCACGCATTTCGATCTCAAAAAAATTTGAAAAAATTACCAAATAGTCCCTTACTATCATGTGCTAACCCTGTGAAGTTTTAGTGACTTTTGATCATTTTTAAGTTACAGCTCATTTTATGAGGGGAGTATGTGTCCATTTACGGGCCCAGAATGAGCATTATTTTTTCTCGGCTGTTTTCACAAGACGATATCTCCGTAACACACATACAGGGCTGAAATTTTGTAGGCTTGTACTCTTCTACTTTGTGTTTAAATAACATCTATCGAAAGTTTGCCTGCCAGCTACGATTCAAAATTTTGCCTACGATCAGAAATCTTTCAATGCAAACTGCCAAAATCGTGCAGTAGACACGCATCTAAAAACACTGAAATAATTCATATTTTACAAATTTACAGAAAATTACAGTTTTTAAGATTCACTGATGAGTCACTTCACTTTTTAGAAGTAGTGTAAGCGCATTAAGCTTAGAGCCATGCAGTTTTAGCACATTTCACATTGTGCATTAAAATTGTTCATCATTATATGCTTACTTAACTGAACTAAAATCTGAGTGCAATTTTAGTTTCAAACCCATCATATATATATATATATATATATATATATATATATATATATATATATATATATATATATATATATATATATATATATATATATATATATATACAGTCCCTGACTGTATATAATCTAGGATTGGGAGCATCATATGACAAGGCGACAAAACTTTTGTCTTGCCAAAATCTGACCTTTCTGTGTTCATTAAATGATCAATCTTTCTTCAATGAAGCAAATTTTTTTAAGTATATTGAGCATAATTTGGGAGGGTTTTAGCTTTCATATGAGACATTTCTAAAACCAATCGATTATTTTAAAGTCAGGTTATAAGCTTTTGTTTCTACAAAATGGATAAGCGACAAGACTTTTGTCAGGGACAGATTTTATAATAAAGCAACTCGCATATAGAAACAGTAAAGTTAGAGATAAAAATGAGATTAACGCGATTAAAAAACATAACGTAAAAACATATATATATATATATATATATATTAGGGGTGTCAAATTATCGCGTTAATTGCGATTAATTAATTACAGTCATATTTAGCGCGTTATGTTTTTTAATCGCGTTAATCTCATTTTTATCTCTAACTTTACTGTTTCTGTATGCGAGTTGCTTTATTATAAAATCTGTTTTTATGTGTTGTTGGGACAACAACACACACACACACACACACAAAAACACATTTATAATTTTTTTTATTTCGGTAATTCCACTCATTGCCGGAAACCCACACAAAACGCGCGCAGTAAGAGCGATGTAAACGTCATGTTAACGTTGGCGGCGTCAGTCACACAGTGGACGAGGCCTACAACTTAAATGTCACTGGTGAAAACAACCTGCATAGGCTCATGATGTCTGCACTACTGTCCTATAGTGACCTGCCACATGAGGGGACACGCACACAAACACACACAAACACACACACAAACACACACAAACACATACAAACACAAACACACACCTTCATCATCGTCATTAATCTGAGAACGCGCGAACCACGTTTCCTTCCGTAGTTACTGCGCGGACACCAACGTCTCGAGCGCCGCGTACGTTTTCTCGCGTACGCTGCGTAAACCGCGCTTCCTCCTGTGCGCCTCTAAACCAGAACTAACACCAAGAATAAAACCGGGACTAACCCAGTCCAGGACTAAACCAGGACTAAACCAGGTCTAAACCAGAACTAAAACCAGGTCTAAACCAGGTCTAAACCAGGACTAAACCAGAACTAACCCATTCCAGGACTAAACTAGGACTAAAGTAGGACTAAAGCAGGTCTAAACCAGGACTAAAACCAGTGATCTCATATATAAAGCAGTTATCTATTAATAATATTTTTAATATGGTTAAGGAAAGACTGGACTTTTTATTGTGTTTAAGTAGACAAAAGTTATTATGTTCAGATTTCCTCGTCTTTGCTGCTTTACAGCAAACAGTTTCTTATTCATGGAGACTTGGGCTCAACAGCCAATTTGGAGAGATTTGTTAAACAATAAATGACTTTATAAAGTCACTTTTTTTTGTTCTATATCAGTCTTTTGATCTGCCACAATAATGTAATAATGAATTTAAATGAAAATACCTCAAATTGAAGGCTTTTCTCAGCAATTTTTAGGTGAGATTAAAAAGAGATTAATTAGATTAATTAATTACTACAACAGATACCGGGAAAAACAAAGGACATCTCAGTCCAGAAAAGTGCAGTACTGAGAACAGCAAAGATACTGCGCAGAACTCTCAAGCTCCCAGGCCTCTGGTAGAGGACCCGAGCTGAATGAGGGTGAGAGAGACCTACCACCGTGGAAGGTGAGAAACACATTTTATATATATATATATATATATATATACATATTATATATATATATATATATATATATATATATATATATATATATATATATATATATATATATATATATATATATATACATATATATATATATATATATATATATATATATATATATATATATATATATATATATATATATATATATATATATATATATATATACATATATACATACATACATATATATACATATTATATATATATATATATATATATAATATATATATATATATATATACATACATACATACATATACATATATGTATATATATACATATATACATATACATATATATATATATACACACACACATATATGTATATATATATACATATATGTATATATACATATATATACATACATATATATACATATATATACATATATATATATATTATATACATATATATATACACACACACACACACACACACATACATATATATATATATATATATATATATATATATATATATATATATATATATATATATATATATATTATTTTTTTTTTTTTTTACTTTCACTTACCAGTGAGCTCCAGCTTGGTTGTAGACACCAGCCGATCTTTGCGGTCACTGAGGCTATACAATCCCACATCACTGATGTTCACCTTGACAATCTCAATGTTTTTACTACTGAGTCGAACTCTGTCATAATAATCAGCCAGTTCCTGAGACACAGGAGAGCCATGTCGGACCTAAATGAAGAGAATACACAAAAACATGATTAAAATGCATTGCACTAAAACATGGTTAACGTTTTTTTGTTTGTTTTGTTTTTTTAATACTTTATTATTTTTTTTAAGTTAATTTTTTAAAGTAATTTTACTACTTGGTTGGACATGGGCAGCAGATATGGCATACATAGAGGTAAAAAGACAACACCTTTAATTTGTTAAATGGAGGTTTAAACTCAAGAAATGCCTTCCTTGCATGTAAATTGTTGGTGTTAATGTCATAGCTATTTTTATTTGTTTTGGAACTCACCACAACCTTTCTGTATTTTATTTTTTTTTTCTTGGCACTGACACTTACCCTATATAAAACTATGATGCATTTTTACAACAGGTACTATCCCACCAAATCAAGTAATAATTAGAAAACATACTCACTTGAATGGATTACAAATGCAAGATCTCAAATCAATCAATATTCACTGATCATAACTGGTTATGAGTATTACAGTAAATAGCCTCTTTATTCATTTTTAATAAGAATCCATTTCACTAGCTAGGGCTACACTAACAACGACATAGTGTGAAGAAGTCTATTGATAATGTACGAAGCGGGGCAGAGATGGCTGGGTTGAGACTCTAAGTGGGAGCTCCGTCTCAATCTTCAATTGGCCCAGCCGGAACAGAACCCCCCTTGTAGGGGTCTTATGACTGAAAAATTAACAAAATAGGGGGTGGGAGGGTGGGGTCAAGTTCGCCGAGACAAACTGGGATGATGGGAATGGCTGCTACATATAGGCTTCTGGGAAATTAGAGGTGTGGTCGAGGTGAGCTGTGGTTTGCTGGTGAGAGGAGGGGACGGTTGAGGCGTGGTCCTGCTCCTGAATCTCAATTAATCATATTGACTACATTTAACTAAAAAACTTTCTCATAAATGATCATTATTATGATGGTGTATCTGTGGCTAGTTGGTGGTTAAAATTCTGCACACAATAGTTTAGTGTTTATATTTATCACATTATGGAAACTAAAATCCAAAATGTGCCCTTTCTACTAGTCACTAGGTAGCGTTGTGGGCCCTGTAAAAAGCTCAAAATAGGCGCTGCTAATTCTCAAGTATGGAGCACATTGTATTGTGGAACTTATGAACATATAGTCCACATCCACAGGGACTGATAAAAAAGTTAAAGACAATATATAATAATATATAAAAAATATATAAAACTAGTTTGCAGTGGTCCAAATTATTTCTCACTTATATTATGCATTCTGAGCATCCTAATTGTTCAGGTTATAAGAACATTCCACAAAACATAACTAATGTGGTAAAATGATATTATTATGCTAATGGTAAAAGTAACAGCATCTCACCAGTGTAACATTATCAGACTGTCCATAGAATCGAAGTGTAGCATCTTCTTTTCTGATGCCTTCTAATGAGATATACAGGGTTCTCCCGGCCACACGTTGTACAGCTTTCTTCTCAGCTGCAAAACAAACAAAATAACACATGTGGGGGTATTCCATCAAAGCCACAACAAGTTCAGGTTTATTCTGAAAGCCTGTGCCTGAAGTTTAAAGCAGAACTAAGTAATCTTTACCTTTTTCAACAGTTTAAAAATGTATTTTGAGTCGCGCCAACACAACGGAGACATGCACATGCTGAAACTTTTGGTAAAAGTGTTTATAGACATTTTTTTTTTGCCATGTTGTTGGAACAGAATTTAGGATTGATCAGGCTGGACTTGTTTCATCTCACTTCATGGAATACCTCCTAAATCAAGAACCTTGCCTTATATAATATGTGTGTTGTATATGTTATGTGTTGACTTACCCAATACAGCCACTTTGAGTGAGGAAATCTCTTTACCCCAGTAGTCTTTTTGGACGTACGTTCCCTCATCGTCAAATGTCACCTAGTAGAGCCAGTAGAACAAAACTCAATGTAGAAGGCTGGATTACATTACAGACTACATAGTACCATAGACAAACACAGTATATAGAATGTAACTCCTAACCCAAGGAACAACTGAAAATATGAGTTAAATTCCAAAACAAAGATTAAACAATTATTACTAAAACAGATTTTTAACAAGAATTGACCTGATCTACTTAAGGATTAAAGTAGAAAAAATAAAAAACTGAATTCACAACTAAACCAGATGCAATTCAGCATGAAACCAGGACTAAACTAAAACCGAACCAGGACTGAACCATGACTAGATTTAAACCAGTACAACTCAGTACTGTTTTACAGACAAACAGATAAAAAGCACCAAGATCCCTGAACTCACCTGTTCCAAGTACCAGCGCCGGTCATTACCTGACCCAGACACGTGACCCCTCAGCGCTCGACTACTAAAAATAATAAAAAACAATAAAAAAAACTTAATTGAACGTAATTCTCCATTGTAGCTACCACATTTTGGAAACAGAGAGGAGAATTATTCAATATTTAAATGAGTACTTTATTTTTATTTTAACATGATGTTTTTCATTCTTTACTTTACAGTAGTAATATGGTAGAACATTTTTTGTCATTTTCAGTCAGTGACAGTTTAAATGTCCTCAGTTTCAAAAACATTGTCCTCCTGGATTACACTAACTAATTAATAGTACAGCCCATGAATTTGCATTTACCTTGACCTCATTTTGTCCCAATAAACCAGTGTTGGCTGGGTGTTGTCCGCTGAGGTGAACTCCAATTTCTCTGAACTTTTGGGTAAATAAATCTTCAACTGTCGACCGTGATAGAGACGCTCATGCTGGTCGTGAACTATGTAGGACTCTGCAAAGAGATAAACATAAATTAAGTATAAAACAGCTATAGATGTTAATGAGCTTAATATTTGGGTAACTCATAATAAATGTTTTTACACAAAATTTCCAGATTTAGACGGTTTGGCCATGTACAGAGGGGTTACAGTGAATAAATGGTACAGAGGAGGGAAAGTGAATATATAGTAGAAAGGAGGGATGATGAATACAGTCCCTGACAAAAGTCTTGTCGCTTATCCATTTTGTAGAAACAAAAGCTTATAACTTGACTTTAAATTAATCGATTGGTTTTAGAAATGTCTCATATGAAAGCTAAAACCCTCCCAAATTATGCTCAATATACTAAAATAAATTTGCTTCACTGAAAAAAGATTGATCATTTAATGAACACAGAAAGGTCAGATTTTGGCAAGACAAAAGTCTTGTCGCCTTGTCATATGATGCACCCAATCCTAGATTACAGCCTCACCTGTGGTCAGTTACTGATCAATCAGTTAGTGGGTGTGTATAAAAAGAACCCCAGCACACCAGACCTTCACATCAACTGCAACTTGACCTCTGACAACATGCCTAAGATCCACCCTGAGACCAAAGCATTAATTATCAAGAGGCTGAAGACCAGATCCACTGCTGAGGTGGCTGACACCTTCAATGTGTCTCAGCGTCAAGTACAAAGAATAAGAAAAAGATTTGAAATGACTGGAGATATTTTTGACAAGCCCAGGTCCTGCAGACGCTGCAAGACAACTGCTCGGGAGGACCGTTTGTTGATTCGAAAATCCACGGCCCCTTTTCCACTGCAGCAGACTCCACCAGGCCTGGTCACCTCAAGTCCCTGTGTCAACCAGAACAGTTTGTAGAATTCTGTCTCGAAATGGCCTCCACGGTCGAATCAGTGCACAGAAACCAGCACTAAACAAAAGGCAATTAAAAAAACAAGTGGCATTTGCCAAGGCCCACAGCCTGCTAAAAGGATGGACACTGGAAAAGTGGCAGAAGGTGGATTTCTCAGATGAATCCTTGGTTGAATTACATCACAGCCGCCACAAATATTGCAGGAGACCTACTGGAGCCCGCATGTATCCAAGATTCACCCAGAAAACAGTTAAGTTTGGTGGCGGAAAAATCATGGTCTGAGGTTCCATCCAGTATGGGGGTGCGCGAGACATTTGCAGGGTGGAAGGCAATATCAATAACCTAAAATATCAAGACATATTAGCTACCTCTTACATTCCCAACCATAAAAGGGGTCAAATTTTGCAGCAGGATGGTGCTCCATCGTATAATTCTATCTCGACATCAAAGTTTCTCAAGGCGAAGAAGATCAAGGTGCTCCAGGACTGGCCAGCCCAGTCACCAGACATGAACATCATTGAGCATGTCTGGGGTAGAATGAAAGAGGAAGCATGGAAGGCAAAACCAAAGAATCTTGATGAACTCTGGGAGGCATGTAAGACGCTTTCTTTGCTATTCCTGATGACTTCATCAACAAATTGTATGAATCATTGTGGAACCGCATGGATGTAGTCCTTGAAGCTCATGGAAGTCATACAAGATATTAAATATGGATCTCACAGCACCACTACTTAATTCACTGACGTTATGCAACATATTTTTGTATTTGAAGTAAATTATTTGTTCAATTTTCTGTAGGCGACAAAACTTTTGTCTTGCCAAAATCTGACCTTTCTGTGTTCATTAAATGATCAATCTTTTTTCAGTGAAGCAAATTTATTTTAGTATATTGAGCATAATTTGGGAGGGTTTTAGCTTTCATATGAGACATTTCTAAAACCAATCGATTAATTTAAAGTCAAGTTATAAGCTTTTGTTTCTACAAAATGGATAAGCGACAAGACTTTTGTCAGGGACTGTAAGTGTATAAGGATGCTAAGGTTAGAGCTGCCAGGAAACAAGAGGCCTAGAGGAAAAGCAAAGATGTTTTTTCATAGAGAAAACATGGAGAATCTGTCATGACAAGGACTGTCTGAATAGAGCACTGAGTTAGGAAGGAGTTAGGAAAAGGAGCCTGCATGCTTCCTTTCATAGCTCCTTTAGCATAGAGGCTATGAGACATCCCACATTTTCCCTGAATGTTTCCAAACAGGGCCGATCTCTGCAGAAGAGTTTGTAATGCATTAAAAGTTTTGTTGCCTCAGACATTATTACAATACAAATACCTAGACAAACCTTAAACCCAAACTTTATATAAGAATAAACATAAAAGCTTTTAGGGTCATCACAGCTTTATGTTCTTTAACTGTAGACTACATAATGACATAAGGGAAGATCTGCGCGCAATGTTTACATTTATAAAAACAAAATTTAAAGCCACATGGCTCATTTGCATAAACTCTGCTGAAATTGCCGTGTATGCTCTGTGCTCATCGTAAATACATTAAAAGACAGGATATGGCGAAATACCTCTAGGCACAGAGGACATAGCAGAGTACAGGGCACAGGCTAGAGCTGCCGGTGAGTCTGGAGAATATATTTATTCTCTTCCATACATATGGAGATGTTAAAGGTGGCTCATGTTTACAGTCTGTGGGTTTTTTTGCAGAGCTTTTTTATTCAACAGCTGCACCTTATCTCATGTGTAAACATGAATTTAAGTACACTGTCATGCTGAAAGTAGAGGAGAATGAGGGCTTATTGTAGTCCGTTTTGTAGGTGTTGTAGTGTCACGCGGTGCCTGCATTGTTACCGCCACTGATAAAGAAAGTAAAGGAGTTATGGGCTAGAAGCTATCATTTCACGTATTTGGAACTAGCCTCAGACTATTATACCATAAATCAGCACTAGACCATGACCAAGCAAAATCAACATCAAGACTAAACCAGGATCAACCAGGACTTTAAATGGCAAATTAGCACAATAGCATTAAAGATAATTAATTTACTTACCCACAGTGAGGGCAGTCACCAGGAGGCCCAACCCTGCCCACATCATCTGCCAAACAAGATCATGGACTGAGTTAGAAAACAGATGAAATATATATTATTCCAGTCACTGAACTTTCTTATAAACATAAAATAAACATAAGCCCCCCAAGGTTACTTAAGGAAGGTTAAAGGTTGAGGAAAAAGCAAACAATGAGTTGGTGGTAGAGGTGGGAGAGGTATAAAAATTGGGTAACATTGCAATTGTTGCTGTGGACATACTGTTTGAAAAAAAAAAAAAAAAAAAAAAAGATAATCAAGTATATTTTGCATTAGATTTGCACATTTTATAATGCAATTTTACAATATAACATTTAGTATAACAACAAATATTTATTTAATAACAAAACCAAGAGACTTCTTAAGTGAAAATGTGTTGTCATACTGTATATTGTTCCTTGGTTTTGCCCTACTGTGCTGCGCATACAACGAGATAAGACACACATCATGGACAGAAGTGCAGCTTTTTCCACAGACCCAGTGAAAAAAATTAGCTCTGTCACTACAGTTATTTTAATACTGTGAAGAACTGTTTTGTTTTGTTTTTTTGGATAATCCTGCTTCAGGGTTGTTGTGTTCGCCAGTGTGTTTCTGTTATCATGTATCATCCATTTTTCTTCAGCAATATATCATACTTTTTATATTATAACAGAGTCTTCTGAACATGCTTTACTTTATCAACAGACTCTTACAGTTGTAGTCGCAGATACTGACAAAATTTAACGCTAAGCTATTGCAGTTATCTCTGTGTGTGTACATAGTAGTTTATTGATCCATGACCTGCCCCTGAGGAGAGCTACAAAATTGCACGATTAATTGATCATTCAAAACTGATAAGACTTGCAATTGTTTGTAGTTGAAAGTCAATTAAGCCAACCATTATTTGATCATGTCACAATTGCAAATGGAAGGCAGAGGCCTATAGAACTGTATGGGAGATTCAGAAATACCCAAACTTATGACTCTCAACTTTTGAAACTTGTCATCATTATTGGAGATTGGGTCCATAATCCTGCCTTTTAGTCTTATGGCTTAAAGTCTTTTTAAGTGGCAACAATCATATCTTTGGAGATGAACAATGGCACAACTTTATGAAGACATTCTGAAAAAAATAATTAAACTTTTGTTTATTTATGTAGAGAGAATCAGTTTTTGTTTCATGTCGCTAGCCCCAGTAATTACAGGGAAATTAATCATAAATCTACATCACAGTTAAACAGCAAACAGCAAAACCATAGAGTTCTGACCTGTCCTCCATTCTACAATGTTGAGATGTTACATTAACTTATTGGTGACGCATTTTCCTAATATCATTTATGAATATCAACACACAAACACACAACTATTCTGAATATTTTTGCTATGAGTAACTTCCTAGGAGCATAAAACATATACTGATGAATGGAGTACTCCATACTGATGCCAAATCCTGACCTGAATGGAATGAGCTTGTAGTGTGTGGGTGTAGGTTGAATGTAAAAAATGTTGATAAGTGCGTGTTTAGGCAGGTATTAAAATGAATGCAATTGTAAATAGGGCTGCACAATATATCACCACTGAAAAGGCTATTTCAGTTGCCACAGCTCACAACTGCTGTAATTAGAATATCCATAGACTTATTTGGACACCATAGCTCACACGTCACCTAATAACAAAGAGCAAAAATATAAATGGTAATAATACATTTTAAATAAGTAGCCTCTGCAAAGAGCATCTTAAAATCTAGTACCTGTAGTTTAGACTTCTACAGACATGTTCTTAAATTTACAATGTGCACTTTCAACTGAATCCTACTTTTGGCTTTTTAAACATAAAATAATTTTTTTAAATAAAAATTGCAATCTGAATAGAGCCAGACCGCTGAACTCTAATTGCTCTACCTATACCACTTACAACAGTGAGGTGCTTGGTTTAGTGGTCCTAGTCCTATAGTAGTAGTCCTAGAGTGAGAGGTTGATAACCCCCAAAAACTATTCTAAATGCACATCTCAAAAAACATGGGCTGCAATAAATGCGAAGAGAATGAAATGCGATTGGTAAATTGACTGATAGATAACGTTTGCACAAAGAAAAAGTGTGAAATAATTTCCCTTATGGATCAATAAAGTTTGTCTAAGTCTAAGTCCCCACGATAAACACTGACTCCTCCAAACTCATTGATCCATCTGTCACTTGTTGAGCAATAAATTAATCTATATACAGTAGTAGTGGTAGTCGTATCATCAGAAGTGCGCTTGACTAATTTTCCTCTACCTTCCGAGGGTTATTGAACGCATCGCAGGGCCTGGCTGTATTAGGGCGGAGTTTTGCTCCCGGTGGGACGTGATGGCATGCGAGAAAAACACTAAAAGAAGCGCAAAAATCTAATGAATGAATTGGCATTAACAACCACAGTTTACCTAAACAGTGCAATTTACTCGTCCAATTAAATTCCATTGCAAAAATACAAAATACACCGACGAAACAATAGGGGTGTGGCCGCTTTTAGATCGTCCACACTGATGAATTCCTAGTTATTACATTTTCATAGAGAGGCGCTGTAAGATGAAAACTGCACTTCAAAATGATAAAAAAAAAAAAAAAAAAAGAATTTCTTGATAAGTAAACAAATATCCAAATGCACAATATTTTAAGAAATTTACATTTTACCACAAGATGGAAGCAGACGGTGGAAAAAAACGTGGATAGCAACAGCGGTAAAACGACCACCAGTAACTGAAATACGAGACACAAATGCTAAAAGTACATTCCGTCCTATATAAACCTAGATTAGTTATGTTTCCCAAAAACACTAAGTGCATTGCTTTCAACAAGTTATGTGCATCAGATTCGCTTGTTGAAAACATTCAAAAAAAATTATCTAAAAATAGAGAGTTGTGTAGTAGACTGCAGTATAAAAAGGTAATAGTGTTAAAGACACTATATAGAGCCGCCATCTTACCTCTGCGTGTTGGTGATTTGTCTTCTCCGACAGACTACAACAGATCTAGGTTACTATGTCAAAACGCGTGCAGGGGAGTCGTATTAAAGAGTGGAGTCTGTGGGTTTGCAGAAGAAAGAAGACAGACCCACTGGTGCGTTCAGGAAACACGGGGCAAACGAGTGACAGCGTAATAGTTTAGATTTTGTTAGGTTTTTGTTTTTTTTGTTTTTTTCCAATCGTTTTAGCCGATTTTTAAAAACTTTTGTTTAATAATTTGCTCAAAACATGTATCTGAACAGTGGCACAGTACACTTAACTTAATTTAACCCAAACTGCTTTTAATGAATGCAACGTTTCGATCGGTGGATCTTGGTCAGGTCAAACGTTGTCATTCATTAAAAACTGTTTGGGAGTAAGTGTGCAGTCTTTGGATCACTTTCTATTTACGCAAATTTCTCATCAGTTCAAACAGTTCTTAGACTCTTTCTCATAACACTTCACACAGCTCTTATTCACAAACAAACATGATCACTGAATTCACCTTGTTTTTCCAACAGTACAGCATGTGGTCCAGGCGTTTTCCCACGTGGTTAAGGACCATGGCCCAAACACTGTCACTCTCAATATAAACATTCAAACAAGGGCAAAAAATATAATTTGAGAGCACCTAAAATCTAATACTGAAGGATTTCACACAGTCACACAGGGAGAAAGCAGACTGAATGGATCTATAGAAACATCCCACATAGTATATATACGGTGTTTAATTTTACCTAAGAAGCCATGCATTAACACATTGCACACTTTACCAAAGCTAATATGTAAATTTATTTAAAAACATAATACGTAAAATATTTTGACAAAAAGTTCATATTTTCCAGCCCCAGATTTGTGTGTAATGTGAACTCTAGAGTGTGAGAGTTTTGATGGTAATGATTGATCAGTTTTGAATGAAACACTAGACTAAATTTTGTTTTGGAAAACTAAAATTCTTTTTATGATTTTGTGTGAGCTGTTTTGCAAATGTACATTTTATATAGATAAATGTGCCAACACGATTGAAAAAATTGTAACACAAAATAGGTTTGAAATATAATAAATACTGAAATAAATTAAAACTAAAATAACATGCACATATAAATATTTCAAATAATATGTAAAGGTAATGTCATAAAACAACCAAGTGTTAACATTTGTAATCAACCAGCCATTACTCAAAACATGCCAAATGTCTACCATCACAACTTCTTTTACTATAGTCATCTTATTTATTATTTTATCCATATTTTCACTACTGCTTATGATATTACCACAACAAAGTAATAACAGTAAAATGGTGTATGCCAGATGCCCTTTCTGTGCCATAGGCTGCATAATGTTAAGTCTTTGCTCCTCTTTGAAAATAAACTGAGGAAAAGGAACCTGTTGGACCCATTGTTTTGTGTTTGTATTTGTAAACCTACACAGCTCAAATCCTGCTTGACCTGCATTGTCACAGAAAGGAGTGGCAGACACAAAGAAATGTCACTAGATTAGTTTTGTAGAATAGACAGAGGCAAATTACTATTCAAGAACAAGTAAAATGAAAAGATCAGTACTGATACTACAACTACTACTTAAAAGAGCACTATGTAACTTTTCTGGTGGAGGATCTGCCACCTACTTGCTTTTAATTGAATAAAACCAAAACTTTAAATTATCATGCAGTGGACCATTCCAGGAAAAGTAATATCTCCACTGACATGACATTTGGTACTTAAAGGGGTGCACAGGTGTTGTATATGCCTTGTATATGCATTGTATATCCACAATGTGACGAATAATATAATTAAATTTGGAGTAAACTGGAACTAAACCAGGACCAAACCAGGACAAGTATGCAGCCTAGAGCAGTTTACTACTATAATTGTTGATAACTAAAACCACAATTTTTACTAATACTATCAGATTTCACTCTTGAGAAATTCACTAACACAGAAAACGTACAAACAAAAAATGTGTGATTTACAATTTATGTTACATGAGCGCAATGCAATTCACGTGGCAGTTATGGGATGCATTTTATTATAACCTTGCTTGAATAATTATAAAGTTACAACTGAACCAAGAGATTCTAGAGATTCTTTTTACCCATTCATACATAATTATCAGCATATTGCCAAGTATTCAATGCCAAAGCACTAGCAATGACCCCCCTGTCACACATGCACCAGTCCAAGAACATTACCAGGTCTGCCACAGTCACACAGGACTCCCTAAAAGCTCAAAATTTCATCAGGACATAATATTCTTTTGCAACCATTGCCTATTGCTGTTGTAGAATAAATTATGGTAGCTCAAGAGTTGAAGAGAAGAGGCATGACTGAGAGACCGAGTTGGCAGTGAAAGCCCTCAAAACAGCACAGAAATAGTATTTCTTTAACAATTCCTTCCACTGAAAAAGGTGAATATGTACACCGGTATGCATTATTAGTCTGTCTACATCGCCAAAACTCAAAATGTTCTGTTCCACCTTGTGATGTCACAAAGCAGTAGTTTTCAAATTAAAATTTTTATCTTTTAATTCAGTAGAGTTTGGGAATTCCAGGGCTAAAAGTATCCAAATGATTCTGGTGAAGGTGTGCAGACTTTAAAAACACAATGGAGCACCTACTGTATTACCTTAAGACATCATAAAGTGAAATAGATTGTTTTCTGTTTGATGACAGAAATGGTTAAAACATGATATATAGACATAAAAATGCACAGGACTTCTTTAAGAGACACCACAGTCACAGAGAAATCAGTTCAGGATTTGATCCACAATTTTCTTGCAAAATGCAGGAAAATTCCCAGTTCAGGCTGCATGTGTGAATGGGACTTTCATGAAACTGTCCACATTCAGATATAAGCTGGTCCAGGAGATCCTTAGTGTTATGATTGTATGGTGATGTGGCTGAAGGAGAATGGGTTAAACTTGTATCCAGTGCCGCTGTAGAATTTACTCTGAAACTCCACCCTGAAACAAATAAACAATAATCAGTGCTATGTTAGTGAGTATGGCTTCAGCTTCTGGCTAATAGGGCTTAGAATGAAAAGCATAACACAGTGAATATAGATAGATTTGTCATATAAGCTCCACCCAGTTTACTCAAAAATTTTAAATGTAACCTCTGGCCTTTAGGCATATACATACTTATCAAACCATTTTGAAGAGACTGAGTATTTCCTATCAGGGTTGGGCATGGTATTTACCATTTTTGATTAAATTTATATTATTTTATTTAAAATTGCTTTAAAACTGTGCATGTTATTATTTTGCCAGAGCTGTTCCAGTATTGCATTGAACTTACTGGTCTGATCTGTGGGGGAGGCAATTCATTTACTGTACAGGTTAAAGAGGTTTGTTTATTTGTTTGTTTGCTTTAAATCAATCAAAGCACCTATAATTGAATAAAAGATGAAGATAGATAGGTTCAATGCCATAATGTGGAACATTCCAAACTCAGCTAAAATCATCACCACAACCAGAAAAATTACATACTGCTCATTTAACCACAGAACACCTAACACTTCCCCATCTTTTCTTATCACTTTCTGCAAAAAAATTATTCAAGCTTTATTCTCACCAGTGCAGTCGCAGAGCATGTAAAAACGCAGACAGCCCCTCCATCACCAGCAGAATGGAAACTGTGAGTAAAGCAAAGAAGGAGAAGACCACAGCCAGGACTACACTTCCCAGCATGCCTCTGGAGGACAGGCTAATCCGCATCACCATCATCCACAGCACGTCTGACAGCTCTGGGGGACAAAAATGGGTGTACATATAAATCCTTGCCTATAATTTAAATTGTATTTGAGCAATTCAATAAAAAGGCTTGGCAGACAGAGAAATCATTGCATAAATAAGACAAAGATTTAAAGGTGCACTATGTAACTTTTCTGGTGGAATGTATGCCACCTGGTGGAGGGTATGCCACATGCTAGTCTCCATGAAGATGCTATTGCTTTGATAAATGTTCCAGAGCAGGCATTAAGTTATTTGGCAGGTATTCAGGTATTAAATTCATAAGTCATAACTCATAAATCATAACGTCTTCTTTTTCCACAAGCACCTTCCAGTAAAACGTTACATGGTGCACCTTTAACTAAATAACTGCAGGCTTTTACCCTAAGTGCAATTCATCTTACAACTCTATCCAACAGTTTCTTACGTGCATGGGCCAGACTCAGTGCCCACAGCCGCAGGTAGGAGGCACTGTTGGATACACAGCCCAGACAGTACTCCAGTGTGTGAAGGGTTTGGTGCATGAAGACCTCCACAGCATCAAACTACAAGGAGAATAGCTATTAAATACAATTCTTGAGTTACATTTATAATCTAGATAATGTAATTAGATCATAGATACAGAATAGTCATTTTGACTTTATTTTGATTATTTTTGAGTAACTATAAACTAACTAGACTACAAGTAACTACAAAGAATCCTAAATCTTTCCTGCTGTTGTATGTTGCTTAGTATGTTGTTTTAATATTTCTTCTGACAAGTGATTACTACAAACTTGTCACTTTTGGAGAAAAACTTCACTATGAACAAATATTTTACTAAGAATTATTATTATTAGTAGTAGTAGTATTTTCATTTGAATTTCTCACCTCTTTCTGTTCACTATTGCCTCCTTCAACATCCCCCAACAGAGCATTGATCGAACTGGTGTCGGTAACAGCTTCAGACCCAGACTACAACAAAATAAAATACACCAATAGATAGATAGCTAAATAAATGGATAATGTGTAGAATGTATTAGATCACAATGTAACAAAGGTGGACATATTCTTACCATGGACTGTTGATGTTTTCTGTGATAGTAGAGCAGGTAAAGGGGTTTCCCGAGCAACAAAACAGGGACTGAAGTCAGCACCGTGACCATGAGGACCAACTGAACACACCACTGAAACAAAGAGCAATAAGCCTAGTGCATAGTGTTTTTCAAAATGTGTAACTCTGGTAGTACTTCTTCCTCATGAAAAAACAAAACAACACTGTTGAGCTCCATTTCAACACCAAAATATTGTACTTTGTTTATGGTGCATTCACACTTGCACACAACACATCAAACTGGGACTGAACTCCCAAATCCAGAGGGAATCAAATCTGAACCAGGTGTAAACCAGGACTAGACCAGAATCAAACCGAAGTTCAATTGGGCTCAAACCAGGACTAAACAAGTACTGGTACAAGATTGAATGCTCCCGAAATTTTTACTCTCATATTTTCACGTAATACTTGCACTCAGTTAAGTAATAAACACACTGGAGATCTTCCTGAATCCTGTTATAGTTTGATAAATTGGGTGACAGTAGCTCAGCTAGCACAGTGTTCATCCTCAGATACAAAGGTTGTCGATTTGAAACCTGCTCCCAACATAAACATCATTGGTTGAGCAGTTAGATCCACTAACCCACATGTTGGCTGTGTGATTCCAGCTCCAACAGATGAATGCTGTCATTGTGTCCTTGGGCAAGACACTTAACCCACCATGCCCCCAGTGTCTGCATACACTGGTGTGTGACTGAGTAAGTGGTTCCTTGATGTAAAGTGTTCTGAGTGTTTTGAAGGTGGAAAAGCACTTTATAAAAACATGACCATACAAGTTGTATATAACAGTAGACACTATTCAGACCAGACTATTCAGCTCTGTTGTGGCAGTGGTACGGTTTGTAAATCTTGGAAACACATTTGCTCAAATGCAATACAATATATAGCACAATCAAAGTTATCAAAATGAAGTCACCTGTCCATGGTAAAGAGGCTGAGTCTCTTTGTTCTTAGTGAATAGAACCATGTTGATGAAATGCAGGAGGAGACTGGGAGCTTGGTCTGACTGGTGTGGTCCAAAAAATACCCATTTATAAAAGATTAGAAACACGAGGTACCCAAATAACCCCAACATGAAGACCAGCTCAGGGAGTAGAACCAGCAACATATCACTCCACTGACGCCTGTAACTACAAGAAAAAAAAGGATAAATAATGTTAAAAAATGTGTGGTAAGTCTATTCTTCGTGGGAGATCTTCATACGCAACTTAGTAAATGAAGTGTGCATCCAATTAACTAAGCATGGCTAAACCAATAAAAACATAAGTACCAACATGCATTATAAAAAATTTAAAGAGTGGTTATATAGTACTTTAAAACAACTTCAAGGCACAGTAGGTAAGTAACGTTTTAGCCAAGAAAAATTACCTTTTGTTTGTGTTAACTGAATGAATGAATGAAAAATTTTGCTTCCTTCCTTTGAGCAGATTGCTTCATTCCTTTGAGCATCTCCACAAACCTGACTCTTTTTTTTTGGACTGGAGGATTATCTTCTCTAGCTTGAGTCCATGGAAATGTTGTTTTTCTTCTATTTGTCATAAAACTGAACTATCTCCGTGGTAAATATGTAAGTATGGCCATATTTAGAAGGTTACATACTGTTGACTGAACAACAGAAAACTGATAATATATAAATTTATACACACATAGATTATTTATTTATTTATTCATTTAGTTAGTTAGTTAGTTATAAAAGGACATTAATGTTACCTGTAGTTGAAATAGGAAAGGCAGATTCCAAAAGTCATGTGTAACACTCCAATAATGACAGACAGCTTCATCTTGTATGAGTTTAGAAATGATAAGCGGTTGTTTGCAAGGTGCCAAATCTGTAATACATTGAGGCTAGATTAGAAATGATGCATTAATTTACATAATTGAACTGCCCTGGAAGAAACTGACTGGGACATGAAACTTCAGTATACTTGAATGTATTACCGGGTCAATTCCCAGAGGGTATGGGCCCAGAAAGACTCCTGTTGTGTTCGGATCCAAACTCAAAATTTGGTTTGTTTTCAGAGTTTCAGCACTGCATGATGAAAAATAATTTTGAAATAATAGTTTAATTAAAAGTATCAAAATATACACAGTATAATAATAATAATAAAGATCATTCTCTGGCCTCCTCACCTCCAGTTCATGGCCTGTAGATGCCAGCCTGAGGGGAACACAGTGGCTCCACGGCTGAAGCAGTCATTGTAAATGGCCCCAGTGTAAATCGAGAAAAGTCCCATCAGTAAAATCAGGTACCGGCCTATGTACACCAACCTCCACAACTGTACGAAAAATACAATATCAAATGCAGAGGACAAATAAGAGTAATTTAACCTTAGTTGTCTGATTACTCCACTGAACAGATTTTTCTTGCCATGTGAAAGACAAACAGACAGGATACATACAGTAGAGTCAGTTAAATACAGCTAGTTAATCTGGTCCAGTACCTCATTTTTATTCTGAGTGCTTTTGTTTTCTTCTTTTATCATAATCATCCAGAGAGCTGCTGCAGCCATCAACATACCATGTCCCACATCTCCAAACATCACCGCAAACAGGAATGGGAAAGTTATTATGGTGTACACGGCTGATCAAAGACAAAACACATTTCAGCTGAATAATATTTGAAGATACGTGGTTAAAAATACGATGTACATTGCTTTTGTCCAGTCAAGTGTGCTCATGGTTTAAGACCAGTTTAGTCCAAATGTAGAATATTTCAGATTATTAGTAATGACCTGGGTTTATTTCCTTGTACTGTGCAACCCCGTATGCATCCACAATGCTCTGAAACGCTGCAGTGAAGGAGTTTGTGATGAACAGAGTTGGAGGAGGCGAGGATGAGGAGGAGAGAGGAAGACGATTATAGAAAGAGTCCACCACACTGCCACTTCTTCTCTGGCAAAGACAAATATAACAAATAGTCAGCCATCAAGGAATTTTAGAGAACAGTGAATTTTAAAACAACTCTCTCAATATTAAACATTTTCTCTTTCATTTTACTTTTTGCCACTTTAGTTTGGATTTTTTTGCATAATGTGTGAACAGCCAGAAAGAAAACAGATTACTTACATCAGATATAATTATTTACATGGCATTTCAGTAATCTGCATTAATGTACATATAAACATAGCTAGTTTGTCTCTATGTCATAATGTAATACACTCACTGTCCCCTCTATGAGAGCGCTCTGGAGCAACAGCAGTTTTTTGGTTGGACACCAAGCCTCAGCGATGAGACACTTCTCTGTCACAGATGGACTGCACAGGTTTAATATGGAGTGAACGGCCTTGCATTTCCCCACTTTCACCTACAGGGGACCCACAGGAAGCGTTATAATTCTGGTCCATCGAATTGTGTGCAAATTCACAATACAAAACAAAATTCACACAGAATTGTCTGTTTTTAAACTACTCATGTGCAATACTGTATGTGAATCACCACCAACATAAAACAATGAAGTCACTTAATCTGCTATGTTCTGACCATATGGTTTTCACAGCCTGGAATGTTGCAATGTATTTTGCCATGAAATATCTAAAAGGTCAGTTGACAAATATTTAACCTGATTATTTCTGCAGTGACTAAACCAATTACAACAAAAAGAAGAATTTATAATTAACAGCTTCCCCCATAGCCATATTTTAATAGTTATTTATCTTTTGGTTTGATTGCATTTTTACAAAATTCTTCTGGTGTTCTTGTACACTGAAAGCACAAATAAAGGTTCTATTTTTTAAGCTATTCAAAACTAGATTCAGCAAGATTGTTTGTAAATAAAAATATATTGGACTCTGCGGTTTTGCTTTTAGACAAATGCAATCTAGCAATAAATAGTTCTTATTTAATCTCACTCTGTCAAAGAAAATGTGTGTTTTTTATACAACTGGATCCTTATGTGCCACAGAGCAGTGATATAAGGAGTATTTAAAAGTACCTTCCACATTGGCAGCACTGAGACACATTGAGACAACAGCTGCTGGAGGTAACTCTCGGTTTGAGACAAAACCTGAAAGAAAAATGCATAGACTATATGTGGATGTTCAATTTAGTTTAAAAAATCAAATAGGACATTTCAATCTGGATATCTGGTTTTGAACACACATACATACTCATATATTAGTAACATACTTTTGAGATATCTTCAATTCTGTTCTGCAGTCCTTCTAATAGCTCCTCTCTGTCCTCTGCATTCTCTGGGTACAAAAATGTATTGGCATGGAAGCTAAAAATAAAACCAACAAATATATTTATTACTCATAGTGATACATTAATTATTTGTAGCATTAATTTCTAGATAAATTAATCTACATGGACGCCACAAACCAGTCACAAATTTTCTTGACCTTGCATCCAATTGTCTTTCCCCAAAATGAGATTAGAAAAACAGTCCACTGAGCCATTTCACCCTGGTTAGAAAGGAGCAGCAGTAGTAGAGGAGTAACTAATTAAATAGTCAAGATGCTGGTCAAATATTAAACTATATATGATTCTATATATGGATCTTACTGTTTGAGGGGCCTCCATCTTGTGCATTTCCTGGAAGTCAATAATGAAATATCCTCTGCAGGCTCGCCATAGCAACCGCTCAAATGCAGCCACTTTCCACGGATGCACCACACCAGCTACAAAACTATATATGCATATATATATATATATATATATATATATATATATATATATATATATATATATATATATATATATATATATATATATATATATATATATATATATCAATCATTACTGTAGCCACAATATGTAGAGTAACTTAAGCCTTTTAAGCTTCAAATGAAAGCATGTTTTTACTTGTTTTTATTGCATAATGTTAGGAATTAACAAAAATGTCTTGATGATTTGATAATGGATAACAAATTAGTGGAGGGCAATTAAAGAATATTGTTTGTATGTACTGTGTGATTATAGTTTACCTCAGATGATTGTCGCAGTCATAGTCCAGTGTTGAGAAGTCCAAAGGGGCATGAGCAGGTGGAGGGAGAGCCTAGAGCACCAAAATTATAATTTACTTCCATTATTTATTTAATGTTTTATTATTATATATTTATTTATTATTATTTTAATCAGAAATTCCTCCTGTCACCTGTCTATATATGTCAACCAGTCACCAGTCAGTCATGTAAATACTCTCTCCATGTCCATTTAAAGGGGTGCAAAGACTTTTATCACTACTACCGCCGCAACAGAAATATCAGCCTCTTTGGCCTATCTTTCTCCTCTGGGTGGTATTTTACCTAAAAATCTATTATTCTTTTGACTTATTGTGCAGTGTAAATTTGTTGATACCTGTGTTTGGATGAGAGAGTGGGTCTGCAGCAGTACTGATCTGTACTGCTTAAGGTGAATCAGCTGACGTCTTAGACTCTCTCTGTTCGTGGACACCTGTAAAATAATAATACAAAACAACTGACACACATAGTAATCAACAGTACATGTTTTTATGTCCTTATCTAATAAACTAAATGTCAAGGAGGTTGTAGGTTCAACTCCCACAAGCAACAGATTTTAGCTATTACCCTACACACTGGTCTATATTTATCAGTGCTGTCTGTTCATAAATTCCTTCTCGACACTGAGCAATTATTACACAGGTTTTGGTTTTTCCTTATCTGTAAGCCATAATCATCAAAATGTCAAGAAATAAAGGCTTAAATGATTGGAAAACCAAGGCTAACACATTGATTCCTCATTGATTCTTGCTCCAATCAGTGTTTTTGTGTTCTTGGGCAGGACACATACACATAAATGGCTTGTGTACTTTGCTTCTATCAGTCTACCTACCTACCCCAGGGCAGTCGAGACAGGTTTGAATTGAATAAATTATAACTAAAAAGTAAAAAAAAAAATGTTGATGGTATGCATTCGTTGTTGCAATGTTGTTCTGTATTATGTAATTCAGGCTCTGAAAAAATAGAATAAGATGTAATCCAAATAGCAAAAAAAACAAAACAATCCCAGTATTGAGCCCTATGTCCCTAGCCTCAGCTGAGATATCCAAAACCAGGGATTTGTCTTGGCTTTATACAAGGAATTTCCTTATTTTTGACCAATTTGTTACCCACCAACAGTAAAGGGGATAATATGTTGTCATTTGCTTAGCTAAAATACAAAAAAAAAAACTGTTGAAATTGAGCATAAGCCAAAAATTTTTTTTTTAAATGCAAAGACAGAAGTCCCTCATACCCACACGTGAGTCGAGAATGGACAATGTTACACACTATTTTCACAGTTTTATTTGTATCACCCACCCCAACCCAAGTGTGTCCCAGTTATGAATTTTGAACATCTGGTCATCCTAGTGCAGTGCTCATCACCTCAGAGAGTTGAATAGCAAGTCTCTCACTCTGCTCCTCGATGTGCAACAGGTCTCTGGGCTGAGGGGCCGGAGCAGAGCAAGGGGTCTTCAAAATCTCATCCAGAGACATAGGCACAGCTATGGACAGCTGATGCTCCAGGAAAACTATATGGACACAACCAACAAAACAAAAGTAATATTTAAAAGTAAGTATGTGTTTGGTACATGATAAGACTACTCATAACAACAACAGGAACCGCAGTAATAATAAGGTTTGGGGTAAGGCCTTTGAAACATCCTAGATTAAATGTATATTATTTTCATTCATTTCAGTACCCAATTTGGTGTATTTCTTTTCTCACCAAATCTCTTCTCAAGCTCCTCACATCTCCGGATTTCATTTACAAATTTCCTCTGGAACAAGTTTACATCTGGATTTAGCTGTAAAGAAGTACAAATAAAAACAAGCTTTAAATGTAGAAAATGTAAAGCTTATGTGGTTGCTCTGATCTTCTCTGTAAACCCAGCCACATGGAGAGGTCAGCATCTCATAATTTATGATTAAAAATGCTGCTGCAGCAAAAATACAAAAATACAAAAAAAAAAATTTTTTATTAAATAAAATAAAATAATCCAACATCCAAATGTAGGTATAAAAGCGCATTTCTGCACATTTGTTGACAATGATATAGTTATTTCAGATTTATCAAGATGCAAATTATATAGTGCAGTCCAATTTAGGGTTAAACTAGGCCTAAAAATATTCTAATTCTAACTAATAGTTCACGTACCACCGTTTGACAAACATTGATATAGAGTTGGTATACATACATCTCTAAACTCCACCAGTCCCAGTTCTCCCAGTTCACTGATGCAGTTGTAGGCAGATCCAGACTGAAGGAAGATCTGGACCAGGCAGATATCCTCACTCCGAAACATCACTCCAGATAAAGTATAATCCCTTTATATCAATTAATGCTAAAATTCATACTAAAAAAAAAAAAAACATTTCGGATATTGCTCATAGTTTGCAGGTCCCTGGAGTTTCAGAACTTGTGGCATACAAACGAAGATTGAAAAGTTTAAATTTGGAGGGAATCTAATCACCTACTCATGTACAAAGTAACTAGGTTCATGTGACCAAAGGCATGATTCTGGGTAATTTAATTTAGAGAAAAAAAGAGCAGTGTATAAACAATGAGAGAGAGAAAGAGAGAGAGAGAGAGAGAGAGAGAGAGAGAGAGAGAGAGAGAGAGAGAGAGAGAGAGAGAGAGAGAGAGAGAGAGAGAGAGAGAGAGAGAGAGAGAGAGAGAGAGAGAGAGAGAGAGAGAGAGAGAGAGAGAGAGAGAGAGAGAGAGAGAGTACAATATATGTCAAAAAGTAAAGGCAAAGGAATTTGAGTTTTAGAGCAAGAAAACAATAAATATGTTGTTGTTAAGATAACAACATGTGGCTCTAGTGCATACTGCCATTAGGTCATTGAGCAAGAAACATCACTGATTATGAAGGAGATTAGATCATGGCTATAATTTGGCATAGTTACACCATGTTCATTAACATGTATATGTCCCAATCAATTAAAACTATTAATAAAAACAAAACAAGACTTTGGCTTTGAATCAAAGCCATTTAGTGCAAATGTAAGTCTGAACTCTTTTCCAAACTCTAAAGTGTGAACCTTTCTATTAAAAAGACAAACTAATTATTGACAATTTTACATAACTAAATCTCTATCTTGATTAAAATCTTATTAGGAGCACAGTTGTAATTTATTATATAGAGATGTGATCCTATTAACGTAGTATGTGCTCAGGGCTTCTAGCTGAGATCTGAAGAAGGGTCCACTGCTCCTGACAGGTGGCATCAGCTGGTACTGAAGGAACTGATGGGAGACCTAGAGGAAGACCAAAGAAAGGTAGGCCAATGTTATGTGTTAGGCTACAACTGCATTCACTCTTGTCCTGTTTTGTCCTGGTTAGATCCAAGTTTAATCATGATGGAGACTTGGTTTGGTCCTGTTCTGGTTTAGTTCTGGTCTTGATGACATACTGGGAATACTCCAAGACCTTCCAGAGGAAACTCTTTGAGGGAATGACCCATTTCTTCACCAACCGAACACCAGAGCAGAATAAGAACAAGGCATTTCCTGTTGTGTTCACCTGATTCCCCTCTTGATGCTGCTGTGGTGCTACAGCACACAGAGGAGAGCCACTTATGGCTCTTCCTCTCCTCAAACTGCCCTGACACAGGATTTTCTGGCCCCACCTGACTAGTCCGCCTGTTAAACTGCACTGAGACCTTTGACTGAGTCACACAGTGAAAAGGTTGCAGCGAAACTTCCTCGGGATCTCTCTCTTAGCTATAGGCCTATAGCCTATTAGCCCAATCTGTTTTCATGGACAAAGTAGGTCTATACTACTTACTTCAGGGTTTCCAGCTTTTTAAACTTCAGAACTGGGACACACTTGAGTTGGGATGGTCGGTGTAAATAAAACTGTGAATAGAATGTGTAACATTGTCGATTCTTGACTCATTTGTGGGTCAGTCATAATCTCTCGGTACCATTTTCAATTACTGTTTTCTGTGTTATAGCTTAAGAAATGACTATCTATCCCCCTCTTTACTGTTGGTGCGTAACAAATTGGTCAAAAGTAGGGACAACTGTGACATGTCTTTTATAAAACTGGGACAAATCGGTGGTTTTGGATAAATCTGCTCGGACGGGACACAGGGCTCAAACCTGGGACTGTCTCAGATAAAAACTGGTGTCTGGTCTTCCTGCCTTACTTAAGAGTAGTAGGCTGGTAGTAATCATAGCAGTGGTAGTAGAAATATCTGCAGAAGAAGCAGTATCTTGCCTATATGAGTTAACTGTTATGGACATTTTTAAAACACATTTAATTAACTAAAGGCTGTAATTAGTTGTTTTTGAGAAACATAAATAAATATTATCTTATTTTAACCAGTCTCCACATAATCAGGCAACGATGCTCAACTGCGCCCATGTTATCCACGCTCTTATAACGCACCGGTGATCAGATGGACTGTGGGGGAGAGAGGTTTATCGTCTTGAACTGGCGCTTCCTAATCCGTGTTTAGAGGCTTATTGAGACGTGGTTGCTACACATCTTTACTTCACCTTTAGCACCTTTACGACCACTATTTTTCATCTAAATAAGTTTATTCTTTCAGCAAAACACTCTAATTTAGTGCGCAGAAGTTGTGTCTGTAACCCGCTTTTGGTAGCCACCCAGAATTCCCAATTACGGAATCATCCAATTAATGTTTATCTGGCTAATTTGGAGGCCATTTTATTAGCTCTATGTTAGCATCGCATTTGTTGACGGTTCTTTAATTTGTCTCTTTTTTACCGGGACCATTTGTCAAGATGAAGGATCGTTTGGCGCAATTGAAGGAGGTAAAGAAACATTTTTAGTAACTATTTTTAGATGAAATGTTGCACCTGTTACGCTCCTCGGGGTCGTCAGGTCGATTGTAGTAACTGAGTGCTTCTTTGACCCCGATTGACCATTTAATATGCATAATTATTCTTTGATTTGTGGATTTTGGGCATTGTAATATATATATATATATATATATATATATATATATATATATATATATATATATATATATATATATATATATATATATATATATATAAAGTATTTATTGCTAAGTTAAAAATGTGCAGTCTTGTAGCCAGAAGCAATATAACCATAGCCTTTATCATTATAATAGACCTATAATCTAAACAAATTTTAAGAACACTACTTCTACTTCTAAAACTCCTGCCAATATGTACAGAAAGGAATTCAAAAAGTTATCAGATTACACAGGATTTTTTTCATCTTTTGCACCCAAAAATAAGTTACACAGTAGGCTAAGTTATGGTTACTGCATCCTCTTTGTAGTGGCCTACTTAAGAAGTGGTAGTAGGCCTAACATAAAGAAAAGTTGGACAAATTATTTAGAGACACATCCACAAACTGGCATTGCTCAGTAGAAGCTTCTCAATCTGGTAGTGATAGTAGTCATAGTTGTAGTAGAAATAGATACTAGATATTCCAGATACTCAAAGTTGTTTAGCAATTTTGTGTATGGTTGAATGGAATGAATGGGGGTAGGATTTAGTATGTTTTAAATTCTTACTCCCTTTTGAACATGTCAGCACATTTTTGTCTTTTTCCTCTCCTCTCTCCTGCATTTTTATTGTTGTTTCATGTTTTGTTATTTATGTGTCATGTTCGAAACTTAAATACTCTATTCTAAGCCACCTGTGAAGCGAAAGCTGCCCTGCGGCAGACTGACAGAAGTGAGGCAGCAAAGCTGTGCCATTGGCCCCTCTGAATCCCCACCAACAGTCACTCACACACCACATTCATACAGGTGTCTTAAACACAAATGCACTAGACTCGAGCCACACCACCCTTGTTTACTCCACACCAAATATGGGATAAATACATGTTTTTTCAGCACCAGATAATGTTACAGTATTTGCAACATAACACATGGGAAAAGTCATTGTTTTACAACATCACATCATGATTTAGCCCCTGTAGTGTTGTCCCTGTCTGCTCCTCCAATAGAAAGTGTGTGATACTTAAGTCAGTGAATGGTGTGAGCAGGAGATGAGCATGCAGCCTGACATGACTTGGAGTTAAGAGAGTCTCACGATGTAAAAGACTCAACATCAACTACAGAGAGACGTGCACATTTAGTCCAGGTTGTAACTGTAACTATTGGATTGTGGTGAATTAAATTATAGATAGAAGAAGATAGAAGATAATTAGACATGGCATTCTATCAGAAATGTGCTGAAACTTGCACATTGTGGTTGTTGGAAGTAGTTGAGGTACTAGTACAGTACTATTTTTAATCAGATCAATTTGCAGTTCGAATTATTAATTGCCACCAGAGTTCAAAAGTTCAAAGTTAGCTTTATTGTCAGTTTCTTCACATGTATTAGACATACAAAGGAATCAAAATTACGTTTCTCTCTATCCTATGTACAGAGACACAACAAATAACATCATCTCTAACCACTACTGTAACCACAGATAAATAAATTAAGCTAATAACACTGTTGTACAGTATAGTGCAGTTAAGTCATATCAAGTATTAGCAGCAGAAATAAAAACAGCAGATGGTATACTGTAGTCCAGAGCACAAGACAGTTTCTTTCTTCTTTTCTTTGTGGAGTTCTGTTCTTGGGAAGACACAGATTCCTAGCTTCTTGGCAGCCTAGTGGTTAGAGAGGGGAAAGAGTTCAGCATCCTAACAGCCTAGTGGATGAAGCTGTTAGCGAGTCTGGTGATCAGGAACAGAGGCTCCTGTATCTCCTCCTGGAGGGCAGGAGGCTGAACAGATTGTGAGCGGGGTGACTTGCATCACTGACTGTTGTGAGCGCTTTGCGGGTGAGGTGGGTGGTGTATATGTCTTACAGGGAGGGGAGTGGTGCATCAGTGATCTTCTTGGCTTTGTTCACTATGTGCTGCAGGGCTCTGCTGTTGTGGTCAGTGCAACTTCTGTCCCACACAGTGATACATCTGGAAAGGATGCTGTCAGTGGTTCCTCTGCAGAATTTCATGGACTTGTTTCTATTTTTGATTGTGGAGTTCATTGAATCTGGAAAAACATTTTTCTTTGTATTGAACAGAAAAGTGATGCTGGAGGAGATGAGGTGGAAGTTCCTGTTGAAAATGAGGCATTCATGGATGATTTCTTTGCTCAGGTAAAAAAAAAATAATTTTTAAATAATAACAATACTTTTTTGTATAGCTCTATTCCCAAATTGTGTTTGCCTCCTTTATACCATCTGATTATCATACCGTCTTTCTTATTATACCATCGTTCGAGATTACAATATATGAAGACTTTTTCTTTTAGAAATTAACACTTCAGTGCATTGTAGGGTTGTCAGAAGTATCAAAAATCAAATACTAATCGACACTAAAACAATACTGAAACTAGATTCTCATTTGATATCGATACTGAAAAATGCCACATTCACAGAATAACCTTAGAATGAGCTGTATCAGAACAAGTTTAAGACACATAGACTACTATACACTTATGAACCACTTTGGAACCAACCTAAATGACTGAGGCATTACACAGGTATAAGGCTACATTCAGGTAACAGAAAGTACAATAGAAAATGAGATTCTGTTGTCTAAAGTAAGTGTTTTTTTTTTTATTTAGCACCGTGGTATTGGAATCAGCATTCAGCATTGTGTCTATTCCATAGAATAGAAAATGAGATTGAAATTATAATATCATGATGTTATTGCTTATTGATTGATCATATAAAAAAAAAAATTCTACTAAACTTTTTTAGGCTGACGATATTCGAATCAGTATTGAAAAGATGGAGGAGAGCATCACGGAAATCAAGAAAGTGTACTCCACCATTTTGTCAGCTCCAACTTCAGACCAGAGTAAGTGACAATTGTAAATATTGTCATAATAAAATAATTAAATTAATTAAATTAATGTCTGTTTATACCCCTGTGCTCTTTTTCCTCAGAAACACAAGACGATTTGGAAGCTCTGACAAACGAGATCAAGAAAGCAGCAAACAATGCCAGAAACAAACTCAAGAGTACGTATATTAGTACATTTATAAAAGACTAGGCATGAAAAAACAATAACTGAACAACACAGTGGTATAAAGGATTTTCTATGAGTTCTTTTTAAACATCCTGCACCTATAGCAGGAATTAAAATGTTTCTCTCTTTTTTTTCTTCTGTGTCCTTGGGCAAGACAGTTATGATAGTTTGAAGTGCCATGTTAATAATGTTCCCATTACATCAGCAAAGTTTTATGTACAATACAAACTGTAGTAACATAAATAGATAATATAATTAACATAAATAACATCTAAATATAGTGTATCAAGAAAAAAGTTACTTCTGTTTCTTCAGCCATTGAGCAGCAGCTGGCCTCCAACACAGATGAGAGAGCATCAGCTGACCTGAGGATACGCAAATCACAGGTTTGAGATATGTAAATACATTCTCTTTTCTTTTTTATTGTCATTAAAAGTAAACAGGCATTTGTTTTGTTCTTTTATCTAGCATGCAATCCTGGCAAAGAAGTTTGTGGAGGTAATGACAAAGTACAACGAAGCGCAGATGGATTTCAGAGACAAGAGCAAAGGAAGGATCGCCCGACAACTTGAAATCAGTGAGTTATCTACATCTAGCCCTTCTGCTACTCAAATCATATTTGGTGCATTTGCTGTACAAATACCAGTCCAATCAGCATGTATAGGAAGCAAAGTGTAGCCATGTGTGAACCATATTTGCTTTAGATAGGAGCTATGGCATTTGTTATGTGGACAGGATGTGGTGTTGTGTGTGCTCCTAAGGCCACATCTAAATAAAGCCACATCTTAACAACTAACACATCCCAACCCTGTTCATTAATGAACTATCAGAAAGTACAATTAGGTCAGTATCAGGGTTAACAATCAAAAAGTGATCTTTCTTCTTTTAGAAAGTACTGGTTCCAGCCAGCGATGTATTTGCCTAAATAGCCTAACAATGTATTGTATTGTGTTATACCTTCAAACTCAAAATTCAAACTTTTATACTTGAAATGAGCCTTTTAAACATGGAATGGGCTTACATAATAAAATTTTCATCCTAAAAAAAACATAGGTGGTTCATAGTAGTACAGTGATACAGAGTCTCCTAACCAAATGGTGTCTTTGCTTTCAGCGGGTAAAGCTACAACAGATGAGGAGCTGGAGGAGATGTTGGAAGGAGGAAACGCGGCTGTCTTCACTGCTGGGGTAAGATGCTACTCTGCTAAACATATGCTAACTTTGTGTTCTTTAATTGATTGGAGCAGTTGTAGAAAATAAAAATAGTGACTTTAGAGTACTATGGTAATCTGTTTAATAACACACACAAAAATTGTAAAATGTTCATGAATAAAAGAACAGATAAGTTATAGATTTTAAGTGATGGGTTGGGAAATGACTGAAATGAAATCAGATGGTGGACAAAGTATTGACGCCATGTTGTATGTTATTTTATGTTGTATTATATGTTATATTGTATATTCAGTAACCTCTTCATTCCTCAGATCATGGAGTCAAAGATAAACCAGCAGGCTCTAAACGAGATCGAGGCTCGTCACAAAGACATCATGAGACTGGAGAGCTCCATCAAAGAACTCCATGACATGTTCATGGATATTGCCATGTTAGTGGAGAATCAGGTACATCAGCACTGGCACTGCTGCTGTGCCTTTGGGAACTTCACCTTCCCTGTATCAATGTGTTAGTTGCGTTGGTTGTGTCATTTTAAAGCCTGCATAGCAGGACAGCACACATTTCCTATACATTATGATGATGTATATGTGTTGACTAAGTCCTCTCTCTTAATCAGAGAAGCCCTTGGTCAGTTTGTGCCAAAACAAACATGGTAGCTTACAAGTACAAGTTGGGTAATTTTCACATTATTGCACTCTATGGAGAAGACCCAATATGCACTGGATTTAGTTCTGTTATCTTCACTGTTGGGTCAGCTCTTGTTCACATACATCATTTATCATTCACCGAACCATGACCTACATGATCAGCTGACTGCTGCACATATTTTGATGAAAATAAACAGAGCTCTACATACGCACACACACTTTCTTCCCTAGTGCTATATGTGGCTTTCCGAACAACACACAGACAAATCCAGGCTCACCTGTGCAGAGGCGGGAGGAGACTTGTCGCTAATATTAAGTTGAACCAAATTAGCTCTTCAAATGAATGTATGTCATTCCTACAAATACAGGCCTACATGATCTGAACACTTTTTTACCAAACTGAATAAACTGGAATTGGCCATGAAAAAAAAACAAAAAACATAACAGTAGAGATAATGCAATATATCTCATCTCTCTATCTCTTTCTCACTCTCACAGTCTCTCTCTGCCCTGGACTGTCCATATTCAATTCAATTCAATGTTTCTTAAGAACAAGTAATATCCGGTTCATTCTATACTCTGCTTAATTATTTAGAAATAAAAATAAGAAAAACAAATCTTTTTTTCTCTCTCTCTCAGGGTGGGATGATCGAGAGGATTGAAAGTAACATGGACCAGTCCGTGGGGTTTGTAGAGAGGGCTGTGGCTGACACCAAAAAGGCAGCCAAGTTTCAGCAGGAAGCTCGAAGGGTAAGACGTTTATTTTTTATGACTATTAATTTTAATAATTTTAATCTAACATTTATTTTCATTTTATAATTTAATCCTTGTTTCTTTTTCAGAAACAAATGATGATTGCCTGCTGCTGTGTGATTCTGGCTCTTATTCTCGGTTCATTCCTCTACAGTTTTATCAAATAACTGAAAAAGGAAATGATTTTGATATTGACTTTTTTTTACTTAATTTATAACTTGTGGACGTTGTAGTGCCATTGGTTTGGATTTAGGTTTTGAATGGTTAAAAAATCTGATTATGGAAAAATAAATTGTTTTGTGTTAGACTGACTCTATGCAGGAGCGATTGTTAGACAGACTTAACATAGCTGTATACTAACAAATACAAAAATCTTAGTAACCACTTATACATGCATAACATATTTTTCCAGGACTGGAAAGCAATACTATGAGCTGAGGTAGCTGACTCACAAAATAAGACAACTAAGTTAGAATTAAAAGGTAGAAAAGATTTTTCTGATTTTGCATCTCTCTCTCTCTTTCTCTTTCTCCCTCTCTCTCTCTCTCTCTACACACACACACACATATATATATATATATATATATATATATATATATATATATATATATATATATATATATATCTTTTTTTTTTCTTTATTTGTATTTGTAATTAAGTTGTTTGTTTTTGCAATCTAATTTCTTACTTTTACCAAAATCAAATGGCTTTTTACTTTATTCAGTGGTAAACGACAATTCTTGAAACATGGGTTGCTAGGCCCATTATGTGAAACCAGTGCTTTGCATTTTAACAGAAGTCGTCCTACTGATTGTGACTTACCAGCTGTTACAATCTTGTCTCATTGTTTTCAAATACATTATGTGGCTTAGATTTTTACTGGCGTCATTGAGAATAAACTTATTTTTAATCAGCGATTCTGTGTTTACTCTTCTCGCTCGCCGTATATTTCTGACGGACAATCACCTGGCACCAATCACAAAAATACGCATTATTTTCTGACCAATCCACAGCAGCGTTTCCACAATGCACTTCCATTTACCGAGCGGCTTCTTCCTGTTTGAGGTGAAGGCTACAAAACGTGTCCCTGGGATGCGAGCTTTTAACAGCAAATATCCACGTCCCGAGTTGCGACAGATATTTGGAAACACTTGAATCCTTCGTAAGAGAGTGAGGCATCAACATCATGGGGGTAAGTTTCATAAAAGTAATTATTTTTCATTTATTTCATGTTATTAAGAGGGATGACTGGCATTTTAGTCAAGTGAATGCAGACGATGCGATACGCCGATGTGATTGGTTGTCACATTTGATTGACAGTCTCTTAAACCAACAAATATACGCTGTGCCGTTTTCTAGCCAATGAGATTGCTGTGGAGGTTTGGTCTGAGCTGTATTTTTCTCGATTGGCATGTTTTGCAGCCAATCTGCGCTCTATTCGCCTGATTGTGATTCGTCCACTGTGTTTGTGGGCGGGGCTTGATTAGTGTTTTGTGAGGGGAGGGAAAATGGCGGCTGATCTAACACTGCCCTGTATTAACTTCATATTACAGGATTATTAACTTAATTTTGATAAATATTCACATTTTAACGAAGCCTTGCGATATTTTAAGTGTTGTTTTATAGATACCGTTTATAATTTTTCGATATCCGTCTTGTTTTTGCTTACGGGACGCTGTTTTTTGTGCCAACGATAGCTGGGCACATCTTGTTCAAGGCAATGAACAAAGCTGGAGTTACAGAGTATTGATTTTTGATGAGCACTAACTTACACTTAATATGTAGCTTCGGTATTTTTACTTTCACATCTATGGGAATTTATAGGGGATTATCAGGAATAATTGCGAGGCATGTGACATTACATGTAATAAGCTGAAACTCCCATGGTAAAAGTGCATTGGATGCCTTTATTTTTTATGTGAAAAATGGATGACAAACCACGTTACAGCAAACGCCTGGTAAGTAGAGGAAAGTAGTAAATTAAGTCGTCCTTAATTTGCCGTTGCTTATTTGTTATCTGAAAACAATTGCTTTATGTTTTCTATATGGTAATGGCTATAAAAAGTAGGTGTGTTCCAGCAGAGGCATTTGTGGTGCAAGACAATTTCTTGAAAATGACAAGAAAAATGGGCATTAAACTCATATACAATTTACAACCCATTGCATTTTCACAGATTGTCGTATAAGCTCTATTGTATTATATATGCTGTTTACTGTATTGGTTTCCTTGACTCTCTTCCCTGCAGCGGACTGGCACTCGGCGGAGATACCATGATGACGGCATCTCGGACGAAGAGATTGATGGACGAAGGACGTTTGATCTGGAAGAAAAAGTCCACAGTCAAAGGTTCAGCTCGGACCGCGTTGTTCGAATGCAGGGAAAAGGTAAGAGTGTCTTCTTCTCTTACTTTTTTACAGTACACTTTGAACATTTTTTAAAGAACTATATTACACACAATTGCCTCTTGTGAGCTTTTAGCTATGTTAGTTGTGTTTCATACGCACATGTGAGTAACCTTTAATTATTAATCTGTCTACATCACCAAAACTCAAAATGCTCTGTTCCACCTTGTGTTGACATCAGGCAATAACTAAGAGCTCCTTTTACGTTTTTGTTGGGATTATTAATTCCAGGGCTAAAATTATCCAAATTATTTTAATGAAGGTGTATGGAGTTTAAAAACACAGTAGAGTACTTCCAGTATTACTACATGAGGTACAACAGAGCGTTTTCTGTTAGAGTGAAGAACTTGGGAATGAAACAAAACTCAACTCCGGGTTTGTTTGTGATGAGGAAAGAACATTATAACATAGATTAGAAAATAGAATAATGTATTCCCTTTAAAATATAAACTTGGCCTTTCAACAAAGCACAATGAAATCGAATCGATTATCAATATGAAGAAATAAAAATGAAGTAATAACAACACATCAAGGATTAAAACTTTTCATAAAACCCATATCCATTTTCACTAGCTCTTGTCAAAACAAAACCAGCTTTCTATCCTGAGACTGTGGCCCTCAAAAAATATCTTGTTCCTTTTTAGATTTTACATATGAGTATGTCCAGCGTGGAGGGTTAAGGGATCCTATCATCTTTGAAAGGCCCGATGGACTGGGAATCAAGTGAGTAAAATACTCTTTATTTTAAATATATAACATAACATTGATACTCAATAATGCCATTTTGTTCATAGGATGCCAGAGCCTGATTTCAGTGTCAGTGATGTCAAGTTGTTTGTTGGTAGGACATACATCTTTCTAATACTACATTTTTACAAGCTGTGGATATTTCTGGTACTTGATTGTTTTTTCATATTGGAAAAAACAGATGTAACAAAGCATAAATTTGTGTTAAAAATATGAATGAAAAATAATCCACACTTTCAGTGAAGCCAGAGTTTATTTTGACAGAACGTAGCTGTCACAATAACTACAATAATATTGTATAACAACACAAATATCAAAATATATACATTAACACAGTCTTTATACAATACTTACATTTTGTTTCAAACATGTGGTGTTGTAGCCCAAGGTCCTGTACCTGAGCCACTGTGGTGTATGGTTTTCCTAAGGTGTGTTCCTGCCCAAAGAAGTTCAATACTCCATTCTTAAGAATGACAATATCTTTTATAATAATATTTGCCATACTGTCCATTTAGACACTGTCAAAAGACAGTACCTCCACTCTCTGTAACACCTGATCCTACTGACTAGCCTTCTTAATGGGAGGTCTCTTTAAGAGTGAACCACAATGCCACATAATGGTAGCAGGTGAATATGGTGGCTACAATCAGGAAATTAAATGCAGGAGTTTTGAAAACAAGAATAATTTTTAGAATGTTTTTGTGAATCCACCGACTATTATTTTTTTCTCAAACTGTGGCTGTGTTAGCTTAATTATATTTTAATTTGTTCCCCTCTCAGGCAGCAGGCGCATGATTGACGTGATGGATGTGAGCACTCAGAAAGGTACAGAGATGTCCATGGCTCAGTGGACGCGCTACTATGAAACTCCTCCATCGCAAAGAGAAAAACTTTACAATGTGATCAGTCTTGAGTTCAGCCACACCAAACTAGAGAACCTCGTCAAAAGACCCACTACTGTAAGTACAATTCCATTGTGGGTTTATAAACATTGTTTAATAGATATCTAGAGCATATCTGAAGTTGAGTGTTGATTTGCACCCATGCGAATTGTGGCCAGCAATCACAGGGTCACTCATTTAATCATTGCATTTATATAGCGCCTTTCAAGATACCCAAAGCACTTTACAGAACATTATTCATTCACTCTACACTCAGTGGTGGTAAGCTACTATTGTAGCCACAGCTGCCCTGGGGCAGACTGATGGAAGCAAGGCTGCAAATTTGTGCCATCAGCCCCTCCGACCACCACCAACACTCACACACACTCCACTTTCATACTAGGCAATGAAGGTCTCCAATCCATGTACTACCCAGGCCCGGCCTTGCTTAGCTTCTGAGATCTGATGGGATCAGCCATTGACAAGCCGGTATGGCATGGTAATAACATGGGGGTTTAGAATGACATAATTAAAAGTATTATATCTTTGAAAAAGTCCTCAATATTTTGCATTTAACACCAAGCATTGAGAAATAAGTTGGTTAATATGTTATTTTTTGCATGAACAGGTTGATCAGATTGACTGGGTGGACAACATGTGGCCGCGTCATTTGAAAGAAAGACAAAGAGATGCTACAAATTCAATTAATGATATGCAATATCCCAAAGTACAGAAGTAAGTTATACACCCATTTATCATGTATTTGGTTGACTGCACTTTTAAATATAATATCCATGTAATGGTGATGTATTCATGATTTGTAATCTCTCTCTGTAGATATTGTCTGATGAGCGTTGAAGGCTGCTACACAGATTTTCACATTGACTTTGGAGGAACTTCAGTCTGGTACCACATTCTCAGAGGAAGCAAGGTAAATAATGGATGCAAACTGTTAATTGCAGAAATGATCAGAATCAATGAGAATCAATCGCATTAATGTTGATTTTAATATGTAAAGGTTTAGCTGTATCCAAGCCCATTACAAAACCACTATGACTTCTTAATATCTTCCTAACACAAATGACTATTGCTGCTAAAGACTTAAATGACTATGTACAATATTTACTATACTATTTAACTCTTGCATAATAAAAGCTCTTGTAAAGGGTAGTTAGTGGTGAACTAACTGATGGCGGTCTGCTACCTGTTTTTCTCCATGGATATTATTGCTTTAATTGTAATGTTCCACAGTAAACCATTAAATGTATCTCAAAATATGTAGATACTACAACCAGGCCAAATTACAGGTCAGATCTGTGGAGAAGTAAACCCATTCTCAGAAAGAATGCATGAATGTTTTGCAGCTATAAAACACTAATTGAATAAATGGAAGATAGATGAGTTTAAAGCCAAAGTGAATCAATCCAGGAAAAGCTATAATATCTGCATGGAGAAAAGCAGGTCCAGAAATTAAGTAGTGATCCTTTATTGTTGGTCTCACTTTGTGTCAGGTGTTTTGGTTGATTCCTCCGACACCTCAGAACCTGGAGCTGTACGAGAACTGGGTGCTCTCAGGGAAACAGGGTGATGTGTTTTTGGGAGACAGAGCCACAGACTGTCAGAGGATCGAACTCAAGCAGGGCTACACTTTCTTCATACCATCAGGTGAATAGTGACACACAATTACAGTCCACATACTCTTATCTTAATGGTCAGAGGCCCCAAAGGGACAGGTATTAAGAAATATTGTGGAAATTGTGTCATAGTAATCCCACAAATATGATGGGAAATTAATAGGATCACAAAAATAGTGCAACTGTTGTTAATTTGTTTGAACCTAATGATATATGAATATTAATACTAGTAAATGTAATCAAGTGATGCATTTGTGGATGCAGCAGTTTAATATTTAGGGGGGTGGGTCTGTCCTAGTCATGTCTAATAATAATAATTGTCCAGGTTGGATCCATGCGGTGTATACTCCAATGGACTCAATGGTTTTTGGGGGAAACTTTCTCCACAGCTTCAACATTCCAACTCAACTCAACATCTGTAACATAGAGGACCGTACACGGGTCAGTAATAACTGTTTTCCCTCCTCATTTACCCACTCACATTTGTTTGTACATGTTTGAGTGATCTTTATTCTCTTGTAATCGAGAGACCATTGTTCCCAAAATTCCCCCTGAATTATAACCACAAGCATAATATGTCTTCTTTAATTCTTCTTTAATGCCTATTTTTTAAGGTGCCGGTGAAGTTCCGGTTCCCGTTTTATTACGAGATGTGCTGGTATGTCCTGGAGAGATACGTCTTCAGTTTGACCAAAACGTCATATCTGACTCCAGAGTTTCAGAAGCACTCCTTAGGCATTGGTACGTCACATACATAAAATATATAGGGGTGTCTCAGTAAATTACAAGAGTTATGGATGCATATTTGGTTCTTTTTATGCACTCCACATGTGAAACTAAAATGCAGGTGCTCCCCTTGTTACTGTAGAGGTGAAATGTAGAATTGTCCTATTGTTTGTTGAGTTTTGATGTAGTACGTTAAGTTCTTGTAATGGAAATGATTGGGTTAAGCTTTTGTCCATTTTCATTTTGGAAATTTCATGGCAAAGTATAATGTATTCAATAGGAAAATTGGTCTCTGTCTCTGAATTACTTTGTGCTATTGTGAAATGTTCTATATTTGTGCTAAATTTCACTTGCCACATGCCCCTCGTCTGGGAGTATGGCATCATAAAATTCTCGAAACTGAAAACCAGCAATAGTTAAAGAGAGGATTAGGTAGTGATCGACAAACATCACCTTTCCAGAATGCTACTGGAATATGGTGTCTAAGTTTAGTTCAAACTTTATTTTTTAATATAAACTGAACTTACAAAATGTGTTTTACTGTTAGTATAATGTCTTCCATGATTTCATTGCACGCATATGACCAAAGTAGCTGCTAAAGGGAAAAAAGGTAATTGAACAAAAACATTTATTTTAGTGTTAGTAGTAGTTCTTGCATTGTACCTTTTCTTTGCCTGTAAAAACTTTCTGTAAAAATTCATGCTGCACTTGTTATTCTTCTGTAGGTCTAAAGAAGCCTGCAGATGCTGTTGACGACCCCAAAGCTTCGGACTCGAGTGAAGGCGAGCAGCGTTCGGATAAGGTGAAGATCTATCTGACTCCATTTGAGCTGGAGGGGCTTTGGAATCTGCTCGGAAAACTGGAGTCTCTGCCCACCAGCAAGAAGTGCGTACCATCAGGCATCCACAACGCACCTGCCCTCATGACGCACCTCAAGGTAAATATGTATGTTTATATATCTGTTTACCAATACAGCGCAGCAGATGTAAGTATATGGACCATATACTCATCCTCATTTGAAATGAGTCGTAATGGAATAATAGGAATGACCATACCCAAAAATCACACTATGATTATGCCATGGTCTGCTGCAACAAACCATTATTTTAGTAGTTGACTAGTCAAATGATTATTGCGAAAGTACATTTTCAAGACACATTTTAACCAAATCAAGATTAAACTATGGTAACTGAAGACTTCTAAACAGAGAATGTTCACAAATAATGAAGAGATGAAAATCTGAAATTGTTTTTTCTTTTCATGACATTTTGATTAGAGCCCGACCGATATATCGGTTGGCCGATATTATTAGCCGATATGGGTACCTGGAAGCATATCGGCTATCGGCCAATATGTTTGCTGATGTGGGCGTTATACCTCGTTATAAAGCTTAGACTCTCTACATTATGTCCATTTAATCCAATTTACAGACAGATAAATGTTCTAATATGTGGCTCTGCATCAGTATTTATCTCTGGAGTCATTTGTCTGTGTGTGTCCCTACTGCCCCTGAACACACCCCCAGAGTCACGTCACTAACGTGCGCTTGTTTACACCCGCAGCCATAGATCCATGTGCGCAACACTGAGATTATATTCTTTTTACGGACAATTGGTTTGAGTCAGGATTAAAAGGACATTTATTAGTGTAGACTTGTGATGTGAGGAGGAGCCTGTGTGAGCAGTGAGTGTTGGAAATATGTCGACTTTATTGTTAGTATTGTTACCTACATCTGAAAAGACGAGTCTCACTGTCTATGCTTGTAGTATGAAGTGTACGTCATATCCTTAATTAGCCCATTTGACCTTTTTTTTATGTTCTGAAGGTTAAGGTTGTGTCGGGTTATTGATAGCCTAAGGTTTACGAGGCACATATTATATGCAGTTTATTTTATTATTTCTAATTTATTTCAGTTGTTTGCCAACACATAAGTGGCTATAGGGCCATATTTATTTAGTTATGCATATTTTTTCTTGCCTATTTCAATTGGAAAATAAAGAGGGCATTGCCTGATTTCAATAAAGGTTCATCTGGATGAGATGATCTGTCTATTTTGTTTCGATATCAGTTATATTTTAAAACACGCAGACATTATAGCGTAGACTGCCACTCGGGGTATTTAAAACTTAAAGAAAGACCGATGGAGTGAGGCTATGACTTTGAAATAACATCGGGCAATGGCAGAATGTTCAGAATGTAACAACATCCAACACGAAGGCAAGAAGGTTCAAAAATAGCCTAGTTGGAAAACGTTGTCAATTAGCTGTGCAAGAAAACCAGGTAAGTTTGGGGTTGTTACGGACAATTAAGAATGCGAACATACACGCTGAGCGAATTTTGGAATGAATGAGCTATAGAGTTTGCATTTTTATCGAGGCTCCTTAGTTTGTTTGCTGTATGATTGTTCTAAACTAAATCTAAAATCAATTGGCGGATGGCGGGCAGGTGCGGTTTTGAAAACCATCGGTGCAAAATGGACAGCGGGCGGATGATGAGTTTTGTGTCGCGGTTGCGGATGAAAAAATAGCCCATCCGCGCATCTCTAATATATATGCTACTGGACCAGCACTGATATGTAAATGAGCTGTGACATTTATGCGTATAATTAATTACCGCAGCGCGCAGCATTTACAGCTAAAGGCTAATAGCAGTAGTTTACTTTAGCTAGTAGTGATGGGTTAGTCATGAACGAAGCGGCTCTTGGAGCCGGCTCTTTGAAGCGAACAATGGGAGCCTGCTCCTTATTGGGAGCTGTGTTTTCTCTTTCTCTCTCTTTTATTATCTTCACTCCGCATGCAGACCCGTGGTAGTTTGACAGCGGCAGCGGCTGAAAACGAAACTTTCAGACATATGCATGTGCATAGGATAAAAAAAAAAAAAATGCATATTTGGTTGTAGTTCAGCATCAAATAGAGAAACCAGGACTAATCTTGGGCTCAAGAGAGGGAGAGAGATAGAAACCGAGTCCCAACACTCAGTCCTGGTTCAGTTCTGGTTTAGTCCTGTTTTACACATGGCTTAGATCTGTTTTAGTCCTGTTTTAGTCCTGTTTTAGTCCTGTTTTAGTCCTGTTTTAGTCCTGCTTTAGACCTGCTTTAGACCTGCTTTAGACCTGCTTTAGACCTGCTTTAGACCTGCTTTAGACCTGGCTTTAGTCCTGCTTGCAACAAAACAATCTGAAGAGCCGCTTGGGACCCGAAAGGGCCAGCTGCTTTTAGTGAGCTGAGCCAAAAGAGGCAGTTCTCTTAAAAGAACTGGAATACCCATCACTAGTAGCTAGAATGTGATGCTATTAGGCTGACCTACTGTCTGTAAATATGACGCAAAGAGTCAGAATAACAGTAAATGTTGCCTAAATAAACCCAATTTAAAATCCCCTAGAGCCAAATGTAAGTTTTTTAAACAATTCAAGATTTACAGTGAATTTTTACATCACTAAATATATTGGCGATTATATCGGCTATCGGCAGCTCGATCTTCCATTTTATTGGTATCATATCAGCCACAACAAAACCCATATCGGTCAGGCCCTAATTTTGATTTAATAATGTCTTTTTTATGAAAAAGTATTTTCATGGATTTTTTTCATGGATGGAGTCTATATAGTCCAAATAACTATATAAAAATATGATTTTTTTCATATTTCTTATAGTTAATTTGTCACGACTAGTCAATTACCATTGCAGCATTGGTCTATATTTCTATCATGCATCAGTGTCCAGAGACCAGGGGAAACACAGATCAATTATTAGGGCAAAACAAGTAGCCTACAGTGATGAGGTATAGTAGGATACATGACTAGGGTTGCCATACATGAATTGAAAAAGACTATTCTGTATTGAATTATGTAATTTTATTTGTGATTTCTGTTATTGTATTTGTACATTGATAATTTGATGCATCTGTCTATTTGTTTTAACAACACTTAAATACTCAAATTAAATATAAATAAAATTAAAGATAGGAACAAAAAATAGGAAGAACAACAGAGCAAGACCAGAGACACATTAGAGAATAAAGGTGCTGCTGGACAGTTAACAAAAAATAATAAATAGACCATCCCTTCCTGGTTATTTACATATGTGGCATGATGGGTGTATGATCAACAAAAATAATCTATTAATCAATTCAAAGCCATGTAGGCACACTGCTTTTTCCACAGGCTCAGTGCAATGAATGAGCTCTGCCCATTTTTCTTGTCTTGGTTTAGGGGTGGAAAAATTATATCTCACCTGTCTTATTGCCTAGTTCACAAATTGGATTTAATCATGTCAGATGTAAATGTATTTGTTTCCTCCTTGTCATTCAAATACAGGCTCTGCTCAAAGAACATGCCAATGATGTTCCCAAACTCTCGTACACTGGTAAACCTATTATCAAGTGGCCAAAGAGGGTAAGAAACGGTCACGTATTATTCCTTTTAAGAACCACATGTTATCTATGTGTGCTGTCAGTTATAGTGTTTTGTATAATATTTATGTTTTGTCTCTCTTTAGCCCTCGTGGTACCAGCCTCCCCCTCCTCCCCCACCTCCCCCTCGCCCCAAACTGGCTACGACCCCCATCGTCCCTCGGCCACAGAAACCCTCTTCATCTATGTCTGTGCTCAGGAGACGCAGGGTCAGGTATGAGGAAAAATAATGCAATTTTTTTGTTGAACCCAAATGGCGTGAAAGCATGCCACATGAACCGTTAAATGCAAGAGCATAGCAACTTGGACTGTTTGCCTCCATGGAGAAAGATATGTTTCAAATCAAGATAATGCTAAATACAAACACATATCAATACATAAAGTCAAGATATATATTACTATCTACTTCGGGTCAAAAGCCAAGTACACAAGCAGAAGAGAAGACAGAAGTCTAGATTTTGTCTGAGGGGTCAAAGGTGCATGTTGGATTTCAGGTGGTCTAGAAATGGTCTGATGTACCATAATAAGATATAAAAATGCCACTTGGGAAGTATTTCTGTGTAAAATGTGTTGTATGTGTTTTAGGTGTAAGCGCTGTGAGGCCTGTGTGAGGACTGAGTGTGGAGAGTGTAACTTCTGCAGAGACATGAAGAAGTTTGGGGGTCCAGGAAAACTCAAACAAACCTGTGTGCTACGCCAGTGTCTCTCTGTGAGTCTTGACTATTATAGTTGAGAAAAGAGTAAACTAAACTAGTACTTATTCGTGATCTAAGACAAATTTAGCATAGCACTAAAGCATTGTGATTTTAATGCATTTTTCATGTTCGGCAAATAAACTTGCCTTGTCTCTGATACTGATACTGGTTTGTCTCTTCAGCCTGGCCTGCCTCTGTCTGCTGTGTGTGACATCTGCAAAGACCCAAACCAAGAGGAAGATGGACTCGCACTGATGGAGTGTTCAAATTGTGGACAAATTGTGCATCCCTCTTGTTTACGGGTAAGACTGTTTTGTGTTTGTGGAATATTTTTTAATTTTATAACCTAGTCTGACTCAAAAATGCTATTTCTTGTTGTAGGTGCCTGGGGAAGGAGTGATCAATAAAGACCTGCCGAGCTGCTGGGAGTGTCCCAAATGTGTCCAAGGCCTCACCGAACAAGAGGTGAGAGGGTATGGGTTGAGCAGTAGTATTGTAACATTTAATGTGTAGACACACAGTTCTTTTCCAAATTGAGCAAGGATATTTTTGTATTTGTAGAGTCGGCAAACAAATCATATAACTTTTTTTTTTTTAATCCCTGTGGGATAATTTAAGCTCACTGAGCTCATATTTTTTCCTTTTATAAGATAGGAAAATCAGGTTGAGGGTCTCCTCTTTTCAACTAAACCCCAACACGTTTACTATCTCTCCTTTTCATTTTTACATTGCTTTTGCTTCTTTCTTCTTTCACTGTCATTATTTTGCGTCAGTCATCAGGCAGTGATGGCGCCCACCAGCAGCACCTAATGGTGCTGAGGCTGGGTACCTCTGGGGGGGCTGCAGGGCACTCCTACTCTGGGTTTCTTCTGCTGGTGGCCCCTCCGCTCTCTCAGCCACTCGGCTCGAGACTGGTGAGAGTGGTTTCCTGCTCTCAGTTCACCTTTCATCGCTATTTCATTTTTTTAGTCTTTTTCTGTTTCTAAAGGAAGGAGACAGCTTTTGCCCCCAAACATTTATGGGCTGAACGTGTATTAGATCAGCATTTTTATATCTTTTTCATATTCTCTAACTTGATTATTCTGAAGAGACACAACTTTTCTATTCCTGGTTCAAAATTACTTTCTTAAGTACTGTACTGGATTGGTGCCTCTTCTTAGATGTTTTTTATGTTTCAGATCAATTCCATCTGCTGCTTTTTACTGACTCTGTGCTTATTTTGAACAAAGATACAAATTCACTGTTTGCAGGCAATCCATTTTAAAGCATAAGCAGTCTGAATATGAGGTCATTTGACTTATTTTTTATAGTTGTTGTACATGAGAATAAGGTATAATAGCTTGGTTAATTGTATTTTCACACCAACATTGCTTGAAGAATAAGAAATGATATTTGGTACCTCTTAATTTTTTCTTATTTTTGTCGAAAAGTTTGTGGAAAACCTACATTTTCTTTCAGAATTTATCTTATGATGAGAAAATAATTAATTTGCCCATTGCTGTGTATTTGACTGACTTTTAGAGTAACATCTGTCTTGTTGATTGAATACAATGAAAGTGGGTCATGTTTGTTCTAATAAACAGACGATTTTGTTTTTTTTAATTGTAATTTAAAGATTTTAATAGTAAATAAAAAGATCATAAAGCTTCTTAAATATGTACAATATACATATTTAAGCTTTACACTTGTTATATATTAAATAGTTGTATATTAATTGTTATATATTATATAACCATTTGTTTTTTTCCCAGGCAAAGGAAAGGGGAGATGGCCTTCCAGCAGTGAGTATCCATTCATTATCACATATTGCTCAGTATAGTTTTCTTCTTGTCCTGTATACATAATGTAATAGTAATAATGTGCTGTAATATTTTAGAAGCGTAAATCGTCCTCTCTCCTGGACGCTCGAATGGCTAAGATCTACCGTCAGCACAGACACAGCAAAGATGGAGACGACTCGGGCAGTGAGGACGAAGATGATGAAGGTACTTTTGCCTTCTTCAAAGCTATAATTTGAGTTTGCCTATGGTTTCACTTGTTACCATGGGTTTGCCTCTGCTAATAAGTGTATTTTTACAGAGTTTTGCCACTTGAAAGTAGAGGTGGGAGGTATATTGAAAAATTATCATCAAATTTTTATTTGCAATATTATGCAAGTGTAGTGTTTATAGTTAAAACTATTAAATATGATCTCAAAAACCGATAGAAATGTCTAGTGTAATCTACTTAGCAAGGGTATATATTTCTACCCTCTGGTAGTCAGTTCACTTGAACCTCAGTCAAGACATTTCACATTTTAGCACATTTAGATGCTTTGTTAAAATATCGCCTGTTTAAACAGCCCTTTGCACAACACACACTTCTACCCACAAATCTTATAATTTATAAAGCAGCATGAGTTTGATCATTCTGATTAAATTTTCACTATTTCATGCTGAACATTTCATCTCCACAGGTTCTCGAGGCAGAAAGCTCCATGGCCGCAGCAGTGGGACGTCCCGCAGAGGCTTGAGCTCAAGTCGAAGGGGCTTGCTGCGTGGGGGGCACAGGGGTAACCGAGGGGCCCTGTCTGCTCGGAGGGGGGCACAAGGACTGAGGGAGGGCAGCAAACGCGGGAGAGGTGTGAGGCTCAGGGGAGGGTCCAGAGTGCAGCGCAGGGGGGATGACTCAGAGGAGAGCGAGGATGACGATGAAGATGAGGACGATGAAGACGAGGATGATGAAGATGATGAAGACGAGGAAGACAGCGAGGAAGGAGAGAAACCACGAGCGAGACAGAAACGCAGGAGAAGACGCACTGAGGAGGACGAGGTGAGGGACTATTTTGCTAAGAAAAAGTTCATGGAGCCCAAAAAACTCAAAATGTTAGAGTTTCAAGACACTATGGAGGCTAGCCAGTCATTACTGTACATAAAGTTTTTGATTTTTGAATAAAATTATAGGTCTTATGTTACCACATAATTAATTAGAGTTTGAAATTTTGGCTAATCAGGGGACTAAACTGTTAATTGATTAAAAGTTTGTTTTGGTTTGTTTTTTTTTGTTCATGAAATTAAGATCAAATATGTTATGACCCGAAGGGCAACATATTTAAAAGTACACAGGACTCAAGTTAGCTTTTAGTTTCTTTTATTTGTGATCTTATTTTCTAGTTTGTTCTTAATTGTACGATTTTAAAGAAATTTTAAAACCCTCCCGTGCCCCCCCAAAAAATAATGAAAAGTAAAAAGTAAAAGTAAATAAACGGGTGGAACTGGTGAGCCGGCCAAACAGAACAAAAATGTGCAACACCGGGCCAACCCCATACAGGGCTGTAGAAGCTGGTGCCAGCACCCGTAACTAAAGACAAGAAAAAAAAAACAACAAACCTGAACCCAAATGAAAAGTGAAAACGGGACAGTCGGTCCCACCCGGTCAAAACAAAAGGCTAATGCTTAACGAAGGCTACATGGCATCCCACCCTGCACCTGCCTGACGGGCGAGGCTACCCTCAGGGTGCACGCACAGAGTCTGAGTGTGCAAGGTGAGTGGGGCTGGGCAGAGCAGGGCGCACAGAGTGGAGGAGCAGAGCAGAGAGAGTGCGCCATGGGCAGACAGCAAGTATTTATAGGCTCTGCACAGCCACGCAACAATAAACCATAAAAAGAAGTTATGCAAAAAAATACCAATTACAAAACTTACTACAAAAGGGAAAACAAAAACATCTAATGACCCAAATAAATACGCCCACACGTAACAAAGCCATATTTATTGGTTTTAAATAGAAAAAATATTCTATGTAAAATCATAACTGATCAATAGAAGAAGATATTTCCAGCCGTATTCTATTACTAGAATAGATCCAGGTACCCTTGATCGCTCATTGACCTCACAGAATATTATCTCTTCTCCAGGATGAGGACAGTGAGGGTGCAGATCTGGATGCAGAGGATGAAGATCTGGATTCTATGGAGGAAGAGGAGGAGGAAGGGCAATGGGACTCGGACCCAGAGCCTCCAGTTTTACTCATGTCTGACTTTAACGATGAGCTGTTGAGTGGAGCCTGCCTCAGTGTTACCCTGCAGACTCCACACAGAGGAAAGAAGCAGAGCAGTGAGTAGCAGAAGTCTTGTTACAGGTGCACTATGTAACTTTTTCTGGAGCGGTCATCTGCTTGTCTGCTTTTCTTTACCTTTACTAGCCATTGGACTGCATGCCCTACGGTGCAGCTCCACTCCGGTGGTATTCAGAATAAGTCAAAGTGAGGAGGGTAGCTTAGACCACACACTATGCACTAGTCTGGTGGTGGCGAAGGAGGCGGCTCTTGGATACCAAAGCTAATCACCTTTTTCCTTAATTAATAAATAGGTATCGTGTGAACATGTATACACTAATATTTTGTTGGACCCCATTTAGCTTTGATTGTGGTACACGTTCATAGCATCTTTTTCTTTTTTTTATGATTTTTTTTATTTTACCATGTGGTCTTATTCAAGTTCTGATGATAAAGATTAAGATCATTTAAGTACAAGTACATGCTCAAGGGGGTATCCATTTTCATTAATAGTATAGTATTTTAGTATAAAAATTATGCCTCATACTCCCTGAACTAGTCTCTTACTGTTAGCGCTCAATGATTCTTGACATTGTCATTTTGGAATATGCCACTGGCCATCAAAGAAGACAAATTCACTGATAGAATTCTTTGTCATTCAATATTGAGGTAGACATTTCTGAGCTCCTGGACGACATTAAAAGATATATTGCTTAGATATTTTTTTCTGATGTTGTAAAATCCCCATGAGATACTGTAATATATAGTGGTAGGTGGATGAAATTTATTAGATAAACATATTTTTTGACAGGTTTGATTGTCCCAAAGTTGGAGGCCCGGTCGAGTGGACAGGGACACAGAAAAACGCCAAAGTCATTGAAAAAGTCAGACACCACAGACACCCCCAAAGGACCAGGAAGGTACTGCAAATACAAATCACAAGTTTTAACATATATACTATTGTTTTACTCACTATTTGTATTTTATTTGTGTTATTTTTCTAGGCCTCGTGTAGGATCCAAACGTGACACTAAAGACCACCCCTCTTCCTCTGATGAGGAGTCTGCTGCTGCTGCCGCAGCCGCTGCTCTGTCCATGTCTCCTCCGTCACTTCTGTCCTTACCTTCCTTTAAGGACATAGGAAATGAGAAAGGAGGAGAGAAGGAGCTGTGGGTCTCAGTGTTCAAGTATCTGAGCAGAGCCGAACTCCTGAGCTGTATGTTGGTCTGCAAGGCCTGGTACAAGTGGTACGTCAAACTATGTCTCACCTTTTTCTGCGAATTTACATTGAAGAAATTAAGAGTCATTTTTTTCTGTACTAAATATTTATTTTAAAACTTTATATCTGTTCCAGTTAAAGTTATGTATAATGAAGTTGCTCAACAAAATTTGACAAACTAAGGAATAAAATGAGATCAAACCAGAGCCAAACACATAAACTGTAGCTTTGTCTTGTAATATTTCTAATATAAATTTAACTGTACTATTTTAGAGTGTTGAAAGGGGGCTCAAAATGTATTATTGTTCTTTTTAAACCCGTGGTTTACAGCACTAAATTTAAAATATGTTAACTGTACCAGGGTTTCTCAAATTGTGTTGTGTACTGGAGATATGTTGGACCTTCTACAGTTAGAATATTTTTCAAATTTTAGAGACAGTCTTATTACACTTTCACCACTAAACATTATATCTAGGTAACAATAATGGCATTACAAGAACTAAACCAGGACCAAAGTAGGGTTCAGTCAAATAAAACAAAACACTTGGATTGTACCTGACTATTGCCTAGATTTTCATAGAATCCACCTCCTGTTTGTTTAGGAGCTGTGACAAGCGTCTCTGGACTCATATGGACATCAGCCGCTGCAGTGCACTCAGTAATCAGGCCTTAGCCGGGATCGTAAAGAGACAACCCACTGCTCTGGACCTGTCGTGGACTCCTGTGGCCAAAAGACAACTCAATTGCCTCCTCACCAGGCTCCCAGGTAACCATCATATTAGTTATCGCAAAATCGCTTACAATCTGTATACAACTTGCAGTACCAAGTTAAGTCATTTTCATCATATGCTTGTAATAGCCAGGAGGAGGGCACTGCACAAAATGTGACTATAGCTCCTTTATAGATTAGTTGTAAAATAGAGTTGTGTCTTTTTATTATTTTTGCTTATTATAGGTTTATCATGCAGAGCAGTGCATTAAAACCAGTAACTGAGGTTGTAATCACAAATCACATGTTCTGGGGAAAAAAAAATAAAAAATCTGTCCTATATATCGGCCCAAGCATAGCATTAGAGCTTGTTGACCATTGGCTGGTTTGAAGTATCGGTACCTCCATTGGCTATGAACCCATATCTCTTTTTATTTTATTATCTGATAAAAAAGAATTCAGTATACAACTTAAACGATTCTTCCCTCCTGTCTGGCCCTCTCTTGCACCTTAGGCCTCCGTGAACTGAGTGTAGCCGGTCTGTCGTGGTCCTGTCTCTCTGCTCTTGTCTGCCCCTCTCTGCCCTGTCTGCGGCTGCTCGACCTGCGCTGGTGTGAGGGGCTCAAAGACCCTCAGTTCAAAGAAATCATCCTGCCTCCAGGTTCGAATCTGCATCTTAATGTGTTTACAATGATTTTAATTTTATAACTTTTTCCCCAGAATTGATAGGAGTACTTCAAATGTTTGGTTTTATTTGTGTACATGTAAATATGATGTGAATGAAAGTGAATTAAGCCTTTCATTCACGTCATGTTTCTTAATACATGTACCACTAAAATCTGATGCACCTCATTTGTTCACATTCACATCCAGAAGCATTGACAAAAAGACAGAAATATGAACTGACAATGTATTTCAGAACATGTTTGTACAGTACAATTTTTATTGTGGAGGAAATATGGTACTTAAAAATTGCAGCCTGTGAGATTTGTTAATGGGTTCATTAAAATATAGATTTTGAATTAATTGCGATTAATCTTAGACAGACTTTATTCATCCACAAGGCAAATTACTTGGACCATCTTGCATAATAATAATAAAAATAATCTTCCATTCCTACTCCACCCCACATGCCTTTTACTAATAGAGGATAGCTGTGGACCTCTCTGTTGAAATGATTGAATCTTGATCACTATTAAAATTCAATTAATTGCACAGCCCTATGTGAATGTCTCTCTCCTCTTTGCTTAGGTCTGGAGTCTTCTCGCAGCCGACTGAGGAACCTGCTGGAGCTGCGTGTCTCTGGTCTGGAGATCTCAGACTCAACGCTGAGGCTGGTTCAGAGGCACATGCCACAGCTGCAGAGACTGGACCTGGCTCACTGCAAAGATGTCACTGATTCCTCCATCGCCATGTTAGCTGCCTCTGGCACACACACACGCCACAATCTCTCCGAGCTCACTCTCTCAGGTCAGTGTGAAGTAATGATGAGCCAATATTGGTTATGAACCAGGGCAAGGAGTACTGGTGAATGATTATATCTAATTGCAAATTTTCAAATTGCTTTTATGATCAGTTTTGCTATTTATGTTTTAATAGTTGGATTCAAAGTGAACATTTTAAACATGTCTCAAAGTATGAACATTTGAGAGAAGACTGAAATATGAACAGATAGGTCACTTATGGTCTGAAATGGATGATTGTATTAGTTACTATAATATTAGTTGTATTAGCAGAATGAGCCTCAAATGAATGTCTCATTTGGGTTGCCAGTTTCATTAGATTAAACCAACTGGATTTTTGTAATCTGAATCCTCACTATTTAACACCCAGCAACTGAAGCCAATCATTGCTCAGTGCTAGTGCAGCGTCTGCAGCTGAGTGAGGGAACTCTGAATGCTCTGAGCTTTCACATGAGGCACGGTCTGTTAATATACTGAGAATGATAAAAACCTGTATGTGTCCTCCATCTGCAAGTTAAGGCACTGGCAACCAAGGTTCAGTTGTGATTGTAGAGGGTTTTTAAAACTGTGAGTACAAGCTATATATAGTCTTCAAACCTGCTCTTGTTTATGTCTGTTCTGTAGGTTGTGTTAAGTTGACGGACGGCTGCCTGTTGTATCTGAAGCGACTCTCGTCGCTCTCGCTGCTCGACCTCAGGGGCTGCTCCCACATCAGCAGAAGAGGGTGTGACTCTTTCATCTCAGACCTGTCCCACACTGCTCTGTTCTGCATGATGGAGGAAAAACTCATACAGAGACTCGACTGAAAATATAAATTTCTATAATTTAAAATACATAAAACTATTTGTATAAGCCAGATGATTCCTACATTATTCAACCATTTCTTCACATGCCCACAACTGTCAAATTTACTCCAAGGTTTGTCCTATTTTGTGCAGCTCTTATTTGAACTGGTAATGTCTAGTGCTGAAATTTACTTGGCAATAATTTAAAATACATAAATAAGCCAGATGATGCCTACTTTGTTCATATATTTCTGCAGTAGCTCTCAAAACTACTAAAACTACCTTCTTTGTACAGTATTTTGTATAAAAACATCTTTCAAATGTTGTCTTGTCTTTTTGTCTACAAAGATGTTCAGTACATGGCCAACTCAACAAAAACAATATTACTTTGGTGTCTTGTAACACTGTATTCTTATGTTGTAACATGAGGACAGCAAAACTTATCTGGCTGCCTATTATGTCTTTTAAAATCATCTGAATTGACTGGTCTGAAAATGAAGACCATTGAATCAGAAAATTCAGATCAAGAATTGGTCTAAACTGGAACTTAACTCTGGACTAGACTTGTAGAAGGCCAGTTACCTGTTTGAGAAAAACTATTTGGATCATTTTTACCATTTATGGGCTGGAGTCATTCTTAAGATCTTACTAACAATTCTCTTGTATATTTTATATTTATATTAATTTAAAGTAACCATTTGGAAACACATTTTCACTTTATTTTCACAAATTGAGCACCAACTGTGTCAAGGTCAGCTGCGATACAAGTATTGACCAACTATAACCATACATTTTTAGTAAATAAAACTAGAGAGTGACCGATACATGGGCTTTTTTCTTGGCCAGTAATAATTTGTTATGGAGTGAAGCTAAAGTTAAAACAAAGCTTCAGCATGTCCTTTTGTCAAAGCTTTTTCACACACAAAAAAAAAAAAAGCCTAAACTCATAGTCATACCCCTGATATATCGGTCCATCTCTAAATAAAACTAAACTGTTATACCTTAAAAATTGAAACAAAATTATTCACATCATAACAGAAAGACATTTTACAAACATTTTTCCATTGTTATTGTAATTTTACAGTTCTGGTTTGAAATTGCTGGATAAATATTGGTTCAGTAGCTCTTGGTGGTTTCGTACATTTCAGGGAAAGGCAAGCTGACATGTCCATGTCCGGCCACTAGGGGCAGGATTCCAGCGTTTGGCACCACGTTCCAGGAGAGACTTAAGGTGATATTTTTGTTTGCCCTGTGGATTAAAAAAATATATATCTTAATACTTTTCTCAGATGGTATAGTGCAGATGCCCTCCCATTGACATTCACTGTATTTCTGTAATATGGATATATTATCTTATTAAAGACAATTTATTATCTTATTAAAAACAATTAGGTGAGTTTGATGTTAGCTTTGCTCGTTTCAGTCAGGTTTCAGTCAGGTTCGTCACAGCAACAACTATACACCAAAACATGTCAAGGCAACCATATGCTATGACCATTTTAGATACCTATTAGTCTTCAAAGAAAATAATATCTGATGCACTCCCCTTTATCTTGCTTGAGAACAACGCATTGAGGACAATGAATCTTTTTTTTTTTTCCATGCTGTGGAATTTTTATAATAGTATTGTCTTGTTTTTGTAACCAGATGACACATTTTTGATTTGCAGATTAAAAAATATTTGGCAGATCAGACAGATAGTGATAAAATTACAACAATTGTTAACAATGAACTATTCAGAAAAAATATGGCCACATTTAAAGGTGGATGTTCCACCTCAATCAATCAATCAAACTTTATTTATAAAGCGCTTTTCATACAATAAAGGCACAACAAAGCACTTACCTGAGTCCGTTCCCGTCGTCGAAAAAGAAGTATTTGGATTTCATGTCTCGGAGATTGAGTTTGGTGTTTTCTCCCCGAAGGACGATCTTATCCCACAGCACCACCTGGTTCAACGCCTGATTACGACACACAGAGAGATGAAGGATACATCCTAGCATATATGTGTGAGTGAAGGGTTCCACAGGACTTACATTGTTTTTTGTTGCGTATTCTGCAGAGAGATAAAGGAACAGTTGTTTGACATTCCAGTCAAAAATTGGCTGCAAATGTGATCAATGTTATAGAAAAGTAGAGGTGTCTTTTGTTATTGCGCAACAGATTTTATTGCAATATCCAAACTGTCCCTTATACCAGTGGCTCCAACCTTCTTTGTCTTGAGTATTCCCAGTTCTTAAATCTGTTACTGAGAATTACTTCTATCACTTTTATTTTCTGTTTTAATGCTATTGATATCCCACAAAAATACAGTATATACATGTATAGAATGGTATTTAAATTTTTTTAAAAGAAATCACAATCAAGTACTATTCGATTTAATAGTACTTTTTAAACTATTCCAAGTGCCCCTAATATATGCTCCCAGGGGCCCCAGTACACTTGTTTGTGAAACACTGCCCTATGCACAGGTACAAGTTAATGTTCTCATAACATGCTAAAAAAATTTGTTTGTGCTGTTGTTCATGTTTGAATAATCTTGTCTATTACAATAGTCAAGTCCATCACCCTCCCCAAAGCTGAAAATAAGCTGAAAATCTTCAACATTAACAGTTCCAAGTACCAAGTTCTAAGTCTCATGCCTTAAAACATTTGGTGGAATCATTTTGTGTTGATTCAGGAAGTGATCCTACAGTCCATACACCCCAAATGCCTTCACTAAGAGGCATTTCATGACTGACTTTAGGTCTCAGAACCGTGTAAAAAAAATAACTATATAATAAAACAAAAAAAATGTCAAAAGGATATCAGCTGAGAGGTCAAACGTGATGAAACCCAAGTCACTGCGCTCCCTGGGTCCAGTGAAGTCATCTACATTCTTCCTGTTGGTCAGAGGGGGAAAAAAGTAATCAAAAATATTATTAACATTGGACAGCACTTAAAACACTGCATTCTTGTTACTATTATTCATTATTGTAAATCTTATTTGATATATACACTCAGTTAATTATAGTTTAAGGAGCTAATACATTATTATCTCTGTCTTATTCTTTCATACTACATACACTGCATGTTAATTGAATACATAGCTACCTGATGACTTGACCCATAATTTTTTAACCCATTGTTTGCCTAGCTAGATGCTACGCCACATTTTTGCATTTTGCATTTAAGGCTTTTTTGCAAACTCCACAAAAACCACAGCCTTTTCAATACGAAATGATTATGCTAAATATATTGAATAAACACAAAACAAAAACATATTTCACATGCATTAAGGTGTAATCGCTAGCAGCTGTTGAAAGCGCTGAATCTTACAGCATGACTTTAGATACGTGTATGTCGACTGGAACTCTTCTGTCTTTAAACGCCGTCGTAATGAAACAGCCGAAGGTTAGAGCCGCCATGACACTCAAGGAGAAGGCAAATAACGAGTTCGCTCTCGATAAAACCGTATTCATCTTTAAAATAAACCCAAAATCCGACTAAATGAGAAGAACAGGAAAGGAAATGAAATAGTGCGGTTACGCGTAAACGGATGTCAAGAAAAGTCGGATAATAGAACAACATCCTGATAGATTTCAAAATAAAACCAAGCAAATTAGCTTTAGTCTTAATGAACTGGTTAAAGCTATAATTTCACTGATTAAAACTATATTTTTTTACGTATAATTATTATAATGTGCATTGTAATGAATAAATTAAGAGCAAATACCAGCAAATAAAGGGTCTTCATTAATATGGTTTCCGGGTTTGTATGTAAATAATTTTAACTTGGCAAATTAAAAAAGGCGGAAACAACAAAGAGTGAGTAAGCGGAAGCGTTTAGATTTTTTTTTCATAAAAACTTTATTTAAGTTTAGAATTTTATTTAGGCCTACATATCATCTGGAGAGCGGTCACTGATATACTGGTTGGCAGAGCGATTCCAGTTTCCACAGATGAATACTGTCATTGTGTCCTTGGGCAAGACACTTAACCCGCCTCGCCCTCGTGGTACACTATATATATATATATATATATATATATATATATATATATATATATATATATATATATATATATATATATATATATGTATTTATTTTTTATTTTTTTAAATAATTCTAAATATGCTGAGAATAGGAATGCCAGGCTAGAGAGTCAAATGCTGCCATCTAGTGCTTATAGAACATACTTGCAACAAAAAATTATAACGGACTAGGTGTTGTATTTTGATGCATGTGTGAGCCTTATTGCAGTCATTCCCAACCTGGGGGCGTGGACTCCAAAGATCCTCAAGGGGTCCACAGGGAATTTTAATTAAGGGATGACTTACTTGTATCTATGAAGTATTTTATAATCCTTACTGTTCTATAGCATTCTATAATATAATATCGCAACATTACTATCCTGGCTCATTCTGGAAAAGTAACACAAAATTGAGGCCTCCTAGACTATTCAACACAGTCCCCAATGAGGTGCTTGCAGCCCTTGCTAACCCTTATTGTTAACATTTTGGTCTGGTTTGTTCTCCCAGGTTTTACACTATGACTCTTCAGCTACACATAGGTCTAACTATATCCTTTGCATCCCCCTCTTCCCTTACACAGCAATTCCATGTCTCTTCACTACATCAATAAATCTCCTTTTTGATTTTCTTCTAGGCTTCCTGTTGTTCTCTGTAACCTCATCGTCATTCTATAGCCATATATCCACTCTTCTTCCTCTGTGCCATAGATTCCCTCTCTCCCCCTCCCTCTGTACCTTCACTGTCCCTCCTCTGTACCATATATTCACTGTCCCTTCATATATTACATATTCACTCTCCCCCCTCATACCATTTATTCACTACCTCCCTCTATATATTCACTGTCTCTCCTCTCCATATAGTCATACACTGTCCCTTCTCTGTACATGTCCATATCAGTTTGGAAACTTGATCTACAAAATATGTAACGTTAGCTGTCTCTGTGATAGTCTTCTTTTATTCATTCTCGTATTGAACAATACTATCTATTTTCCACAGATTTTTGATAAAAGGAGTCATTTTAATATTTAAAAATAAAGGGGCCAGGACAAAGAAGATAATTTTAAATTAAATAGCAAAACTAAAACATCTAATATAAATAACGAATGGACATTAAAATTGATTAAAATACTATATTTGGCATTAAATAACAGCTTTTGTTTTATGTTTACTTGTGCACTATAGGCCTATAATAGATCACACATTCGCATACCATTGGCCTTGGTTAATTATTTAATATTATTAGACCTACATGAAACTTTATATAAAAACGCATAATTTTGATCTCATCATATGCAAATGTGAATTATGTTGCAAATGCAAAAGTACTGGATAGCCTGTTGTGGTGATGCAGTCATTCTTTGCCCCATGTCCCCACTTTACCTAAAAATTCTTACACTGTCCAGTCTTTTCTATAATGGTCCCATCTGCAGGGGGCCACGCATCAAAAATAACCTGTGTCGTCAACACGTGGGCGTTCATGTGAAGTGGTCATGTGACTCTTCTGGAACAACAACAAACCCTCTCAACTAATCAGAGCTCCCCGTTTTGTCCAAGAGACACCTTTCAACCAATCGGAGTTCTGTATTCTGACCAAGTCCCTCCCCCTATCCACGGTGTAGCCTTTGCGCTTCTCCTATCACGGTAATTTGAACGTGTGTGAAAGAAAATACTGGACATCTGCGGCAAGGATCACCCGACATGCCCGAGGTACCGACTGTAGCCCCTGCGGTGTCCCGGAAAAGAGGCGCGGAGCCCGCGGAGCCTCCTCCAGGACACGACCGGGAGGCGAAAAAAGCCTGCTGGGGCATCCTGACCAGCCAAGGTCGGTACTGCGCTCTGGAGAAGTTGTTTATGCTGGGGCAAGAGTCAGGTGCAGAGTGGGTGGATGGCGTGTGACCCGATAAAACCTTATCGCAAAATACCTTTATAAAATTTCTCAATAAAGCTTTTAGTTAGAGTCGGACAGATTTGATTGAACTGTACTTACTTTGGCTATATTTCTTGCTATTATTATTTATTGATTTTTACCATGGCTTTTTACTTTATTGTTGAATAATAGTAAGTAAATAAGTAATTAGGCTGTATACGCATTTATATGCCATGTAAATATAAAATCCTTGCTTACAGATTTAATCACATGTAATATAATAATAAAAAAAATAATAATAATAATAATCATAACCATAATAATAATCATAACCATAATCATAATCATACATTATATGTGTAAGCTTAATATTTTTGGGCTATAAATTATACTTTATTGTCTGTGATCAATATGTGGTAAAAAGAATAATCAGAATCACAGTGACTTTACTTAAGTGCTCTGCTGCAATTCACTTGTACTTGCTTACATAACTGATAAACTGCAGTGGAGTAAATAGACAAAAGATAAGCATTATGTGGTAGTAGGGTATGTATGATTGCTTAATAATAACATCATGTGCCTATCATTCTATTACTGATTTCCAAGTTTGAGTATTAAAGAGGATTTAAAATTACTGAAAATATTGAAGTGTGAAAAGATGAAATAGTGGTAATGACAGCATTCAAAAAACAAGGTGATCAGAAAAATATGGTAACAAATATGAAAGCTGAATTATAGGAGATTTATTTCCAAATCTAATTCATATTGCTTGATTTGATGTTTAAAAAAAAAAGAAGATTACAAAGACAAATTATGTTGTTTTTGTATTAAGAAGTTTAAGGACCATTCATGGTTTTCAACTTCCTATTATAGGCTATTCAACATTTTGTACCTTTCCTAATTTTAAAGAAATAATAATTAGATTTAAATTGTGCTGGCTATATGTTTTAATTATTCTGAAATCCATGGATAGTTTAATAATGTCCACAAAATCTCTGAACAGGAGTAGTAGTGGAAGGGAACAGTCTGTATGTTCTGAAGTTCTCTGACATGTGAATATGATACTCTAGTTACAATGTTCAGTTAAATATAGTCAGTTAAATATTTAAACACATTTTCATTTGTAAGCCTGTAATATAGCCTAAATGTAACTTCTGGAAATACAGTACCTTGTAGTGGTTGAATAAGTCAAAATCAATAATCAATAGCAATATTTTGTGTGCTTTGTAACAACATTTATAGGCTTTTGTAGGCTATATTATTTCAATCATATATATATATATATATATATATATATATATAGAGAGAGAGAGAGAGAGAGAGAGAGAGAGACAGAGACAGAGAGAGAGAGAGAGAGAGAGAGAGCAATCCAATCATGTGTTCAGCTTTACACATGACCTTTCCAATATGGCTGCTGTTTACTTCAGATGGTGAAGTGTAGACCTATGAATTCTCATCTAGAACTATTACTATCTATAATTTAACCTAGATCTTTTGCTAAATCAATGGTTAAAAGCTGCTTTCTTGTGTAGCATGCTCTTTTTACATAACAAATTGTACAGTTTATCTTATTTTTTGCTATAGCCTAAAAGCTATAGAAGGGGAAGAGCTGCTATTGAATTGAAATGGCTTATATTTACAACTGGCTGGACGTTCCATGGGGAGATGGAGATATGGGTATGTTAAAATATGAGTGAAAATCCATTTGAGCTAAAGCTAATGCTATCACAGCTTTGAAGGGAGAGCTAGTGCTAAATATAGATTTAAAAGGAATGCTGTATCTAGTAGTCAGTAGGATGAATGCTACAGGAGTGTTTAGTTACTAGTGGTAAGAGTAACCTATTTGACAGTAATATAGCCTAGGCCTGATTTTTATTTTAAAGAGGTGAATGATATGACAAAAATGAACATTACATGTGAATATATATGGTAAATGTACCTTTATATTTCTTTATGAAATAATCAAAGCTATCGGCTTCTCCTGAGAGTTCACACTTCACTGTGATTGGTTGAACCTGCCTGTCACTCACTCTGAAAATGACAGAGGGAGGAGTGTGTGGCAAAAAGTGGATGGCTTGTCTATGTGTAGAGCTATATTAAACAGAAAAGCACAGAATCACTATGTTTTCAAATGGTCACACACAGGACCAGATTACAATTTGATTTTAATATGTGTAGGATAGTTGGTTAATTATGAAGATATGGTAGCCAAATTTATATATATAAATGACCAGAAAGTTAGCAATGGTTTATTATGAGAATTATTTAAGAAAGATTTTAAATTTGATCATGTCACTGTCAAATTTAATCTAATTTGGCCTTCATTATAAAACACATGCACAAAATAACTTTACCATCAATGCAGATACATTTATTTGATTTCAGATTTTTATTCCAGGTTCTTGGGCAGACCGCTCCCCTCTCCATGAAGCCGCCTCTCATGGTAGACTCTTAGCTCTACGCACTCTACTCAATCAGGTAACAATCATTTCATTACAAGATATTAACCTAATTCACTCCAAAAACATATATTCTTCCATTTTCAGGGATATCCAGCGAACATTGTGACCATAGACCATGTGACTCCTCTACACGAGGCCTGTTTGTCCGGACACGTGGCCTGTGTAAGGGCTCTGATCAACGCTGGAGCAAATGTAAGAGAAACCATCAGTAACAGAGGTGGGAAATATATTGGAAATAATAGCTGCGCAATATGACAAAAGAATAATCTCTGTTTCATTGATCGTATTGATCGATTTTATTTAATTTTATTCTAATAAAATTAATGCTTTTACTGATAAAGGATGCGATGTAGACCTCTCATTTTTATTAAATGCACAGCCCTACCAATTATAGATAATATTACAATTGGTGATTAGGAGATATACAACATTAAAATATCAAGTATGTAGTCATTGAAAAAAATATTTTAACAGTGTTGATTGATTGTGATTTAAAATAAAACAAACTTGCAGTGTAATAGTTATACATACTGTATATACAATTATATTATATTACTGCTCTTTTGTGGAAAATTTTATAATCCATTCATGATTCTTTTTATTAATTGTGCTTTTCAGGTGAATGCGACGACTATAGATGGAGTGACACCTCTCTTTAACAGCTGTGCAGCGGGGAGCTCAGTCTGTGTGGAGCTGCTGTTGCAAAATGGAGCAAACCCCAGAACCACTCACACGCACCACCCCTCTGCTCTACACGAGGCCTGCAAGAGAGGTACCGCACACAAGGTTCACTAGACCACATGTAATAACTGCAACAACTCACACAGCTAGAAGTACGATACTTTTTTTTTTTTTCATGAATGGTGAAGTTAATGTTAAAGAGGACATATTTTGTTTTTTTTTCTTGTACTTAGTAATGAGGAAAGTGAGGATAGATAGGGGGTAGGTGGAAAGAAAAATTTACCCCTGCCCCAGGTGAAGGTTATAACAGGATTATTACTCAACATGCATAAAGAAATTATTTTAAGGGAATACCATTGTCATTTGCTTAAAGCAAAGTTTATGTTGCATATTATGTTATATTTAATGTTTTACTTCCCTTATTATCATATGTCCAAACTATCTCAATCTGCATCGTAAATAACATTAAACATTACATATGAAATAGGTTAAAAGCTCCCTCCTTTCTCCTGCAGGTAGCCGAGAGTGTGTGGAGTCCCTTCTTTCTCGAGGAGTAGACCCTGATTATGAAGTGCCACATTTAGGCTCCGCCCTCTACATCAGCTGTTTGCACAAACACTGCGGCTGCTCCCAGGTCCTCCTGCACAGAGGTTAGAGAGAATTTAGAAAAAAACAATAGTGTGTACAGCTAGAATGTAAATATAATTACTGCTACAACTTAGTATAAAATATGTGAATTTGAAAGACATGAACTCAAGTGTGTTGACTTCCTGGACAACATTGAAGATATAATTGTTAGAAGACTGCTGTCAGCATGGTTTACAGTCATGTAACTATAAAAGCATGTTGTTGGGAGCACAATTTCTACTTTGCTACAATAATCTGAATAAATTTGTGTGCAAGTGGCGCAGTAAGTTTATTTAAAAAGTATGCCTTGTCTTTGCTGCTTATTGTGTTATTCTACTAATCTTATTATTATTAAGAATATTTTTTATTCATTTTACAAAATAACCATAAATCAAATTGAAACGCAGGATTTATCAAAATATGGGAAAACATCTGTGATATTTTTTGCCATATTGACCAGTTCTAGTAAAAATCTTATTTTTTCTATAAACATGCCTTTAGTGTTTTATTTTAAATGTTTATGACCTTATAATTCAGTATATTGTAACCACGGTATTACTGAGACTTTTGACAATACAGTATCACAATATTTCATCATTGTTATATCCCTACTTGTAACTCAGGTTGTGTACAAATCAAAACTGGGACAAAACGAGGACTAGACCAGAACTAAACTAGAAAAGCACTCAGAGAGCGCAGACCTCTGCCAAGGACTACCCCCATTTTTTATATAAATTGCGATAAAATCAGTCTTCTGGATCAGATCCGGATCAGCCTTTGGAATATGAAAAAGGATTCCATTGTCCATCCCTGAGTCAAATTTCATGGGGTTTGGTCAATAATTAACCGAGATATTGAGAAACAAAATTTTTGACCCCATTTACCACAATGTTAACTAAAATTTCAAAGTGATCCAGAATCCAGGATTTCTTCCGGATCACCCCCAAAATGAAATCAGTTCTTCCTTTTCACATTTCCAACAAATCCTGAAAATTTCATCAAAATCGGTCCATAACTTTTTGAGTTATGTTGCTAACAGACAAACAAACAAACAGACAAACGCCGGCAAAAACATAACCTCCTTGGCGGAGGTAACAATGGCCAACCCAAAAAAACCTCTAGGGGGCAGGAGTGCTACTTTTATGTGTAGAGATTTTGCACAATTGTCCTTTTGGTGCTCTTCAGCATAGGGACCAGTCACAAATACAAAGCTGAAACTGCAGAAGCACTCAAAAAGTACAAAATAATTAAAAGCCTTTATGGCAGATAAAGTTAAAATCAAGCAAACGCATTTCAGCTCTTTGGCCTTCATCAGGGCAAACTGGCCCAACTTAAGTCTACATTAGGACTAAACGCATCCTTTTTGGTATTACAGTTTTACATTACATTGCATTTTGTGATCTGACTTGAATTGAACTTGAGCACTTAGTGCTTTCATCTCCCTTACATTTACAACCACTTTTTTGTCTATCTGTCCTGCACATGACATCAAACTGCAGAATTTATCAATGCATTTTGTGTTTTTGTTTTTTCCTCTTAGGAGCCAATGTAAACAGAGGTCGAGGAGAGGATACGCCCCTCCACGCAGCTGTGGCCAATGACAGCACAGAACAGATTTCTTTACTGTTGGATTTTGGAGCTGATGCAAACCTCAGAGACTGCAACAACCTGCGACCTCTGGAGCTGGCGCCCCCTGGCGGGAAAGCTCAGCAGTTGCTACAAGCTCACAATGGTAACATACTTGTATCTATATTGAAAATATTGTTATTTACTTTAGATTAACTGTGCTCTTTGTCTTTGACATTATTGGGCAGTAGGTAGTTTAGTTACAAAACTAACACTTTGCCAAGGTTGTTTCTGTAATTATTACCTTGTGTTTACACTGAACTTCTTGGTGGCTATAGCAAGGTTGAACAAACAGGTGGTCCACTTTCACTGTAAAGCCACAAACCATCAATTTGGAGATAGTATGGTGCATATTTTAACCAAGGAGAGATTTTGGTTTGGGAGAGGAGTGAAATAAATCCTACTTTACAATCCAACTTTATTCATTGAGGACTTTAAAACAACACAGTCAACCAAAGTTCTGTACACAACTTCTTAAAAAAGGACTGGTGGAATAGAGCTGTTTCACAACCTGACCTTTTCTATTTCTATAAGGGTATGGGTCCGTGGGGCTACAGTAGCACTTAGCAGGAGCTTTCAGACGATGACAGTGAAATTAATTAATATTTGAATCTAAACATTTTAAATTTAAGAATCTTTTAGAAGATTTTGGACATTGCTATTATTGAAACAAGAAAATATAATAGAAATCACTGACAATACAATATTATAGTAAATCAGTTTATTTGGCTACTATACTATAGTTCTCGATTTACTAAAGACGTGCCCTGCCAATCAATTTGTCGGCCAAAATGGAGGTGTGGCAACAACTCAAAACTATTATATATCTCTATGTACCTGACCCAAAAGACTACAGCTGCATTGGAGTGCAGAAATAATCCCAAATCTTTAGCCAACTCAGTCACTACTTTCTGCTATTTTCCCTGTAAAAAAGCATCCTAATAATATTAATAAAATATTAATATTAATTGATAATATTAATATTCTCTTTCAGTTTCCCCTCGGTCTCTGTGTGAACTGTGCCGTATCCACATCCGTAATCTGATTGGTCGATCCAGACTCAAGTTTCTCCAGGAACTTCCCCTTCCATCTTTACTCACGCAGTACCTCGAGCACACGTAAACATCAAGGAGGCATTTGTCAAATAAAATATTTATTAATAACGTTTGAACTTTGTGCCAATGCAATTTATTCATTGTAATTATTTTGGAATATGAACTAAATTAATGTCTTAACTCAGTGCTGTTTGTGCATCTTGTTGTGGCCACTTTTCTTGGGTTTAGAAAATGTCAGCATGCTCCCAGTTAGGAAAGGCAGACAGGAGAAACAATCATTATTTTGTGGTTTCATATTAAATTATTTAATGGTGAAAAAAAAAACCACAATAATTTACAGTAAATACTTTTGACAAATTACGCCTCTTAATCGGTTCCTTATTAATACAAATCTAAAAACTAAAGGGTTGTTTAGATTGAAAATTTGGGGTATTCAAGATTAGATTAAATGTGCAGTTTTTTTTCTAGAAGAGTGTGTGTGTGCTTGTCTCCATGGGAATTGTATTATAAACTTATATCTCTTTCATTTATTCTACTAGTGTCTTTATAGCTAAAAGAAATACCTTGAAAACATAAAAACATGTCTCTACAGATCTGGCATGTAACTTAGCCTTATGGTGTCACCTGTCTCTATGGAGATAGAGAGGTTATTTCCATAGTATACATACCATATGATTCCATACTGTGGAACATTCCTGGCAAAGCAGTAACATCTCTAATCTTCAACATCAAAGGAGCATAGTTAGTCTCTAGTTTATTAAATGCAAACATGAAAACGTTGTGTTGACTACGGTCTATTTCTGAATAATAATGTTGTATTGCCTCTCATATGTCTTCTTTGTGTTTTTTACTTGTGGAGATGTTAAATTTACTTCCGCAGCTGAAATTATGTTTAATTCATCCAAAATACTATCCCTTTAAAAATGTTTATGCCTGCTCTTAATACAGGTGTTCATACAGTTGTTTTGTGTATCATCTTTATAGCTCTGTGTCCATGTAAATAAAAATAAATTATGTGAGATGAGTTGTAATCTCTTCCTGATGATGATATTTTTTCAGTTCTAACACAGTTGTCAAATAGCTTTTATAAAACACATATATTTGAATCTATACATGTATTCAGTTTGCATTAAAATGTACTTATAAGCTGAAAAACTTAATCAACTGAAAAAAGGGTGGATTTAAATCCTGGCATTCCTTTCAGGTGGACAAATGCTTTTGGCATGACATCATAATAGCCATTATGTTTCTTGCATCATGGCATTAGCCTTCACTTTTGTGTAGCAGAACCAAAGACAAGATATGAGTGGAATTTGATTGACAGGTTTGATGAATGGTTAGACACATAGATCTATTAAAAAGCATTAAGGTGTACAATGTTATAATAAGTCAAGTTTTGTTATCTTAATTGTTTTGGTTAAATGTTTACATGGGCTTGTGTTTTCTTAAGGTTAGCCTTTATTATCCTCGTAGGGAAACTTCTGATCACTTCATATTTTTCTTAAACGGGAAATACCCACGAACTAACCTAATATTTGCATTATTTATTCAGGTTTAGCTTGCTCCATAGTTTGAATTCAGTCAATCCATTCTGGTTAAGCTTGATTTTAGTGTAGTAGGATGACGTGTCTTATCTCCACACCTAGAGACACATAATACAATACATCTAGCAGAAGACATTACACTCTGGTGAAAGACTTAGGGATAATTTTTGCAAACCTGCTTTGTACCAATGGCAAATACACCTGGTGCGGGGCCCATGGCACTTTGAGGGGGCCATCGCGGAGTAGGATTGGTGTCGCCCCCCACCGGTCCCCCCCCCCCAATTAGTTGAAGGGAGGGGGCCAGACTTGTCCTGGGGCCTTGTGCAAATAAGATACGCCACTGCTTTGTACTCATATATTAGTTTTGTCCATAGTAGCTTGATGGTAAAACACTGCACCTATTAGGAATGTTTATTTATTTATTTATTTACTTACATTTACACAAAGTAAATGAATGAATGAGAGGGTACAGCGCATTTAGCTGTTTAGAGTCTGTCATTATAAAGAATATATTTTTGTTTTCATGTTTTTTCCCATGCTATTTTTATGGGGTTCGTTTTTTGTCAAGAAGTAAACCCAGTAATCACATGCAAAGTTTGCATGGTTTAAATCATTTCATGGCATGCCACGAATTCTTAAACCCATATGGTCCGTGTACTTATTTATATTACTTATTTTTACCTACTATCGTTTGCTTAACTTTATGGGATTATTTTGAATCCTCCTTTAGTGAGCTTCTTTCATATGCCTGGTTACTTATTTCTTTCTTGAGATCTGGCAACCCGGGCAGGCTGGCAGAAGCGGACTTGCTTGCTACTACCCAGGAAGAAGGGCTACTACCACGATGAGGATAAAAGTGGGGTTTCTTTTACGGAGTTTGCTCGTAATTGGGACATTTTTGGGTCTTGTAGTGCTTTGGTCATCGTTGTCACCCAAACCGAGTGAGGACAATCCTTTCGCCAAGCGGGTGAGTTTTGCGTTTCGATCGGCTCCTCTGCTCCAGTCTAGGTGAAGAGATTTCATTGAGTTGCGTCTCACCTAACCTTCAAATCTTCATACACAACAGTGTTAAACAAGATACACATGTTAGCTTTAAATCCTTGCATCAGCTGTCCATATCTTTACTTGTTTATTGCTCATTTCTAGCCAGTCTGTACCACTGACAGATATGCTATACGAGCTGTCAATGCAATGCTGACAGCCTGCTTCTACACCTCACCACCTACATGGCTAAATTCATTTTCATAGTGATTAAACTGTTATTTCATTAGATATATTTAAGACCTTAAATGTATCTCTCGTCATGTGTTCTTTTTGGACCAAAAATGTACCCCTATTCTTGATCAAATGATGTTAATAATCACTGCTAAATAAGTCTAATCTTTAGCTAGCCTACATTTCTGATCTATTACGTGCCTACATAGGAATATTAGTTTACCCGTTTGCAAATCATTTTATATATTGCCATTTTCTTGAATTTTTAACATTTAACATAACATTTAGCGTAAATGGCCATGCATTTGATTCATTTGTTATCACGCCTTGCCTAATTTTCCAACTTTATCTAAGCAATGTTAAGGTCTTAAGTTTGTAAATGGTTATCTTTTAGCATGACAGTTAAACAGACATTTCCTGGTTATCATTCCCTTACCCAATGCAACTCTAGTATTACCAAGATATTTAAATGTATAATTGTATTGTGCAGCACTTTGGAACTATTTTTGTTTATGAAAAGTGCTATGTAAATTAATTGGTTTGGATTGGATTAAACTGCATATTAATTAGGGCATGTACTGTAGCCTGTTGGCGGTATTACGCTCTAGCTGTAAAGCCACATACTCCTAAAGACAGTCCAGGATGTGAATGTCCGTGTGTTAGTTTGCTGCACTGTAGACATGTGTCACTATGCTCAGCTCCTGAACTTAGAGGACCCCATCTTTCAAGATTTACTAGGTTAACCTGGACATTATTTGACATAAACTATATATAAAGGAACATAAAAACTAAACTGTATTTTAGGTTGATTTTGACAAGGATGTGTCAAAATCATCAATTTATGTTGATGAAGAAAGTTTTCATTAAATTGATGATACTCAAACTTCAAAAAGACAATTATTTGAACTCGTATCTATAAAAAGTAGAGATAGACTGGTTGGTTGGTTGAAGACACATAAAGCTTGATTTGAATACTTCAGTCATAAATTATAGTCTAAATTGGCCCTCTATATTGGCTCAAAAATATTGGCAAAGTTTATCGGCCTCGGTTCCTTTGCATTCTCAAAAAAAAAAAACCCTAAAAAACATATTGGTCGATCTTTAATAAAAAGTAGAATGGTCTTGATCTAGATGACTAAAAATTACATTCTTTTGTATGAAAAAAAAACATTGAGTATCACTCTTTTTCTTTTGTGTCATGAATTAAGTTTGGAACACTAGTGTTGACCTTATTAAATAGTTCAATTTTACTACTCTTCCTTTTCACCCTGAATTTACATTTTGTTGTAAATCATGTGTTTTGCATTGCTTTGCTTTAAGTGGTTACGTGTCTTAAAGAAGTTACAACCCTTTGAAGTGGTCCCCTCAGATATAATTAAAGGGATAGTTCAGATAATTACATTAAGTTCAGAGAAGCAGACAGGAGGAGCAGGCTAAATCTTACAGTAATAAACTACTTAAACTAAAATGCTTACGTGTACTTTCAGGGATTTTCAGGGTAAGGGGAAACTGAATACTCTGTTGTCTTTTTAAATGCATGTGGCAGAGATATCCAGAGTTCCAATTAAGACATAACAAAAAGCTAGACCTTGCTCCTGTTTTCCTCTCCAAACTGAAGTGGTATTTACACAACCCACCTTGTCAAAAATACTCCAACAAATCCTTTTAAAGTGCATACAAGTGGTTTCATGTTTTTATCATTATTTCTTGGACTGGTGGGATAGTACCTGACCTGTGGTAAGTATTAAGGGACAGTTAATGTCCCTTAATCTAGTGGAAAAACAAGTTTAGAAATAAAATAACTCCAGGAAGTAACAGCGAGTTCTAAAACTGAATCTGCCTACAGTATGTCTTTAACACTCAAAATTACAAAATGCAGGGACAATTTACAAACAAGGAAGGCATTATTCTAGCAGTTTAAATTTTTATTCAGCTAAATAAAGGTGTTGTCATTTATTTTTATTAGTCTAATATGAACTATTGCAATTTTGACAATTTCGAGCCCTTGTTAACATTATGGTTGCTGGGTAACAATTATGAAATTACTTCATACATGTTGTGTTTGTCCAACCAGGGAGTGAAATTATAAACTTGGGTCATGTGAAGAATAAAACTGCAATCTGATCCCTGTGACAACCTGCTATTTTGGTGAAATTGTCCTACCATAGTTCAGTGTTGTTTTTTATTTTCATCATTCAAAATTGTGATTGGATAGACAGATATACATTTTGTTTATCAGTGGCAGGGACAGCAATTCAATAAATAAAATAAATTCTATTTGTCATATTGCTCCAGTCTACATTAAAAGTAGCTCAAAACACTGTGATAAAGATCAGTCAGTCTGCAATATTTAGTATCAACTTCAGTTGTAGAGCTTTGATAAACAAACCAAATACAATGCAGAGCCAAATCTTTTCAACTTCATAACAAAAAGGTCTGTTTCATCAAAATCATGATGATCATTTTAAATATTTTCTCAGAACATGTGTAAGAGATTATCCAGTTTTGTTTTGTTTTTTTTTGTTGATGAAACAAATTATACTTTATGCTTGTTGTATTGTCAAAAATGTACAGAAGTAACTATTTTATCTTTAGCCTAATCAATGTTTTTTGTTTTACAGGCAATTTAAACTCCAAAATTATGTACAATTTTTAAAATGTGGATTGTTTGTTAAACTGTTCCACCGTAGTCTCAGTATAAACATATGGAAAAATTTACTATTAATCACATTGGTTCTCTGCATTTTAAAAATATCTATAAAAGTGTACTAAATAAAATGTAAAAAAAAAAGAGATCCCAAAAATTTGGAAACTTTGTACCTATTCTTCATATCCCACAGCCTCTTTCTGAATGTATGAGGCCAAATTAACCCTCTATCTATTAATATACATGACAGGATTTTACTCATGGTATCATTTTGCAGCAGGGCAGAAACTGACTGGTTTTTAAACTCAGATATTGTACTCTGGGGACATGTGGCACTAACAATGTTGTGTATCCAGACACTGCATCATTGATAAATAATAGATTGGGATCAGATTTTTTTTTTTAGGTTTGTTTTACACCCAATCTACCTCCAGAAATGAAAAAAACATAGCCCTAAGGTACACACACACTTCATACACAACAACAAAATTAGGATTGACCTGGTACTAAACCAAAAGTAAGAGTAAGGGCCCGGGCTCAACCTAGGGACTCAACCAGGGTACTGAGCCTGGATTTTGCATTTAACGGAACCAGGTCAAAAACCCAGACATAAACTAGGGTCTGAAACAGGAACTAAACCAGGAACTAAACCAGGAACTAAACCAGGAACTAAACCAGGAACTAAACCAGGAACTAAACCAGACCAATGAACTATAACAGGACAAAATTAACAAACACAGACAAGACCAAGGCAAAACCAGGACTAAATCAGTGTCCAATAAAGTTCAAATCAAGTCTAAACCAGAACATATATTTTTTCAGTAATCTTTCTCATTGTAATCAGTTATTCAGTTAATTTGCACTATATAGGGACCACAAAACATCCTCCACCCTTCCTGTTTCAGTGTGTCAGCATTCTTCTGCATATTTGTGGGCTCAAAAATCTGTCCCAATGCAGCACAGTGATGGAGAGTTGACAGTGGAGTAATGAAGAAAATGGGATTAAAATACGGAAGCCTTTAATTATATACTTTCTGGTACAAAGTGTCACTTAATTAGCTATACAAACATACAATGCATACAATGGAATGTGGCAGAGTGATTATCCTGCCTCTCAGTCAGAAGGTTCTGGGTTAGACTCCTGATCTATCTGAGTGGGGTGCGCATGCCCTCTGTGTTGCTTTGGCAGAGTGGTTAGCTGTGTCTCCTGCTTCTCAGTAAGGAGGTTGTAGGTTACTCCTTTAGAAGGTTACTTCCTTCTAAACTGATTAGTATAGAGCTACAATCTGACACAAATATTGCAAAGGTTGTTTTTTTTAATAGAAGGTCTACACCAAGTGACATGAGTATAATTTTACAATTAATTTAGCCATTAATTTTGCATGAAATTGACCAATATAGCAACAACCTCCCTAAACAGTTAGTGAGCTAATTAATAAATTTACTGTTTTTATGTTATAATAAAATGTCAATGCCATCTTGTTTTTTTGTCTTAGAATGAGGATTTTCTGCCCAAAGGAGGTCCAGTCGACCAGTTCAAACCAGTGGTGCCCTGGCCCCATGTGGAGGGAGTGGAGGTGGATCTCAACGCAGTTAGAATTAAACATGGTAAGACGTTGTTGTTTGTATACCAAACTATACAGAGGGTCAGTGAATATATGGTACAGAGGAAGAATAGTGATTATATGGGGAGAGGAGAATGGTATAAGATGCAGAAGCTATAACAAGATAGATATGCTATAAGATTATAAAGAAATATTATTACCTCCGCCAAGGAGGTTATGTTTTTGCCGGCGTTTGTCTGTTTGTTTGTTTGTTTGTTTGTTTGTCTGTTAGCAAAATAACTCAAAAAGTTATGGGCCGATTTTGATGAAATTTTCAGGATTTGTTGGAAATGTGAAAAGGAAGAACTGATTTCATTTTGGGTGTGATCCGGAAGAAATCCTGGATTCTGGATCACTTTGAAATTTTAGTTAACATTGTGGTAAATGGGGCCAAAAATTTTGTTTCTCAATATCTCGGTTAATTATTGACCAAACCCCATGAAATTTGACTCAGGCATGGACAATGGGATCCTCTTTCATATTCCAAATTGAAAGATACGAGACAAATATTTATGGAAAACACAATTAATATGAGGGGGACTGTAGTCCTTGGCGGAGGTCTGCGCTCTCTGAGTGCTTTTGTAGTATTGAAATTTGATACTTGTTGTATACTCGTTGTAAGTGTCAAATCTGAAAAAAAAAAAATCACATGACAAAATTATATCTTCTAAATTATGAATTCTAAACAGTCTTGATCTATAAGTCTATTGAAATAGTCTTAGTTTTTAATATCATTGTTGTATTGTGAGTGACAACACTTTTAATGCTACAGGTAAAATAACAATATGAAAATGTCCATGTTTAATTTGAACCAGTGGTCTTAGCAGCTACTATTGTGTACTACTGGGTAGAACTAAAACTGGAGGCTTAGACCACACCTGTGTTTCTGTGTCTGAGGTTGAAAGCTGTTGCAAAATTTGCATATCTTTAAACTTTAGAAAGATTAGATAAGTCCACCAGATCAAACTTTATCAACCAAACCAATATACAGGTAACACTGTGGACACTTTAGTGCAAATTTTAGAATCACAATATGTGTTTTAAGTTGGAAGTGAAGTGTGTTTAACTTGAACAGGTTTCTTCTGCTATCTGTTTTCTAATATACATTCTTTTGCTATGTATTCTTTCATACTTTGTGGAGTATTGGATATTTGTATTAAAGTGTACTTGTTCTGCTAAATATCCCATATTAATAATACCTAAAGAAGAAACTGTGTAATATTTTAATTCTCTCATTTGACATCAAAAGAAAAAAACTGTCCCATCCTGTGACCTAATGATTATAGTGAGTTATTTTCATTGCAAATATTAGGAATGTGGCAATAACTGAAATACTGTGATATATATAAAATATCGTGAACCATGGCAGTATATATCGAATTACAAGTCTCTTCTCTTAAATGAATACTTATGGTGCAGCAATAGCAAAAAAAAAAGAAAATAAGGGAACTACACAGATCATGATCCTTGTTTCATTGCACACTATATGGAGAAATAACTGTTATAAGCACTTTTAAACCTTAGTTTTTTGGATTAAGTCTTGTCCATGCATTTTAAGAGGAAAATGTAGCATATCAAAGGTTTGTTGCCTCCACAAAATATTGCAATAAGATGTATATCATGAGCATATCATACCAAGAGATTTGGATACCTTTATATCCCTAGCAAATATAGGTAAGGGTAACTGAACTGCACCATGATACAGACCTGAATTAATTGTCCAAGCCCTATTAAATACAGTACAGTAAGTACAGTACAGTGGCTCTGTCAAAGCTGTGTTAAATGCCTCCATCTGAATGACTCATTGGTCTGTGGTTGTCTGCTACAAATAAGGATTTTTCTTTTCTCTAAGAAAAGTTTGCACAATGGACATACTGCTTGCAGAGATCTTACAGGGTTAGCAGGTTTTATACACAATAGACCTTTTGGACATTCACTTAGTTTTGTTTTTCTTCAAGCAATAATATTACGTAAATCAATGCAGCCTTTTTGATTTGCAAATTGTGACCTTTGAAAGAGGTCATAATTTGATTGCAGTTAATCATGCAGTCATATTTAAAGTCTAGTTTATCTAGTCTAGATTACATTTAAATGCATTGATTGAACAATTTAAATATTCAAAGTCTTAAAGTCTTTATCATCAGGAAGTGTGTGGTTAGCATGCTAGCTGTTATTGCTGCACAGTGATGGCAAAACTCTACTCTTACCTCTCAAAATTATGAAAATTGCTTATAAACTAATCACTAATTCATCCTAATTATTCATCGCAATTAGTTTACAGAATGCATAAGGTAAGTGAGGAATAACTTTGGACCATTGCAAACCATTTAAAATGAACTAGTTTACATTTTTTAAGACAGTAAAATTGCGCATTTTAATTTAGTGTTTTCTGTATTTTATTTTCCAGGAAATGAGAACCACCCCCCAAACGCAGACCAGAATCAAAATCAGGTGATGCAGCAACAGTATGTCACCTTTAAACCACACTCCCAGGCTTACAACAACCCCGTGTTGAAGAAGGGCATTCTGGGCAACTTTGAGCCATCCGAACCTGAGCCCCCAGGAGTGCCAGATGGGCCAGGGGAGGGGGCCAAGCCTTTCGTCCTGGGACCCGAGTACAAAGAGGCAGTGCAGGCTTCCATCAAAGAGTTTGGGTTCAACATGGTGGCCAGTGATATGATCTCACTAGACAGAAGTATCAGCGACATACGGCATGAAGAGTAAGTGCCAAAGTCATGTAACATACACTATTTATTTACATAATTTAGTTTTTTAGTTAAAACATGAGTCTATTTAGGAATAATATTCTATCTATATTTTAAAGATAGCATGTACGCATCTTAATATTAAGAGTTGTTACAGGGCGCACTCACACTAGGACTTTAAACTATGCCTCAAGCGCGATTGCATAGGGTTCTATGTTCCGCACTCACACCTGCACAACCGAACCGCCTGATGACGCCATCACACGGCACTGTTTGTTACTTGTGTTAAGGCTTTTAGCTGAGAGAAGAAGTCCTGCGGCAGAAATATCTATTAAATAGTGAGGCAGATGTGCGTCCTCTTATGATATGCCCTCCTCCATGAGTTTATGGATATAAAAACAGCGCAGAGCAGTGATGACAGCCGCAGACAAGAGGTAGCTAAACTTCTGTCATAGTCCTAATTGAAGGTAAGCACGACTTTGCCTTGTTTTTTGGAGCAGATTTTATTCACTGTTTTCCTCGTATGAGTAACAAACAAGGAACCGGACAGGGCTCATATAGTAAAGTTGTGTGTGTTCACATACATGAGCAACTGTGCCGTGCTTTGGTCCATCTCCTCCAAACGGGCCAAAGTCCCATTCTAAACTGTTCTAAAGTCCTAGTGTGAGTGCACCCGTAGATTAATAAAGATCTTGTAGATTATAGCATTTGTTAAAACTGGACTCAACCCGGACTCAACCCGGACTCGTCCAAAACTCAACCCGGACTCGTCCAAAACTCAACCCGGACTCGACCAAAACTCAACCCGGACTCGACCAAAACTCAACCCGGACCCGACCAAAACTCAACCCGGACTCGACCAAGACTATATTGACCAAGGGCACGTGTGGTTAGAGCACCTCAAAGTCAGAAGCTTAATTCCCAATCAGACCAATTTCTGCCATTGTGTCCTTTGTTAAGACATTCCACCTTGCCTAGTATGAATGTGGCGAGTGTTGCTGGTGGTCGGAGAGGCTGATTATGCAGATTGGCAGCCTCTTCCGTCTACCTTGAGTCTATCTCAAGACATCAGTGGCTACTACAGTATTAGGGCAAAGCATTATTATTCATCAGTTCAGTTCTTATTATTCATAGCATCTATATAATTATATAATGATTTTATTTTGGTGGTACTGGAAGGTAGTCATTTCAGGTGATTGCATATTGTTTGACAGTAACGCAGTTGTTTGACAGGTTTTCATCTCACAAAAGGCCAGTCTTTTCTTTTGTTTACCCAGAATGCATTGAGGTGTGCCTTGGACTCGCCCATAAAATATTAGCACTCAATTATTGTGTCATCTTAACCATTTCAAATATGGATAAGGACAAGGTCTGCCTCTCTATAGACATAACATAGACAATATAAAAAGGAGTGATGAAGTAAACAACAGCATTTGCAGAAAGAATAAACCTAAGATCAAACTGATCTTAGGTTTGAAAGGAAGCTAAAGATGGTGTGATTTATGTTAAAATACTTTTTTATGGGAATTGTGATTGTAAAAAAAATGGTATTAACTACATTTTAAATATTAAAAAGATGATTTAAAGGAATGTATCTGCCACCATGGGGATGTTATTGCTTTGCTTAGAATATTCCAAGGTATGGTATTAAATGTATCTATATTGCATAAGTGCAGTGTGATTGTGTAAATAAATTGGCCGACTTCCATGAATAGCTTTGGAATTTAAGTGTTTTTATTGCTCAAAAATGTATTGGAAAAACTCCTTCACAGATCTTACTTTACATGGCCAGGTGGTGTCCCATGCTTGTTTTGACTGAGATAAATAGATTATTGCCATACATTAGAACATTCAGTTTATCATTTCAGGATTAGTTGAATTTCAACATTCCAACATTCCAAGGAAAACAAAAACTCTTCATGGAGATGAGCAAGTTTTTTCTTTGCACCGTTAATGACAACTGATCACACTGTTGTGGTGAAATTATAGTGTTAATTAATTCATTAAATTTAGTTAGTTAGTTAGTTAATTAAAATATTCCTTGTGTCCTACAGATCTTAAGGATAAAGTTTTCTAACAGGTTTAACATGTATGACATGTCAAGTCTTGTAACATGCATATGATGAAGTGTGTTCTTACTCACATGCCAAAAGTAGAGCTTAGAAATATGCTATATAATGCAATTTAATTTAAATAAAACAATGTATAATTAGATATAGGCAGCACACAGCTGACTTGTTTGGTCCTCAAATCAAAGACACATTTTGCTCAAATACATGAGAAAAATATGCTAAATACTAAATACTATTAGTACTCAAGTAAGTTTAATATATTATTGCCCCCAGTTAATGTGAAGTTAACTGGGGCATTAAGTCATCCAACTAAATAAGATCTTCACTTAACCACAACATCACAGTCCTGAATTACTGGTTATGTAATATCTTCTGTCTGTTTCTCTGCATCTCTTGTGCAGGTGTAAATACTGGCATTATGACGACCGCCTGCTCACTTGCAGTGTGATCATAGTATTTCATAACGAAGGCTGGTCCACTCTGATGCGCACAGTGCACAGTGTCATCAAGAGGACTCCGAGGAGATACCTGGCCGAGATAGTCATGATCGATGACTTTAGCAATAAAGGTACTGCTCCTGATTATATTGGGTTTAGCTATGGAGGTTTGTTTAGACCACTTTAGACCTGCTTTTCTGATTCTGGCTTAGCTTCTGGCATTTTGAACCTGGTTTAGAAACTGATCTGCTTAGCCTTGTTTGCCTGATATCCAGAATACACTTATCCAATACTTTGAGAAGATGGTTACTGATGAATCTCTATGAGTTCAGATGGCCATAACTGACAGGTGGATTAACTAATTAGGGACGTGTATTGGCTTTCCGTATCAAAACAACTATGGCTACTTACGAAGAAAAAAAAAGAGGAAAAAACACAATAGCTTTATAAGAATCTGGTGAAAATAAAATGATTATAAAGCAGTACAGAGCTGACATCAACTGTGCAACCTCTAACGGGGGGATTGAGTAGGCTATCAGGAATAATTTGTATATATATTTTTCCAGAGCATTTAAAGGAGCGGCTGGAGAAATATATACAGCAGTGGAACGGTTTGGTCAAACTTCACAGAAACGAAAAACGAGAGGGTCTGATCCAGGCCAGGAGCATAGGAGCTAAAGTGGCCACGAAAGGACAGGTAATACTATCAAATGCATACACTGCTATGATTAAAATGAAGGGTTTAAACCTGCCAAGTCAAGTTACTGAAAGGGAAACTTGATCTACCCTTGAAACTGGCTGTACAGGTGTTAATGGTTTGTGTTTTGTAGGTGCTTATTTACTTGGACGCTCACTGCGAGGTGGGAGTAAACTGGTATGCTCCATTGGTGGCTCCCATTTCAAAGGACAGGTAATAAATCTATGCTCAGAGTTCTCAGATTTATTCTTTTGCATTTTGTTTTTTTGGGTAAGACTTGGAGCAAAACAGTGTAATATTATTCATCTATTGTTATTGTAATTACTGTAATAATGCATTTAATTTTACAGGAAGGATCTCATTAACCTTTTTTAATAACAAGATAGTACAGTTTTTTTAATGTGTTGCTGGAAGACAGGAATACTATTGCCTAAAATAAATGACACCCAATGATTTTCTTTTGAAGACAAATGTTTAGTTTGTCAAATCATTTCATGCCAGAAATGTAACCTATATATCCTATATGTCAACTCCAGAGAAAAGCTGCCTAAACTGCTCAAATATCTGAGTGGTCCTAATCTTCACAATCTGCTGTGGTGCAGACATTTATATAATGACAAATTACAGCTCCATTAAAAAAACTAATTTGGCTTCTTGGCTAATAAATGATTAGCATTTGTGATTAGCATACAGGTCAAACATAATGGATTCTAAGAAATCTTGCAACACCTGAAACGTGACTAGTGTCCTTTTTGCATGTATAAAAATTCAAAGTAGAAAGACTAAACACTTTCTGTAGAAACAATATGGCTCCACAAACCTGTGGCATAAGTTGGCATAAACCAAATAAGTATCAAGCTACATTAATTTATATTTTTATCGTTTATTAAGATACTCAGTAGCACTTATCTTTTTTACTCTTGAAAGGCTACATAAATGTTGCTACATAGGATACAGTTTGCTTTAAGCCTGTTTTTAGTATCAGGGAAAAGATTTCTCTTCTACCAAGCTAAATTCCTTATTGATCAGTGCCATCATTACGTCCAATTCCTGAATGGCTTAGCAACAACAAATCAAATCAACTGGTTGGGCATTCTTGGACATGGAATACAATAAATATAATGCATTTAAAAGGCCTCTCATTATAAGTAGTATTTTTGCCAGAGCGTTTGCTAACATAATCAATCAATAATAATAACAGACAATATTGGGGCTGTAGTTTCTGTCTGGAGCAGCCTGCAGACCACATCTTGTGCTTCTCTATAGGACAATTTGTACAGTGCCCCTCATAGATTACATAGACGGTAACGACTACACCACAGAGCCTCAGCAGGGGGGCGATGAGGACGGTCTGGCCAGAGGTGCGTGGGACTGGAGTCTGCTCTGGAAGAGGGTCCCGCTGAGCCAGAGAGAAAAGGCCAAACGAAAACATACAACTGAACCTTACCGGTAAAAAAACACTGCATTTACCATTCACTAATCACTCTACCATTCTTTTTTTCTATTCCCCATCTCATCACCCCACACCACTCTCTCTGTAAACTGTATGCTCCATTGGATTGCCATTTTTTTTGCCTGCTTGCTCATCCCTCCTCAACCACCATCAACGCCTCCGTCACCAAATTTGTTTGATCCACCTATCCATGCACCAATCCTTACCGAATCTGGATCAGAACGGTCTGTACAGTGCCCCTGATTGACTCCATTCACGGGCAGCAGTTCACGTTGGAGCCACAAGGGGGAGGCGACAAGGACGGTTTTGCCAGAGGAGCCTGGGATTGGAGCATGCTTTGGAAGAGGGTTCCACTCGGCGAAAGAGAAAAAAAACAGAGAAAGACTAAGACAGAGCCATATAGGTACTAACAATTCAAGTAATGGAAGTTATATGGCACAAAGTTAAAGAAATCAGATCTAAATCTACTTTAAGAATATACACTGTGTGTGTATATATGCGTGTGAGTACATATACTGTGTATATGTACTTTGCAGTGACATTACACTGGGGGTGTTCCACATATATGTATATTGCAGAATTTTCATCAGTTACTATGATGACAAAATGCATACATTAGCAAACACTGCAAACGTTTTTAGATTGTTTGAAAACTCAAAATGGATTTAAAGAACACATTTTCAGGAGCCTGTGATTAATTTGACTGTTTATGGTCCTGTTTAGATATTTTATTTTCAACAAAAAGGTGAGCCTGACTAACTGAAAAACTGCTGACTAATGCTAGTTAGCTTGTGACTATAAAGTTATTTGAGAGAAACGTTTAACAGTAAAAATCCACTCACCTGTTGTAGTTCTAAGTCAGTTCTACCTGGTCAGAATGTGTTGAAATAAAGCTCAAATTAAAGTCCAACAAGCGTCAGACAGGGCATGCCTACAGTAAGCATTACACCCCCAGGGAATGTTGATGAGATCAGCTGCAAAGTATCAATATACCACTCAATACTAATAATATACTACTACTAATATTTAACTTAGAAATGTATTAGTAAGTATATATTTCTTGAATTAAAAGTGCACTTGGAAACTTTTTTGGTGGAGGGTCCTCGTCTCTGTGGTAGGTGGTGGACCCTCGACCAGAAAATGACATCGTGCACCTTAAACTATAAACTACTACAATTAAATCCAGCATCTTTCTAGCACTTAAACTTTGTCTTGAAATAGGAGTTCTGAGCAGTAAGTACATATATTGACACTGTATTGTATTTTCGGTAGTTTGAAACTTCTGGTTTAATTTGAATTCCGGTCTGGGGCACTGCACACCCCTTCTATTTCATTCATTCACCCTATTCTGTCACCATTTTCAAGAAAACCTCACCTTTTCTGTTCTTATCATTGACTTCTTCTCTTATTATGTATTCAAATGTATCTCCGAACAGAAGAAGTTAGGCAAAAATGTATGCATTACTTCTCTTACCTGCATGTGCTAAATGGGCTTCTGCATATATATATATATATGTGTGTGTGTGTGTATATATATATATTATATATATATATGTGTGTGTGTATATATATATGTATATATATATGTATATATATATATATATATATATATGTGTGTGTGTGTGTGTATATATATATATATATATGTGTGTGTGTATATATATATGTATATATATATATATGTATATGTGTATATATATGTATATATATGTGTGTATATATATATATGTGTGTATATATATATGTATAATATATATGTATATGTATATATATGTGTATATATATATATGTGTGTGTGTGTGTGTGTGTGTATATATATAAATATATTATTATATATATATATATATATATATATATATATATTATATATATATATATATAATATTATATATATATGTGTGTGTGTGTGTATATATATGTGTATATATATGTATATGTATGTACTGGCATGTCTTTACGTTATTGGGGGAAAAGTATACATTTAAAAACATTCCTTTTGGCAGCCTGCATACCTTATGGATCATAAGAAAGACATTATTAAGAAAAGACATTATTAACTTGGCTTTTACAGCACAAGTTAATGACAAAAAGGTGCACTGTGTAACTTTTCTCTCTTTAAGCATCTTTGAGTTTCCCAGATAGCACTATAATATGATTTTTGTGGTGTCCGTCTATTCCTTCTCTCCATGGAACTACTAATGCTTTGCTTCCCATGTTCCACTGTACAGTAACAACTTGCCTATATTGGGGGTTATTCCTTAACGGTCCATATTACACTGTTTTCTGATCTATAATCTTGTTTTCTCATTACATACAAACATACCTGTTGTGTTTTGTTTATTTCACACAAGTTTAACACACAAATCCTGCATATTTAGATTGTGTTGTTCTCTCAAACAGAAAACACACTATTCCACCTTGTGATGTCATACAGGAAGTGCTCCACTTTGTTTTTAAACTCCATACACCTTCACTAGGATAATTTGGATAATTTCAGACCTGGAATTGCTCATCTCTACTGAACAAAAGGTAAAAGGAGTTATTATCTTGAAGTTATCTTGAAAACTATTGCTTCATGACATCACAAAGTGGAACAGAGCATTTTCAACTTCTGGAGATGTAGACAGACTAATAATAAAGGGTTACTCAAACAACACCAGGTATATTTTGGATGAGGTAACAACATTTTAACCTGACTTAAAGCTCACAAGAGTCAACTTAAAATGCTTGGCCCTGTGATATCCATGTCATCATGGATATACAGAGGTTTAATGTTTTACTGTGGAACATTTCAGGCAAATAAATAACATCTCCATGGAGACATGAAGGGGGTGGACCCTTTAAAAATGAATACAGTTGGTTTATTAATTGTAATAGAAGTAACACATTGTTATATTTAATGCATCATAACAACATAATATTGGCCAGCCCTCTCTGTAGAAGGCATTGGAAATAGTTATTGAGAGGTTGTTTAAGTTTTTTAAATTTTTTTATTTCTTTTGTTCCAGGTCTCCAGCGATGGCCGGAGGCCTGTTTGCCATTGAGAGAGATTTCTTCTTTGAGCTGGGTTTATATGATCCTGGATTACAGATCTGGGGAGGGGAGAACTTTGAAATATCCTACAAGGTAAACTGGAAACACTATAGCAGTTTGTGGTGTAGTTCTTCATTTCAGTCAGTTGTATAAATATATAAGGATCTGGCCTAAAACAGGCCGGGACAGATGGGATTTTAGCTTTAATGAGCACTAAATTAGGGCTGCACACATACCAAATGTTTTGGTATCACTACATAAGAACTTTAGCTTCCTTTTTGTGGTATACTGCCTATCATGAGGCAGTACGGGATAAGTGTGACACACAGTCTTTTGTTCTTATTTGAATGTATAACTTCTGCATTTAGTTAGCAAAGTTACATGATTAGCTCATTGCCATATCGCTACCATGGTTGCTACAGTTACAGTTAAATAGCTCATTTCTCACTTATACAAGAATACGAGTATCCTGGTTTCTCTAAGTGTGAGTAAACAACCAGATTAAAGCTCATAATACTCGAGAACGTGTAAATGCACTCAGTGAGAACTCCAATGGCTAACTGCTGTTTGTTAAGTGTACATAACGCACAAGTAGTAGCTTTGTCCCTACAGTCTAGAATCAACTGTTTTGACTCTAGAATGGACTAGCTTCATGTAAAACACAGAAACATCAAATATTTCAGACATTTACATGTGAACAGGCTTTACAGGTTCAGAGGTGAGCTATTTTGTAACTGTGGTATTTTTATCCATTATGAGTTGTTTAATGCTTATGGAACCCAGGACTGAATCAAGGCTAACAATGTACATACATTTTATGCATTTTTTTTTCCTATTCAAGTTTGTGATTTGTTGCATTAACTCTTGTTTTCATCTTTATTATGTTAGATTTGGCAGTGCGGGGGCCAGTTGCTGTTTGTGCCCTGTTCCAGAGTGGGGCACATCTACAGACTGCATGGGTGGCAGGGCAACCCTCCTCCAGCTCACGTGGGATCTTCACCAACACTCAAGGTTAGACTCACACTAGTCAATAACACAGAGATCCTACATATCACAGATTACTGTAAGAAGAAACATTGCAATAAAGGCTGCATTTTAAAAAATTACATATAGCAGCGGTTTTCAATAGGTGAGGCGCACCTTCCCTGGGAGGCGCCAAAGAGCCACTGGGGAGGCGTGACACAGGCACACTAAACCAGGACTGATCCCAGAACTAAAAGCAAGGACAGGCTCGGAGGTGCGCCCACGCAGACTGTCGGGTGACCGCAGGCAAAAGGACCGGCGCAGAGCTCCGCTCCTCACAGAGCCAAAAGCAGAAAATTCTGAAAACTGAAAATTCTGTCCTGCACAGACCTCTTGCTCGGCGTTCTACCTTTCTCTCTCTCTCAAATCCAAGATTAGTCCTGGTTTAGTCCTGGTTTAGTCCTGGTTTAGTCCTGGTTTAGTCCTGGTTTAGTCCTGGTTTAGACCTGGTTTAGACCTGGTTTAGTCCTGTGTCCTACTGATGTTCAATGATGTTAAAAGTCACCTCAGTTAGGCCTGCAAAAATTGTTTATGAATGGATGAAATATGAAAATACAATATTAAAAAAATATTATCAGCTGTTACTGAAACTCATCAACTGTAAGGGGAGGCTCACATTCACCCAATTTGAAAACCCCTGACATGTAGCATTCATTTTCATTCTTACTGTTAAATAGATAGAGGCAATAGTATGTGACCAATATTCTTTATTATTATGTCATATGAAATAATTGAAGAATGTTTAAGGATTTGTAACTTCTCAATTAAATGGTTAGGATTCAGAGTTTGGGTATTAGTTAAGTAGTCACTGTGTAGTGTAGTTATTATAATGTGTGACCCAGAAATTATTATATCATTACAATTAAGTGTTACTAGAGGAACACACAATGATGTAATTGGGCTTTTTGATGTTAACTCTTATGCTATCTGCAGAATTATGTGCGCGTGGTGGAGGTTTGGTGGGATGAGTATAAAGACTATTTTTACGCCAGTCGCCCTGAAACACTCACTCTGGCCTATGGAGACATCAGTGACCTCAAACGCTTCAGGTACATTTACATGTATTTATAAATATTGTATTGCATTTTCCTTGTGAGTCCCAAGTTAAACATTTTACACTTTAGTTACATTTTGGTTGCCTGTACAGTCAAAACTACATACCTTTCCTGCACTATAGTTTAAGAAGTGTAGTTAAGTCCCTGGTCCTGCCTTCTAATTGCCTGGCATTATTTTTTATACAGAGGGATATCAGTCTGGTCACCACTCCCTCCGTCCTGTCTCAAGCCAGGATCAAACATGGCCAAGCAATGAGATTAGTTTTTCAGTGACACATGTGAAATGAAGGAGCTCATTGGCCACTCATCATTTTGAAGAAAACTGAATGTAGTGCTTTGCTCCCTGATTCTGATGAAATCTAAAATCTGTTTTTCGGTCCCATATGATTTTTTTTTTTCTAATTTTCTATGCCATATTTGTTTTGATATGGACAGACCATGCATATCCCTGACTGGTTAATCCACCTGTCAATCATTCCCCTCTGAAGTCTGGAATATTAGCTGAAATAAACAAACCTGATTGGACAGCTTTTAGTTTGGCCTGAGATGCAGAGGAGGGGATTACCAGACTCAGAGATCTCCTGTATTAGAAAATAAAGAGAGAACCAGTCTATGGTTTTAGTCTATCAACAGATGATTAGCATTGTCACAGTCCAGAACAGACAACTGATAGTCTAACTAAAAACAGGCTAAATGTAAAAATGTCCAAATTAAATCTATAAATGACAATAATTTTGTTATAGGAAAACAAAACAAAAAAATCTCAAAGACTTTTAGACCAAGGCTATGTAAAAGTATAATTAAAGACTGCACAAAAGGGTTAATTGAAAAACATGTCCAAACTACTTGTGACTTTAGTAACTCCAGTGTGTAGTGAATCACCTCTTTATGCTGAGTATTTGGGGTCAATCATTTCTTGTCATTATTTTTCTTTCAGAGAGGAGCACAGGTGTAAGAGCTTCAAGTGGTTTATGGAGGAAATCGCATATGACATCCCTCTGCATTACCCTCTGCCTCCGAAGAATGTGGAATGGGGAGAGGTCAGAACCTAACAGTGTTACAGACTATTTTATTTAGCTAATTATAGGTGCTGTACCACATTTTTGACATCCTCAAAAAGTGAAAAATAGAGCTACTTCATTTGAAACTGTTTGCAGTGGCCCCAACGTATTCGTCACTTTCCTAAAGCAATTCTAGAATTCAAATTATTCACAACAATTAGTTTATAAGAAATGTTCACGACTTTTAGAGCATTAGCCTTAGTTTCTGGTTCGCTGACGATAAAAACTCTTTAAAATAAGATGCAGATGACACACAGTGGTCTCTTTTTGGCCTTGAGCTGTTTTTACATTATGTCTGTAATGGAGTAAAACATTTTTTATTGAACTATTTGCACAGTTTCGACTTAAACAAACTTTACAAAGGAAACTCACTAGCGTACAATTAAAATAGTTCTGAATCAATTAATAGTAACAAAAGCAAATAGAGTGGTAATTAATCTCTAAATATTAATAGTAACAAGGAAGTTGTGGATAATTGGACAAATATTTATATTTGCTTATGTACAATAAAAAAATTAAGTTTAAGTAAATATGAACCCTCTTATATTAAATTTTGTTGCAGATTCGTGGCTTTGAGACAAGTTACTGCATTGACAGTATGGGGCACAACAATGGAGGCAATGTGGAGATTGGACCCTGCCACAGAATGGGAGGCAACCAGGTAATCAAGAATAATTCACCCCATACAGACCTATAGAGATTGGTACTGTACTGTATTATATACTGGATTTTTGAAACAAGCATTTTTTAAGTATTTAAATTCTTTTGCTCTGTGGTTTTAGTGCCAATGGGAAAAAAATGGTGTAAACTGAATATATACAAAAATATGTATTTTCTCTTCTTTGGCGAAATAATTAATATCCTTTTATGAGCAGGCAGTTTAATTGATTAAAGCAAAAACAACCTTTCTAGCCTCCTGCTACTCAGCAATAAGTGTGAGGGGATCAATAGGCATTTTAAATAATAGATTTTGTGTATTTGTGCAGTTGTTCCGCATTAACGAGGCCAACCAGCTGATGCAGTACGACCAGTGTCTGACCCGAGGCAGCGACAACTCTGCTGTCATCATAACTCACTGCGATCAGAACCAGAACAACGAGTGGAAATATTTTAAGGTCAGAAAAACAAGCACTAAATCAAGTCCAAAATCCTGGACTGAGTCGACTGACAGTGATTAACCAGTACCCAGGCCCAAGCATCAATAGCATCTTGGAACCAGTATAACTGTGTATAACTGTTTTTCCTTGTATTGATCATTCATAATTTTTTATAAAATTTTACAAATAAATAACTACAAAAAAACATAAACGTAAAAGACTTCTGTGTTTAGAATCCTTCAGTCGTCCATATAGAGTTCATGGCAAAGGAGAAATTTTATTTGTCAACTGAACAAACGTTTATTTAGACTTTTAAACATTTATCCAGTTGACAAATTGAATTTTTCCTTTGCCATAAAAGACTTTTAATCACTGCAATTTAACACCACAAATGATCACATTTCTTTTGTTCCAAACCAAATGCTTTTTTGGTTGTAGCCCTCTCACTTAATAAGACCCAAGGTGATCATGGATGATTCAAAATAAGTGAATCTTGATCTTGAAACTCAATAAATTGCACAACCCTTCTAGTAGACATGATTTTTATCTCAAAGTTTAGTATTCTTGAAGGCATATAAAAAGATGTTAAGCACTTTAACTTTTTTGGAAAATGTACAGTTAACTAATCTACCTTGTCTGTTTTCCCAGGATCTTCACCGGTTCACTCATATGCCAACAGGTAAATGTATACATTCTAATATACTGTATGTCCAATCATATGCTATTATGTTCAATAGCTAAGGTCCCCCTCTTCAGTCAGTTTGTCAGACAGTTAATCTTTATCCTTCACTCTACAGGAAAATGCTTGGACCGCTCCGATCTCCTCCATAAGGTTTTCATCTCAGATTGTGACAACAGTAAAACCACACAGAAATGGGAGATGAACAACATTGTGGCCGTATGAGGACCTTAACGGAGAACAAAACTTGCACTAAATGTCAACCATTTCTTATCCCCATTTATGGAGGAATACAGTGGAAATAAGGGGACAAAATACCACACCATGTTTACAAAGGCTCATACTGTCCTCTAGGGGGAGACATTTTGAAGTTGGATGAAGTTTGAATGAACAGCGTCAAGGCAAGGCTAAGAATATTTTGGCACATCAAAAGTTGAACAAGATAGCACTGAAATTATGTTGGATCAAAACACTATAGTCACGATGCTCAAGTTTATTGAAAATACGTTATGTAACTTTTCAGGATGAGGGTCTGCCACTTGCTTGTCTCTGTGGGGGTGGTATTGTTTTGCCTGTAATAGATCACAGTATAAAGTTATCTATTGTGCATTTACAGAGTTACAGGTGTTTTAATTGTGCAAAATCCTCTTGAAAAACAGTGAGGGTTGCCTTTCCACATATCTGACCTCTAACTTGGCTGCAAGTTTAATGCCATACTTTTACAATGTTCTAGGCAAAGCAATAATATAACTGTAGACAAGTAACTCATGACCCCTCCATTAGAAAAGTTACATACCTTTAAAGCTGCACTGTGTAACTTTTCTGGTGAGGTGGTCTGCCACTTGTTTGTTGCTATGGAGAATTCATAGTTTTGCCTAAAACTTTATGTAGTATGCCCTAAAACTTACTTATGTTGCTTGAATTCAATTAGTAAAAATACCTTGAAAACATGCATTTGTATTGTCAGCAGGGTTCTCTTCATCTAAGTTATAACTTTGCTCGGTATCTCCATGGGGATAAATGTGTTTACAAGCAAGTGGCAGACCCACACAGACAAAGAAGTTATACAGTGCACCTTTAAGCTCGGTCTACTAGTTTAAATACTAATTTTTAATTTTAGTTAATTTAGACAATGTCAAACATAATGGACTGATTCAAAGCTATTTTAATCATCTTTAGTCATATCAGAATGACCAAAATGGCACTGAAATTATGTGGAATCAAAACGCAGATAGTCAAGATACTCACCAGTTACTAGGCTTAGTCCACACTGGCCTTAATAATAATTTATATTTTCCATTAAATAAAAAATGATAGCTCTACATTACTGCATTACTGAAATTAATTCTGTTGAGTCAGTACTCAATGTCAAAAAGTACAAAAAAAAAAAAAAGCTGTAGGTCTATATTTTTTTATTTATTTTAATATGTATTTTTCAAGTGTGAACAGGCTTGAGATAATGCAGACAGTAGAAAGGACATTGACACATTTAGGTGAACAAGATGGCTCTAAAATTATTGTATCAAATTATATAATATAATGGAAATATATTAAATAATACCTTACGATGTGTCCACACTAGTTGCCCATGCCATATTTTTTTACTCCAACAAATCATGATTCACAAACCTGATTCTGAAATGGCATAATTCAACCAATTCAATTGAACCAAAACAATGCAAAAGAAGGCTTAAATAAAGAAAATCCTGAAAAAAATCTGCCTTTTTCACATTTAACTTAAAAAAAAAATTCTATAATACCAATTGTTGCAGTATATTCATTCTTGAATATCTGGCAATATATCTTAGAATGGTGGAAAATGATGCCCACTCCAGAGATCAGGAGACTAAACGACAACCTCCTCCTGAGAGACAGGAGACAAGATAACCACTCCACAGTAACACAGGGATAACATACACACTCCACTTAAAGCGATCGGGAGTCTAACCCACAACCTAATCTAGAGAAACAAATCTGAATACCAGTTGTTTTTTGACACTAATTACACAAATTTGTATTGCCCTGACAAGATCACTGTAATCTTGCTTTCATTTGTTTTATTTTACATATATTCAGTTAAGGCCTATTCTTAAAATTATTGAAAATGTATTGACTTTCTGCCATAGTTCAGTAGCTGACCAATCAACTGTGACTTCAAACTGCCTGAAACCTGAAGAAGAAAAGACTAGATTTTGGGGATTTTTTGAATAACTTGATTATGTTTTTTGGGGGGTAAAAATATTTTGAATGGGTTTGGTGGTGAATGAATGATGTTGTGATAAAATATGTAATGTTTTTTTTACAAATGTAAATATGTTTCTTTATAAAAATCATGATGCATTTTGTGAAGGGGCTTGAATTATGTAAATATTAAGTTATAAGAGATTTAATAATTCTATGGGGTGAGACTGTGGGAGAAGAATAAAGAGAATGGTTTCTATTTGGTCTATTGTACTTTGTATTCAAAATATTAACATGGATGATGTGTGGTAGTACATGGCAACCAAATTTAATGAAAATTGCAACAACAAAAAATGTAACTGAACCGTGACCACTCAAAGTCTGGTCTGAAAGTAAATTTCTCATTTATTTTTCCCATAGACCTCTAGAATGAGGTATTAAAAATTTGTGGAAACTAACGACCACATTAGTTTCTGAAACTTTACACAACCAAGATATTAAAAGCCATACCTTGTGTCTTAAATGTGCTATTTGGAAGTAAAACAACTGCATTGTGAATATTAGTTACCACATAGCTGATTAGCCTCTGCGATGTCTTTAACTCTTAATATTTTACATTTTTTGAACAATCTATGGGAAAAATGAATGGAAATTTTACTTCCAGGCAGTCATATATTTATGGGTTATTTATGTGTTATGTGTTTTGCTCCTAACCTTTTAAATTTAATTCAGTTCAATATATCTTTAACCCTGAGGAACAATTTAAGAACTATGTAAATTTTCTGGTTAAGGATGTGTCAGGCCATCAGGTCAAGTTACAGGTGAGATCTGTGGTGAGGCGAGCTCACTCATAGTAAGGAGTAGTAGCAGTAGTAGTATTTTCTTTTTCCAAGGCATTTTTGAGCAATAAAAACATCTAAAATATACACTGGAAAAGTTACATAGTGCACCTTAACACTGAAACATTGGACAATTTGTGTTTAACAATATTTTATGCACATTTTAATGTTTTTCTAAACATAGCTTTTGAAGTTATCTATGATCATTTATACTCAATTTTTCTATAGTTGGATGGCTCAGTCATCAATAATTAGTGCTTTAGACAAAAATGAGTAAAAAAAAAAATAATTTAATGGTACAATAGTAATATCGCAATGAGATGCCATTCTAAGCTGGAGTCCAGTCTCTTCATGACCTCCTAACCTTTGTCTTTTACTCTGGGTACCCCATTACTCGGGTAATGGTGATTCTTCTTTATCATTTGTTTACTAGCATAATGTCAATTAATGATCTTACAAATCCTACAAAAACGTAAGGAATGTGCTTCAGTTATTTTTGTCCACTGATCTAAAGTTTGGTGGTTCAAATCCCACTCTTGACATAAAACATTATTGGTGGAGCGGTTAGATCCATTGATGCACAGGTGCTATTCCAACTGTTGTTGTGTCCATTGCCAAGACACTTAACCCATCTGACCCTCAGTTTCTGTGTACAGAAGTACCCCATGGTGCAGTTCCCTGGTTCCTGTACTGCTAATTGGAAAATACTGCTCTACACAATTGTGAATACAAGACTGAATTCACCTTTGATTTACCTCCCAGTGTTTAACCCATCCCCTCTCTCCTTCCCTCTGCCATCTCTCTATTCTTCTCTCTCTCCTTCCCCCCTCCTTTACCCCCCCTTTCTTTCTTTCTTTCTTTCTTTCTTTCCTGTCTCTCTCTATCTCTTTACCTCCACCCACCACCGCACTCCCCCTCCTGCTCTCTCTTTACCTCCCCCCTCACCTCTCCTTCTTTCTTTTTCTCTCTTCTCACTTCTCTCGACCCGCCACACCCCTTCTCTCTCCCTCTACTCCTCTCTCTTACTCCTCTCTTTACCCCCCCCACCCCACTTCTCTCCTTCCTCTCTTCACCTCCCACTCTTCTCTCTTTTACTTCATCCCACCTCTCTCTTCTCTCACTCAAATCACCTAACCCCCCCCCCACTCCAATCACATAATTCCTCTCTCTCCATGTCTCTCTTCCCCCCACCCCACCTCTCTCTTTCTCTCCCCCTCCTCTCTCTCTCTCCTCTCTTTCCTTGCCTTCACTGTGTGTGGGGCACCTCCAGTGGACTTCCAGGACTCGGCTTCAGGACGCTGCTCGGATTTGGGCCTAAAAGAGGATTATCCTTGGGGTTCTGGGACTGGGTGGACCATGGCTCCGTCCGGGACTAGTCTGGTCCTACTTTTACTGCAGTTTGTACTCATTTGTACCGCTCAGGTGAGAAAAAATTTCACTACCTATCTATACAGACATCTTAGCCAAAATTAAGGTAATCACATGTTCTTTGCAGTATGCAATAGCCTAAAAGTACTATTTGTGAATCTATGTAGTAACAAAGGAGCTGTTTGAATTAGAATATACTATGTATGATTAGGGTACAGTCCAGGACTGAATGTAAGATTGTAGTGAGCGAGCTCAGAGGAGCTGATGACACAGATTGACAGCCTTTCTTCCAGTGCACCCCAGGGCATCTGCGGCTGCACAAGTGGTTAACAAGATTAAAGACTAAATATTGCATTATCATGTGCTATAATAAATAAATAAAAAATTATTAACAATGAATAATGAACTTGTTAAGAAGGATTCAGGGTTAGTAGTACTAAATTAAAGGTTATGGTTATGGTATTAATTAAGTAGTTATTAAGCCTGAAAAATTCTTAATAACCCCCCATAATGAACTACATCTTTGTTCATGCTTTACTAAAGCTAATAGAAGTGTAGTTAGTTAAGTGTTACCAACAAGACACAACTTTTGTTTAGCAGATTTCCTACACACTGAATCTTCTATAAGTTTAGAAAATTTTACTCACATATTTTGTGTTGCTATATTTATTTAATTTTCTATATAATTCACACACATCAATGCCTCGCTCTCTCTCTCTTTCTCCCCGGACCCCCTCCTCACATGTAGACCCTCAGACTAACAGTTCTATAATTGATGCAGGTTTGAGCCGGGACCTTTAGCCTCACATGGCTAACACAAAGAGCTCTGTGTTAGCGTCTGCTGATTTCTACAGGATAAACTGATGGTATTCAGATCATTTTCATGTAAAGGTCAATTATCCCACTGCTCTGAACAAGTTTCTGTCTAGACATTGAGGAACAGAGAAAATGTAAGATTGCTATAATGTAAATTTCTGATCAGAATAGCTAAAATTTCTGATAATAAAAATAATAATAATACTTGAATTCTTGAAGAAATATCTACAAATTTCTCTACACAAGTGTAAGATCTTTTATTGTCTATAAGTGCAAAGAGGTACTGAGGATAGTGTAGCAATTGTACTAATAGTTATTTCAGTAGAAGTAACTTTTGGTCGTACAGTGGCTGACTAGCATTGCTTGGTTTAGATTTGCCTCTGACCTACTCCTCCCAACACTGCCATGGTGCCCTTGAGCAAGAAACTCTGGTAAATATAAGAACTGCACTGTGCCATTCCCCGGTCCCAATAAATAGAGAGTGGTGGGTCAGTTAGTAATTTGCAAATCAAGTTATGATTGCACCATTAGATGTTTCAATTATTTCAGGTAGAACAGTTGTTCAATAAATGGAAAGTAACTTTAAACTTGTTTCGAAACCAATTTTCATCTAAGCATGTGGTGAAAAATGAAGCAGACGTAGAAGTGCCTACTATCTCTCTTCAAATTGTTGAACTAGGTAACTGTCCAGGTCAGGATCCTAGATGCACAAGCGCTCCTATAGTAAATATTATATATTCAATATTATTGAAATCATCAGCTCCAGAGCTCCAGATCTATAAAGCTCCTCTCTTTGAGCCTTTGTGCTGCTGTGTGTTCCTCTGTACTGACCACAACAGTCTCACCAGTGTGATCTGAGTCTTAGTTAGCCCTGTGTATGTACATGTGTGTTCTGAAACCGTTTGAGTTTGACCTGTTTATGTCTCACAGAGGGGTCCTGTTGGCCCCAGAGGTCCCCCAGGACCCCCAGGACCGGCAGGAGTCCCTGGAGTCGATGGCATTGATGTGAGTATCACTGTACAGTTGGTCATTTTAATGTGTTTTTGTTGATTCTTGAACTAAGTCTTGCATGCAGTCACTCACACAACAGATACACTGGCCTGGATGCGTTTCAGATGTGGAGGGTCTTCTGATCTTGTCCTAGTGGATGGGTTTGGAAATGGGCGGGTTTTAATTATATTTTCTGGTGGCATGTTTCTTAATTGGGCCTAGTTGAGAATTCATCAACTTGTCGCAGAAGGAAGAACTACCTGTGGAGATTGAGATCATGCATAGTAAATTGTGTCATGTGAGTGTTTTGGGGCAAATCTGCCATTTTTGTTGACAGTTAGAAAAGTGAAAGTGTAATTATTTACCCTGGACACAGTGCAGGGAGGGGCTTCCTAAAGTCTGAGAACATGTTGTGTGGGTCAATCTAGTCTTTATTCAGGGTTCAGAATTTCTTTCCATGTCTGGGCGGATTTCCTCCAGGCACTCCTGTTCCTTTCATCAGCCTAAAATATGCACAATATCTAGAATCCTCCAGCTAAGGTAGTCCTACGTAAGCCTAGCTAAAGATCTGGAGATGGATCCCAGAAACTGTATAAAAGTGGAATAAGGGAGTGTGACATCACCCATAGTGTTCAGCTCCACTCAAATGAACCTTGAGATGCTAACGGTTACAGAAGTGAATTGGGAGCTAGGCTCCATATTAGTTTTTACAGAAAAATTAGCCAAATAAAAACCCCTGGGTTGTGTAGAGCAGGTTAATAGGAACATTTTAAGACCAAAATGACAAGGTTCACAGCAACAGTTACAGAGAGAGGGGCTTTAATTTTAATAAAAAACATTTTCAACATGATTACAAATCTCCAGTTCTCTTTACTAAAACATTTTTTTTGCTTTGTTTTGTTTTTTCAGGGTGACAGAGGAGTGGACTCCACAGTAGACGGTGGGCCAGTGAGTACAGACTGTGTGTAAATGAATGGATGAACATTGATGAAGAAATCTTTATTTAAAGCAAATCTTTGTCTTCATTTCCAGGGCCCCGATGGTGACAATGGTAAAGACGGAGCAGATGGAGCTCCAGGACTTGCAGGAGCTGATGTAAGTGTCACAAAAGGTGTCAAAAACATAATTATTGCATTTTCAAGATTTTACAACATAGATACATAAGCCTTTAGCATCTGACTATACAAAGCCTTTCACCTGTCTGTGATTTCAACATATCAAAGTATTACTATTAAAACCTTTATTCAATAAAAGGTCTGTGATTGTTCAAAAATCTATTGAAAACCACACCTCTCCACAGATTTGCTCTGTAACTTTGACCTGGTGATGTCATTTCTTTCTTTACATGAAGATAGATAATTTTAATGCCATAATGTGGAATATTACAAGCAAAGCAATAACATTGCCATAGAAACAAGCAGGTGGCTCTCCACCAGAAAGGTAATATGGTGGCATCTTTAACATTAACCTTTTCTATCAGTTGTATGGTAAAGGAAAATTTTGACTGTAAAATCCGAAGCATTGCATATTAAACTCCAGCTCTAAGTATTTGTCTGTGTTAAAACTGGGTACCCAGCTTAATTTTCTGGTGACCAATTAACCAAATGATCTTGACAACCACAACAAAACCCCTGTAGACACATGTAGGATATTAGCAGCCAAATTCCAGCCCTGATTCACTGCTGTTGAAACGTTTTTCTTGGCTTCTCTGAGTAAATGTGAGAGGAGAGAAATCACTGTTACCTGAATGAGAGCTATTTTTGTACAGAGGGTCCAGTGGCAGGGACAGGCTCAGCTTTGTTTGAATTCAACCGGGATCATTTATCAGAGTAGAAAGAGACCAGTGTAGCAGAGCAAAGTGTTTCGGAAATGGTTAAAAAAAAATGATTGAGAGAACCACACATAGAGGTCAAAATAAGGTCACAGGCACCACTACAGGGAATTATAATGGATGGTAAAAAAAAAAAAAAAAAAGACTATAAACTGTCTTATCTTACTGCTTGCTTCACTGAAAACTTCTTAAGACTGTAGGTTCAATTCCAACATTACACTTGTGCACACACAAAGGTTGGGTTTAGATCTCACACAGGGAAAATACATAAACTTGCCTGGACTAGAAAAGAACCAAACCATATGTACTAAAGCGGAAACAAACCAGGACCAGTTTGCATATTCTGCCTGTGTCTGGGTGTGTTCTGGTTTCATCCATTAACGTAAGACATGAACAATAAACCTGTTCATCAGATAACCCTACAGTAATGACAGTATGTTTAGTGGCTAGCACTCTGTCCTCACTACAAGAGGGTCTAGTTCCTGGGCTGGGTAGAAGTTGCTTGTTGTCCCTGTGTTTAGATGTGCTTGCTCTGGGTGCTCCAATTTTCCTCATCAAAATAAAACATATACAGTTTGTCTTTCAGCTAGCAACTCTGAAATTTTATTCCCACTCCTAGTTAATAGTCTAGCCTTGCAACGAGAAGATCCATGGTTTGATTTTTTGATCTAATGGGCTTTTCTTTGGGGGAGTTATAAATAGGAAATAATAAAAAAAACACTTTAATTGACCCATAATTAACAAATATATATGTGACTTTGTGTTTTCATGCAGGGACCAGTAGGACCTCCTGGAGACCCCGGACCAGTCGGACCTCCAGGACCAAAAGTGGGTTTATTTTGTGATGTTATTGTGTTTGTTATTTTAGTACAAATGTGATTATTTTAATGTTGCCTGGGCTGTGTGTGACGATGTTTGGTTTTAGGGGGATCCCGGACCTCAGGGACCTGCAGGAGAACCAGTGAGTAAATGCAATTCATTCTGGCCTTAAAAATTATGTGTGAGTTAGGACTGCAGTTTTTCTTTTGATGATATGCAAAATAAGAATATTGACTATATTATATTAAAAATAATTTAGAAGTGGCTGTCATATTGGTTTTGATGCAATAGAAATCATGCATTTGGTTGAGCTGCCTGTCAATCACACCCATTGAACCAAGGGAGAATTCAGAATTGTAAGGAATAGAAAATCAGTCTGGCTGACCAGGCTAGTGACACTGTTGTTTATTGTTGCATTGTTATCTTGGAGTTACAAGGGGCAATTTCTAAAAAAAAAACAAAACAAAAAAACAAAACACTAGCACTATTCTGTTATAATTATTCTCTCTTTTCTCTTGTAGGGAGTTGGCCCTGATGGACTTGATGTAAGTATTCTTTCACATTTACTACAGCAAACCATACTTCAGGTACGTTCTAAAGGTACTATAGTGATGAAGTGTATGAAGTAATAGGGGTTTTTGTTTGTTTGTTTGTTTGTTTGTTTGTTTTAATAAAATTTCATATTTAAGTCAAACAAAATACATAACAATACATTGTTATTTTCAGGGTATTCCAGGCACAGATGGACTCCCAGGTGAACTCGGGAAAGTTGGACCTCCTGTGAGTAAATGTATACTTTTAGTGAATTATATTTCTAAACACAAAGATCACAAAATACCTATTCACAAAAGATGGCATTGCTAATGCCATCAAATTTGTAACTTGCAGTATGATTTTATTAAACATCTTATTTTTTGCAAACTTAAGTATCTGGAAAAGCTCCACGTGCACATTTTTGCTCAGTTACACAAATCAAGACTTTTGTTTTATATGAAAATTAAAATCATTTTAAAAATATGTTGTTGTTTTTTTTTCTTCAGGGCGCCAGAGGAAAGAGGGGACCAGTGGGTCTTCCAGGTCCAGCCGGGCCTCGGGTAAATTCCACTTTCTTATGTGCTATATTTATATAATATAGCACATGCAATTTAATGTTAGTTGAGGCAAAACTAACTTATGTTTGTTTCAGGGGGCTCCAGGAGTCTACCAGGGAGAGGAGCTGGTGAGTTTAGCTGTAAAGGCAGAATAATGATGAGCCAACAAGCCCTAAGTAACCAAACTAACTGAGGCTGATCACTGCATACTTGTGGGATTGTGAACAGCGCCCCCTAGTTATAAGACTATTCCTTGACCTCAAATAGACTCCTGTGTTTTTCAGTGTCCAAATGCCTGTCCCTCTGGTCTGCACGGACACTCTGGACTGCCAGGGATGAAGGTAAAAACAAATCATTTCAAATCAGCTTCTACTATTGTATGTTAGACTTCAGTGCACTGTTTTACTTTTTGCATGTTGTTTTTAGGGTCACAAAGGGGTCAAGGGTGAATCTGGTGAACCTGGGAGACAAGGACATAAGGTGAGGATTCCTAAAAGCACTGAATGGAAACAAAGTCACTTTAGGCCATTCAAGCAAAGAGCGATCAGCAAATCTACATGTACATTAAACAGTAAACAGAGCTGCTACTGTATGTATAGAGCAGGTTGTGCAATGTTATTCAATATTACACAATGCACTACACCCGGCTCATTTCTACCTTGCTGGATTTACAAGACCACTGTATATGACAAGTATAGCAATAAGACAAATATTTGCAGGGGGGACAAGAAAACTCCATGGATTAACACACTATCTTTTTGAACCAAAGACACATCAGATGGTTCCGCAGTACGTCCAGGCTGAGATACCAGTTACTCAATTCATCAGATAAGTTAATAATATAATAATGAATCTTTATTTATAAAGCACTTTTAAAAACAAGGTTTACAATGTGCTGTACAAGCAGCAAAGAACAATAAAAATAGCAAACACAAAGCATACAAAATCAAACAATGAGGCAATCAGTTCAATTAATTATAATAAATGAGTTAATAAAATAGAATAAATATAAACAAGGAACAAAACCAGCTAAAGGAAGGCTAACTGATAAAAATTCGTTTTAAGAAGTGATTGAAATGATAATACTGATTCTAGCCTTATAACCTCAGGCAGGTCATTCCAAAGCCATGGCGCCCGGACTGAAAAGGCTCGATCACCTTTTGTCCGTAGCCTGGACTTTGGAACAGCTAACAGGGACCTGCCTGAGGATATAAGGCTGTGGGAGGGCTTTTTGAAAAAAAAAAAAAATAAATTAAAAAATCTTAACAGGATAACCGGTCAGGTCATCAGATCACGTGTTAGGGCTGTCTGAGGAGAGCAATAGCCCTCAGGACCAAAGTATCCCACTTCTATGTCCTGCAGCATCACAGCAGCCTCCAGGGGGAGCCAGGGGAACTGTGAGACAGAAAAGGAAAGCTCTCTCCGAAGCTTCTCTCAGCTCTTTTCCCTCTCCTTGTTTTTGGTTTGGGGTTGAGATGAGCTATATAAACTAGTATTTCTCTGGCTCCTCTTGTTCTCAGATTTACTGCTGTTTTACTACCATTTTGTTCTTAGGCAAGACACTTGATTGATTAGACTGCTAGCCATGTTTTGATCAGTCAGTCCCAGGACAACTGAAGTTTCAGTAATAGATTACCATCACTACAAATGAGATTGAGGGTTGAATATAGCAGTTCAGAAACAAAGTCCAGATCAAAATATTTTTATTTAATATGAATCTCTCTGTTTTCAGGGAGAGGAGGGAGACCAAGGAGCACCCGGAGAAGTCGGAGCCCAAGGATTACCAGTAAAATATTTCAACATTACAGAAATGCACAAACTACAGCCTCTAGGTGTGAGAGTGATTTTGTTTTCATGTTTTTAACGAGGTTGTGTTTGTTCGCTGAGTAATTCTAGGGCCCAGGAGGACCTCGAGGATATCCAGGAATTATGGGCTCCAAAGGCGACAGGGTGAGGCAAAGTGCAATGATAATAACAAATTTTAGCATTTTGTTTAGTTCTTCTTGTGGTGCTGCTGCTCATAATGTATGTCATAATCAACTTCCGTTGTGATACATTATAATTGCTCCAAGCTTAACTCATAATTTTTCACTTTTCCAGGGACCGAGGGGTAAATTTGGAGATCTTGGTCCTCGTGGGATTCCAGGAGCTCCAGTGAGTTGATTTCTCTACCTAGAATGTCAAATGTGATTTTAAAAAAGGATTGAAAATGATCTAAAACTGTTCATTTTTAGGGAGATCCCGGTCAAAGAGGATCAATTGGAGAAACAGGCCACATCGGAGCTGTGGTGAGTTATTTATAAGAAATGACAGAACAATATAGCATAGTTTCAACCTTACTCCAAACCAGTGCATACAGTCATTGTGTCCTTGGACAAGACCCTTCATCCACCTACATACCGTATATTGTCCATACATATGAATTTAAACTGTGAAAACTGTAAGATTAGTAACTTCTGTCAGTTAGATTCAGCTCTAAGGTTTTACCATCTAGAAAAAAGACAAATGCATAGTTATCAGTAAACAAAAAGAAGTCAGTTGTTTCTCAGCTAGTTCTGTTATCTAGTTATTTCACAGTTGTCACTTTCTGGTGTTATGTATAGTGGAAAATCTTTTTGGAAAAAAACAACAACACTGTGGCTTGTGTAGCTGGTGATACAGTAAATGGGGGCTTCAACGTTTTGTAAAATGGGTCTACTGACTAATTGTTCTAATCTACTGAGTTTGTTTCTTGTATTTTATTTTTATGTTTCTGTGTAGGGTGACCCTGGTCCAGCTGGGATCAGAGGAGTTCCTGGACCAAAGGGAGAAACAGTCAGTGTCCTGATTTACTCATACAGATTACATATGATCGTGCTGCATTTCCCCTCTTGTGTTACAATATAAACTATTGTTCATAATTAGGGTCTCGCTGGTCCTGATGGGAGAGAGGGAATTCCTGGACTACCTGGATCCAAGGTACAGGACCCAAACAAACAGAAGATTATATATAAATAAGTAACTTTACAGATTTTATAATGTAAGAAAAATATATGAATAATTTTCAGGGTCTTCCAGGAAAGAATGGCGCTCCGGGAGATGGTGGACCTCAGGGACTTCCTGTATGTACAATATCAGTGCTTTACTGCTTCACATTGAATCTTTTTGCTTACACAGTGTTGTTTTAGTCTGCGGTCTATTCCCCATTAATTGCAAAATATGCTGTTATTTGGTCTTTGGCCAGACACCTAACAACCCTAAATGTGATTGTGTGGTTGGTGAAGTGAAGGTGCAGATTAGCAGCCACACGTCAGTCATTTTGTCCCAGGGCAGCTTCTTTCTGTTACAATTTGAAGAGAGTTCATCACTTAGCTTGGGTACATGATTATCACACAGCAGAAGGTATGTGGCCATACCAGCTTGTCAAAGCCCGATGCCATCAGATCTCAGAAGCTAAGCAAGGCTGGGCCTGGATAGTACTTGGATGGGAGACCACTGGGAAAATCTGTCACAAAAAGTGTCATTGTGTTCTTAGGCAAGACACTTCACCTATGTTGCCTAGTATGAAAGTGGTGTGGGTGTGAGTCCATCAGTCTTCCCGAGGGCAGCTCTGGTTACAGTAGTGGCTTGCCACCAGCGGGTATGGAGCGAAGGAATAATGATCTGTAAAGCGTCTTTGTGACATTATGTCTGTGAAAGACACTATATAAAAATAAACTTACTTACTTAAGGAGGAAGCTCTCAAAAACTCTTTGGCAAACTGTTAATATCCACAATGTTTAGCCATGTGTGTTAGCAGTTAGCATGTGTTAGCATGTGTTAGCAGCTTTAGAACTGTTGTTTTCAAGCCATGAACTAGGGTTGACTGCCTAGCCCATCAGAGCTCTGCTTTTGACACTTACTTCCAGGTCAAATTAAAAAACTTTAATATTAGCAACAGATTGTGTCCGGTGCTGATTTTGCAATATAGTCTTATTATTTAAAAAAAATAAAAAAATAAAAATCTTTAGGTTTAATTTAATTTGTTTCAATTTCAGGGTTTACCAGGAGCTTTTGGCATGAAAGGACACCAAGGACCAAAGGTATCGAGTTGTCGTACATAAACTTTTACAAATGAAAATAGATAAATAGATAATAATAAATTGATCATCAAAAATAACTGCTGTTGTTTATAGGGAGGAACAGGAGACCCAGGTGTAGCCGGGATGATGGGGTCACCAGGGAAACAGGTCAGGACAAAGGTCAAAGTTAATGGTATCTTTATTTAGGAGAGATTTAATGTGCCTCAATATGGCTTTTTAGGGTGAACGAGGAGAGCAAGGAGAGGTCGGACCTCCCGGTCCCAGAGGAGGACCAGTGAGTCAAGATGAAACCTGGCACTGTTCAATTTAACTCCAAAAATACACTTTAAAATAAACATTTGTATTCACTTGTCTATTTCACTGCATAATTTCAGGGTGAACGAGGAGTACGAGGACCTGATGGGCCAATTGGATTACCAGGAGCCAGGGTAAGATGCCACTTCACAAAAGGCATAGACAATATTATTGTTTTTACTTTACTGTTTTTGTGGATAGTAATTTCAAACCAGTGAACCAGTCCTACATCTAATGTTCAGAGTGGATAAAGGGCATGAAGTGAACAGTATTATGACCTACAATATCTGCTGGATGAGACCAGTGACCTCTGAACACCAATAATTCTGGTTCACTTCCTCTGGCATTGTTTTCTCATTCATTGTGTCCTTGGGCAAGACACTTGTCCCTGGACAAACACCCTGTAGAAGTCTGGTTTGCTGTGATGTAAGGGAAAAATCTTTATATCATACTGAATCATGGAACCGGCCAGTAGTCTAGTGGTCCAGATGCTGTACTAGTCTCTGTGTCATGAAATTAATGGAATGTCCCTTCCCACTCTTCACCCCATTTCACACTTATTCTCTAATCTCTAATAAAGAAAAGATCTAAACGTGAATAAATTCACTGAGTTAAGTCACCTCCCCTTTTTGTTAAACATAAGTATCGCTGTTGAACATTTACACTGAATCTAATTGGCTGATGTCAAACCCTTGTTTTACTGCTCAGTCTCTAATCAAGCCGAGAGGAGTATGAATGGACTCTTGTTACAGAAATCCTGATTCCCCGTCAGTTCTAGCCCAGATTTTGGGGGCTGATTGTGACAGGAAAAGTGCCTACCTGAGCCTGAAAGAACCCTCTGTGTGCAGGAATGCATTCACTGTACAGCAAAGTGTGGGAGATTTGGCTGCTGCGTTTAAAAGGTGTACGAATGTTTTTCTGTGGTTAGGAAAAGATGGGGGGAGTTCAAACATGGTGCACAGTGCACAGTCTGTTAAATGTATGAAAAGTGTATTTAAAGACATTTTAAATATGTGTTTTTGCAGGGGCCCAAAGGAGATCCTGGGTTTCCAGGTTTGCCAGGACCAGCCGGGTACAGAGGACAGAAAGGAGATAGAGTAAGAAATGTGGAAAATATAATGGCAAAATTGGTAGAGTGGTTGTCTAACCAGTACTGACCATTGCAGACTGTCATTGTGTCCTTGGGCAAAACACATCATAGATCTTGCCTATGTATACACAATCCAGAAGTGTTAAAAACCGCTTCCTATTGATTTATCTGTGTTATAGTTTCCACCACGTATTAAGAGTCAATAGCTAACTTTCAGCTGTGTACTTATTGTATTTATATTATACTTATATATATATATATATATATATATATATATATATATATGGCCAATATATGGAACTATAGATGCCTTTAGAAGCACTGTAAGTATAAATGTTGTGTTTTAGTGATTGGTGGTACAATGGACCAATTCATTATTATACTGATTATAAAAATGTATAAAATACTGTTCAAAGTTGGTTGCTTATATAATTGTTTTAATGTTGTTTCTAGGGAGCAGTTGGACTTGATGGGCCAAAAGGAGAGCAGGTATGTTAAATAAAAAAATAAAAATAAAATTATTTGCTAACAACAGTGTCAGAACACGGTGCCAATTTTCAACTCCAAAGATGTGGATTATAGATTTATAGACTCAGCATTTGTGGATTTTCTTTTCAACATTTCTTTCAAAAACTGTGAATCATCTCTATAGGCCCTTATACTCCACCTGCAATGATGGGAACAATTTTTAAATATGAACCAAGCCTAGAATTCACAAATTTTTTATAGTTATTTATCTAAAATTATAGATCCAAATGGAACTTTTATTTAGACAGCTTCCCTCAGACAGTTAAACCTGATATTATAGAGTGATGATATTTAGTTGAATTTGAGCCAACTTCTGTCTGTTCATTACAGGGACCTCCAGGAGAAGAGGGGGTGGCTGGAGAGAGGGGAGACCTGGTGAGTGGTACAAACCATCACAAAATATTATTCATTTATATTTAAAGTTTATTAATGTGTGTGGAAAACAATATTGTGATTTGAATTGACATAGCAAGCCACTGACATTTTAAAACTTGGATATTTTTTAGGGCGACGAAGGTGAACAAGGAGAGAAAGGATCGGTACGTATTATCCAAACCAGTGACTGTAAAAACTAGGACCAAACTAGGATTTAGGTCTATGAAACAGGATTTTGAGGAAGGACTATGGTCTAAGATATGGGTGCATTCACTCCTGCACATTAACCAGATTGAAATTGGGACTAAACCCTAAAAAAAATCTGGACTAGATCAGAACTAAACCAGGAGTAGAATGGAACCAAATCAAGTCCATATCAGGACTAAAATGGGCAAAATTTAGGACTAAATGACAAGTGTGAATGCACCCTTAATCAGGCTTAAACCAGGACTAAACCGGGACTATCCCAGGACAGCGGCAAGACCAAGACCAGACTAGCGCTAATCCAAACCAAGACCAAACCAGAACTAAGGGTGTATTCACACTTGCACAATGAATACATCTAACTACATCTAAACTTAATTTGGAATCGAACTTGAACTAGATTAGGACTGAACTAGGACTAGAACCGAGTCAAACCAAGTCTACATAAGGACTCAAATGGGTTCAATTTAGGACCAAATAATGACAGACGTGAACGTACCCTTAAGGAGGACTAACACAGGACCAAGACAGGACTAAACTAGGACTAAGCCAAGACTAATCCATGACTAAACCAGGACTAAAACAAGACTAAGACAGGACTAAAGCAGGACTAAGCAAGGACTAAAACAGGAGTAAAACAGGATAGAAGTAGCGCTAAAACGGGACCAATCCTAATCCAAACATTCACCACATTTTATTAGTTGTAAATTGGGTGTTAATCCAGAATTAAATTTGAACTAGACCAGAACTAAACCAGAACAAGAAAAGAGACAATCCAAGTCTATTTTAGGACTCAAATGTACTCAAACCAGTATCTAATAATGACAGGTGTGAAGACCCTTAAACAGGATTAAACCAGAACTATCCCAGGACTAAACCAAGACTAGAACAGGACAAAACGTTTACATACTGACTTAAATGGGTTCAATTTAGGACCAAATAACAGCATGTATGAACACCCCCTTAAACAGAAAGAGAACCAAAACCAGACTATCCTAAATCCAGACCAGAACTTGTACGTGTACTTAAAGTTCTTGATGATATTGCACATACAGACTGGTCCTCCTGGAGAGACGGGAAACAAAGGCCCTGAAGGCGGCCGCGGTATCCAGGGGAAGGAGGGCAAAGCTGGGCAGCCCGGACCCAGAGGCATGCAGGGAGATATGGGAGTACCAGGCCTGCCTGGGCTACAGGGACCAGCGGTGAGGAGATAAACACTTAACAAACATTATTTAGATTCAGACACATGACAGAATTGTGTGAGACTGTGTTTGTCTGTACGTTGCATCAAATTTTTACTGACTTAAAATGTGAAAATCAAAAATAGTTAATTTTAAATGGTTTGCTGTTGTCCGAAGTTATTCCTCACTTACCTTATTCATTTTTAATATACCAAGTATTCATCACATTTATAAGTGCCTTTCACAACTTTCACAGATAAGAACAGATTTTCCTATGTTCTCATAGCTCTGTGTTCCTACATGTACTGGGCTGTAGGGTTATGGTTAAAGGGCTCATATTATACAATTTTCTACCTATATATTTAGGCTGAGTTCTTCTCTCAAACTGAAAACACTGTTCCACCTTGTGATGTCATGTGGTAATACAGGAAATCCTCCATTTTAAACTCCATATACCTTTAGTGGAATCATTTGGATAATTTCAACCCTGGAATTGTCAAACTCTAATGAACTAACAGTAAAAGGTAACGTGAAACCGATCACTTCCTGAAATCACAAGGTCGAACAGAGCATTATGAACTTTGGAGATGTAGACAGGCTAATAATAAAGGGTTACTCAAACATGTGTGAATAAAACAAAACACTACTGTGGTGAGGGTAGAGGTTTTGGAAATGAGAGAAAACAGAGCTCTTGGAACATAGATAGCTAACAACAACTGGCATGCTATCATGCACTTCCTGATTCTTAAAATGCTTTAAAATGAAATGTAGACAGCACAGCTTGGTCTGATTTTGACCTCAAGAGCTACTTATACAATATATCAGTCCTGAGGCAAGACAAGTTTTGGTACAGCCATTTTAACATCTACTATTATGATTTATTAAGGGAAAAACACCCACAGATGAGCACATCAAACAAGTCTGCACAAGAGTAATGCAGGGTAAGTCCATCTATCGTCTTATATATAGCCATCAATGTTTCATTTCAAAAATTAAGCTTATTATAGATTAGAATTTAATTGTTACCATCTATCTACATGTAAATGGACAGATATCTTCGTAACTAGGCCTGTCTTATTATTATTGTAACAATTACAATCCATCATTGATGGAACATTGGTTTGGGGGGTCAGTATTAATGGTGGGTACTTCTGGGGAACTTTTTGTTATTGTGTTGTGTTGTTATTCTTTGCAAGATAAAATTTGAGCTGTAGAGGGTTGAATAAATCATTTATGTGATGATAAAGTGCTGCATTTATTTATTGCAGTTCATGTTCATTAACAAAACTGTACATATATCCCCTAGTTGTGTATTTCTGAGTAAAATGTGTTCCACCGCAATATATATGGGAAAGGTTATTAATGTATTAGCAAGTAGCCCGGTTCAAATCTGTTAGGGGTGGGAAAATGTGGAATAAACCAATCACACATACAATGCACTTTGTTCTAGCAGCTGGTGATGCAAAAGTGCTAAATTAAGTAAAGAATCCTGGGTCTACGTTACAATATAAGCAGCTCATCATACTGAATTGAGAGCAGATATGAATAAACTCATCTTAGTCAGTTGCCCTACCAGCCAAACCCACAAACTTTGATAAAATTGACAAAACAAGGCATATGGGTCTGGAACCATATCCTGTCTCCCCAGTTTCAGTTGGGTGGGATTGACAGGTGGGCTGACCAATTGGGGAGACATTGGAGTTCATTCAGGTCAAAACAGACATGGCGGGTTACTGAGAAACAGTGCAGAGTAAATAATTGGTCAGGCAGCTAGGGTTATATAAAGTAAGTTAGTGTAAAGCTTACTACAAATCAGAAAGTGACAGATAAAGTATTCATCTAGACTAGGTTTTCTCTTTTTTGTCTCATGACTGGTCAGGTGAGAATGACTCCTGCTGAGTAAATAACAATAAATTTCTAATAAAAACTAATACATTTGAATACAGTTTGTCCTTTTTTTTTTCTTTCATTCTCTGCTGCACTGACCTTGTCCCATTGTCCCACAGAGCAGCTAGCCCAGCTGGCAGCTAGCCTAAGTCGGCCTGAGTCTGGGATTGCTGGTCTGCCTGGTCCCCCCGGGCCACCAGGACCTCCAGGACCCACCGGAGAGAATGGCTTCCCTGGACACACAGGCTCTAGAGGGCTGCCCGGGCTCAAGGGACCCCCAGGACTGCTCGGGCGCAAGGGACCCAAAGGTAACATTATCATATTATGCTGGCATGAATAGTGGAGGTAAGGCAGTGTTTGGTTGCAGTTGTATTTACTAGAGTAACTTTTTAAGGAGTTGTATTTATCAGTAGTTTTCAAACACTATACTTTTGCTCCTACTTGAGGAGTATATTTTGCATGTAACTGTACTCTGAGGTTTTGGTTTCTCTCTCCACTTTCTCAGGATCAATAAAGTATCTATCTACCTACCTATCTCTCTTTCTCTCTCTCTCTCTCTCTCTCTCTCTCTCTCTCTAGATATATATATATACATACATACATACATACATACATACATACATACATACTTACATACATACTTGTTGTATTAGTTGTTGCTTCCAGTTGCAAAATTGTCTTCCCTTTTCTGCAGGTGACCAGGGAGACAGAGGAGAGAGGGGTCCCACAACCAGAGGACAGAAAGGGGTGCCAGGAGCTACAGGACTCCCAGGTGAGAGACAGAACTCAAATGTTCTTTTTATCATTTTTATAATCTTTTGCATGAAGTGTACATGTAAAGCCCCCACATTATTTAATCTATTACTGTGTTATTATCACCTAACAAGTCAGATATCTTATGTTCATACAAATACATGTATGGGTTTTTCATAATAGTCTCAGAAAGTGGCTCAAGGACTTTAAACTATAAGATTAATTGCAGTTTTATTGTCTCAGTCCCTAACAAATAATAAATGTTTTTGGATTTATATTTTGGTTATTTGTTTCAAAAACAATAAATCTACCAGAGAGTTATATAGGCCCCTGTCCTCCATATGAGATGATTAGATCCCTCTCTTTATTTTAGGGGAGCCGGGCAGAGCAGCGTATGGTACAGACGGTCGTGATGGCGACAGAGGACCTCGGGGGGCTCCGGGTGTCGCCGGGGTACCAGGTCCCCCTGGTCCTGCAGGCCTTCCTGGGTACTGTGAACCCTCTCAGTGTACTCTGCCCGAAGTACCATCAGGATTCGCTACCAAAGACACAGGAACCAAGGGCCCCAGCGAAATGTGAGGGACTGGAGAATGAAACTGGACTTTCAAATCAACTAGAAGAAAGAACTAGTGTTTTAATATTGTTGCTTTGGTCATCAATCTTTGCACAGTTTTGAAACAGTGCTGCATATTGAGTTTGACAAAGAAGCAACAAAATATTGCAGAGTTAAGGAAGAACAATTTGCTGTTTTCAGAGAGTTTAATGATCTTCTTCTATCAGATGGGGACATCTTTCCTCTATTCATTATGGTATTGTCCTTAGAAATATCCAAGGGTCCATTGTATTGGCATAGCTATCTAACAACACCACAGATCAGCAGATTACCAGGGCATTTTTGCCTGTTCCCTGTCTCAATTATACAATTCAAATCAAGCTGATAAAATTTCTTTACTTTCACCACAACTTGTATTTTAATCAAAGATTCCACCTATGCTAATTTACCATGCTTCTCTCCTCTTTTCTTTGTTTCTGTTTTCAGCATTCACAAATCTAACCGGCACTTAAATAGACACTTTCATTTGCTCACCTATTATTTCAAGCTGTTTTTTTTTTCAATTTCCTTAAATATGACATACAGAAATATTGTTTAAGAACTGTTTTGAGTGTAGTTCTATTTTTACAATGAAAATAAATAACCTTACTATTTCTCAGTCCACAAGCCAGGACGGATCAGTCTTTGCAGCAGTGCCAAGGCTGTATAAATGGGATTTGTTTAATCAAAAAAGGTAAAAGAAAGCTTGGAAGTAATATAGTTACTCCTCCATTTCAATAAGGGATTACTTCTGTTGCCAAAAGATGCATGTGACAATGACTATAAAGAATGACCTAAAAAATTACCAGAGCTGATAAAATCCCAACATAAAAAGCAAAATCTTGAATTCATTGTCTAATTGTCTGTCTTTCTGTATCATATGAACCAATCCTTGTCTTGTCTGTTAAATTGTATTTCTATGTGTTTATGTAAATGTGTCAGTATAAAATTACATTGCTGAATGCCATGTCTTTTTATCTGTCAAAATCTTTGTTGTCAATTTTTCCACTTGAACCCACTTCCTGTGACTTTCCTGTAAGTGTAGAATTGACTGTACTGTTTGAACCATGGGCTGTGTAAAAAAACTAAAACTATATAGCAGTTTTCTATTACATATTATTTATTTTCTTGAGGCTGAACACGACAACTTCAACTTGTACAAAGGAGGAAAATAAAAATGTTTTTATAACCTCTTGCATGGTTTTATATGGATACGTAAAAATTACTACTACAGTTTTTATATATATATATATATATATATATATATGATCTTGTAGTAATAAAGTTAAATTTCCCATGTATATGGCAAAAAGTATATGTGTGATTGGGCACAACATTTCACTATACCATATATGAAATATATTAATTGTAACTGAATAAAATTAATTAAATTTAGGCCTCTTAATGGAGAAAGCAGAGGAGACAAATTATGACGTAGGTGAACGCTAAAGGAAGAGCAGCATTAGAATAATAATAAACCCAAATCTATCATGTTTTCGTTATCTACAGTATTTTACTTTTAGCTGTTTGGTTGCCAGCAGTAAAAATCTGAATGTCTTTTAGTCCATATATATTCAAAAATAAAGCTCGATTTGTCTGAGTCCAGCAGAAAACCATCTAGTCCCGTTAGTGGCGCTACTCTCCGTTAAACTCAAATGCATGAAGAAGAAACCAGCTTTGTAGCGGAAGTTTACATCTGACGTCAGCGGAAGTAGTTTTCAAAGCTCGTAACGTTCGTTGTCTTGGTGCTGCGGCTCCATCTGAAAACAATAAAATCCAAAACCATTTTTCGTACAAATTTAGCCGATATGAACTGATTTTAGAGCCTGGATTGGACCGCGTGCAGGTAAATAAAGAATCAATTGCTATTTTGTCTTGAAATTAGTTGTGTGTTTATTTATTTTGATGTGAATTTGCAGCAAATCAGAGACCCTCTAAACTGGGGCTGGTCCTCCTGGGACTAGGCAGGACAAATTAGGTCCATCTCACTTTACATCAGAATAAACGATCAAGGAAGCTACTAAATGTGAACTATGAAGATCGAAACCAGGACCTAGTTATGCACAAAACCAGAGTATGGTTTGAGGCAGTCTATTAAAATGTGTACAATTATAGTGCACTGTCTTTCATCAAAATAGAGGTAGATAATAGTGTTGTTCTTATTTTTATTATAATTTTTTATTATTATATATATTTTGATAAATATATTATGGTAAGAAAAATGAACATAACAAAGTCTGTAAAATTCTGTAGTGTTGGAAACTCTAATTGTTAAATAGCTATCTCTGCAATACAAAATATTATTAAAAGTTAGAAAATCTGATTTATTTGCCATTTAGTGGAATGTTTAACATATTCTCAGCTTGGTATTGATTGTGACCTGTGTGTGATTTGTTCAGGTTTTTTTTTAGCTTTTAAATAATGGAAAGTTTAGAGTTTTCTGAGGAGGAAATCCAGCAGCAACTGGAACTTCTGGGCTACAAAAATATCTCCAAAGAGAAGCTACAAGAGTTCAAGAGAGGTGGGAATTCATTTCAGAATCATAAGTTATGGGGCAATACTGTAAAAGAAAACCCAAATAACCCTCATAATGTGAAATACAGTTTGTGTTTTTTTTTTTAAATATTGCTTGTATCCCCAGATTTGGATAACCTAATAAGGAGTGGAGAATGGACAACTCTTGTGTCTCCTGAAAACTCACAGATAGATGTGAACACAAGCCCTCCTGCTTTCACTAAAGAAAAAGGTGATAGTGACTTTTAGAGCATCTTATAATATGAGTGAAAATAAATAAATAAATACCCTTTAAACTGCTTTAACAGCTAGCTACTTATATCAGTGTTTCTCAAACTGTGGTACACAAGCTTGTTCTGGTGGTACAGACTCCACTTCAGTTCTACTGTCAAATAGAATATATAGTATAGTACATATTTCCCACAATTTTGTTCTCCTTTGGGTTAGTCCTTGTTTAAAAGTTCTGTAACCATGCCACTGTCCTATTTTAAACCTGTTATAGACCAGGTTTAGATCCGGTGGTACTCAGAGGGCTAAATATTTTGTTTAGTGGTACTGGGGGTGAAATTGAGAACCACTGCTTAAATTCTACTGGAAGTGGGCAGCCAATCAGTGTGAACTCTCAGCTTATTTATCTTTGACAATACTAGATATCTATGTGTACAGGAATTGTGATGTAAGCTCTAAGAAGAATATAATATGAAGTGAATTTTGTGCCTACACATCGTACTAATGACTGTCTTTACTTTTTTGTAGTGAGTCGATTTTCACTGAACAAACCCAGGGAAGGGTTTTTCTTGCATCCACAAAACGGAGATCATGATGTACGGGTGAGTTTAAAATGCACTTTGATATTTCTTGTATGGTGATTGAAGCACAAAATGTAACTGATCCAACACAACCCAGTCCAAACTCTTGATACAAAAATTAGACAAAAAATATAAGAATTCCTTGGGGGAAGTTAAAGACGCTCTCCCAGTGTAACTTTTCTGGTTGAGAGAATGTAATGTTATACAGCATGGCATTAGACATGTCTATCGTGCATTTATTCAATTACATATACTTTAATTGCTTTAAAAAATACCATGAAAAACATGCACATGGCATCACCTGCTTGTATTTATGACAATAGATTGTTTCAAAGCCATTCTGTGGAACGAGTAGTGTAATAAGTAGAGCAATCACTCCTTTAAGACAAGTTTAATGGGTGTGGTATTCTGTAGCTCTGCATCTAGGAATAAGAACCTGGCCTGTATGGTCACAGGACCATGGATTTCAGTCAGATGGATCCTCCACCAGAAATGAATACCTACCACTATATAATTGCAGGACTGTTGAATAACCAGTGGCCCCTACTATATACTTTTATATTCTATAAATTATAATAACCCCTCCCTCATCTTTCAGGTGCTGTCTCCTCAGAACAGAGCCGTGGCTCCCCCTTATGGCTGTTTGGACTCATACGCTCGACACTCTGTTGCCCCTAAACCCCCTGTTCATGTGGGACATCCCAACAGGTTGCAGACAGAGACGGACCTAGAGGACACATTGCAAACTGACAGTTATATGTCCACTCCGGGCAGTGGTCAGGGCAGGAGGTTCGTCAAGAGGAAAGTGCTAAGGTAGGATAATTATTTGTATTTTAATTATAGTAGAAGAAGGTTGAATTCTGTCAGCTGGACACATTTGGACATTTATTTTTTTACTTTAGACAAAATTCAACCTTTCTATGGACCCTTCCTGGATGACCTTTCTGGTTTACAAATATGTATTTTATTATAATTGCATCTACCACTCCTTATGGTTCAGTTATTTTCTACAATATCTGCAAAACTCAGTTGCATTAAGAATAATACAATGTATGTTTTTGTTTTCTTCTGTAACAGGAAACATAAAGGGCAGTCTCTGGTCTGTGATGAATCTGTTTACAGTGAAGACTCAGGTAAATTATATTTTTTCAGTCAAATTTACTTTTTATATAACTAAAATTGAAATGTTTCAATAAAAGCTCTTCAGTGTAGTCATGGTAGTGCTCCTCTCTGCTTCTCAGGAATTCACAGAATATATTTAGATATGAATTTAGAGATAGTTTTGTTGCTATTTTCAAAGTAGGAATTCGCTTTGATGATATGGTGCAACATAAAACAATGACTAATAACAGATATCAAACAATTTGTTGCAAAAAGGTGAAGTGTACTAGGCCTGAGTCTACTCCCATTTCCACCAATAGGGGGAACTGTTCTGGATTCTCTGCTGCTAAATAATCCTCTTATGTCTAAGCCACCTGCTTGCAAGGATATCAGTCTTTCGTTCTGGCCGCAAAATGTACAAAATTGAACAAGAAGATGCTGAAGATTCAACCAATTCTTCATTTTGGTCAGACAAAGAGACAGAGGATGAAGAAGAGAAGGCTCAACCAGGATTTAAAACCAATTTGGAGTTGACAGAATCTACTACAAAGGATCTTAATTCTAGTGATAGTGAAGTAATTGAACGTTTTGTTGCAAACTATGGTTGTGACAGTTCGAAAAGCACAGAAGATTCATGTGAGGAGACTTTGGATGAGGAATTTTTAAAGCAAGATGTTCAAAATGCTTCAGAAAATTCAGAAAATTGTGAATCTGGTGACAGCTGGGAGGAGTGTGGCAGTGAAGAAGAGGAGGAGATTGAACAGGAGATCCAAGATGAAGAATATACTTTGGGAGAAGACATGTACAAAAAATCTGAAATTCAAAATCGTATCCAAATTGAAGAACATTCAGACATTTTGAATACAACTGATGATGAAGATGAGACTGAAAATTGGAGGAAAACTGATAAATCAGAATCTAGCACCGGAACGTCTAGCAAAGAAAGGCGTAAAAAGTGGAAGGATTTTAGTGACGACAGCTCAATTAATGCAGAAACAAGCAGTGAAGATGACAAAAAACAGACAAAAAATTACTGTTTCAAGTGTGGATTGTAATTTTGAAAAAAATACAAAGTTTAGTCGAAATAGCTCAAGGAATCAGCATTCTAGTCAAAACAGTGAGAAGGAGGTTAAAACTGCAACAAGTAACACATATTCCAGCAATGATGAATGCATAGTTGGTGGGACACATTTGGATGGAGAGAAAGCAAGCAAAACTAGTTTGGATGATCTGAAAAGTTTCCAAAATGTACAAGATTTTAAGACAAAAGTTGAAAAGAAAGAAATGGCTAAGACAACAGGAGAGACAAAATTTAGTGGTTGTAATCAAAGTTCAGAAAATATAAGAAGTGATATTGAATCTGGTTCTGAATTTGAGGGAAAAAAATATTGCAATGTAATTTCTGAAGATGTGAAATCAAGTTTAACAAGACAGTATGGGGAAGATTATGACAGAAATAGCAAAGAGGAAATACAAATGACTGCAAATAAGACAGATAGCAAATGTACTGAAGACTCAATGATGGACAAATTGACAAAAAAATCATCAGAAAACAGTTTGAAAAGTGATTCTAAAAATCTTACTCAAATTAATTCAGAATATGATCGAAATTACGTCAGGTCAAGTCAAGATATCGAATCAGAAATGGATGGAAATTGTACAGATAAATATGAAGCTAAAACAATTAACAGTACAAGTGAATTTACTGAAGGAAGTCTGGCAAAAAGTAGCAGCAGTGAGGTTGAATCCACCAACTATGAAAATTGTAAAGATAGGAAAAAGCTTAGAAAACAGGGTAATTTCTATGATAATTCAGAGAGTGGTGATGGGAGCAGTGATTCGACTGATACTAGGCAAAATGGGAGTGGTAGTCAGGATGAAATTGCTGTTGGAAAACAATTAAAAGACTGCAAGCTAACTGGAAGTAATGAATTGTCAATAGAAGAGAAAAAAATTAAGAAATATAAGGTTTTTAGTGAAGACAGTTCAGAAAATGATGAAATTGACAATAGCAATGATAAAACATGTACATTTATTGAACTTAGTAAAGGCAGTTTGGAATATGGTGGAAGCAAAATAGGTAGCGAAATTCAAAATACAGAAAACAAAATGTGCAAAGAACCGGCCAGTTCAAATTCAGAAACTGCAAATATGAGTACTGTTGAAAGTGATGTCAATACTGAACCTAATGAAGAATTTGAACCAAGTATTTCAAGGCAAAATTCCCAATCTTCTAGCTCTGATGAATGGGCTAAAGATGAGAAAAATCTAAATAAAACTCAAGGTAATTTGGACTTCGATTTAAGACCTTTTAACAATAATAACAATGATCAAGTGAAGAAAGAAAAAATGAAAAAAGACATGGAAGAATGCCAGAAAATTGTGAAAATGGTGGAAGATGTAAAAAATACAGGAGGATTTAAAGAAGTTACTCAACAATGTAGTGCAATGGAGGAGCTAAAATCAGCACCAGAAAATGAAGTTGGAAATTTTGTCAGTTCAGTTTTCAAAAATACATGTTTAAATGCAGACAGCAATAGCTATAAAAGCTCACAATCTTCAAATAGTGTGGAGGAAAAAAATGGGCAAAGTCTAGACCAGGAAATGTCAAATAAACTGATGGATTATACTCAAGAAAGTTATGATAAGGAAGGAATAAATTCCAATGAACTAGTGGAGACTGACCAGAAGGTTCATAATGTTTTAGGCAGTTCTGACAACAATTTGCAGCAGGAAATGTTGGAAAAATCATCCAACGCAATGCAGGAAATTTCAGAAAATTACAATACAACATTAGAACTGAGAAGAGATGGTCAAGAAAGTTACTATATTGAAAAACAACTTGAGGGGACTGACAATGATGATGAAGACCTTGAGCACTGGTTTGAAGAGAGGGAAGTAAGCAAAAAACTGATTGAAATTACCCCCCAAAATTTCTTGGAAAGACAATATTTGGATAAAATAATTCAAGATGACACCCAAATCCCATCAGAAAGTCCTGCTACCAGTTTATTAACATCCGGATATGGCACAATACGGTCAGAAAAACTAGATGGCCCTCACAACATAGAAGATGACAGGTTAACTATTAATGACTTCGATAAGGATTCACTGTACAGTTTTGGAGTTTGTGAGCAAGAAGCTGGAGAACATAATTTTACAAAAAATTATCGATTTGGTCAAGAAAATGAGGGTCAAATTTTTGCTCAAGATGAATTTTGGGATGGGAGGAAATCAGAAAATGTCACTGAGAGAGAAGAAGGGAGGGTGGAGGCGCAGTTGTGTTTGGAGAAAGGAGAGAGTAGCGAGGAAGAGGAAGATGAAGAGGGAAATAAGGATATAAAGTTCATAGACTCAAAAGTGGACCCGGGCCACCAGAGGATGTACCAGGAGTGGGAGGGAAATCTACGCCATCCAATGGGTAAATACTAACAATAATTTAGTTTCTAATAGTTTAATAGAAGTCTTTGAACAGTTGTTTGTTGCCATAACAATTAACAATTGGCAACATAATATCTTGAATAGTGAAAAAAAAGATATTAATGAAAGTCTTTACTAATGCCTCATTGTGTCCTCAAAGTCTTGCCTATAAGCAGAAAGTTAAAAACCTTGCCATGGATACAGTAGGCTCGAGTGATATTTATTGTTCAAGAAATAGAACACTTGGTCTTAACTGTCTAAACAGTTAAACAATAATTTAGGGTCTAATTCAGAACCATAACGGTAGAGGGTTTTTGAACAATATTTGGTCCTCGGAAATGTTGTACTCTATTACTACTACTACTACTACTACTACTACTACTACTACTACTACTACTACTACTACTACTACTACTACTACTACTACTACTACTACTACTACTGATGCACTGACTGCCATATTTGGTTTGTACTTGGTAGGGCTTGTTCTTTGTACTGCTGCTGCTGCCAGTACTAATGATACTAATTCACATTATGAACACAATAAAAAATTAGGGTGATTGCACGTGTGATAGGATTCTGTTCAAAGTGCACAACTGCAGGAGCATTTGAGAGAATTAAATATCAACTGATAAACTAATAGAAGAATCCCATGAATTTGTAGAGAGACTACAGATACAATCAGTTCTTGCTAGACAAGATATTTTCTGCTTTGCAAAGAACAATTCTATTTACAGCTTTTGTGATTTGCCAACTGTGCAAACTCAAATTTGATTCCAATACATTGTATAGCCCTAATAAATCCTTTTATACATCTACACATTCATTTATAGAGCACAGAAATGGATCTAGTTGTGGCTCTTGTTAAAATCTGATTATTTGCATTTCTTCAGGAGCTAGTTGTCTGGAGGAGCATTTGGCTGATTTTCACGTGTCAACTTCAGTTCAGCACGAGTCTGAAAACGAGGAGTCGACGAGCCACAGCGAGTCCCCAAGCTCAGAGTCCCTGTCGGATGGAGCCTTCGAGTCCTACGTCAGGGGCATGGTGGGTAATGTAGTCCACAACACTGCACCTCAAATGAAGTGTTTCAGACAGGTTTACAGATTTTTCTAATTAGAAAAATAACAAGGTGGCTGTGTGTCTTAGTTTTGCAAATGTGGACTAAAAACAAATAAATCTTACAGATTTTATAATTTTCTAAACAAAAAGAAAAATAAGCCATAAAAAGTTCCTGAATATGTAGGTCTTCTTCTTTTTAAAATAACTATTATTTGTTAGTCCTTATGATAATATGATGATTAGAACACACAAATGTAGCTGAAATCTAATGCACTGTTTTTTGCAGACTCGAAGCCACAGCGACAGTGACATCAGGCCTAAACCCAAATCATGTGAGTCAAATTTAAGTTCTTTCACAAAATTTCATTTAAAAAAACCCACCCACTGACTAACCACTGATTATTTCTGTTTACAGTTATACGCCCAACACTGGGTCCAACTGGCCCTAAGAAAACAGACCCAGTTGCAAAGTAAGGTTAAACTCATACTCTTTATCATTGTATAGTATTTTATATATCTTTAAATATAAATGTGTTCTTTTTGTACAGGTATTTCCAGTACAAACAGCTGTGGGACATGTTCAAAATGCCCGGTGAAAATGACAGAAAGGCTCTACGATGGGAAATCAGGGTAATGTAACTCTATGAAGATAAAATACATGGCACTTTTAACATTAACACCAAAACAAAGTGTTCAATATACTTGAAGTTACAAGACATAATTATGATTAATACATTCTGTGAACTCCAGCCACAAAAAACAGTGCATTAATAGTATAACATACATATTTGTAGTGGTAGTAGTATTTTGTACTGATTTACCTTTCCTTACATGCATTATTTAAACACTTTGTATTTAATCAAAAATTAACTTTAACTGTCTATTTTTTGTATTTTTGTTGGTTAAATGTTCTTTTGGTGTGGTTGTCTATAGCTGTAGAGCCAGGACTCTTAACAACAAAACAGTGTCACCTCAAGAACAAAAGTAATCATAACTCTTTTTTTTTCTCAGGAGCGTCTCGCCTACCAACCTCCTCCCGTAAGTTCTGCTTATAAATCATTCTTTTGCACAGAAGTGGGTAGATTAGGCAAGTATTGTACTCCAGGAAATTACTCAAATAACACTCACATCTGATGCATAATTTGAAGTTTATGTAATTGGAACAACATAACATTTGATTTTCTACAATTTAGTCCACAATATGAGAAAAGCCTTTGTCACTTGTACACTTACTCACAGTGGTAACCTAAACTTTTATTTAAGTAAAGTTACATGATTTGAGTAGTTGACTTAGTATCGTGTTTGAAAAGTACTCAAAGTACAATTTTATTTATAATATTCTACCCATCTACATTTAATAATATCTCCTACTAACATAGTTTTATTTTCTGTTTCAGCCAAAGCCTCGTAAAATCCAGGTGCCAAATACCTACACAGTGCCGACAGAGAAGAAACGCTCTGCTCTCCGATGGGAAATACGCAATGACCTGGCAACCGGAAACCTGCCCCATTCGTACAACTACAGATTTTAGCCAACAAGAAATCACCACAACCATTTTATGAACTTTTTTTTTTATTATTTTGAGAAATTTTACATAATTTATTACAGTTTTAGTAAACATAATAAAGTTATCTGTTTCATATGTCAGAGTACGGTAGATTGAATGGATATAGGGGGGAAAACCGGACATCATGCCAAAGTAACTTCTCTTCCAAAAATCGAACTGTTTCCAATGTCAAAATAAGAGATTCGTGTTTCAGCATACTGTGGACATTCAGACCTAGAAAAAAGTTAACAAAACAGTTATACATGTACAAGACAATGGTAAGATCATTAAATAATCCTTAACAATTAATAACAAATTTTAAAGGAGGGCTGTACAATTAATCTAATTTTAATTTAAAATTTTGTCATTTGAAAACATCAATGATCATCTTGGGTCATAATAATCAAACTCTACTGGCAATCCTATCAGTAAAAGCATGTGATTTGGAGCAGAGTTCACACTTTGGAGGAAGAAATTGGGCTATTTTTCTGAAAAATGGTACAGATAAGAAGTCTTCCTTGCTTAAGGTGAGGAAGTGTATGTTTTGGAGCTGCAAGGAAAAATGGACCCTAACCACTGATTTTTAAAGGACAAAACTCACCCATGGCTGGAATGATGTTAACGGTCTTCAATTCTTCTGTGGCCTTAAGTATATTTTCAGGAAATTCCTCACCACTGAAAGACAAAAGACATTAAATTCTATACAGTGTGTTTACAGATACATTGTGTTATTATTATTCATATGTCCACAAGTAATTTAAAAAATGTGGCTGTAAATATAAGCCTTTGATAACCAAGGAAACATATATTTATTTATTTATATATATATTTTTATATGGGTTAAAAAAACTCTTTCCTTAATTCTGGGTAATAAAAGTTTTTAAAAGGCCCACTGCATTGAATATGTACGGTTCTGTATAACTCACACGTCGACGATGAGCACAGACTGTCCCCAGTGCTTCTGTTTGATGAGCTCTGTGAGATACTGAGAGTCTGGAGTTGGGATGTCTAAGGAGTCCACAATGTGAAGGTAATCCTAAAACATTTATACAAGAAATCAGCAAATCATACCAAAGATTTTATCATGTTGTTTTATAGGAGAAAACTATGGTATATATTAGACCATTAAAAACAAGCTTTGATTGTCTCTAATTGGCAGTCATTCACTGTTGCAACAGATGAACAGCTATACGCTTGTTACAGTCATTGTTATAACAAAGTAAATGATGATTTGTACCTGTGCCAGTTTGGAGCTGAGGGCCACTTTAAGCCCCATTACTCTGACTTTCATAGGCAACATGTAATAGTAACTGGTGGGGCCCCGTGGTCCATGTGACACTCCACCTGAGAGAGACATAGGAGGGCATTTAACACTTACTTTTTGTTCAGGTCACCCAAAGCTACTGCAGCAAGATGCGGTCATTTATCAAGCTGTAGTAAATGGTAGTAAATTTAGATTAAATGCTATAATAGTAATGTAATTGTTTTTATTATATAATTTGTATCCAAATTCAGAATTCAATATTTACCTCCCCTCCAAAGCGGGGACCTGATGCTGCCGTGTCTCGCTCGTCCACTTCCTTTTTGCCGCCATGGTTTCCGGCCTCCTCCTCTGACCTCTGACCTCACCTTTGTTTTGGCGTGACTCTACAAAAAATAAAAATAAAGGGGAGCGGGGGTTGAATTTATACCAATCTCCTACACACATCATGGAAAACAAGTAATTGCATTCATTGACACATTGACCTGATCTCAAGTACTTACAATTCTTTTAAAATTCTTCTGCCATATTTGAACTTGATGAAGAATGTCCAATCTAAAAGGAGTAAATAATGCATTCATTACACAATTGTTTTTTATTATTGTAATAATGTTTCACATTATAGTTTTTTGGGTTTTTTTCTCCAAAAACATTTTCTTGTCAAATTAATTTTACCTGGGAGGGACGGCGAAAACATCTGGATGCAGCTCGGTCAGTCCCAGTGGTTCATCGTCCGGTTTCATTAAAGTCTGGACCCAGGTTCGGACCGGACTCAGATGAGCAGGCACAGGAGCATCACAAGACCTCAGGATGGGGAGGGCGGAATCAGGGGGAGGGGCTGGACGTCCTGAGAAGAGTGAAAAGTTCTGTTTAGTCCAGCGTATTGGTCTGTGTACATGAGTACTGCATTTAGTGTAAGGGGGCAGAAGGTGGTGGTTTGAATCTCCTCACCCACACTGCATACTTTTGTGTCCTTATGCAAGACATTTCATCCACCATGCCTTAAAATGTTGTTGGGGTGATAATGTGATTTGAGAGTAGTGTTGTCAAGAGTAACTTCAAATTGATGAGTGGCTGAATTGTTATCAGAAATGTCTACATATCTGAAATAATACTCACTGTGTCTGGAGGGGTCCACCAGGTTTGTGGGCAGCAAGAGATTTGGGGGGACAGCGCTTTCTCCAGCAAATGTAGAGGCAAACTGAGGACAAGAAATATAGGTTACCTAAACAGACAGGACTTGGCTTTGTAATGTTGTAATGATGAAATGTTAACCCTAACTATAAGCAAAACTCTTGTTGGCCTCATTATCTCATATATTATGAACTCAAAACCCTAAATTTTAAGCACACTCTTTACATTGCACGCCCCAAGCTACTATCAGCAACAATGTAAAAAGGCCCAAAGACAATATGCGTTTGTGACATTCCCCATATTTTCCTGGTATATCCCACCCAGCCACGCTTTAGTCCATATAATCTGATTACTCTTTTACTGGATCTGTCTAAGATCTGCCTACAGTGTGCCTATGGTGTGTCTATTGTCTGCCTATGGTCTATCTATGGTCTGTTTATGGTCTGCCTATAGTCTGCCACAAGCAGGTTCACATTGGAAACATGTTGGCATTCGCTATCCCTTGCACAATAATGAAACAAACTCACCCTTTTAGCGGCGCCACGGCTACAAAGCACAACTGAAAAGCGGAGCATGTCTGTGTATTTCTATCGACTCTGAAGTTAGATCATTTTAAAGTTATACAATATATGTTTCAGTGTTTGCAACGTGAAAGGTCGAAGCGATTCATCCGTGTGGGCAGTCGGCGCTTACTGATGACGTCAGGAGTGTGGGACGTTGTTGTCGGGCGCCACCAAGCGATCAAATAACAAAAACAATATACCAAATAAAATCATGGACATTCATGTTCCATTAAAAATAATATTATTAAAAAAGGGTTATTTGAATTCAGATGATGACCTGCTGAAAACCTGTTTTGTATGAAATGTGTTTGGTTTAGTAAATAAAGACCTTTTAATGATAGGTCCTTGTGCGAATAATACTTCCTTCGAGTATCTGGTTTTATGTTTTTTTTTTAGCTTGAGCCATGTTCCCAAAAGCACTCATTAACTCTTTCACTTGGAATAGCTTGAGCAAATAGCCACATCTTGTTTCTAAACACTAAAAACCCTTTAAAGGTCCCATATTTCACAAAATGGATTAGAGACTTTATTGTCTTCGAGGGTGAATTATTTACACAAATGTGAGATATGATGGCTGAGAGGATGAGGCTTCTGTCAAAGTATGTACCTAAGCCCCATGTATCAGAGGGGTGAAGTGTTTCTCTAGAAGGTGAGTGGAGTCCTGTTTTAAGGAGAGTGCAATACATCTAATGGCCTTGTTGTTAAGATCTGCAAGGCTGGGTGTGAGACAGCAGTATGCATTACCTTTGTGAGTTTAGACCGGTTTTTCAGTGAGTATACTGAAAAAGTAGGTGGAATAATACAACATGATGGGTTGGATGATGGATTAGTACAACGGTAATAACAGATTATACAGATTTAGAGATATTGTATTACCACATGACATCACAAGGTGGAAAAGAGTGTTTTCTGTTTGAGAGAAGAACTCAGTAAGATTTGTTTATTAAACAAGTGGGATAACTTTGTGTGTGTTTTTGATGAAGAAACAAGATCATAACATAAATCCGAAAATAGTGTAATATGGGCCCTTTAAGAAATAGAGACAGGCCAACTTATTTTGAAATAGACTTTGATTTAATATTAAAAACTGTACAAACATGGCAGTATGGAAAACTCTTTTGTTTTGGCACAGTATAAGTATTACTACCTTTACAAATAATAGTTAACATACACATTGCAGGTTTAATATCACAAAATATAATAAAAAGTGCAAATGAAGAAAACAGTATTGCATTGTTACATGTGGCATTGTGTCAAAACGGTACAATAAATTCAACCTGTAAACATTAACAAAAATATGCATTACAAATAAATTAACAAAAGAATATTTGACAGAATTTGTATCTTAACTCATGCCTTGTCCACACATATATGGCTATTTCCAAAAACATACAAAAGTCAGTGCTACAACTACAGCCTACCTTGTGCATAATCTGTTTTTGAAGATACCCATCTCTATGTGACCAGGGCATTAGATAAGGTTTGAGAAGAAGTAAGTTGACCCTTTATTCACATCAAGCTCTGGAACTTCTAAGTCTAAGTTTCCAGGGTTGAAGTCTAGACCCCCAAGACTGTACGATTTACGATTTTGTGTTTTCTGATTTGTCTGATTGGAGAAAACTGTGACATAGAAGCCATCACTCGCACTGGCTTGCATTGACGCTTGACCTTTCATATTCAAATCTGCTCCAACTCTTCTATTTAGACCACTATCAATTGTATCTAAATTAAGACCAGAAGAAGAAATTTTATGCGAAGTTTGGAGGTCCATGGTTGAAGCTCTTGCTCTTAATACGTGATCTTTACCAGTGAAATCATCTATATTTAGATCTGAACGTGTAAAGTCAATGTTACCGTCCATCACTGGCAAGCTGGCCCTCAAATTAGCGTTAGGGTTTTGGAAATGGTAACCCATGTCATCAACATTTAAATCGGGTATTTTTACACTTCCAGGAATCTCTGACCTATGTTTATGTGAAGATGTTTTAAGTTGGAAAGTTGGATCATCAATGTTAAGATCAGGATTGCGGAAACTAGCTTTTGGCATGTTCAGATTTGGAGATATGGTGTTTCCTGTCAACTCTGGTGGTTTTATGTTAATAGAAGGCATTTTCATTTTGCCTTCTGCCCAATCAAGATCTGTACTAGGTCCCTGGAAATCAAAATCAGGTGTATTGATGCCTCCTTTAATTTTAGAAGCTTTCAAATTTAAATCAGGATTGCCCAAATTACCATTCAAGCTTAAATCACCCCCTCTAACATTAGCATTAGGCAAGTCTACATTTGGTCCCTTAAGTTTTGGGCCTGAAAGACTTGTATCGGGAATTTTCATCTTGCCCTTTGGAGCATCAATGTTGATATCTGGGCCTTCGATTTTAGGTCCTTTTGGCATTTTGACTTTTGGCCTTCTAAATGTAACATCAGGTGAATTAGGTGTGCCAACCTCTAATTTAGGTGCTTTGAGATCCAATGTTCCTCCTTTAACCTTCGGAGTCTTAACATTCATTTCTGGAGTCCTTAAGTTAGCGTTTACATTTAAATTTGGACTATCTATTTTTGGGCTTGAAAACCCAACATCTGGAACTTTGAAATGTGACTTTTTAACCTTTGCTGATGGACTGCTAAAACCTACATCTGGTATTTCAACTTTACCTTTAGGGGCTTTGAGGTTGACATTTGGAGAATGTATGTCTAAATCAGGACCATCAAATTCTCCATCTATGTCAGGTCCCTTCATGCCTGGCAAGCTAATTTTGGGCATTTTCAGTTTGCGCATTTTTAAGTTAGTTTTAGGTGAACTCATATTGATGTCAGGAGAGTTGACATCCAGTTTAGGAGCTCTCATGTTTAAATCTGGACTATCAAAACCACCTTTTATCTTTGGAGCCTTCAGGTCCAGCTCAGGAGTGCCCAAACCTCCTTTGATGTTTGGAGCTTTCAAATTAAAATCTGGGGCATCAATTCCTCCCTTTATTTTGGGGGCTCTCAGATCAATGTTAGGAGCATCAATGCCACCTTTAACCTTTGGGGCCTTTAAGTTTAAATCTGGACTGTCAAAACCTCCTTTAATCTTTGGAGTGTTCATATTAAAATCTGGAGACTTCAGGTCTGCACTCAGGTCCATGTTTGGTCCTTTGGGCAGAGTGCCAGAGAGGTTCATTTTTGGCATTTTGAGTTTTCCAGAGGGGGCCTTCATGTCCCAGTCTGGAGCCTGGAGCTCAGGGAGCTTCAGTTTTCCTGATGGCAGGTCTGCACTTATCTTTGGGCCGTTCAGGTCTGGACCACTGAGTCCTCCACTGAGATCTGGACCAGAGAGGTCCAGGTTTGGACCCTCCAGCTTTGGACCGGACAGACCCAGATCAGGCAGATGCAGGTTGGGCTTTTGGAGGGAGGGTCCAGATACATTGAGGTCTGCTTTAGGTGCCTTCAGCTTCATGTCCATGTCTGGACCTTCGAGACCTCCATCAATATCTGGGCTTTTAAACCCTGGGAGGCTGAATTTGGGCATCTTTAGTTTTGGCATTTTCAGTTTAGTTTTGGGAGAATCAATGTTCAGATCAGGACCCTCCAGTTTAGGCCCTTTGAGGTCAGGTAGGTCCAGATCTGGGCCTTCAATCCCTCCCTTTATCTTTGGAGGTTTTAGGTCAAAGTCTGGGGACTTAAGATCAGCATCCAACTTTGGACCTGAGATATTAAATTTAGGCATTTTGAATTTGCCAGAGGGGGCACTCATGTCCCAGTCTGGTCCCTCCAGCTGAGGTGTCTTCAGTTTCCCTGAAGGCATGTTCAGACTCAAGTCTGGGGTGCCAACGTCCAATTTGGGAGCTTTTAGATCGAGGTCAGGGCCATTTAAACCACCACTCAGTTTAGGACCAGACAGATTCAAGTCAGGTTTTTTAAGGTCTAAATTTGGACCTGAGAGACCAAAGTCCGGCATGTTAAAGCTCGGCTTCTTAAATTTACCAGAAAGATCCACATCTGGCATGTCCAGATCTGCTTTTGGGCCTTTTAAATTCACATCTGGAGCATTTACATCAAAATCTGGACCATCCAGTTTTCCATCTATCTCAGGTCCCTTCATACCTGAGAGACTGAACTTGGGCATCTTCATTTTGGGCATTTTAAAGTTGCCTTTGGGTGACGGAAAATTCAGATCTGGAGGACTCATGTCGATGTTAGGAGCTTTAAGGTCCACATTAGGGAGGTTTAAGTCTGGGATGTCAATACCCCCATTTATTTTAGGAGTCTTTAAATTGATATCAGGAGCATGTAATCCTCCTTTAATTTGGGGGGCCTTTAAATTTAAATCTGGACTGTCAAAATCTCCTTTAATCTTTGGAGTGTTCATATTAAAATCTGGAGACTTCAGGTCTGCACTCAGGTCCATGTTTGGTCCTTTGGGCAGAGTGCCAGAGAGGTTCATCTTTGGCATTTTGAGTTTTCCAGAGGGGACCTTCATGTCCCAGTCTGGAGCCTGGAGCTCAGGGAATTTCAGTTTTCCTGATGGCAGGTCTGCACTTATCTTTGGGCCGTTCAGGTCTGGACCACTGAGTCCTCCACTGAGATCTGGACCAGAGAGATCCAAGTTTGGACCCTCCAGCTTTGGGCCGGACAGACCCAGATCAGGCAGGTGCAGGTTGGGCTTTTGGAGGGAGGGTCCAGATACATTGAGGTCTGCTTTAGGTGCCTTCAGCTTCATGTCCATGTCTGGACCTTCGAGACCTCCATCAATATCTGGGCTTTTAAACCCTGGGAGGCTGAATTTGGGCATCTTTAGTTTTGGCATTTTCAGTTTAGTTTTGGGAGAATCAATGTTCAGATCAGGACCCTCCAGTTTAGGCCCTTTGAGGTCAGGTAGGTCCAGGTCTGGGCCTTCAATCCCTCCCTTTATCTTTGGAGGTTTTAGGTCAAAGTCTGGGGACTTAAGATCAGCATCCAACTTTGGACCTGAGATATTAAATTTAGGCATTTTGAGTTTGCCAGAGGGGGCACTCATGTCCCAGTCTGGTCCCTCCAGCTGAGGTGTTTTCAGTTTCCCTGAAGGCATGTTCAGACTCAGGTCTGGGGATCCCACGTCCAGTTTGGGAGCTTTTAAATTGAGGTCAGGGCCATTTAAACCACCACTCAGTTTAGGACCAGACAGATTCAAGTCAGGTTTCTTAAGGTCTAAGTTTGGACCTGAGAGACCGAAGTCCGGCATGCTGAATTTACCAGAAAGATCCATATCTGGCATGTCCAGATCTGCTTTTGGCATCTTCAGATCCATGTTAGGACCATCTAAACCAGCATCAATCTTGGGTCCTTTGAGACTTGGGAGATTGATTTCTGGCATTTTAATTTTGGGCATTCTGGGTTTGGCTTTAGGTGCACCAATTTTGAGATCTGGAGCGCTCATATCTAAATTAGGACCCTTTAGATCCACATCAGGCAAGTCCAGATCAGGGCCATCTATCCCCCCTTTTAAACTTAAATCTGGTGTTTTCAGATCTGCATTTAGGTCTGGCTTTGGGAGAGAGCCTGAGAATTTAGGCATTTTGATTTTTCCAGAGGGACCACTTATGTCCCAGTCTGGCATGTTTAAATTTGGCTTCGATATGTCAAAATCTGGAGTTTTCAATTCACCATCTACACTTGGCTTTTTAAATTTGGGCATTTTGATTTTGCTTTTTGCTCCACCTATGTTTAAGTCTGGAGATTCAACAGCTATATTTGGAGTTCCCACTCGGGGGAGAGTCGCACTGGGACCATCCAAACTGATCTTTGGTGATTTCCAATTCATTTCTGGTGTTTTAAGACCCGCATTTAAATCAACATCTTTATTTTTCGGTACTGTGCCAAACAGTTTAAATTTGGGCTTTTTGATCTTAGGAGCATTAACATCCAGTTTACCAGAAGGCATGCTAAGGTCAAAGTCTGGAGAATTAGCTTTCAACTTAGCATCAGGTAAATTTAGCTTTGGGGATGGCAAGTCCACATCGAGACTTGGTGATTTCAGATCTGGTCCATCAAAATCTGGTAATTTTACTTCTGGGAGATTAAACGATGGCATTGTGAAAGATGGTGCTTTGTATTTGCCATTGAAATTGAGAGTTGCAGATTTTGGGCTAGCGTTGGGTAAATTTGCATCAACTTTTGGTGTCTTGAGGCTAGTATCACCAGAAAGATCGATTTTGGGTCGAACAAGCTTAGGAGCATCTAAGTCTAAAGATGAACTTTTTAAATCAAACTTTGGTTTCTTTAATTTACCAGAAGGTATGCCGTTTAGATCAAGTTGTGGTCCTTCAATTTCTGGCATATCTAAATCCATGTCTGGCGTTTTTCCAGATAGTCTCATTTTGGGCATGTTCGTGTTAATGGAAGGATCATCCAAGTTTGTTGACAAGCGGCCACTGATTTTACCGGTTGGAATCTCAAAATCTGGTTTATCAGTGTCAATATTTGGCCCAGTTACGACAACATTTGGCATTTTGAATTTTGGCATTGAAAAATTTGTATTAGCTCCATCAATGTCTAAACTTGGAGCATTTACTCCAAAAGATGGCCCCGAAAGATGGCTACTAGGCATGTCTACATTTGGACCCCCTATGTTTGTAGCTAACTAGGTGCTTTGAGTCCACCATTGACTTTCAATCCAGGCGTTTCAACACTTGGCAACTGTAAGCCAGCACTGGATGAATAATCAGGAATGTCTGAGAAACTTCCTGACAGATTTACATTTGGACCATTTAAATTAGTATTAAGCCCAAGTTGTGATCCACCAAGACCCAGTGGTGGAAGATTCATGTTACTACCCCCAAAATCACCAGCTACCGAACCAGATAATGCTGAAGACTCAGCGTCTAAATTCTTGTTTTTTGGTTTAAGAAGGCCAAAATCAACTCCAAGACGCGGCAAACCTGAGTTTGCATTAAGTTTAGATGAGTTTGGTTTAAGAGAGACATCTCTGCTGAGGAGGGTTTCTGCGTCCACTGAGCCACTCTTCAGGTACTTCTTGATTTTAGTGTTGTAGAGTTTGTTGTAGGAGTCATTCAGCATCTGGAAAAGAAAGTTATATGTTATATTTAAACATAATTTTGTGTGGAAATACTTGTAAAATGTGGGAGTAATAGATCAAATAAAAACAGGGGAAAAAGTGATTGAAAATTTAATTTCACTAAGAAAACTATACAGATTGAAACAGTAGGGGCTATTTAAGAACAACAAAGTGTTATTGGCTCACATAGAGAAAATGTCATCAATTAGAAAAGTCACAACCAGTAAACTGGGTGTCAAGATTATTCAACTAATTAATAATAATTATTCTGAGAATCATTAGAAGCAAAACTATTTAATTTGAGATTGATCTATGCTCCAAAAAAGTTTTTTAATCAAGAACAACTGTAATCTATTAGACAATGAAAAAAATAAATATGAACTGCATTGTTGTTTAGTCACAGTGTCAATAATTGTGAATAAAATTGTGATGTGATGATCACAAAGACTGCTATTATTTAAGAATTATAATGTCCCCTGCAAACAATGTCTTGTTTGTCAATGTCTTTTTACTAACTCTGTAGTTTAGACCTCTACAAACATGTTCTGAAATGCATGGGAGTCTAAGTTTAGCAGGTCAGTCTTTTCTCAGATGTTTTTGATGGAGACATTTTACATAGACACTCACTGTTTCTGGAGACTTGAAGGTGTGGTCCCTGGGGATCTGGTCCAGGTTTTCCATACTCTTGCTCATGTTGCTCCTGGTCAGGACTCGGACATTGGAGTTAAATGGTTCCATGGCCTTAAGCACCTGCAGCACCTCGTCTTTGGATAGATGATCAAAGTTTATGGATGCTCCCACCAGCTCATCTCCTGAACACACAAAACCCCTTATGTATAAACATCACTCAAAAAGTTACAGTTTTTAGAAACTTACTTTAGAAACTATATGTAATCAAAGTACCCTTTGAGCACCAACAATATACTGTATGCATAAATCCTTGCAGAAAATCACATAATGGGACATTTATGGACCACTTACCTGCTCTGAGCTCCTGAGTGTCTGACTCAGTGTTGATGCTGGAGATGACCACGCCTCCATCATCTGACTGCTCCAGGGTCAAAGCATCAGAGAGACTCCGCCCTCTGCGATGGGACAACTATAACACATAAATAAAGTGTTCATGTAAATTACAACAAAAATATTCAGTTTACTGCATATTTGGCTGTTTCATAATATGTTACAACTTTCAGTTCATGGGTTTCAAGTCAGGTTTAGATATTTGTGGTTTAATATAGTGCCGAAGGAATAACAACAAAAAAATACAGTCATGCACAATATGTAATTTAAATCAAATATTGTTTTCTAATATTCAAAGTGAGATGAGGTCAGGAAAAATTTTAATTGTTTTAAATGATTTTGAAGTATAGTCTAATAAACAAAGCAGAATTATTGACCTTGCTTCTAAAAAGTGATCAGGTTTAACTTTTTTTTTTTACTTTCTTATGAAAATTGTATTGATATTGAATTATCAGCCACTGAACTCAATCGGGAGAGGGACATATGAAAAATAAAATATATTACATATATTTAGTTTCCAAATTGAGATAGTTTGGACATGTACAGTGGAGGGAAACTGAATATATGGTATAGAGGAAGACCATAGGGGTGTGAGAGGAGAGTGTTAGGAACACATCAACATTGTAGACAGTTTAAGAAATGGCCATTTTCTTCTCAATAGTAAAATTTTGTGAAAACTGTCTATAGCTTCAGGCTGCACTATTTTTTTTACTAGTATTTGTTTCAACAGTGTACTGATAATACTCAAGTTAACCCAATGGGAAAAAAGTTCAAAGTATAATAGGTTTTCATTATGCAGTCAGTTAAATCATGGTTTAAAGTTTCTGTCTCTGGGGTTGAAATCACAGTAGTTCAAATCTACAAAAGAAAAAGAGAAGATTGTTTAGACCTAGATTCAGGCTAAAAGAATGAGAAACACGAGCTTGGTTGTCTGTGAATGCAACACAATGACATATTTGTGGATGCAGTGGAATGTAGGAATTTCACATGAAACAAAAATTAGATGGATTAAATATGTGCAAATTACTAGTATCAGTGTAATTGGGCTGAATTAATAGTGGATATGTTGAAAGAAAAATTGTTAAAATGACTGTCCTGGAGGGACATAGGCTTATAGGCTCCCTAGTTTAGCCCTTTTTTTGCTTATGGTTTAAAATGTTTATTTAGCCTTAGTTAATTCCTAACCACAATGCTGTTTAATTCAAGTTTAGTGCAGGTCTAGACCTAGTTTAGTCATAGATTTATCATCGTTTGGGGTTGACAGATGTTAATTCTTCATTAACTTATTGCTAGTGCATACCACCTCCAGAAAGAAACTATTTCCATGGACAAGCTCTCTCTCTCTCTCTCTCTCTCTCTCTCTCTCTCTCTCTCTCTCTCTCTCTCTCTCTCTCTCTCTCTCTCTCTCTCTCTCTCTCTCTCTCTCTCTCTCATCTATATATATATATATATATATATATATATGTATATGTATATGGTTGGTCTCTCTCACCCTCATGCAGCTCGCGTCCTCGACAGTTCTGCGTAGCATTTTTGCTGTTTTTGTTTTGTTTTTTCTTTTGGCTAAAATATTATATACTGTGGCTTTAAATGATCTTTGTCTTATTATCACACTACACTGAATTTCTATTGTTTTTTGTTTATTTTGTTTATTTTTGCAGATTCAAACTATAGCACTCGCTGTTATGTAACCAAGTAACCTTGCAGCACCTTAGTGACTGAGTATTATGATGATCATTCCTATTGTTTTGGGTGTGTCCGGTCACAAAAATGTAAACGGAAAGTCTAAAAGCAGGGCGTCAGTCAAGTCCTGAGGCCCCAAACAAACTGGTTCATCTGGAGCTGTTGTTTGAATATATTTATTTACACCAGGTAACGGGACACACCCACCTCTTTCGAGAGATCCCATGCTGGCCAATGTACAAAACAAAATGATCAATGAAGTCTTCACTGATTAGATGCAACATTAGAATCACTTGCAGCCGATTTAAGGGAATAATTCTCAATGCAAAATGTATATCTATATAAAATTATCAGAAATCATATGACAAGTTTAAATACATTGTCTTATTACTCCTAGATAACTTGATTTGGTATATTTCTGACTAATTTTAAAGGCACATTATGTACCTTTTGTGGTGCAGGGTCTGCCATCTGCTTGTCTCCATGGTAATATTCTTTCTTTGCCTGAAATGTTCTGTATGGCATTGAACTTATGCATTTTGCATTTATTCAATTACAGTATTATGGGTGTCTCAACTATTCCTTGAAAAACATGCTGTGAGTGGAGTCACATCTTTACAGATCTGAAATGTAACTTGGCTGGATGGTGTCACCTACTCTCCATGGAGACAGATAAGTTTAATGCCATACTTTACAGCCTTCCAGACAAAGCAATAACATTTCCATGTAGATGAAGTTACATAGCTCATGTTTAACATTTTGTAGGCCAAGTAATTTACCAGTGGAGTAAGAAATGTATACTTGAAATAAGAAAAAAATGTCTAAATGACAAATAACTCATTAAAACAATAGTTACACAATCTAGGTCTGATATGTCAAAAGTAGTGCCAATAAAGTATTTGTTTTTCAGGCCATTTACAAATATATGCATTCATAATTCATTCCACTTACTCCTCTGTAGTCACAGCTGCCCTGGGACACACTGACAGAGTTAAGGTTGCCAATATGCACCATCCTCTAACAACCACCACTCCTCACTCACCACATATGACAAGATGCATTGCATAAGGACACAACAACAGTATGTGCTGGCCAGAGCTGAAACTGGAAGTGGATGCTTCATTAAAACCATATATTATTTTTACAGGATAGAAACAACTTCCTTTTATTAACATTACATTACTGCCATGCCTCTGTAATCAGTTGAGTAGCATTCTTACATAACTTGACCTCACTGAGTTTATGGTAACACATTTATGGTTTACTCGTGTCAAAGTTCATGCACACCAAGTAAAACAAGAAAGTATAGCCCAAATATTCAGGTTCTAGTTATTTTATACAATGTATTTTACCTATGTAATAATAGGTAATAATGTAGTAACACAAGTCTATGGAGCATACCACTAATATAACAAAGTACTAGTCAAAAGTCATTTAATTTTGTGGTAGTTTTATTATATGGATATTATAATATATTGGAGCTTTATTTTATGATATAATTCACCCAGCATATCTAAACATTTCTTCTTTATTCGCAAACAAACATGACCTTCATGGCACTGCCATAACAAAAGTCCAATTATTGTACAGTTACAATTGGCTGTAGGCTGTGAATATAAGGCGTGTTTTAAATAAATATCTTTTGCATGTCAGAAACCTTGTCTTGGTGTTGAATGTTTGGTGGAGATAAAGAAAACTGGATATTGAGCTGAACTTGAGCTGTTTAACTCAGTGATCAATCATGAGATATGCTAGAAATTATACCGCCTTAGTTAAAAGTAGAGCATCAGCATCCATTCACTATCCCTGCTCTGAAATTGGATTTATGTATTATCTGTTATCTGTTCCACGGTATGGCATTATCCATCTCCATGGAAACAAGCAGGTGGTGCCACCAGGTCAGTTACAGGTCAGATCAGTGGAGGTGCTACCTCATTCACTGTAAGAAAGCATGTTTATTAAGGGATTTTTGAGCAACAAATTGCCTGAAATTGAAAAATTGCAAGATAAAGAGTTGGTAAACCTCCAACAAAAAAGTTACATAGCAGCTTTAAACAAAGAAAATACAAGCTTATATTGCTCAAAAGACAGCCACTGTTTTGTCAGTCTGCCCCAGGGTCAGTTTGTGTACCACAGCTTGATATCTATTGAGAAAAATGACTAAACCATATGATTGTTTCTACTGTGTCTTGAATTTAAGTATTTATAAACTACAATTGAGCCCTGGCAGTGAGCGTGTGAAACTATGCAAGTGAAACTAGCAGCACAGGCGCGTAACATTCAAAAGCTACAGTGCAATCAGGGGCATCTTTGTTTTTGAAACTGGAACAACACTTTTGCAGCATAACACCATAATATATGCCTTTTCTAATCCTTTAAGATGTAGCAAAAGTGATTGTCTTTCAGTGCATTGAGAGCGACCAAATTAGAATTGGGATTAAACCGGGATCAAACCAAAGTGTGAATGCACCCTAAATCAGCAAATTATTTTTTTATTCAAATACAATTTATTGTATTTTTTCTTGGAGCTTCAAGGATCAGAAATGCGTATGATTTTGTGAAAAGTAATACATTATGATTAAAAATAAATCCAAAATCTTTTACTGGAATCTTGGATATTCACTCTATTTTTTTTTTTTTTTTTTTTTTTTGTACTTTGTTGATGAAAATCTCACCCAAAAATTTGCCTTCATTTTTATTAAAATTTTTTGGCAGATGTAATCCAATTCATCTTATTCCCTGTTACAGTCAAAGCATACTGTTGTTGTGTCTTTTGGCAAGACACTTCACTCATCTTGCCTGCATTAAAATGTTAAACCTCAGGGCAAAACAAGATACTAAACCTAGTTTATTTCTGAATGGAATTGGGACTGAACTTTTAAATAGTTAATAATCTCATCAACATAAATAATGAAGAAAGTTGCACTGACCTTGTCCATTTGTGTATTTCTTGTAGTAGTTTAGCAGTAGTAGTACTATAGCAGTTTACTCCATGCTGTCCCTCATGGAGTACACAGTATGACAGATCAGCAGTAGTTCATGGGACAGATACTGGACTGAGGTCGACAAACAGGTTAAGCTCCGCCCGCCTGAGCTGTCAACAGAAACGCCTTTAAACAAACACGCCCCAGTGATCAGGGCGCACTCACTACTGTACATACGTCACACAATTGCAAGGCAATGACTGTGACTACTACTTCAAATATGTACACAATGTAAATGTATAGGCCTTTGGGATAGCAACGGGAAATACAGTTAGTATTTATTTTATACACACCGGTTAAATTGTGATTATGATTTTCAATTAGCAGGCTATAGGCCTTGATCACTTTTATTTTTTTGTTTTGACCAAAATTATCTGTCCATGGAGTTCACTATTCTGTCTGATTCAGTTAGATTATCAAGTTTGTTCAACTCTTATTTTTTCTTATTAAAAAGAAACTTATCCAAAACATATGAAAATGCCTTGGCGATCTATACCAAATAACCAAAGAAATCTAAACTCATTAAACTTCTTAACTATTGTCTCCATGGGGATTGACAGGTTTAATACCACAATGTGGAAGATTTCCAGGCAAAGCAATGGCATCTCCAAGTAAATAAGCAGGTGGCAGATACTCAACTAGAAAAGATACATGGGGCACCTTGCAATAGATCCATGCAAAATCCACATATTTGCTCTGGATCAACAAACATGCAAGTGAACATTGTTTGAGGGCACAATAAACTTAAATAAAAAATACTGAAGTTTTATTCAAATTGGTATTTCTGACAAAATAACTAAATTTTTAAACAATTACAGCTCCGCTTGTCAATCATTGTATTCATGGGTTCCAGGCATAATATTGTTTGCTTATTTGAATTATTTGGCATGACAATAGTCCTCTGTTGTTATAGCAACAGCACAGTTCAAACAAAATAATACAATATCTTTTGAATGTGGAAAATTCCTCTCAAAATTCTTCAAATGAGGAAGGAATCAATGCCTGAAATCATAAATAGAATCATTAATGGCCAACAAAAGTATCTGATTTCTGGCCAATTAACCATTTACAACAAAATATTAAAGTATATAATTTTGAATGTATACAAAAGGATAGCAAAATCTTCAAAACTATTAAGATTATCAAGTAATGTATAACTTCTTAGCAACATTTATAAGCACATTTTAACATACTTTTGATGGATAAAAATATTGTACAAATGCAAAGATATTGTTTATATATTATTGTGATATTATATTATGAGTAAATCCATTAAAAAAAATTTTAACCTACTTTCAGTCAATACCAAGTTTATATCAGCACATTTCCTTCAACAGTAGTCTAGACACTATCTATTGAGTACAAACATTAGTCTTGCGATTACTATTTGTTCATTCTTCTTCAGTCTGTTCCCACATCGAAAGTCCTTTAATGTGCTTACCACCTTAACCACCTTATGACAGCAGAGGTCCCGCCCTTCTCTCTATGAGCTAAACAATGACAAAAACAAACAGTGGCTTGTGTTTGAAAGTTCAGTAAAATAACAAAGACAATAAATGTATCATGTTTTACCTAGAAAGGGCTCTGAACTAGACAATCTACTTTGAGGACTGTGGTGTTCTAGGAAAAGTTTAAGAACCATTGTCATGTCCACCATGCCATTATCACATATTAGAAATACATGGAATGCCTTAAAAATACTTTGATAACATTTTTTTTTTATAGTTTTATATTCATTCTCAATTGTCAAAAATTGCTTGCTTTATTTATAAACCTACTAAAACCAGAACAAAATCATGAGACTCATCTTACAAAATTTTGTTCATGCCTGTTTTCCTCTTATACAGTTTTTTGAAATAAAAAACTAAGTAGAGTGCATGTCCTCCTGGTATGGTGTTACTGGGGGGGGGGGGGGGGAGCTTTTGTCTCACTGCCAGATCTCTGGTTCAATTTCCAGACAAAAAAAAAGCATAAGATGGTACAAAATAATGTAGTTTATTGACAGTCTTCAAAGGGGCCAGACCCTGTTGATTCTCGTGTCAAGATTTTACAAAATTATTGTCTGACAGAAAAGAATTGTAACAAACCAAAAAATATTCAAGTATAAGAATTCATTTCTAAAAATAAACAGATAAACAGCAGAATCAGCAGAGAAAAATAAGATGCGATGTGTATAGTGCACAGTAGTTTGTGTAGACATAGTTGCGCTATAAGCAAAACTATTGCATAACACACAAGTCATTATTGGTATGATTGCTGCTAATGTGTCATTTATCAAAACACTTACATAATAACTCCTTTTGTTTGATATTCTGTTCTTTCTGTTTAATTCATAATTAAACCATATTTTAAGCAATTATTATACAATATTTCTCTCACCATGTTTGTGATCCCAGCTTTCTAAATTCCATTAAAACGTCATCGAAAGTTTATAAATTTTAAAATAAATGTAGCCAGAGCTTGACATTAACATTATCTAATTAGAAAAATGCTGGTAGTTTTGGATTTTATGCACATATATTTAGGTTGGGGTTTCATGTGCATTTAGTAAGCATTTACAGAAATTAATCATGAAGAAGAAAACATAAAAATAAAACACAATGATTACATGTCCTGACAGCATGTAACTTCTGCCTAGCAAAAACAAGTTAGCACAAAAAACAGCAACAGTGGTCCTGAACAAAAGTGTCAGTGTGAACATTTATTAGCTTTTCACAATTTTCCCTTAATTCTTGTCAGTCCTTCAAATAAACAAAAGTAAAAAATACATTCAGATTTTAGTCATCTTCCTGACCAGCTCCTTTCATCACCAGTCTGTGAAACACTGAGCTTTCATTTTGACAAAGAACTTCAGGAGAATCAAACTCCAGCACCTGCCCTCCACCCATCACCAGCACACGGTCACAGTCCAAAATTGTGTTTATCCTGCAAGAAAAGGGGAAAAAAAGAAGAAAAAAGAAAGAAAAAATATCACTCTCTATTTTATATTGCACAATGCGATCACTCCTCACAGGGCTAACCACCAATTGACCATCAAAAAGGTTAGATAATCAAGCATTTGTCTTACAAGAGTCAGAATCTCTTACAATACTGCATTTATTTTAAAATGGTAGTACACCACTATAGGCTATCTGTGCACAATAGCCTCTTCCAATGGCACCATGATTTCTCTATGTTTTTTTTTTTTTTTTTTTTTGCAAAATGACAGTAAAATGAATAAACAGATCATGCAGTGGAAAGGGAGCTGTGGATGGACACTGTGTTGATAAAAGGTAGAGGTCTTTGAGTCTCAATGCTAATGCTAATGCTAATTTGAGAGAGTAACACTTTGCTCAGACTGCACCCGGTCCAGCTGCGACTCCAGTGTCAGACTGGTTTTGTTGTGGTGTGACACTCACACGAGGACCAGAGCTTTGCCGTGCTGTTGTGGTCACCCCTTTTGAACCTGCATGCGATAACTATTTGTTTATTAAGGGAAAAGGCTCAAGGCCTTAATTAATCCAGAACGCCACAGCACCTCTGCCATCACCTTCTCGCAGCTTGTGATTATACAGAATACTTATACACCCACAGGAGCTGCACTGCATTCAGCCTGAGGCCAGAGTAATAAATATTAAAAGCATGTCACAAACTAATAATCTACACAACCACCGTGTGATCTGTCAGTAATCTCTTCTTTTATTCTAAATGTAAAAACCTTTGACAAACTAGAAAAAAAAAGATTCACCTGTGAGCGATGGTGAGTACAGTTTTGTCTCTGAAAGTCTCTCTAATCGTCTGCTGCAGGAGTTTGTCTGTTTTCTGGTCCACGCTGGCTGTAGCTTCATCTATGCACAGCACCTACAAAAAGTAAAGAAAGTACTGATAGCTTCAGTAGCAGAAATAATAATAGTGATAGACATAGCAGTAGCAAGAACATTCGACTGAGGGGCAGAGCTTTGGCAAGTAGTCATACAAGTCAGTAGTAATGAGCTATTTAAAAGTTTAGTGATAATAATATGATCTGATAGTTGTCTATGTATTATCTAATGTAGTGACCCTGGAATTTTAAATAAAAGGACCTTTATTTACAAGTAGTACAAGAACGGCAGCTAATTTATTTAGCAATGATTAGAATGACTGTACTACTAATAATGACAAATTATATACATTAAAAACAAATGACACAGAACATTGAACTGGTAGATTTGAGTATGATTCTAAAATAGTAGCTGCAGTAGCAATAGCAGCAGTAGTAGTAGTAGTAATAATAGTACCTTGGCCTGAGTAAGGAGAGCTCTGGCCAAACACAGAAGCTGCCTCTGTCCCACCGAGAAGGACTTCCCTCTTTCTCCCACCTCTGCATCCAGACCTCCTGAACATAAACAAAAACAACTTCATATTAGGTTCAGACAGTCACACTTCCTCTTACTTGAGTACTAGTTTCATCAAATACTTTATTTTTACTTGCGTCATTTCTTGGACCACCACTTTGTACTTGAGTAAAATATTTTGTGTTACTCTATCTACATCTGTAAATAATGCAAATGTATCATGTAGAAAAACACCTACCTAACACAAATTACTGATAGGGACTGAGCTGGCGATATCCTTGGTATTGTGGTGACATTTTGCTTATATTTAGCCTACGTCATCAGATATTATAATGCTCCCTACAGCAGACTTGAATGGATAATACCACCACAATGCGCTGAGTGTCTGATTGTGAATGTTCTCCTCCCTTAGTCTCTTGGTTTACTTGAATTACTTCTTCAACAACTACAATTATAAATTTAAACCCATGTATTACCAAAATATGTCATCTAATCATGTTATCATTTGTCCTGAAACTGGTATAGTTAGGTGGTGGCATGGCCTATCCCAGTTGCTTTAGACGTTAATTTAGTTCACCTAAACGTGTCCGGACAAGGCATGTTGAAGTTTTGTCGTCATGTTTAACTTTTCCATTGATGTAATAAGACATTGTGAAACTGCTTTGTGGAGTTGAGGGTGGAGTGAAAACTGTAAAATGCAGTGAGTCAGTTTATGTTTGAAACAGACACGCCTCATTTAAGTGAACAATATAAAAGATAATTAAAAAGACTACCAAAGACTAATTCAGAGAGATGAGCCTTAGAAAAGTGTTAGGACGAAGAACCACACAATTGCCATTCACAAAGGAGAGACAGAATGACCATACTTGGAAATAAGTCTTAAAATGCCAAATGCCAAATGCTTGAAAATCTATTATGAACTCATTCAATTTGTATAAACTACAAGATTAATTGTAACTGAATTGGAATCACAGTACAAAAAAAAGTAACAGCTGCAAGAAAACAAATAACCTGTAAAAACTTGGTAATTGAAAACCATACAATTACTGCATAGGTTTATCAATTCATATTTCCGTCTTTTCCTGTTAATGCTCCTAAAGTGTGTATTTGCAACAACTCAATCTTCAAGTTTAATTACAAATGTTAATCTTACGAAAACACTTTTAACTTGAATTCTTGGAGATGATTTTTGTAGAGTGGTTGCCTGTCTTATGGGAGGCACTACCACATTTATGGAGTTGGTAAACTATTAAAATGTCTCACTTACCGCAAAGTCTAATGTGAGTAATCTGAGGGTTCAGGATCAGAAAGAAATCTGATTGCTCACAACATATTTTTTCTGTCTAAATGTCATTTGAATACTCTGATAACTCTAGAATTTTTTTCAACAGCACTGTGAAGCACTTTTAGCACAGTTGCTAAAAAGACATTTTGGCATAACATCACAAAGTATTATGGGATACCCCCTTAGACACACAAATGCTAAATCAAAGCTGGTATGTCAAAACAACTGACTCATTTCCATGTCTCATTTCCAAGTAATATTAACTTGTTGGTGTAAATAAAGAATATGTGCTTATTTAAGGCTGTGACGTCACCTGTAAAGTGGGCTATTGCACATGGACTCACCCATTCTGTGCACAGTGTTGCTAAGGTGGCACTGCTCCAGGACATCTTGTAGCTGCTGTTCTGAGTGCCTCTCACAGGGGTCCAAGTTCTGCCTCACAGACCCACTGAACAGAAATGGGTCCTGAGGGATGATGGCCAGCCTTGACCTGCAGGGGGCATCAACACTGTTAAATCAAGGGTGGAGAAGCTTTCTCCTGACATTATCATGTGTTGTGAAAGACCGGTTAGGTAAAATGAATAATTAAAATGCTGATTTTAGTTGTAGTGTAGTTAGTATTAAGGTCTAGTTACTATAACATAAACATATCATATCATAAACACATCATAAACATATAGCATTTTACACTTCAGACTGTTGATAAGTGACATTTTTAGTACTTTTCTCCATCCAAATGATATCATTTTGCAGCGGTCCATAGTACTAGTATACGCCATCCATAAGAGCTCTGCACAAATGTCAGATACCAGAGCAGAGTTTTACACAATATCAAGATAAACCTAAAAACAACTAGCATGCTAACAGTGCTCTTCCACTTTACTACACAATAAAACATTTAATAATTTGATGCCGACAGCCCAGTGGTCTCATATTGACCTTAAGAGCTGCTTTTACAATATATCTGTAGTGAGGTAAAACAAATTTTACTCAGCGACATGGACAAATGGATATACTTTCTCATCACTCGGATAACCTTTTCCCACCTGAGTTGATGAACTCCGACAGTGCTGATGTCTATTCCATCCAGTAGTATCTGCCCCTGGGTCAGTTCCACCATCCTAAATAGAGCCAGGAACAGAGAAGACTTGCCTGATCCCGTCCTGCCAACAATGCCCACCTTCTCCCCAGGGCGCACAACCACACTGACCCCCTCCAGAGCATTGGGAAGCCCCTCCCTGTAACACAGCACCACCGACCGAAACTCCACCCAGCCCTGCTCAGGCCAACTGGGAGGCAGCTGTGGAGTAAACAAATATTAGTAAAAAGCTTAAATTTCCAACTTTTTCTGACTATTAAATTATGTTTCTCCCTCCCAGAAATTATATTGTTAAATTATTTTATTGTATTATATTATAAAAATGTAATTATTGTGAAATTATAGGAATAACTTTGTGAAGCCTGCTAATTTCAATGGATATGTTATTGTTTTTCCTGAAATGTTACATGGTATGGCATTAAAGTTATTTTATCTGTATAGTGAAAAGCAGGTGATGCCACCAGTTCAAGGTGAAAAATCTGGAGTCCTTTTTTTTTGAGCAATAAAAACATGTAGTAAATTCACATAGTTTAATACCATAGTGTGGAATATTCCTGGTAAAGCAATACAGTAAGTTTGTGAATGTATTATAATAAAGTAGCAAATAAAGTATACTTAAATTAACAATGTGTTGTGTGATCATTTAACTGAATAACAAAACAGAACCCATGATTATATGTCGCACTGTTTGAGTAGGATATGGTAAACGAACAAATGTGTAAAAATAAACAAATTAATGAGACTTTAATGGGGCAAAGGCTCATTTTGTCACAGGATCTATGAATAAAATGAAGATAGTATGATAGATGTGCTAAAGCTGTACCTCAGCCTTTTTTCCTCAAGTGGTGTCTTTATCTAATTAGAAAACATTGTATTTATGCCAAACCATAACAATATGACAGCTCGGGATGAGCCCTGATTGGCTGTCCAAAAATGGTCCACCCTGCTTCTCATTTCTGTCTGAAAAAGCTGTTGTAAAATGCGAATACTAGCAAAGTGCCCAAAGGTTTGTTAAAGCTAGGAACAAGTTAGATTTAAATACCTACTACCTCCTTTCATTGTTTGTAAATCAGATACCCCAGCTTTAAAGGGAAAATATCTCCACACAGGACAATGAGAGTGGTGGAGAATGAGATATAGAGGGGGGGAGTAGCAGCCTCTAGATGAAATGGCCTGATGAAGAAAGTGCATTTATACGAGCATTAAAATTGTCTCACGTCTGAGGTGTGGTCCTGGGGCTCCGTGGGCAGGTCTGTGCTGTACTCCTCCGTCCGCTCCACACTCACCATCTGCATCTCCATCTGAGTGAAGTTCGAGATGAGTTCAGCCAAGAGCAGCGTGATAGAGAGGGCATAGGATAGGGCCAACCCCACCAAACCTGAAGGAGACAAAGCAAATTTGTGAATACAATCACTGTTGGATAGAGGTCTCTTAGTGTACTGTATACTGTTTAGTGGTGTCAAATTATCACGTTAATTGCGATTAATTAATTACAGTTATATTTAGCGCGTTATGTTTTTTAATCGCGTTAATCTCATTTTTAATCTCTAACTTTAGTGTTTCTGTATGAGAGTGTCTTTATTATAAAACCTGTTTTTATGTGTTGTTGGGACAACAACACACACACACACACAAAACACATTTATACATTTTTTTATTTCGGTAATTCCACTCATTGCCCACACAAAACGTGCGCAGTAACAGCGATGTAAACGTCATGTTCATGTTGGCGACGTCAGTCACAATGGACGAGGTCGAAGAGCCAGTAGAACAGAGGCAGCAGTGCACAGGGAAAAACACATTTGTGTCTTGGAAATTATTCTCCCGACGTGAAATATAAAAGAAAATAACAAATATAATATCGCCTGAAAACAACCTGCATAGGCTCATGATGTCTGCACTACTGTCCTATAGTGACCTGCCACATGAGGGGACACGCACACAAACACACACAAATACAAATACACACAAACACAAATACACACAAACACAAACACACACCTTCATCATCGTCATTAACCTGAGAACGCGCGGACCACGTTTCCTTCCGTAGACACTGCGCGGACACCGCTGTCCTCCCGTGAGCCGCGTGTGGATCGTGTTTTCTCGCTACGCTGCGTAAACCGCGCTTCCTCCTGTGCGCCTCTAAACCAGAACTAACACCAAGACTAAAACCAGGACTAATCCAGTCCAGGACTAAACCAGGACTAAACCAGAACTAAACCAGGACTAAACCAGAACTAAAACCAGAACTAAAACCACGTCTAAACCAGGTCTAAACCAGGTCTAAACCAGAACTAAAACCAGAACTAAAACCAGAATTAAAACCAGAACTAAAACCAGGTCTAAACCAGGACTAAACCATTATTAAACCAGGTCTAAACCAGGACTAAACCAGGACTAAACCAGGTCTAAACCAGGACTAAACCAGAACTAACACCAGGACTAAAACCAGGATTAATCCATTCCAGGACTGAACTAGGACTAAAGTAGGTCTAAACCAGGTCTAAACCAGGACTAAAACTAGTGATTTCATATATAAGTATTTCTCTATCAATAATATTTTTAATATGGTTAAGGAAAGACTGGACTTTTTATTGTCTTTAAGTAGACAAAAGTTATTATGTTCAGATTTCCTCGTCTTTGCTACTTTACAGCAAACAGTTTCTTATTCATGGAGACTTGGGCTCAACAGCCAAATTGGAGAGATTTGTTAAACAATAAATGACTTTATAAAGTCACTTTTTAAAATCTATATTAGTCTTTTGATCTGCCACAATAATGTAATAATGAATTTAAATGAAAATACCTCAAATTGAAGGCTTTTCTCAGCAATTTTTAGGTGAGATTAAAATGAGATTAATTAGATTAATTAATTACAGATCATAATTAATTAATCTCTCAATTTTTTTAATCGCATGACAGCACTAATACTGTTTAAGATAAATATATACCAGTCAGACACATAACATGACCATAGACTGGTTAAGAGAACTTCCTCATCCTCCTCCTCCTCCTCATCATCCTCATCCGGCCTGGAGCAGAGCCTGGCTGCTAACCGGCAACATCTGACCCTGTGTGTACCACCAACAGTCACACACCACACCACATGTGCCATGTCTAAGGACATAACAACTAGTGGAGCTGGTAGTTGAAATAATTGTTCAGTTTGTGGTACAAATAAATGTCATTAAATAATAAAACACAGTAGAAAGAAATCTCATGGACAAATCTTATTGAAACCTACCTGAAGAAATATTAAATATATGTAGTACCAATGTTTTTGTTAGAATATATATGTGTTTATTCTTGAAATGGGTGGGGTCGTAGCACAACCAGGGCAAGCCGTGAAACTCAGCATGGGGTTTGGTGTCGGCTATGTAGTGTTACTAACATTCTAATATTTAATGTAGTTAATGTAGCATGATGTAGTGTCCCAAATGCCATCTAATTATCCCTGTAAAGACACCAGCTAGTAGTTTTAGTATTAGTTATACTACTATTAGTTGTAGTATTAAAGTTAGATAGCCGTACCTGAATTGACAGGATATGCCAGCGCGGGAGAGTCGAGCCAAGGGTAACAGGGCTTTAGTTACCTGGATGGTGTACAGATCGCACGGGACTGAAATGGCACTAGATGAACGATCGGGCCAGGTGTAGAGCAAAATTGCTTGAACCTAGTTGTATCCCATACACAAATGTGCTAATTGAAACAATAAAATTAATGGTAAGGTGGTAAAAGGATAGCCCCTCGCCCTAAACCATTGTCAAAGATGTCTAAAATCAATAATCCACTCAGCATTGCAACAAAAACTGACTGGAGTAAATGTTGCCTTTGTCAGAATGACAAAAATGAGGATCTTAAGTGTCCTCCAACTCATTATTCATGCAACCCAGAGAATAGTGGGTATGGTATGATTGCAAGGAATGTGCCATTGTTCAAAGACATAAATCAGATGCCAATGAGATTGGATTTGTCCATACTGAATGTTGGTAGTGGCACTGAAGAAACGCTAATAAAAAATTATGCCAAATATCACCAAAGCTGCAGATTATTGTTCAGTAACAGTAAACTTGAACAGGCAAACAAAAGAGCAGCTTGTGATACACTGGACTCAGACAAAGGACATTCAAAAATTAGAAGAACTGTGCAGAAGCCCCAGCAATATATTTAACGTGATAACATAGAACCAGCTTCTGAACAAGACAAGCATCAACAATGCAGTTAAATGACAGGCTGAATGAATGTCTCAAAAATCTTAATGATGGCAAACTTTTGGCCATCTTAAGTGCAGGCGATGTGGTAGCACAAGAATTAAAATATAATTTAATTATTTTAAATTAACTTTTACATTCTTTTAAATTAAATTAAATTAAATTTAATTTAATAAAATAAAAATAAATTAAATTAAATTACAATTTTAATTAAATTAAATTAAATTAAATTTACATTTAATTTGGTCAATGTAAATTAAATGTAAAAAGCTGTCAACAATTGACCAACTGTGGTTGTAAAGGAGACTGTTGTGGTAGCTGTAAATGTTTTCGTCTGGGTTTAGATTGCACACAGCTTTGTGGCTGCAACTGTAATGATTAAGGTCAATAAGCAAAGTTTAACAAAAAAAAAAAAAAACAAAAAAAAAAAAAAACTGTATTGTGTTTTTTTCAATAGTTCTTAAGCACATACAGCACTATGCATGGTTCCATTTTAATAGCTTTATTTCTGAAATTAACAGATGTCAATATGTTGCATTTTATTTTAATTTTGCTCGTGTTTTTATTTCTACTTCCCAAATGGTTATTGGGATACCTTTGGTTTCAAATTGCGAGAAAATTTAATGAATTTTGTGGAAAATTAAATATATTTTGGTGTAAAATTAGTTGAATACCTGACATTGCATTACTGTATATGTATATATTTGCAAATTTGTGATTTATTCCATTAATTTTGATTAAGAACATGATGACTTATTGTCTTTTAGCTCATACTTATGCGAAATCAGTTGTTTGGTCGGCCATCTTGAAAAATGTTAGCTAAATATAAGAGAAATTTGGTGCTTGTACCACCAACTGAACGATTCTTGTGGTTTGGAGACCTAATCTGCTCCACTAAACAGTTTTGCCACTGGCATACCGCTGTGGCACCTGATATTTCCAGCAGTTTCCTAACCAAGTACTAACCAGGTCCAGCTCTGCTTAGGTTCTGAGATCAGGCTTTGACAATGAGGTTTAGCCACACACAGTATATGTGATGATCTTAAACCCATTAAAGTGCCCTGTACCATCCCATCACTATTAAACAACATATGATATTAAAGTTGTATGGAGGATTTTTTTTGTTTCAAATTGTCAATGATAGCATTATAAAGATGCAGTAGCCTTGTAATTATGATGACCAAAAAAAAAGAATAAAAATTCATCAACTCTGGACGTGGTGGGGCTAAACATTTGCCAATAGATAACGACACTGCCTCGTTATCTATTAGCTGATAGGCTGTCAATCAAACTCCCTACATTTCTAGCGTAACTGACTTGCCTGCGCGCCGCCGTTACGTGGTTTACGTACGCCTGTCATGCAGTCCACAGACGCATAGACGCTGTTTAATCCACCAACACAACAGTTCTTAGCGGCTTTTTTGACCTATATCTTCCTCGCAGTTAGCACAAAGTTTGTTGCAATGGCAGACAAGAATCTACGAGCAGTTAGCCGCAAAAGAAAGTCCGTTTTTGAGGTCGCTGAAAGAAGAAGACAAGGGGAAAAGCAGCGAAGCCAAACTAAGGTGATTCTTGGAGATTCATTCCAGCGATGGCGCGACTGAAGCAGACGAAGGGTCTAAAGACTGACGCACTGGTCGCCAAATTACTTCTGGACAGGTCACTTCTGCTTATTATGAAAACGTACTTTATTTCCAAGAGCTAGTCAAACGTTTTTCAGGACACGAATGCAATATCCTATGCCTGAAAATGTAATTTTCAATGCAAAGAAAGAGTCCGCTTGCTGCTGCGTGTCGTAGCTAGTTCATTCGCACGGAATCTCCACGCACCCCTCTCTGCACCGCTCCCCTCTCCTCTCCCCGCTCCTCGCTCCCCGCTCCGCTCTTCTCCCTGCTCCTCACTTCTTCTCCGCGCACGAAATGTCCGCGCACCCCCTCCCCCCGCTCCTCACTTCTCCACCTTGCCTAACCAACACTGTAGTTAGTTGTTTACAAGTCATTTGCAGCGATGAGTACTTGTTTTCTAGAAACAAACGTGTTTCTGGCGTAAAGAGGAGGCGGGAGGAGGCATTTCTACGTAGGGAGCTGTGGGGGAGGGGGGGGGGTGGTTTCACACATGCGCAACATTTGAAAAACGACAAACAGTCGCTGGATTTCTCATTCCTTGGAAAATCCTCTATACAACCTTTAAACCGGGACAATACAGATGAAAAAGTGTGAAAGAATGTAAGTAAAACCCAAAAAGATTTAAAGATGAGAACTCAGCAAGTATTACTGTCATGAATCACAATACTAACATTTCGCACACTCATTTTGATATTAAGGGCAGGCCCGACACGTAATGTTTTATTTTTCAGCTTTGATAGTCAAATGGGCAGGTAGTCCTGTTAACAGTTAGGAGCATTATGTCACAACTGTGGGTTTCTCACCAGGGTCAACGGACTTGAACTGATGTTGCACCACAGCGATGACCGCGAGTGCCGTCACCACAGCAACACCCATGAACTGCAGTCGAACATAGAGCCATTGCTTCGCTGCGTTGGAGACGAACAGGCAGCGTTGGTTCTGCTCCAGGTGCTTTGCATTCTCCTCCTTAAACCTGTGGAAAGAGAAAGTCAAATCTGCTCTAAAGACTGCTCTAAAAATTTAAATATTTCTGGATCAGTGGTACAGTTGTATCACCTAACAACAAACATGTCAAGTTCATTAGTAGGGCACCATGACTTGTATTTATAATGAATTCATACACAACCTTGACATAAGTTATTTAAAAGCAATAGCAACTGTATGTAATCTGTGCTCTTACATTAAAAAAAAAAGTACTACAATCAAAACTGAACCTGGGTTGCCAGTGTCTTAACCTGTACACAAAGGATACACAAGTTTTTCTCACTCTCAGGAAATGGACAGATGACTCTCATGCAAAAGCTCAGAGCCTCGAGAATTCAATCTGAGCATTCAGATCAGAGATAGTGTTTGTGGGTTTAAACCAATTGGATTTCAGCATTGAAACTGTCAAACCAAATGAGAAACTCATGTGAAGCTCATTCTGCTTTCTGACTGGATAATTGTCTTGAGAACCAAAACAACTAATTCTTACACTTGACCGCTTGGCCAACAGTCAACAGTATTACACTTTTCAATCAATCAATCAATCAATCAAACTTTATTTGTATAGCACTTTTCATACATTTGAAATGTAGCACAAAGTTTAGAGAATAGTTTACAGGGATTCTGCAGATTCAGCTTCACTGTGACAGTGGCATAAAGTACTAGTTTCACAAGAACTTAACCTCAAGAAAAAACATGGGTGTAGTGGGAACATATAAGATGGTCCTGAGATCAATTCACTAGGCCTGCATGCCTGCACGAAGTCAATATTATGCTTATACAACTCGCTATCTTCTAGTGGGGATTGTGCCAAGGACACTGTGTTTACGAAAAACAGGGCACCCTGCCCCACTGCCAGTTTCAAAAGACTGGACATGGGACAGGAATGCGCCTCCATGTATGTGTGCGCGGTGGAGACTGGCCCTCTCTGCACGCACAGGTGCATGAAGAGAATATATAGAGGCGGAGGGAAAGCACCCACTTTAGAGTCTGCTGCGGGTTGCGTACGAACGCCCAGCCGGGTTTAAGCCACTCTGCCGTGGGTTGTTGGCTCTCCAGCCCAGTGTCAACGGTGAGTTTGATTTTCTTATGTGCCAGTTTGTGTGATGATTGATGCTTAAACCCATTGATTGATTGATATGATTGTAACAATGTTGAGCGGGGAATAAACGGACATATTTATTCTAGCCTCATTGTGTGATGATTGCAATGTTGAGCGGGGAGTAAACGGACACATTTACTCTAGCCTCATTGTGTGTAGCAATGTTAAGCGGGGAGTAACCGGACACATTTGTTCTAACTTCATTGTAACAATTATTGAGCGGGGAATAAACAGGCACAGTTATTCTAGCTTGTTGTAACAATGTTAAGCGGGGAATAGACAGACCCGTTCACTCTAGCTTCATTGTGTGCTGGCATTGATTGATGTGAAATAGTGATTGCCTGGTTGTGACTACTTCCCACGAACCTTTTAAGATATTTCACAAAACATTTTTGGCGTTGTCGGCAGGATACTAAATTAAAGGGGAAGATTCACTATGTTTTCACGAAACAAGAAAATGCCTGAGGAGACCGCCCCGCAGATGGGGACGGGTTGGACCGGGCTGTGGCAGCCCGTGTATACATGTTTGTTGGACCAGGGGGGGACCCCTGGTGACTGGGGACCTGGTGTACAGACCGGGGATGTCCAGGCTGTGTTGACTACCTTGCAGGGGGTGATTCCTGACAAAAGGGCTCCGCTGGCCGGAGTACGAAGGCGCATGTGGATTTGCGCACATGCATGGAAACAGCAGGCGCAGTACGCGCGGTATTTACAGGAGAGAAATGCGGAGCTAGAGTCACAAGTAGAAAGACTCGCCCGAATGGCAGAGAAAGCTGTAGGAAGAGTTTCTAAACAGAATAGACAGGCCAGGCGTAAGGCGCCTCGCGATGTGACACGGCCCCAGGTCCGCGCTTTTATTGCAAAAGTTGAGGCTGAGGACTGGGACCCAGAGGACTGGGACCCAGAAACCTGGGATGGTAATATCTGGAGTGATGATGAGCCTGCACCCGGAGGGGCAGTAGCTCGCCCAGTGATCAGGCGCCGTAAGGTGCAGCAAGTGGTGCCTGATCAAATGCGTCCCTTATTGGATAAGCAACGTAGGGAGCAGAGAAGAATCAGAAAACAGTGGAAGCCAGGATTGTATCCTGATCTGGAGGACGTGCGTAGAGGCTATTAAGATTAGGGAGGTGGCCAGGCCCTGGGCATAAGGGCAATGAGATGGTCGTTAGACGACGCCCGCCCTCATGTGCCGGTGGAACTGCACTGGCGAACCTCAATTTAGCATTAGTAGATACCGGGGCTGAGGCCAGCTTAATTCACGGGAACCCGGACAAATTTAAAGGGGAAACTATTGTATTATAAGGATTAAGAGAGTAGTGTGATCAAATGGAAATGGTACGTGTCTGAACGTGTAAAGTCTGGACTCAAAGGTGTGTCTGTATTGCATGAACAGGTTGCGGACGCTCCCCAAGAAGGAGAGACTCGCTTTGAAATAAAGCCAATAACCGAGTCACCAGTCAAAGAGGGGAGGCCCTTTAATGAACTGACAGATGCTGAAAAGCAACATGCTTGGTTCACGGATGGCTCTGCTAAGTGGAGAGCTGGTAAACGGAACTGGAAAGCAGCAGCATTGAATCCAGTCCAGGGGGTGACGTTAGAAGAGATGGGAGAAGGCAAGAGTAGCCAATGGGCAGAATTAAAGGCGGTACATTTAGCAGTGAGACAAGCAGGCATTAATGCATTGGCCCCCTGCCCACATCACAAAACTGTCGACATGCGTGCACCGCAGTAGACACTTATTCTGGACTATTGGTGGTGCATCCGTGTAAATTTGCTAACCAAAACTCGACGCTTAAATGTTTGCAATTGATTGAACAGTATATCATGTGCCATATCATCCCCAAGCGGCTGGTTTGATTGAGAGAATGAATGGGTTGTTGAAAGGAATCTTGAAAAAACTGTCAGTTGATAACTCACTGTACACATCCTCCCCAGATCGGGACTGTCCCTTAAAGGCGTAACCGTTCTGGCAGGAGTAATTGATAGTGATTATCAAGGAGAAATTGGAGTAGTATTGCAAAATATTAAATCTGAACCATTTGTAATTAACAAAGGAGACAAACTTGCTCAGTTGTTAATAAAACCTTGTGACATGTCCACTCCAGTTGAAATCCAACCTCCCACGCACTTGACAGGGCGGGGAGAGGGAGGATTTGGCTCAACTGATAAGACTGGGGCTAAAGTATGGGTAAAACAGCCTCAGGGGCCTCCTAAAGCGGCAGAAATTATAGCCCAAGGTAATGACAAAATAGTTACCGTAATGTACCCAGGATAAGAACACTGGGTAAATGTGCCTGGGGACAAATGCTACCCCAGGCAATAGGTTAACATGTTCTGAAGTGCTTTATGTTAACAGGGATGCCCTGGTGGACCCTGTTGATTGGCAGACGACCAGCACGTGGCTGCCGACCCCGGCGGAGGTATGGCCCTCCTCGGACAGTGTGGTGCAGGTTCATGGGCCATGTGCCTGGGTGACATCGCTGCATGGCTGGGATGGCTATGACGTTAAAGGAGAAGTAATGGGACATCAATTGCATCAAATTAAAGAATTTCGATTTGGCTGGAAAAATGCCACCCTGATAAGGATACAAGATAACTTCACCTGTGAGGCGAACCGTGCGTGTATCACCACCCGAGTACGGACTAAATGCACGCTATTCAGTTATCGACAAAGAGGTCATGTGATACCAGTCGTAAGCCCGGACTGCATAATACATATCTCCAGCAATGTATCGTTGTGTTTATACAATCTGACTGTAAGACAATGTGTGGAGCGGCATAACGGCACTGAATGGAACATAACCGTATCTGAATCTGACATGGCGGTCTGGTTGGTCAATGCTTCCGCCATTGCGAACAGAACAATATATGGGATGAAAATAGAAGTGGTGCCAGCCACTTCTCGACCGGACCCAGCACAAGTAGTGCCGATTCCCGGCACGTGCCAACCTTTGGTAACTGGATTGACTAAAACTAAAGTACACTGGACGGTTAACTTTCCACCCTTTCCACCATGCCCTCGTCAAAAGCGGGTCTGGTACGATACCATTTTGGGAGGGTCAGGAACGTTATTGGGATTAAGCAACATGGTTGATGGACAGATCACTACTAGTAAGCTACACTACACTGGACAATCAACATCGGCGGGACTTGATTTGGTGGCACAATGGATGCCCACCGCACTAAAAGGACAACAACAGAATGTCCGATTATGGAAAGAAATGTTTAAAATAGATTGGAATAAATGGAATACTACTGATGGGGTGTTTAAAAACATAACACAGTTACTAAACTGGACTATATGCTCAATACAACATGTTAATGCCCTTATGCAACGTGAACGGATGCAGCGTGTTTTAACTTCTGATAATTATCATGAATGGCGACAGCAATGGAACATCTATAATAGTTTGTGGTTACATTTATATTCGGCACGAACAAAATGTAATGATACCATGTGTTATGGTAAATATGATATGTATAACGTAACTCACCCACATCTGATATGCAAATTCCACGTGTTACCTGTTATCGTTCACGGTGCGTATTGGGTATTAAGAGTTAAAGGGGAGTGGCTAGACGCCGCTAAAGATGTGACTTATGATTTAACAGGATGTGATGAAACGGACAAAGGTGTTGTATGCCCACTTAGGTCATCTTATACCAACCAATGCCTGAAAGACGAAAATGCTTTGTGTGATTGGGACTATCAAAAACCCGATGATTTGTTATTCCAGCTAGGTCCTCACACTTTGTGTGTAGTGACAATGAATCAACATCCTTGCACACCTTTCTCTGGTTGTTTGAGAAATGTACATGTCTGGACTTGGCACAACATCACATACAAATTACTCCACACTCAGTGATTTCACAGAGGTGCAGTGGACTCAATTACAGCAACCCAAGTTGGGGATATCTTTGGAACGCTTCCAAGGCGCCCTGGAATCGTCCAAAGATCTGAAAGGAATGATCGCATGCAGTGTCCAAGTTACAGGTGACAACCCTCTTCCGATCAAAGAAAGTGGAGGCAGTGGCAAAATTGGTAGAGCAAAATTCACTGGTATGACATCTTCACGGGGCTATCACCCTTTGCCCGTCGGCTGCTAGCGCCGCCACTTGTTATACTGATTTGTATTATTGCTGCTTTAACGTGCTGTAACGTGCTTACTTGGATTATATAATTTTGCACCATGAAGATCATAATGACAATCACTGAGGGGGCCTTCGGGCGTGACATTATACATGTTGAGGTGGTGCCAGATAATCCTGAGCTTCATACACTACAACTGACGTGGTGGCAGAACCAGGATTACTGGCAACGCCGTTTCACTTTGGAAGAAAGAAGGCACTGATATGATTTTATATTGCAATATTTACATATTGATGATGACTTGGACTCCTCTGCCTTTATGAATTGATCACAGGACCACAGGGTGGAATGTAGTGGGAACATATAAGATGGTCCTGAGATCAATTCACTAGGCCTGCATGCCTGCACGAAGTCAATATTATGCTTATACAACTCGCTATCTTCTAGTGGGGATTGTGCCAAGGACACTGTGTTTACGAAAAACAGGGCACCCTGCCCCATTGCCAGTTTCAAAAGACTGGACATGGGACAGGAATGCGCCTCCATGTATGTGTGCGCGGTGGAGACTGGCCCTCTCTGCACGCACAGGTGCATGAAGAGAATATATAGAGGCGGAGGGAAAGCACCCACTTTAGAGTCTGCTGCGGGTTGCGTACGAACGCCCAGCCGGGTTTAAGCCACTCTGCCGTGGGTTGTTGGCTCTCCAGCCCAGTGTCAACGGTGAGTTTGATTTTCTTATGTGCCAGTTTGTGTGATGATTGATGCTTAAACCCATTGATTGATTGATATGATTGTAACAATGTTGAGCGGGGAATAAACGGACATATTTATTCTAGCCTCATTGTGTGATGATTGCAATGTTGAGCGGGGAGTAAACGGACACATTTACTCTAGCCTCATTGTGTGTGTAGCAATGTTAAGCGGGGAGTAACCGGACACATTTGTTCTAGCTTCATTGTAACAATTATTGAGCGGGGAATAAACAGGCACAGTTATTCTAGCTTGTTGTAACAATGTTAAGCGGGGAATAGACAGACCCGTTCACTCTAGCTTCATTGTGTGCTGGCATTGATTGGTGTGAAATAGTGATTGCCTGGTTGTGACTACTTCCCACGAACCTTTTAAGATATTTCACAAAACAATGGGGATTATAGGAAAGTGTTAAAAGTTAATTTCTGTGACAAAATATAGAACAAAACTGAATCTGTACCTGGCTGTGCTGCGAGTCGCCCTTATTGTTGCCAGTCCGGTGATTGTTTCTGAGAAGTGCGAGTAAAGGGGGGGAGAGGGTAATGCTATAGAGGCGTTTGAGCTCCCTTGATGTGTGTCTATAAAAGGACTGCAGTTTGTAGTAGACTAGAGCCAGAGGAACCAGCAGCACTATGACCCAGGGCAGCCCATAGCTCATCACGACCAGGATTCCCATCAGCCCGAACACATTGGCTAGAAGTATGTTGAGGACAAAGGGAAGGCTGTCGTCGATGGTGTAGATGTCCGAGGAGAAGCGGTTCAATATGCGACCGAGAGGAGTGGTGTCAAAGAAACTCACCGTCGCCTAAGAAAAGATTTTACAGTGAAAAATTTGAAAATGTACTGCAACTTCAACACCCAGAAACACACAGTGGAAGAGCTGTACAAGACTGTGATGAGGAGGAATACAAGTTACAAGAGTTGAAAGCCAAAGTGAAGTTTTGTTACCTTCAGCACTCTATCCAGGAGCCTGTTGTGGATGGTGGTTGCGGCACAGATGGTTCCGTAGGCAAAGAGAAAAGCCCTCAGTGCAGTGAAGACTGTGTTACTCACAGCAATTCCCCCATAAACAGTGAGGTAAAACTTCACATCAGTGCTCATGTTATTCAGTGAGTGAACTGATGACAAAGGAGACCTGAGGAAGCAAAAAGGTGACTTTTTGAAAAAAAAAAAGTGTGATCTTTTTTAATATTTTCATAACTGCAACTTCCTCATGCAATGCATTGATTAGACAATTGACAATATAGATAAGGCATAACACATTTATTTCAAGCCATGTCAAAAGTTAGATCCTGGTGTACTAAAAGAGATATATAAATCTAATGAATTAGAGATGGGCAGATTATTAAAATATTGCGAATAATAATGATTGTGAATGTTGTTTTTTTAAGTTATGGAGGAATTTGAATATTGAGTTAATTATTTATGTGCCTATAAGACCTAATTAAACTTAAACTTATTTTGTAAACCTCCAAATAAAAATCTAAAGATATATTTCCGAATTATCTGATATGTAAGCCTCAAGTAATACATTCAAAAACATGTTTCATAATAACGTTTGATTACTGTTATTGGGACACTTAAAATAAATATCAAGCAGGGCCATACCAAAAAATGTGAAAGTCTAACCATCAGTCTATTCTGTGACTATTATTCCACTTGCACATTGCTACAGTTGTATTTTTTTGCCTGAAAAGTGTGAATTTTATAAAAACACCCACTCGAGAATGTGTCTGTATTTACATTATAGTTGATATTAACACACAAATCTTAATATGGAACAAATATAGGTTAGGGGCAAATTTTGAACAAAAATTATGCAATTTTCGGCATTCTAATCTAGAGCATTTTAGAGGTAAGTTAACTTATACTTTGTAGTCTGAATATGGCTTTGCCTTTAATTCCCAGTAAATAAAAAAATAAAACTGTTATAATTCTTCACAAGAGAATCACACAGGACTAGGATCACCATGCTGTTTGAGCATTAAAGAATGAGCTGGTATCCCATACAACTCGATAAAGAGGATACAGTAGCCATTCTGCTCAAGTCTGCAGCCGATTGGCTCCTGTGCATGCATGAGACACAAACTGTCCCTCGCAGTAATGACAGTGCGCCATAGAGCGCATCCTGGACCACGCACTGAACCAATGGGAGTGTGCTCCATTTGGAGTTTTCCATTCGAGTGAATGACCTATTTCGAGCTCAAAAAGGCCAAAAGGTGACACGTTTGCCGTCCTGATCATGATACAGCTTTTGTCATCATCACACACCCGTGTAAGACATAGTAAAATTTGAATCAATATAATAACGGGTAGCAGTAACACTTAACAGCATATTTATAGGATGGTACATTATAGGTACATACACAAGTTGGTGGTGGGAGAAGAGCAGTAGGTGAGGAGAGAGAGGGCTCCCTGGGGAAGAACCATCAAAACTGTGGGAACCATTGTTTCTGAGCTGTGAGATCCAGTAGGACAACCACCAGTCGGACACATTTTTAGAGGCTGAAATAGAAGGGAAATAAAATTACTCTTGATGTTGACGAAGAGCACAGACAGAATTAAGAATGAAGTACTATATTTAGATTGAGGTGGTTTGAACATTTACACAAGAGGTACAGTGAATATATGGGTAGAAGGATGCTAAGGTCACTGCTGCAGAAAACAGAAGGCCTAATGGTAGACCAAAGAAGAGATTTATGGATGTGGTAGAGAAAGAAGACATGAAACTAACATTGTCACAATGTCACAACAACAACATGGACCTTAATTTAATGTGCACAAACTACAGTTACAGTAGATTTTAAATAAAGTACCTTGCTCAAGGTAGTAACATATGTCAATAGCTATGGATGTGTCAATTATTTAACTGACATGAACCTAAATTACCAAGTTGGAGGAATATATCCAAACCTTGCATGAGGAGCAGAAACAGAAGCACGGAGGAGGCCAGTGTTGCCCCCACCGACCTCCCGTACGACCGGTATACTCTCCAGGCAAGTCTCCCTATCGCCTTCTGTTCTTCCCCAGAAGAGTCATTGTCCTTGGGTACAGAAAGGAGCAATATTGACCCCTCTTCCTCTGGACCTCCATCCTCTGCAAATAATCAGTCAACTTTAATTCTGTATTTTATTTAGTCAATAAAAAAATAATTATAAATGATTAAAAGATTACATAATTACCATTTTCATTCTTGTTGTCCTTATTTTTCTGAGTCTTTGGTGCAACTTCCACCAAAGGAATTATTTCAGCTGGAGACCCTATGAAAAACAAAAATTACACAAAATTATGCACCTGCTTCCCTTGTTACTGTCTTGCTCAAAATGTTCAGCATCATCACATTAAACACATTGTTTTTATTGTTAAAAATAATGTTCCCTCATCAAAAATATGCCTGAAGAGGTTTTAGATATCATCCATGCATGCATTCATGAGGGGTGCACAGGGAGAGAACACTCCCGAGTCAAAAATAAAAATGAAACTTAGAAACATGTTATTTTTTTTTTTTTCAACAAAAATAGGACTTTCATAACAACAAAAGGTAACTTGGTGATCTAAATATGTTAAGCACTTAGCAGTTAATACCCCATAAAACTAAAATACCCCTTCTTTAACTGCCCATGTTGAACCCCCACATAAGGTCTATACGTAGTTACTAGGAAGGCTGCAGTCAACAAGCCCTGTTACTAAAAAAAGTAAAAGAATATTTAGTGCATATTTATGAAGTAGTTTCTTACCTGTTTTTATGATTTTCCCATTCTCCATCAGGATGACCAGATTGGCTTTATCGACAAACTCGATACGGTGAGTGCAGAGGATCCTGGTCTTTTCTTTCAGAAGATCCATAATGCACCTCTTCATCAGGTGTTCTGCCACATCAGTGTCCACGGCAGCCAGAGGGTCGTCCAGGAGGTAGATAGGTTTGTCCTGGACAGAAATAAAACAATAATACAATAGATGTAGTTGCAGTAGATGTAGTTTAGATTTTTTTTGAGTTAATTATAAATCTTTTTAAAAAAGGGGGTATTATTATCCCTCATCCAAAAAATGTCTGAAGAGGTTTTAGATGGTATCCATTTATGTATTTTAGCATTCTCTCCTGGGCCCTGTTCAAACACTGACGGTTAGCTGCCCTTTGTCACCGGTTCTGTTCAGCTCGAGTGGCTTGGGTATCTGTTTCGGATGGCTCCTGGACGTCATCCTGCAGAGGTGTTCTGGACAATTTGACATTTACGCACAAACAGGCTGCGCAACAGCTTCTATCCACGAGCAGTGGACGTGCTCCAAGGGCACAGGCACAGATAAAAGACCTGAAGGGACTCAGTGCAATAATCTATTTATTTTATTTAATAAATGTTTTTTTTATTGGTATGGATGTGAGGATGTGTGTATATATTGTCAATTTTTACTGCTACAGATCTGCTCTGCTGAAGTTTCGTTGTATTTCATACAATGACAATAAATAAATCTATCTATCTATCTATTTAGTATTGTTTTAATTCTGGTTTAGTCCTGATTTAGTAGAAATTCACTCACACTTTCTATTCCTTGATGCATGCAGGCATTACTTTTAAACAACAGTAATTACTAGTTAAATATTAACAATGTAAATTCTACAAAATTATCATTTTATCACAGAAATAACACAGAAAGAGGATACTGGGCAGATTCACTCATTGTGCATGTCCCAAGCCCAAGAGGAGGATTCACATAAGTGGTGTACAACTCAATATTCATTATATATAAAGTAAATTTAGTTTTTTGTATACTGACCATGTAAACAGCTCGGGCTAAAGCGAGTCGGGCTTTCTGTCCTCCACTCAGAGTCACTCCATTCTCCCCCACCTCCGTTCTGTCGCCATTCGGCAAAACCTGCCGGAGCCCACAAGACAACATATAGCAAAGAAATAGACAGTGAAAATGTTTATCTACATATACAGTAAAATATATTATTCTTCTTCCATGCAGGTACATACATTTAGCAACAAGGGCTGAAAGTCACAGGGTCATTATTTAGTAATTTACATAAAATAACAGAAACCTCCTAAGACCAGTAACGTGAATGAATGATGTAATTTTGCTCATATTAATTTCAATACATATTTTAGTTAAACATGTGCTGCCAAAATGTAGTTTTGTGCACTTTTTAAATAAATATGTATGCATGTATGTATGCATGTATGTATGCATGTATGCATGTATGCATGTATGCATGTATGTATGTATGCATGTATGTATGCATGCATGCATGCATGTATGCATGTATGCATGTATGCATGTATGCATGTATGTATGCATGTGCATGTATGTATGCATGCATGCATGCATGTATGTATGCATGCATGTATGCATGCATGCATGTATGCATGCATGCATGTATGCATGCATGTATGTATGTATGCATGCATGCATGCATATGTATGTATGTATGTATGTATGCATGTATGTATGTATGTATGTATGTATGCATGCATGCATGTATGTATGCATGTATGTATTGGTCAGTTATACCTCGATTAGATAGTAGCAATCAACCGTACGCATTCACATCTTTCACTCTGGGATATAGGACTTTCAGAAACTAAAATCCACAAATTAACAATGTCCTGTCTCACACCAATTAACTTCATTCCTTTCACTATTATCTACAAATCTCCTCTTTGGTCTTCCTCTACAGTCCTTGACAAAAGTCTTGTCGCTTATCCATTTTGTAGAAACAAAATCTTATAATCTGACTTTAAATTAATCGATTGGTTTTAGAAATGTCTCATATGAAAGCTAAAACCCTCCCAAATTATACTCAATAAACTAAAATAAATTTGCTTCATTGAAGAAAGATTGATCATTTAATGAACACAGAAAGGTCAGATTTTGGCAAGACAAAAGTCTTGTCACCTTGTCATATGATGCACCCAATCCTAGATTACAGCCTCATCTGTGATCAGTTACTGATCGATCAATTAGTGGGTGTGTATAAAAAGAACCCCAGCACACCAGACCTTCACATCAACTGCAACTTGACCTCTGACAACATGCCTAAGATCCACCCTGAGACCAAAGCATTAATTATCAAGAGGCTGAAGACCAGATCCACTGCTGAGGTGGCTGACACCTTCAATGTGTCTCAGCGTCAAGTACAAAGAATAAGAAAAAGATCTGAAATGACTGGAGATGTTTTTGACAAGCCCAGGTCCGGCAGACCCCGCAAGACAACTGCTCGGGAGGACCGTTTGTTGACTCGAAAATCCAAGGCCCCTTTTCCACTGCAGCAGAGCTCCACCAGGCCTGGTCACCTCAAGTCCCTGTGTCAACCAGAACAGTTTGTAGAATTCTGTCTCGAAATGGCCTCCATGGTCGAATCAGTGCACAGAAACCAGCACTAAACAAAAGGCAATTTAAAACCGTGTGGCATTTGCCAAGGCCCACAGCCTGCTAAAAGGATGGACACTGGAAAAGTGGCAGAAGGTGGATTTCTCAGATGAATCCTCGGTTGAATTACATCACAGCCGCCACAAATATTGTAGGAGACCTACTGGAGCCCGCATGTATCCAAGATTCACCCAGAAAACAGTTAAGTTTGGTGGCGGAAAAATCATGGTCTGAGGTTCCATCCAGTATGGGGGTGTGCGAGACATTTGCAGGGTGGAAAGCAATATCAATAACCTAAAATATCAAGACATATTAGCTACCTCTTACATTCCCAACCATAAAAGGGGTCAAATTTTGCAGCAGGATGGTGCTCCATCGCATAATTCTATCTCTACATCAAAGTTTCTCAAGGTGAAGAAGATCAAGGTGCTCCAGGACTGGCCAGCCCAGTCACCAGACATGAACATCATTGAGCATGTCTGGGGTAGAATGAAAGAGGAAGCATGGAAGGCAAAACCAAAGAATCTTGATGAACTCTGGAAGGCATGTAAGACGCTTTGTTTGCTATTCCTGATGACTTCATCAACAAATTGTATGAATCATTGTCAAACCGCATGGATGTAGTCCTTGAAGCTCATGGAAGTCATACAAGATATTAAATATGGATCTCACAGCACCACTACTTAATTCACTGACGTTATGTGTAACCTGTACCAAATGAACTAGTAAGATATGAATGATACGTGTACCCAGGAATCTAGGTTCTAAAGGAGGAAAGAAGGTGTAATAAATTTAGACTGTAGGTTGAAACGAGAAAAGTGTAAAATTTATTGAACAGAATCAATATTCTTCCCCAAATATTACCAGCTTACCCCTACATAAATCAGTCCTTTTGTCCAACAATTTGTCCTTTCAAAATAAAAAGTTCAGAGCTCTGAAAAAAAAACTATTTTGTCTCATCTACCCAGGTAGTATGATTTTTTGTTTCTTTCTTTCGTTGGTGCACAAGATCTTAGCTTAATTCAACTGTACTGCAATGAAGGCCAGGTCCACCAAGAAGAGACGTCAAGGCATCCAGCAGGTCTACAGGTCCTGGATCCAGTGACTCCAGCCTCACAGCGAAGTCCCAGGTCAATTCGGGTCAACAAAAAAACAACCGGAGAACAAGAACAAACAAAACCTGGATAAAACTTCCTCTCCAGAACACTTTACAATTTGACGTATCTCTAAGAACCAAAAACAAGTTGTTATTTGACAATCTAAGCAATATTTTACCACATTTTTGCACAATAGAGCTTACATGTGCTGTCCAGCTTCTTCACAAGATGGTGTGCATTTGCAACAAAACCTACAGCACCGTCTACTGGGCGCATATGACACTGCATAGTTAAATGAAATTTAAAGGAACACATTTCCAATTCAACAAGTAAAACTTGGGTGGGTTACATATGCAACATACTTTTGTATTTGAAGTAAATTATTTGTTCAATTTTCTGTAGGCGACAAAACTTTTGTTTTGCCAAAATCTGACCTTTCTGTGTTCATTAAATGATCAATCTTTCTTCAGTGAAGCAAATTTATTTTAGTATATTGAGCATAATTTGGGAGGGTTTTAGCTTTCATATGAGACATTTGTAAAACCAATCGATTAATTTAAAGTCGGGTTATGAGCTTTTGTTTCTACAAAATGGATAAGCGACAAGACTTTTGTCAGGGACTGTAGGCCTCCTGTTTGGTAAAACTATATCTGTACATATATAAACCTCTTACACTGAGATCATCGCTGAGAGCACAAGCCTCGATAACCTTCTGATAAAACTCTGGATCGTAGTCTTTCCCAAACAGAATATTGTCCCGGACTGACGCATGCTGGATCCAGGACTCTTGAGAGGCTAGGCCAAATCCCAGGTCCTGACCGGTGACAAAAACCACACCACTCAATCTGAGAGGAGACGAGAAGTGGAAATTCAAAAAAACTTAACAGGCAGAATGTAAGATACTTTTTTCTTTTTTGTCACAAAAGAAAAGAAATATAAAAATAAGATTTACAAATATTTATTTGTATATATATATATATATATATATATATATATATATATATATATATATATATATATATATATATATATATATATATATATATATATATATATATATATATATATATGTATATATATATATATATATTTTTTTTTTTTTAAGAAGGAAAAGATAGAAATTGTTGCACAAATGCTGAATTTGACCATTGTTATTTCACAAATTATGTCACTATATTGACAAAGTAATGTCACCACAGTTCATTTGTACAGAGAGAGAAGATACTGAAACTCTTCTTTTATGAAGAACGTGCCAGTAATTACAGAGATAATACAGTTAAACTAGAGTAACATCTGCATTGAAGGCAAATTCCATCACAGAATTCTGAAATGCCCTCCATCTCAATTTAAAATAATAACATATATATATTTTTTACCTGTTGAGTTCTCCAGTGAGAGCAGCCAATAAGGAGCTTTTTCCACAGCCAACTTTTCCCACAACAACCACCAGAGAGCCCTGAAAATGACAAACATAATATGCAATTTTTATACATGATGCAAAATGTACACAGCTGCTTGTCTCTGTAAATTGCACAAAGGCAATCTATATTATAGCCCCACTACATAACTTTTCATTTTGGATGTTTGCACTGTGAGCGGGCTTGCATCTCCACAAAACTCCTGCTTGTCTCCATGGAAATATTGTTTTTTTTTTTGGCTATAATAATTCACATTCAGTATGGCATTAAGTGTATATCTCTGTAGGAGCCATTTTTCTTTCATTTAGGCTGGGGTTAATTTGGGTCACTGTTTGTCTGGGCACAGGGTGACCTATATTCGGCTTGACCACAAGGGGGCAGGGTGGAGTCAAGCCCTATATAAATGCACAGGTGCCAGTGCACTGGGTGTATGGGTGACAGGAGGTCAAACGGTTTTTAGCGCTCTCTTTACGGCCGGTGGTCTAGCTTTCACTACTCAACTCTGTAATATTATCGAACATCTTTTTATCCATTCTACTCCCTACTCCTTTCTGCTCTACGATCCAATGTGCCAATCGGGTAGCACGTTAGGCCTGGATCCCCTGCACCCAGAAACGACAAAAGGTTAGGACTAAAATTGTCGCTACACAAGTAAAAACCGCAACCTTTTGGAAAAGAGAAAGCCACCTTTGGGAATACATTCCTGGAAAAGTTTGGCGCACGCTACACTGAGCCTCGGCCTAGCTAACTTGTCTGCAGCAATAGTTGCTCTCGCCCATCTTCTCACTGCTGTTATTTCAAGTAAGTCCGAGGAAATATAAGATTGGAGGCACGACTATATGAGACGTCTTTGGTGAGTGCAGTCATCCTTTCATTTGTTATTCCACGGACAGAGTTTGATGCGCCTATAGGCCTGTTCCAGGAGTTTACGTTAGCCTGCAAGCGGCTAATGATTTGTGGTGGTTTCTTGTTCATTCAAATGAGTCATTTTCTGAGCCCTCTGGCGTAAAGTTTGATAAAGCACAATGCAGCACGCTACTGTTTGTCCACAATTGAAAATGAATGATACTTCTGATAAAAACGATCACATTGAAACTGAGCAAGTGTGCACACAAGGTGAAAAAAGACAAAGAAAATTGTCACTAAAAGGTACGGCATTAGCCGCTGAAAGGATTCAAAAGGAAAGAAATTATCTATTTAAGCGTGCGAGCAAAGCAAAGGATAAGATAACGGAGCTCTGGTCATCAAATGCGAATCTATACGAGGTTCATCAGCAATTAAAATGTTTCAGTAAGTTATGTCAACATGCGTCTTCTCTTCACAACACATTATTAAAAGTTATTATTAAAAATTTCGATTTGCCCGATGATGAGCAACAAAAACAAGATGCTTGGTTCCAAGTTAAAAGTGCTGCCAATGACGCGTTTGTGCGTAAAGTGAATGAATGGTTGAATGAAAACGTAGCGCTGGCAAGAAACACAGACGGTGACGTCAATATAAATGAATGTGGGGATGACTTTATCGAAGAACTGGACGTGGCCACACAAGGTGTTATGAATGAAAATGGACACAATGCAGAGGCTGGGAAAAGTTACGCGGTTACTGATTGCGTAAATCCTGAAGACAGCGCCTTCAACGTATCCAAGCGCTCTAAGCACAGCCACAGGTCTGCGTCCAGCACGTCCTCTGCTCTTAGGCTAGCCATGGCCAATCAAGCAGCTTTAATGACAAAGGCCGCGGCTCTAAAAATGAAACATGAGTTGGAGGCCGAAAAAATAAGAAAGCAAAAGGAACAAATGGAGATGGATGTGGAAATAGCTGCCGCGGCAGCGCAGCTGAATATGTTAGGAGGCAGCTCTGTTGGAGGAAAATCTGCTACAAACGGAATGAATTCATATGTGAGCAAGGGAGTTAAAGAGCGAAGACTTATTGAATTCAACCCTCTTGCAAATGAGTTTGTACCTAAACCATTTACTGCTGCTTTGCCGAACTCTGCGACTCCTACTTCTGCACCTGTGGTGTGACCTAAAATACTCAATAAGATAAAATCATGTACACCATTGCCGCATGTGAACCAGCCTCACCACAGTGTCAAACATGATCTCCAACAGGTTTCACAAACAAGGTCGGCTACTTCAAGGATTCATAGCTTAAATGCTATGTCAAAGTCAAGTAACATTCCAGTTCACCCTCCGATGTCACCTTTAGAACTGCCTGGTTCACAAGCACAACGTCAGTTTATCATGCCACAAGCTCCTATCGCCCCAGATAATGCCATCTGCACCATCATGCAAAGGCAGAATGAAATTACATCAATACTAGTACAAGAGCAGTTAGCAGCCACTCTGCCACAGCGGGACATTCCAATTTTTTAAGGCAATCCATTGTATTGCTCTTCCTTTATGAGGGCATTTGAACACTGTGTGGAGGAGAAGACTAGTAGCTATCAGGACTGTTTGTATTTTCTGGAACAATATACCAGAGGGCACCCAAGAGAGCTGGTGAGGAGCTGCATGCATATGCCATCACAGCTCAAAGGGCCAAAGAACTTTTAATGGAGCACTTTGGAAATGAGCACAAGGTTGCTACAGCATATATGGAAAAGGTGTTTAACTGGCCAGTCATAAAAACGGAGGACGTTCAAGAACTGAACTGGATAATTTCACACTGTTTCTAAGAGGATGCTCTAATGCAATGTCTGAGATACATTATATGGAGGAGCTGAATGTACCTTCACACATGAGGCAAGTGATCATGAAGTGGCCCTACAAGCTGCGTGAGAAATGGAGAAACACTGCTTGTGAGATACAGGAGCGGAAAGGCTTCAGAGCCACATTTATGTATATGGTGAACTTTCTTGAACGCCAAGTTAAGATCCTGTCTCATCCTCTGTTTGGAGACATCTCAGATAACTCCCTCAGTTCAGCACCAAGGAATGCATACAAGAATAAGATCCAATCAAGGAGCAGTTTGAAAGGCAGTAGTTTTGCAACATCTATCGCAGCTATTGAGGGTGTTACATCTTCTTCTGCACAGTCTAAGTCTAAGTAAGGTTTATGGAGATCATGGACAATTCAGTGTGTGTTCAACAAGGACATTATTGTGTGGATTTACCTTTTAATAAGGATGATATCCATATGCCTAATAACCGGTGTATCGTGGAGCAGCGAATCCAGAGCCTCAAAAGGAAATTTGAAAGAAACAAGGATTTTAAGGAGGAATATGTGTCATTTATTACAGATCTTATTGACAAAGGTTATGCAGAGATGGTGCCTCATGACCAACTGGAACTAAAAGATGGAACTGTGTGGTATATGCCTCATCACGCAGTCTACCACCCGAGGAAAGGGACATTGCGAGTGGTTTTCGACTGTGGAGCAAGCTATAAAGGGACCTCATTGAATAGCCAACTTATACAGGGTCCGGATCTCACAAATTCTCTTTTTGGTGTGCTGACCCGATTCCGTGAGGAAAAGGTTGCTCTGATGACTGACATACAGGCCATGTTCCATCAGGTGAAGGTGTCAGAGAAGCAGGTGGATTACCTTCGCTTTTTATGCTGGCATCCATTCCAGAAGAGAAACGATCAAGGCCAATCAGAGAGCTTCACCTGGATCAAGACAGTTTGCCTGTGGAGAAAGCCTTGGGCCTGAGTTGGTGTGCAGAGAGAGATTCATTCACCTTTCAGCTTGGTGTGGAACCAAAACCTCACACCAGATGTGGGATTCTTTCTATGGTCAGTTCCATCTATGACCCCTTAGGCTTCCTGTCTCCATTCACTCTGTTGCCTAAACTGTTGCTGCAGGAAATGTGCAGGCACAATTTATCTTGGGATGATCCCATTCCACAATCAATGTCTCAGTGCTGGACAGCATGGCTGCAGGATCTTCATAAAGTGGGGGAGTTCAAAGTGAGGTGTTGCATCAAGCCCTGTACTTTCAAATCCCCCTTAGTGGCTCAGCTCCACCATTTTGCAGATGGCAGTGACCACGGATATGGGACAGTATCTTATTTGAGGCTACAGGATGAAAGTAGAAAGGTGCACCTGGCCTTCATGCTGGGAAAGGCTAGAGTGGCACCACTGAAACAGACTACAATTCCCCGTCTTGAACTTACAGCTGCCGTTCTGGCCGTTAGGGTGGATAGGATGCTACAAAGGGAGCTATCATTTCAGCTGACGAGTTCATGTTTTTGGACAGACAGTCAAACAGTGCTGAGATACATTAATAATAACTCTAAAAGATTTCACACCTTCGTGGCAAATAGAGTGGCCGCAATCAGGGAGGTGACTGATGTGGCTCAGTGGAGATATATTGGTTCAAAGTTCAATCCAGCTGACGAAGCCTCCAGAGGTCTAACAGCAGACAGCTTTATGGCCTGTCATAGGTGGATAAATGGCCCAGAATTCCTCAAGAGGCCCGAACAGGAGTGGCCAGAGCTCTTTGCACCCCAGCCCGTTTCACCTGAAGATCCAGAGGTGAAAAGGGACGCTCTGGTGAACACCATAGACACTAAAACAGAAGAACCCACTTCCAAGCTGGTGCATTATTTTTCAAGCTGGACCAAGCTAAAGACCTCAGTGGCTTGGTTTCTAAAGGTCAAGGACATCCTGTTGAGCTTAAGCAGAAAAAGGAAAGAACTGCTATCCTCTCTCGTCACTTCTGCTACTTCTATCAATATAGAGGAGGAAATGAAGCAGGCCAGAGCCGCTGTGCTTAAGCAAATGCTGTCAGTGAGCATCTCTCCAAAGCAGAGGCTACTATTATCCATCATAGTCAGCATGCAACATTCAGAGAAGAAATCTGTGAGTTGCAGAGTGGAGCATCTGTTAAGAGCAAGAGTGACATCTATAGGCTTGACCCGGTGTTACACGATGGTTTATTGAGAGTGGGTGGTAGGCTCAGTCGCTCAGCCCTACCTGAAGAGCAGAAGCATCCCATTATTCTTTCTAAAGGACAGCACATTTCCAATCTCATCTTGCGGCATATACATCAGCAGTTAGGACATGCAGGAAGAAATCATATGCTTTCAGTACTAAGACGGAAGTACTGGATCACTAATGCTAACTCAGCATGCTGAAAGGTTATCTCTGAATGTGTTGTTTGCAGACGCTACAGAGGACAGCCCACGGAGCAGAAAATGGCCGATGCTGGAGAAACAAATTTGTCCTGATCTACCACCTGTGGGCGTGGACTATTTTGGGCCTACTGAGGTCAGGAGAGGCAGAGTGATGGTGAAGAGATATGGGGTCATTTTTACCTGCATGACCAGTCGAGCCGTACATTTTGAAGTGGCGTATTCTCTTACAACTGACTCCTGTATCAATGCCATTAGACGCTTTATCTGTCGTCGAGGTCCTGTGCGTCGGATGAGGTCAGACAATGGTACGAATTTTATCGGTGCGGAGCGTGAACTGAGGGCAGCTTTGGCAGCTGTAGACCATACAAAGATCCACCAGGCCCTAGTATCAAAGGAAATTGATTGGGTTTTTAACCCACCTGCTGCATCCCACCATGGAGGCGTGTGGGAGCGACTCATTAGGATGGTCCGTAAGGTGCTTTTCTCAGTTTTACAACAGCAAGCCCTAAATGACGAGAATCTGAATACTATCTTATGTGAAGTGGAAGCCATCCTCAATGACTGGCCCATCACGAGAGTCTCAGAGGATGCGAATGACTTTGAGGCCATTACCCCAAATCATATTCTGCTGTTCAAAGGGAATCCTGTTCTGCCCCCTGGTGCCTTTCAGGAAAATGACAACTACATCAAAAAACGTTGGAGACAGGTGCAGTATCTCTCAGACTTGTTTTGGAAGAGATGGACAAGAGAGTATTTACCTCCGCTGCAAGAGAGACAAAGGTGGTCCAAGCCTCGGAGAAATTTTACAGTTGGCGACATCGTCGTTGTCATGGATCACACTGCTCCTCGTGGCTCCTGGATTTTGGGAAGAGTCAAGAGAACTTATCCAAATAATAAGGGACTAGTGCGAGCCGTGCAGCTAAGAACTAAGAATGGACAGTTGGAGAGGCACATATCTAAAATCTTTCTTCTCGAAGAAGCCCTGTGGAGAAGAAAAACTTTACATAATGGGGCCCTGCACTTAATGGCTCTTCTCTGGGTGAATTGTGCGGTTACACAATTGGGGCCGGTGTGTAGGAGCCATTTTTCTTTCATTTAGGCTGGGGTTAATTTGGGTCACTGTTTGTCTGGGCACAGGGTGACCTATATTCGGCTTGACCACAAGGGGGCAGGGTGGAGTCAAGCTCTATATAAATGCACAGGTGCCAGTGCACTGGGTGTATGGGTGACAGGAGGTCACTCGGTTTTTAGCGCTCTCTTTACGGCCGGTGGTCTAGCTTTCACTACTCAACTCTGTAATATTATCGAACATCTTTTTATCCATTCTACTCCCTACTCCTTTCTGCTCTACGATCCAATGTGCCAATCGGGTAGCGCGTTAGGCCTGGATCCCCTGCACCCAGAAACGACAAAAGGTTAGGACTAAAATTGTCGCTACAATCTCCATGAAGAATGCTGAGAAGAATGGTTTTAACTTTCTCTTTGCCTGGAATTCTGCAGATGACGTTTCACCTCCAGAAAGTTACACAGTGTTGCCTTAAATGCTGTAGTGTGGTCAACTGGGTCGCTGGGTAAAGTCCCTCTTACCTGAGTTACATGGAGGTTGAGCCCCTGCAGGAGTAGACTGCCTTTGGCCTCTCTTTCTGGTCTCCCAGGTCCTTGGTCTTGATTTACATCCTGGTTCTGGTCTGGACTCTGCCATGAGAAGGTTCCTTGGCTCAACAGAATGCAGGTCTGGTCATCTTCAGGACAAACTGTGGGAAAAAGAGGATTAGTTTGTACTTGATGTGAGACATGATCACTGGTTGCATGTCTCCATTGGCCAGTCAAGGGCTTGCATGGTCAGTTAATTTCAAAACAAATATGGGCAATATCACAAGGGACATAAAAACATTGTGGATTTCTGCAGAATCAATGAGCAAACTCTTAATCTGAGTTGAGATAAATTAGATTTTGCTGTGTCACTTTTTGTTTAAATTTTGTCCTTGTCACATTAGTTCGTCCTTTTCTGGGGAGTTTTGTCTTTTTTAAAAACCTGCACAGATGTACTGTTTATATGACATATCAATAATCGGATATGAACTATTGAAATAATTATCAGATGTCTGAATGTAACAATGAAACAGAGTACGTGGTGACCAGACATATTACCCTGTATTTAAAAAAAAGAGATCATTCTGGATATGCCAGGCAGTTGGGTTTGAGTAACTTTCATATTTTTTTTCACCTTTTTCCTTTGAAAGTCATATTAGCCTCAGTAGTATACATTTTGGGCCGTGTACTATTTTGAAATTGATTTTTAAATGTACAGTACAAACTTTTATGATTTATACAGTGTAGTGCAATTACCCAGAGCGTAGTATGATTGCAAGTCCTGGTTCTTGAGTTTAAAGAATTTCTGGATTCGATTCAAAGACACTTTCGCCTCCAGGATCCCGTTCACCACCCACGCAAAGGCATTCAGAGGGATTACGAGCTGCCCCACCAGAGCCAGAGTTGTGAAGACCTGGAATTAACAAAAACTTTGTGAAGGAACATTTAATTATAATACTGCTGCTGTTGATTGGATACTGAATATCTGATTCAGTAAGTTTTGGATTTAACCATTATTTTTAGATTATTAACCTATAATAACTTATTAATTATAAATTAATTATTATAAATTAATTAATTACATTAAAACACCAAGTGTAGGTGTTACTGAAACAAATTCTTATAAATATGTTATTAATTGAAAATGTTCCAATATAAATTAAATTAAAATGTATCATTCAATTTGTTGTGATGGCAAAATCATCTCTTCCTTGTTCTCATGGATCTATACCTTTACTCCTGTCAAAATAAATGCTCTTTACATCATGCAGTGTGTTGCTAAACAAGAAAAAAGTGAGACACTAAATCAGAAGAAAGAATTTTCTATAATGGTAATACAGAAGTTTTTTGTCAAATCAGGTACATCGTTACACTATCCCAGACGCAGGATTCGTGGTCATCATGCACTTTCAAGAGGAAGCTTCTTGGTGCAATATCATAGTGGCAGAAAGGACTAAAACATGCTCCAGACTCATGGTTGAATCAGGTACAGGCCTTTTAATGAGATACTAGATAGATACTTACTTTAGCAGCAGTGAGGGCATGCCCCAACAGTGTGTATGTGACGAAGGTGAGGATGGAGATAACCACAGGCAGTGCGGCCCAGGTGTACACACACAGAGCGTCCAGGTACTTCAGAGCTTTCAGGCGAGACAGCTCCTTCACTCTGCTCTCAAACACTCGTGCTGTGAAGTGAGGCTCCCAGTGATAAAACTTTATCACACGGATCCCAAACAAGATCTCTGTCATTAGCTGGGAATAAAACACAGCAGGGTATTCAGTTATTTTATACTTAACATACTACTTGGGGGCAATACAACAAATATATATGGAAATTTGTCCTCTGCATTTGACCCATCCTTCAGTGATTCTGACAGAACCCGTCAGTAGCAGTGGGCGCCCAGATCTTGAGCTAGGCTTGATCAAGACTACCTTAGCTGGAGGATTTCTACCTACTGTGCATGTTTTGGGTTGAAGTACCTTTTTCATTAACAGAAAAGCACTGAATCACAAAAAATTTTTTTTAAAAACATTTAAATTGGGAGATGACAATATGTTTGCCAAGGAGCAATTTGTATGTTGTTAAAAGTACTTAAATAATAGAGTCTGAACAAACCTGGACTAAACTAAAGTCCTAATCCTATTCATCTACTCTCACCTTGACTCTGCTGTCCTTGTGTTTAAGCATTTCCTTATTGTTCTTGATGATTTTTGAAGCCAAGAACTTATTGAAGGGCACCAGTAACAGCGCCACCATGAGGCCACCGAGGAATGCCGCACCCACCTGCAAGCAGAGGAGGAACAAGATTGAGAAGGTTACAGTGACTCATTGTGCTGCTTTACTGTTATATTTTTGCCAGTATATAAGTGCAGTGCCTCACAATATCACAGGTGGTTTTATCATATCACTTTTTTTTTTTTGTATATTCTGCAAAAATAAGAAGCATTATAATTTTGGTATTTATTTAAATAAATTAAACTTCAAGTTGCTGTTTTGAGTGTATATGAAAAAACAGAACTTACTGAGCGAAAATACTGTAATAATATAACGTACAATCTTACTAAAACACATGAGCTGCAATAAATAAATAAAGTTTACAACAATAAGGAGTCAAAGTTTACATCAATAATGAGTCATAGATTCAGATAAATAGATATTCAGACCACAGTACATATACAAATAAACTGTTCTCCAAAAGTAGGAAGAAAAAGAACACAAAAAAGAGCAAAAATTACTGTTCCATTTATTATTTTTAATTAACGATAAGTCGATATAGTAATTATTAAGAATGGGACAAGATCTTGTGCCACAATATCTCCTGAGTTAAACTTGCCAAAAGGTTGTGCACACATAAGAAAAATTATCACGAGATTTTTTTTATGTATGAGTTTACATTGGAAAAATGTGCTGGTGAGTTACATTTCTTGAGAATTTGTAGTTCCAAAAAGCAGTCCTATACTAACATTGAAAATATTAAATTAATTAAAGAAAAAATGCTGAGGCCAAATTTGTGAACTTAATATACCGAGTATTCATTATGTCTAGTTCTTAGACATAATGAATAGTTCTTCTTCTAGTCCTATTTTTGTGTCTTGTCTTATATACCAAATATTATATCTTTGTGAATTGTTAATAAGAGGAAGATGATACCCATGAAGAGTGGCTATTAATTAGCTGCCCCCACCTGCAGATAGAGGAGGTACAGGGCGATGGTGAAGCGGAAGGGTAGGCTCCAGAGTTCATGGAAGCTGTTGAAGAAGTTGACAACGCGATCTGTGTCAGTGCTCATGAGGTTCACCACTTCTCCCAGAGAGAATCCACTAAGCCCACTGCCACAAACACGCAGAGCTTTACTGTAGATGGAGGAGATCAGAGCCGCCCGGGCACACAGGGAAACTTTAGAGATCTGAAACATTACAGAGAACAGAGGAAGTATATGATTTTGCTCTTTAATTGTTGTTACTGGAAAAACACTTTGGTCACCGTGAGTGCTGAAAATGGCTCTATAAATAAGGATAGATTGGTTTATTACAATACTTAAGTAAAAGTGTCATGGAGTATGCTTTTATGGATTTGGAAACATATTTGTACCGTTTTGCAATCAGATGAGTTCTTTTTCAAGAAATCATGATTCAGTTCACACAAGTTCAAAGAGCATTTACATTTGAAAGAAACTGAAATACAGACTGCTAAACTAAAACAAGAATCCCATAAAGGGCTGCTTGATTAAAAACAAAAGAAATTAAAGCCGCTCGCGGTGATGGTGGCCCTTGTCTCGGTGCACACTCCCACATGACTGCCCCATCTCATTACTCGCTTCTACAAACTGTGTTTCATGCTCTAAGGACAATTCGTAAACCCCCATCATCATTCTGGACTCAAATAATTCAACTACTATTTTGTGGAAAGCGAATTAGTGACTACTGCGGTTGCAGTAATTGTGTTGGGAAAAATCACTGGACTATACTACTCTAAACTGTTGTATATGGTCACACATTGATTGTAAGAAATCTGTTATTTGTTGAAACAACATTTTACTACCTTAAAGTACCTTAACTACTATTGGTATCAAGCTTGATAATAGAATCTGCAGATTTTGTACATATTGTTTTTTTTGTTTAAATGTTTCACCTTTAAATCACAGTTAATATACGGCACCAGCCACAAAATCAAAATCATTGCCTCTCTATTATTAGCCTTTCTTTATTTTGTCACGCACCTCCGAGAGCCGATCCTTAAATTCTGATCTAGCCTACAATAATCTTTTTATCCCTTTTGGCCAGCATTTACATATATGCTACACGGAGCATAATGCTTACGACTAATAGACTAATAGATTAATAGATTAATTTGATTAATTTGATTACTTTTCAGAACATGTTTGTAGCATAAAGGAAGGATTTTTTTTTTGAGTTGTGCTAAAATAATACATACATTAATATAACAGACATGACAAATGCATTAAACAATTACATGAAATGTAAAATTTTTAATAATGAGTTTCAGCTTTGTGTTCCTCCAACATTTTCAATCTCAAAAGATAAAATAATTTGTTTTAAATTGTTAATTAATATGGCAACGCTCCTAAATTTGAAATCCATGGATAGCTACTTACCTGAAACACATATGTACTCCTGATTAGCGATGTCATTAGAGTGGAGGCAAAGAGTCCAAAAGCACACCAGGCCCCAGTGCTGAGAGGGGCATCTTTTTCCTCAATAAAATTCACCAAACTGCTCAGAAGAAGTGGTCCAGAAAATAACAAAATATTCACCGTCAGTTTCATCAACCCCAGAGAATAATATTTCAATCCAAATGCTTTGTGTAACACTTTTATGAGTGAAACATCTCCCTCTAACTCTACAGTGTCTTGAATTGAATGGGAGCTACTGACTGGACTTGGCCAATCGTTATCCTGGTTCAGGACAGTTTGGCCTCTGCAGTGATCCCAGCTTTTTTGAAAATGGCGGGAGATAACGCTAGTTCGGAGAGCCCAAGGTAAGTGGTATACATCATCAGGTCGGTTCAAATCCCCCCTTTTGCCTCTGAGCAGCAAAGGACTGAGCCACAAATAGAAAAGACAAGAAAAAAAGGAGCTCCCATCTTCTCCAACCATCTCACCTGCAAAGAAAAAACAATTTACATGCAATTACTTCTAGAATCCACATGCTTAATTGCTTTTTATACGTTAAAGTAAATAACATCATTTATCATTCAGAAAGTTTTATTTGATTAACCTGGTCACCTACTAGACTAATGATATTGTATTAAAGATAATCGTAACCCAAAAATTATATATTGTGGCATTCCTAGTCATTGTTATGGGCTTAGAACATGACTTTATTGTAACTGCACCTTAAGGCCTTCAAGGGCCCAGTTGTTTTTTCTCTGTGCAATAACCCCAAGCAGATCCAAATATGTGCAATGCTTTTACCTTAGAACTTTAGAACTTGTAGATCCTGTCTGTCTTTTGTGATTAAAATGTATTTATGCATTAATGTGCTGTGTAATATTTTATGTTGTTTGTTTCGTTGTGCCCTTGACGATCGAAGATTAGTGGTTCCAAGATCTTATCCACTGTCTGAATGTCATAATTATTTCAAAATATTCATTCATTTTAGAAAAATTTATTTAAATTATCATAACGTCTTACCTGTGTCCAACTCTTGATCGGGAATAAGTGGTGATCCATCCACTGCATTCACATATAAAGTATATCCAGCATCTCTTACACAAGGAAACAAATAAGCCAAAAGATAAAGAAGCAAAACAAATGCGCGGCTAGACGCTACAGCGAACTGTGTCACTTTTAGGGGCTTGACCATGTTTGAATAGTGATCTGATTCAATAAGTCCAATAATATAAAAACTAGATTTGGAATGGACAGCAACACAAGTAAAAAAAGTAGCATGGGTCCTCTGCCTCTTCTGTGGATTGATTTTTGGAGAACAAAAATGGCTCCAGAGTGAATAGTCCAGCCCAGAAGCCCACAACTGGTGGTGAGGATTGAGAGGTACATGTCTTTTTGGTGTAGAATGGACACTACAATGAGGTCCACAGTGAAGAGGAGAGAGAGGAGGACAGATGAGAGGAGTCTAAGTGACCAGCCACAAGGAGGAGAGGACTGAAGACTGCCGATCCTGTAGAGAGACAAAACGGATTAATAAAAATAAAAACACATACAATTATATGGGTGGTTATTTGTACTGAATAGTTGGGTAAAGAATAATATAACTATAGCTTATAAATATTTTGAAGATTAGTTTGACTCGAGTCAAGAGAATCAAGAGTTTAAACATGATACTTCGAACAGATACATTCTTGGTGAACGTTATACTAGGGCACAAAATCAGAAATGTTTCCTAGGGTCACAGGGTGTTTTAGGTCTTTAAAACATCATACACTTTCACCTAGGCAACCAGACTAGGGCTGACCATTACCCAGTCAGTGTCCTAGCAGCAACCCAACAATCCCCCCATTCAACCAAAGCCATCTAGACGCTTTCTCTGCTGTGTGTGTGGTGGCAGATATGGCTTGGGACTTCTCACCCACAGAGTGCACTGAATGCCTTGCATGCGGTGATTGGCCTGCCAAGCTTCGAAACCCAATCGCCGGCACCCAACCGCCATGGGCCAACATTTGGCTTGCCAGCGTCCATTCTGGAAGTTTGATTTCAGCTCCTAGTATTTGTCCCTCTTCTGCTCACGGGCTTCCTCCATTTGCTCCTCCAATGGAACAGTGAGCTCAATCATGAGGGTCTGCTTTGAGGAGTTCGACCACAACACTGGCCGCAACATTGTCTTTGTCATGTGTGGTGGCAATTATTGTTTGTCCAGGTCAACCTCCACTCTCCAGTCCTGGGCAGAGAATAGCAATCCCTTCTGCATTTTCACAAGCCCTTTCTTCCTACAGCTGCTGATTGTGTTAAACAATAAAGCAAAGAACCTGATTGTGCTGCCAAATGTAATGACCATCAGCAAGGGCTCATGGACAGCAACTTAAGATGTGTGCCAATGTATACATATTTCCACACTGCAGACATGAGGCCCCATTAGTGCAGGTTGGATGGACTGGGAGGAATTAGATGTTTTGGGGATGCATTTTCCAGAGGTCATTCCAGGTTATTTGTCGCTCTCTTGCCTGCTACTTAGTCCATGCACCCTATTGCGACTGCTTTAAATGTTCTCTCTTCCTCTACTTCTGCTCTCATCCTGGAAATTATGTTTTTCTTTTCCTTGAGCCTCATTAAATCTAGGATCCTCCAGGTACCTGAGGCTGACTTTCCCCTTAGCTATAGCTCCCATGACCATTTTGTGATGCAACCTTACTTCAGCTCCCTGCCTCCTGTCCTCCATTTCCTTCCAGTTTTTACTGGCACTCCTGCCCCGATAGATAACCTTTGGACCTGATGGTTCCTGGCACTGGATCACTTCTCTTGCCCTCGTAACTTTGAACTCTTCCTCAATGGATTTAAAAGGAAGCCTCTGTTTACAGCTATTACTGTACAGAGCAATGATGCTGACGCTTACGGGTAGTCCCACCCATCTGCACAGTCTAGACAAATCTTTAAGAGCTTAAACATTATAGTCAGTGTTGGGAGTAATGTATTATAAAAGTAATGTATTACAGTAATGCGTTGATTTTTGCTGTAACGCAGTAATGTAAGGCATTACAGGGGGAAAAATTGTAATATTTTACTCGGTACAAATGTGAGTAACGCGCGTTACAATGCTTTTTTTTAACCTGAATTGAAGTGGTGGGTTTTTCTTCATAGAAATTCGCTAAAATCACCGTGAAATCAGCAGCGGTGAAACGCCGGAGACGCGGCCGGATAAACCTTCAGTTAACCGCGGGTGAAAGGACCGAACTCTACGCTGTTTAGACCTGGTTTAGACCTGGGTCACTTCTGGTTTAGACCTGGTTTACAGTCGTCCCTCGCTCTGACGCGATTCACTTTTCGCGGTCTCGCTGTTTCGCTGATTTTTAGAATTTTTTTTTTTTTTTTGTGCAATTTTGCATGCCTTTTGTTTTTAGTGTATGAACACGTATTGCGTTCCTCCCGCTGTGTCCTGATCGGCTAAGGGACTCCTGTCTACTGTACAGTACAGTACAGAATGTGTTCAGCTGCCAAATTTAAATAAATGTTCAATCTGTAGCAGTGTGCTTCTGAAGTGCTGTATGTCTGCAAGTTTTCTCTCCGACAAAATCCACAACGTCGACGAAACGTTCTGCACCGACAAAGTCTCCTGCGCTCACACCCAAAAGACAGAGGACGATGCAAACCATCGCACAAAAAGTTGGACTTCTGGACACGCTGAAGGAAGGTAGAAGTTACGCGCTGTAGCAGAGTTTTGCACCGGGTCTTGTACCCGCAAATAGTTGCTGAAATCAGGACCGTGAGCCTGAGCAGCAGGGTCCATAAAGAGCGATCGGGCGGCAGCCGCTCTTACCTCCATGAGGTGCGGAGCAAAGCCGGTCCTTTCTCTTGCGGTCACCTTCGAGCCCATCCTGACAGTGAGTCCTGTTTTAGTCCTAGTTCAGTTCTGGTTTAGTCCTCCTCTTTAGTCCTGGAATCAGTCTGAGGTTAGTCCTGTTATAGTCCTAGTTTAGTCCTGGTTCAGCTCTGGTTTAGTCCTGGTTTAGACCTTGTTTAGTCCTGGTTCAGTCCATATACGGCTCAAAAGTTCAGCTTTTTCGCAGTTATTTTGGTGAGAGTAACTTAAAGTAATGCAATAGTAATGTAATGCCTTACATTTTAAATGCAGTAATATTGTAATGTAACGAATTACTTTGAAATGACAGTAATAAGTAATAAATAACGCATTACAGTTTTAAAGTAACTTGCCCAACAGTGATTATAGTAATATTTTAACAGAAAAATTAGTATTGCTGATGCACACGCACAAAATCTATAACTTACAAATTTAAGTAATCACTCTTAACAGCTAAAACATGACTCTACCCTGAAACATTTATTTAAAAAATATTGATAACTCTAACAAAACATATGTGTAAGAAGTGGCTGAGGAAAGTTGTGGCTATTTTGGTGACCAATTTCTTTAAATATGAGCATTTCAAATAAAGGACAATTCGGGGTAGAATTTAAAATAGCGTAACAGACAGCAAGCAATAGGCAGTAATAAGGTCCCTATTTTTCATATCCTACAATGTGATGTCATACTGCCAGATGGGGGCAAGAGCCAGTTTTTCCAGTTGATTACACTATGCTTTGCCATGAAATATCCAAAGGGTAGAGCTAGATTCATGCACTGATTGTATTACAACAAAAATGTACATTTCAACAATATTCATTGTAGCTCCCAGCATCTATCTTAAAAATTATTGGCCTACTAGATTATAGTGATCTCATCTGTGAAAGAAAGATACTTCTGCAGCCACAGCTGGCTTTATTTTTACTGTAAGAAATGTAGTGGCTGTCTATCTAAGCCAACTGTCACTTATCTTTTCTTTAGCTGAATCTTACCTGTGGACACTGAGATACGCAGCACTAGCCACGGCCAAAGCAGCATGAGGCAGAGCTCCCAAAACCAGCGCATTAAAACAAATACCGACGTGTCCATTCTCCCAAACAGGAAACAAACTCTCCCCATCGCTGATACAAAGCGCAGCCAGCAGCTCAGACGGACTGGAGTCCAACATGCTGATGCTACTTTACTGCCTGGAAATAAACAGAATAATTTGGTTGATTTAGCTTTGCTTTAGGCCAAGTCCAAAGTCCAGCCCTGGTTGCTCTTTGCAAGTCCAAAGCGAGAAGCAGGTGGGTGAGGAGGAGACCACAACAAAGCGTTAATTTATACAAAGTAATTAAACGTAAATTTTATTATTAATAATAAATACAGAATTGATCGATGTGAAATCCAAATCCAAAATATTGCACGAGGCTCTTGTACAGAAGTCACTCAGATTTTGTTTTGGGTTAGGCTATTTTGTTCAGGAATTCAGGCTATAATCACAGCTTTTAAACAACGACAACCTCATAAATTTGAGTATAATCATTTCAAAACATTTGTAATAAAAATCTACAGATACTGATGAAGAATATCGACATAAAAACAATAAAATCTTACAAAAAACACTGCCTACTGCCGGGTGCTGCATCAGCGAACATCACAGCGGCGCACACTGATGATGTCAGAGAAAGAAAAAAAAAAGATCCATCAAACCCATGGATCTATAACATGGATCTATAATAAGAACTTTGAAGAACTAAGAAGATTTTATTATAGTTATATGATCTATAATAAAACTTAGAAGAACAAACAAGATTTTATTATGGTTCTATGTTCTATAATAAAACTTAGAGGAACTAAGAAGATTTTATTATAGTTCTATGTTCTATAATAAAACTCAGAAGAACTAAGAAGATTATATGAAAGTTCTGTGATCAGCTCTCCAAAAATTTCAACACATTGAAAATAATAGAGTTGTTTCAATATTTTTGCATATTGTTCAAAATTTGTTATGGCAGGGCTAAACAGATCTAAATGCTGACAATTTGTTTTGTAATGTGAACAGACAATTAAAGTGGAGAATATAAGGCCTATATTTTAACAAAGTATGTATTCTAAGTGAGCCTTGAAAGTAATTAACAGATGAATGTAATTGATTGATAATTGAAATAATTTATCATCTTAATTAGTAATTTAATTATTGTGATATGGACTACAGTTACATCTGATGTAAGTAATCAGAATAACTGATTTATTTCTGATTCTTCATACAGTTGCTATTTCTGTTTGTAAGGACCAGTAGTTTGTGTATAGTAGTAGTAGTAATAGTGTTTTATCACACAAATATGCAAAAACATTCATTTGTAATCTTAAATTGTACAGTTTAGGCCAACAGAATAATTAGAGTGGAATGAATGAGTGAAATTAGTTAATTCCTTAATTCTTTAATTTACATGTGTTCATTTTGCACTTTTTATAATCTGATTCAATTTCATACTTAGAAGAGGGCTGATTTAGTCACTGTTTCAACAGTAAGGTTAGTCATTTAATCTTGAATCTAAATGAGTAGTTCTTGGATAGATGTTTTTGGAACAAGTATCCTGATTTGATTGTACGGGCCTTTGGCTGTACATTTAGGTCCAAGAAGCACACCGGAGAATAAAACCAATAAAAATATCAACAATTTAAAAATATTCTCATATTTATTCACCATCAAGATCAATGTTTTACAAATTTGGATTTTGTGATTTCAATTTTTGCACAAAAGTTGAGCTTAAGTTATAAGACAAACAAAATATATTAACAGGAAGGAGTTATTTGCAGATACAGTGTCTAAGGCAACAGTAATTCAATAGAAAAGGGTCTTAACATCTTTAACAAAGTAGGAGTCAAGTTTCACAATAACATTTTATTTTTACACACTGTACAAAAATCCTTCTAATATCAGCAGCTTCCTCCTACATTTACTGGGCCTTTGAAAGACACAAATTTTATGTACAAGCAATTCTCAAAAAGCAGTACAAAATATTGACCTTTTGAAATGAATCACCTTCAAAAGGTAAATAATTTAGAATGCAAAGTTTTACAAAGTTATTTATAAAGCATTATTGAACTTTTAGATTCCGTTTAATGGGATACTTATCTTGTAAACTATGATTAAATATGACTATGAGACAGACATACACCGTTGCATTTTCTCTACAAACTTGTATATCTAAATTACTTTCCAAATTATGGAAATCCGAAAGGGATAAAACTTCAGAAGAATCAAGTAATTATATACGGTTTACAGATCTAAACTTTGAACAAACATATTTAGAAGTGATTCTTGGTTATAAATAACTAATATAAATACTTAATAAAATAGCCACCTCAAATATTAAAAAGAATATTAAGGTATTTTATAGAATTAAACTCATTTCTAGGATGCCATCTGAAAATGTGTACAGTGCTGATTTAGTCCTAGTTTAGTCCTACTTTCCATTAATACATTATTACATATGTAATTGAATCATAGCTTAACAGTACAATGAACAGCACAATGAACCCCATATTAACGCTACAGCATATCAGAGAATTGTGTACAAAGGTATTTTTGCTTCAGTGTGATTGTAAATGTACTCCATAGTTTAAAGTAATACAAGTAATGCATAATTTCTAATTCCAAAAATGTCCTCTAAGTGAAACAAGATGTATTTTGTAAAAGGCAGAATTTGAGATATTGTTAGAAGTTTGGAAAATCAAACAGAAGCAAAGTAATACAGGTCGCAATAAACTAAACTAAAAGTAAAATTGCCTTAATGACAGCTGATAATGCTAACAACTAAAATTTAGCTGAGAGCAAAGTAGAACTAAACCAGGACTAAAGCAGGAACTATTTGAACCAATACTGGTCTTAGAGTTAGTTTCTCAATTAGGGGACAATCCCTGGTATTTTCTCAATGGTTATGCTTATTATAGAATAAGGACAATGTTATTTGAAATCTCTTTAGTATATTTATGATCATTTTGTAAATACTGTAAATCAGTAACATTAAAAATTTGCCTGATGTCTTATAATTTCGATCACTTGAATTGACAGCGTTAAAGAATCACCACTAGATGGAGCCACAAGAACGTTCAAGAGCATAGACTTTATACAGTCTATGTTCAAGATTTATCAACCCAATGATACAGAAATAAGGGAAAAATCTAAAGAGTGGGTAGTGGGGGTGTGATATTTAAGTACCATTTTAAAGTAATTTAATAAATTATGCAGATAAGGAGAGAAAGGTGTTTTGGTAAAAGTGCACCTTGTAACTTCTCTGGTGAGGAGCCCACTGCCTGCTTGTTTATGGAAAAGATATTGCACTGCTTTTCACAGACAGAATGTTTCACAGTTTGGCATTATCTTATCTATTACATTACAGGTGTTTTATTGCTTAATATCTATTGTGAGTATGGTCGCCTCTCCACAGTCCTGACCAATAACTTGTACTGGTGGTGTCATCTGCTTGTCTCTCTGGTGACGTGATGAGACAGGCTATATTGTGAAGTGAAATATTCCAGGCAAAGCAAGAACATCTCCATGGAGACCAGCAGGGGCCAGGACTCTTCACCAGAAAAGCTTTTAAGGACATTGCAAAACAACATATTTTAGTTTTTGTCTTTACAGACTATGGACAAGATGAATGGAAATCAAATGTGAGCAGGGAAAATATTGTTACTTTTAAATTGATGGATTAACAGGAAATCATAAATTAGTTCAGTGGATCACAAATACCAAAATTCACAAGTATCACTATAGAAAAATATTTGGATTTCCGAGCACCACCAGATCTAGACCAGGTCCATAACAGGACTTTTCCAGGAACTAAATTAAGATTAAAGGGTCTGCACCCGACTTGGATTTATTCTAGTTTAGGAAAACACTTATGGTATACAGTAAAGCCATTTTTAACTGAATGATATTTGCACATTTTAACAAAGATTAGGCCTTAAAACTATGTCTAAAAGAGGAATTATATCACTTCTAATGCAGTTCTAACCAGGAACAAAAAAGTGGACAAAACTGACAACCACTGACTTATTTAAGATTATTATGTAAGAATTAGTTTGTAACTTTTCTAGTTGAGGGCTTGCCACCTGCTTGTCTCCATGAAGACGTTCTGGCTTTTTTGGAATGTTCCACAGTATGGCATAAACCTCAATCACCATGGAGACAAGCAAATTACAGATGTGGAGAGGCGATCCTGTACACTGCAAGAATGTGTTTTCAAGGTATTTTCAAGGTATTTTTGAGCAATAAAACTTTTACTGAATAAAAGCAAGATAGAGTTTAATGCCATACTGTGGCTCATTCATAACAAAGCAATAAAATCTCCATGGACACCAGCAGATGGCTAACCTTTCCATCAGAAAAGTTACATAGTGCACTTAAATTGCACCTATGCTTGAGGAAGAAAGCTTGAAAATTAAGTATGCCATAAATTAGTTTAATTAAAATATAAATATGTTTTAAGATGGCAGGTCATTCATTTACCTCCATTCAATTCAATTAGCAAATGATATACCATAAAGGCCACTGGTACCACATTCACCACAATTTAACTATAATTTTGCAGAAGCACTGTATTTCTAAAATAAAACTCACAATTCCGCTCAAAACTTAAGTAAAACAAAGTTGTATTAAATAATTACAATTCAACATCTTTTGGGCCAAGGCATAATATCTTTCTCATTTTCTACATACAAACCAAAGTTTTTTGCAGAGAAAATCCAATCTTGAAGCTAAATAATAAAAAAGTCACTGTTGTTTGATGATTTGAAGTCTATAAATTAAATTAAATAAAAAGCATCACCATCTTGTTTTCTTGCTGATAAAAAGTTGTTAATAAGTATGAAGTCTGTACACTATGTTAGCTTCGAGACACTTTCTGGAGTTGATCCCATTGTGGGACAGTCATAGGGTCCCGTCCTGGCCGCTGCTCCTCATCGTACACAGTTAAATATTAGTGAGATTTTTTTTCTCAAAACGTTCATTTTTTTTAAGTTAAGGTCTCACAGGTTTTTCGTGTTTATGTGAGTCTTGTAATGCTTCGTCAAGTGGTCACTCCTCATGAAGCGTTTCTGACACTGGCTGCACTCGAATCGTTTGTCCCCTGCAAAAAAAAAAAGATCTCTTTCAGTCTTTCACTTGTGTCATATTTGATTGTCCCTTTCAAAAACATTTCCTTGCCAAAAAAAAACTGCACAGAAAATCTCATTTCACTAATCTGGTAACTCGAGAAACCAAGATTTTTGGTGTGCATGCAGACATAGCCAGTGTTTCATTGAAAGACATTATGGTTTTCCATCATCATATGTTTACTGAGAGTTGTATTTTGATTCATGCATGCCTGAGTAATGCTGTATTGTCCTGCATTCAAGCCTTACACCTGTTGTCTACAACTGCCCATAACCCTGTAATTACTAATTACACAAGCAATTGTAATAGTTCTTGTATATATTTTATTAGAATAACATTTACATTTTTGTCAAGTTAGTCAAACAAGCATTAGGTATGTTTTTATGTCAGTTTTTTCTGCATTTGATCCATCCTTGTAGGCCACAGGGGCAACCTGTCAGGAAGAGCAGTTGTCTCTAGATCTTAAGACTTGGTCAGGACTACTGTAGCTGGTGGACTGTTGGACATGTACTGTATATCTGTGCATGTTTTGTGTTATTGTGGTTACCTGTGTGTGTGCGTGCATGCCTCTGCAGCTCGTCGCTCCTCGTGAACCTCTTTCCACAGAAAACCCAGGAGCACACGAAGGGCCTTTCCCCAGTGTGGAGCCTGACATGTGCACGCAGCAGAGATGTTTTCCTGAACGTTTTCTCACAACCAGGAACGTGGCAGATGTGCTTCCTCTTACCCACCTCCCCGGGCCTGCAACCAAGACACATGGCAATAACGCATGCAACACCTATATTTCTTTTTCAGTGTATGGGGTTTCCTTCAAAAAAAAAAAAAAAAAAGATTATTATGGAAATCCTCTGCAGTATAATCTTCTATCACTAAAAAGAAGTTATGGTAACACTTCCATTTGTGGACCACATACTAAGGACTGACTAAGTAAGCAAGATGTTATTTAGCCATTAGTTTTTATTATAAATCACCTTGCACCCGTTGCTAACACCACCAATGAACTGTAACTAAGAGTACTGATTGCAAGAAATAACCATATAACCAATAACTAACCCTAAGGAAAAATGTATTTTGCATAAACAAGCATGGACAATGAGCTAAATCTAATTGGCAAACTATTAGTAAAAGGTATACTAAGTGGTGATACCCAAGTTTTCAATAAGTTTATAAATTGATGTGGGTGCTTACTCTTGTCTTATATTTGATATTATTTTACTCCAAAAAGGTATTTTGAAAAATTGTCAAATAAGAATTGCTAAGCCAATATAGTTTCAGTAGATCATGAATCACTGAAAGACATTGATCTTATCATGATTTAGTTTAGTTTTATGCTCAAATGAGTAAAAAATATAATTTAGTCAAGAAGTGTGTAGTGCAGTGACAGCAATGATAAGAATTGTAACCTAGGCTCTTTCTTTCCCAATATTCTCTTGCTCACCTCTTGTCTGCGTCTTTACAGTTGGGGCAGGTGCAAGCCACCCTCCTCTTCTTTTCTCCTGGCCCCGGAGGCAGTTCCAGCGTCAGAGAATCCACCTGGACTGTGGGTTGGTTCAGAGCCGCGAGCTGCAGTCCTCCGCCCTGCACTGTTTGGACTGTCAAGTGCTGCTGGCCTGGGACACACACAAGCAAGCATTTTAATTGCATGCCATTTCATAACGTCCAAATGAGATGCTGTATCAATATTTTTCAAGTTCTGAAAACACTGATTAATTGTTCTTGCCCTTGACTAATCATTTTTTTAAATGTTTTTTTAATAATTATAATCAGATCACTTGGGTGTGAATTATATTTTTCCTGTAAAAAATACATTGAGTCTAAAGTGTCTAGGTTCAAGACATTAGTATGTCTAAAATTAATTCAGAGCAAACTATTGCATTGTTTTTAAAGCTCACCTCCAGCATTGGTAATGGTGACAGGGACGCCCTGCACCTGGACCCCGTTGATGCTGATGGTTTGAACAGTTTGTTGTGGAGCTGGAGACAGGGGAGAGTTCAGGGTGATCACGCCTCCTCCGATCGCTCCTCCAGCCGGCGCAATTTTAGCAAGAGTCCGCTCCTTCCGTCCCCCACCCTGCGCTGACTTCCTATTGGTTGATGTAGGTGAACATGCTGTAGATACTGGGGTTGTAGCTGTGGCAACAGAGGGCATTGTTGTTTGTGACGTTGATTCCTGGAGTTGCACTGCCTGCCATTCACCAGAAGTCGTCTTGAATAAAAACTGGAGGAAAAAAGAGAAATTATTACCAAAGCCGAGAGCCCAGCAAAAACATCAAAATTGAGCTAAGTGCTAATTTGACCGACTACACAAAAATGCTAATCCAATGTCTTAATAAAATTCACAATTTACAAGTAAGACGGTGCAGGATTCCTCTCTGTTCATGAAGTTATGCTAATAAAATATGTAAATTGTGCGCTTCAGTAGGGCAGTGTTTCTGGTGGTACACCAGGTCCTTCACATTTTGAATATTTGCAATTAGTCGGTTGTATCTAGTTTTTGGGCTTTGATGGCATCATTTCTTGATAAGAGCTATAGTGTAGCAATGGTGTAGTCCAATTTTAGACTTGGTTTAATTTAAACATGTAATATTCCCATCGTATCTGGTGTTACTCAAAAAGCCTTTTCTTTTGGTGGTGCTTGGCTTAAGAACCAAGGAGATGTAGAGAAAGAAACTGCTCAAAAGTTAAAGCCCACAAAAAATGTTAAAATAAAAGCATTTATTTAATTACCTGTGTTGTTTTTTTTTTTTTATTGCACAAAAAAATTACTGTGAGCAATGGGGTGGCACGGTTCACAAAATTCATGATTCGGTTCGTATTGCAGTTTTACATCACGGTTTTCGGTTCCGTACGGGTCCGTACGGTTCTTGTTGTCATCTTTTCTTTTTAAATCTTTATTCTCCAGAAATATACTTCATCACATGCTATGTTAGCTTAATTATCCACAATTTAGGATACAGCATTAAAAAAGTTATGAAATTATAGTTAGCAATGTAATGATGCACAAACTGAATTTGACTTGACTTTAAGCACATTATTATTGGACATAGGCAGCTGTTGTGCATCGGTGAAAAAATTTTACCACCTTCCTAACCCTCCTCAGGAGTTGGGATACTTGGTTTAGTGAGACTGCGCTCTTGGCGACAAGGTTAAGGGCCTGGCTCCACTGCACTGCTCCACTGGCAGCCGCAGCAGGACGCGCACACACACAGCGCCGGCTCCACGCCCGCCAATGAGAAAGCCAACCAAACCTGACTGAGCGCACTTAGCCACTTGTATCAGGTCTACAGTGAAACTAACAGCAGAACAGACTGGTATTTACCTTCTGTACAGGCTGACCACAGCAAACGCGAGGATTTCAAAAGTAAATTTGACACGCGTGTCTAGCGTGTACAGTGTATCCGCCCTCAGTCACTTTCCATGCATTCTAAAAGTTAAGTCCAAAAGTTGCAGTTTTTACGCTCGTGTAGGGCAAAATATGCATGCCACGCCCTTAGGACCTGGCCCCACTGCATGGCAAAACATGCCCAGTCAAGCCCGATTGGCCCCCCCACGACAAATAGAGCCAGCGCCGCGCATGCACGTCTTGCTGCAGCTGCCGGCGGAGCCGCCTCTGCGCCTCCGCGCCTCCGCGCGGCCGTGGCCCCGCGAGGCAACGACACTGGCGCATCCTCCATCTCCTGGCGGCCCTCTTCTCTCCTACTTGCCATTTCTACATGTGATGCGCAGCACCCACCCTCCACACCTCTTCTTTTGCGCCAAGCGAAACAGGTCACATACAGACATGAGGCTACAATGCGCAAGCCGGGAACCGTGGAAGCCGTATGGTACGCACACATCCTGAACATCCCGTGACAAGCGAACCGAACTGTTCATTTTTTTTCATGAACCGTGCCACCCCTAGTGAGCAAGCAGGCCTGACTTACCTGCGTGGGCGTGGGCTCGGCAGGAGACACCTGGATGCTGGTGGGGCCACTCTGCCGTTGTGGGACAGGGGGCAGAGTGGCAGAAGCGGCCTGGACCACCTTCAGAGCCTGTTGTGGGATCTGCACCACCTGAGTCTCGGGCTGCTTGGGCTGCACCAGCTGCACCTGCTGCACCATCGCCGGCTGCCCTGGGCTCTGAACGATTAGAAGGTTGTTGCCCGCCTGAGTACAGATGACACATACATGAATTAAACCATTTATTGCAATATTTATAATAGTAAGAGCAGTAATATTCAGATTGAATATGACTGAAGCTTCACTTGAATACAGTTATGGGTTTATAAACTCTTTTTATAAACTTTTTTTTTCTTCCTTTCTACCCATGATCAGTTACAGTAACAGTAGTTTGTAAGGGTTCAAAGTACGTGTATGTATGTAACAATACTTGCCCGGGTTATAGATCAGATCTGTGGCAACTGAAGAATGCATATTTAATGAATGTTCAAGCAAGACAAACATCTGATTGAATAAATACACCACCTAACTGTGGAAAATTCTAGGCAAAGCAATTACATCTCCGTGGAGACAAGCAGATAGTGGAATGCACACCAGAAAAGTTACATAGTTCACCTAGGAATGACAACATGACTGCAGTTGTTAGATTAAATATATTAACAAAAATAATAGGTCTGATACTAAATGGCCACCTCAAATCAAGGGTGTAACTTTCATGGTGGAGGTTTACAATTACCATATTTTACCTGTATAATATTATCCCCCGCTTCAATGAGAATGGTCTCCATTTGCTCTTGCTGCTGCAGAGGGGATTCTGCCTGAACTGTAACTGGATTTTGATTAGTCGTGGCCTTTTTCTTCCTCCCACGACGACCTTTCAGAATGTTTGGACCTGTATGAGCATCTGTGATCATATCCTCCATTTCTGTTGCTCCCACATTCAAAGGCAGAGTCAGACCTCCGGGTAATTGCACTATGTTCTGTGAGCTGTTCTGGGCTGTCTGCTGTTGTGCCTGTTGTTGTTGATGATGCAGTTTTCGTGCTTTGGCAGAGGAGGGTTTGATGGAGACAGCTTTTTGGGGTGGGGTGGGAGTAGGAGCAGGACTTGGGACAGTCATTGGAGCAGCGATTATGGCCTGGTTTGTGTTCGGTATGAGCTGGATTTGCCCCCCCTGAGGCATCATCTGGATGGTCTGTGGGGCTTGGATCTATGGGGACAAAATGTAAAAGTTAGCCAATTCATTTAGGGCTGGGCGATAAAGATAAAAAAAAAAAGAATAATAAAAAAAAAAAAGAATATATCAAATTGAGATAACGCAAAAAATATCAATAGATATTTAGATGATATTTCATAATGTGCTAAAATGTGCCTGTAAATGTCTTGGTTGAAGATAAAGTACCACACAAAATGTGAATGGCTCACTCAAAGGTTTCTATAATTAAGTTGCTTTTTTCCCTTTTTTTAATTTGTATTTTTTAATTGTTTAATTTATATAGAGACTATACTTGGTACTTGGTGACATTGTTAATTTTTTAATATATTGCCCACACCTACATACGACCTTTATTTCGTTGAGTAATTTCATGTAGATGCGGATGATATTGACAACCATTGAGATCTTGACTTTTTTATTATCTCAATTACAATATTCAGACAATATTTTACCAAAGCATCAGGAATGGGCTAAAATCTACCCATCTTGGTTGCAGTTCAAAATGTTACTATATATAGACAGATGTATAGATAACGCTAAAGGTTTTATGTCTTTTTTTAATAGTATTGAATTTTACAATATAAATCTCCAAACTCTAAGTTTGTGAGTAGACTGTGCTCCTAAAAAAATGTAATAGTAATCATTAAAAAACATCTCAAGGTTGGATTTCAATGTTGATAAAGTCATTGTCCATGTTCTTTGATAACACTTAAGCAACTCAAAAGTGAGATCACATTCTGCTCTCTGATTTGATAGTTATATAAAAATAACAAAAAGTAAAACAACTTTTTAATGATGTAAAATAATTGTATTGTAAATAAATAAACAAACATTAGAACTGTTATCAATAAAATCAATATTTGATTTGAACATGCTATACAATGCTTATGAAAAAAAAATTAAATAAAATCTTATCAGACTTACATACTGCTATTTGATTTTCTAACTTTCTGTTTTGATAAACCCTTCAAGGTGACTGTAGTTGTGATTTTGGGCCATATAAAAATAAACTGAATCAAACTACCTATAATAAAAAGGTATATAAAAATGCTTTGCTGGCTTTCAGATTACGTCACAACATTCTTTAGTCCAATAATATTTAATACAGATGGGGAGCAGCTAAAGGAATTATTTAAATGCATTTTTTGTTGTAATACAGCAAGTTAGGTCAATAATAGAAATGATAATGTTCATTTACTTTTTTTGATATTTCATGGCAAAGTATGTATGTTCAGTAAGTGGTTCTTGCTCCCCATCTGGATATATAACATCATCATCACATTATAGACGCCGAAAACCAAATACTGCTTTTACCTGATACTGTATGTTGGGCACATTGGTTCGGGCAGGGCTTTGTTGTATTGTGAGTACTATGGGGCTCCCAGGAGCCGCTGACCCCAGAGCAGGCAGCTGGATGACATTGCCTTTAGCAGAGAGAAAGCCAAGATTTTTGGGGGGCGCAGGGGCGATTGGGGCTGGCTTGATGGGCAGGAGTCTCCGCGGCTGTGGCTGAGTTGGAGGAGGAGAGACTGGGGCCTGAGCTGCCGGAGGGCCGATCTTTGAACAGGTGGCAGCAAGCAGCGCCAGAGGAGAGGGCTGAGAGTCCTGCTGCAGGGGACAGAGGAAGGTAAAAAGGGACATATTATGTAATTATATATTATGTGTTTGAATGCCAGAGATGCCAACGCAATAGCTAAATTTCATCTGTTGTTCTAAGGCAGGTAAAAAGTTGAAAAGTTTGAGTAATATAATATGGCATTTGAGGTTTGAGTGCTCAGAAAATTTCTCATTTCACCTGCTCTCCTTCTCTGCCCAGTGCAATACTTAATAAAAGAGATTATTTTAAATATTCAGACTCCAGGACATACATGTCACATGTTACAAGGTTAAAAAATGTCACTTAACCACTTTCAATAATCTAAACAGAAAAATTAGTATGGGTCTATCAGTTCTACAGTTTTGAATAAGAAGTGAATAGGCCCATTTCTTTATCAAGCCTTTTTAGATAATTGTTGTGATTAATAAAGAAATCAATAAAGAAAATTACAAATCGCATACAAGCTATGTGATTTGAAGTTTATTTAAACCACACATATAAATAAACTGTTTATGTTGTTTCTTATAATGGCATACCTGTATAGATCATCTCTAAAGGCTATCATTTTGGGAATAGTTGAACCATGTTACTGACCTGTGTGGAGGAGGTGGAGGAGGAGGAAGTGGTGGAGGGCTGCAGGTATTCACTGGGACTCACAGCGACAGTGGCGGCCATGTTGTCCTGTGGTTCTGCAGAACACACACACTCTACAATCAGATCACATGATCACCGACAAGGGTTGTCTTTATTTTTTAACCATTATTTTGGATGAAATTTGTGATTTCTGTAAGTGTTCCATAGATTTCCAAATTATTATTTTATTTACAGCACACATTTTAAAACATATCCAGGGATATAAACGTTTAAGAGATTTAAATATGAACTGCAGAGAAGACAAGTAAACTACAGGGTTAACTACTTTTTTTCATAAAAAATAAAGGATCTTTTGTTTGCAAAGGACATTGCATATATAGTACTATTTTGATTTGAGTATGATAAATTGTATCAACAACTGTTTGGATTAAGCACCACTTATTTTTGCTACTCACAGCAACAAATACAAAAATGTCTACTAACCGGGTACAGACCTAACAAGACCTAATAAAATGAATTTTTGATTTTGTGTGTTTGAAAATCTAATGACATTTGCAGGCAGCACAAGAAAGGCCCATCTACAGACATTACAATTTACCATCTACTCTTCTACTCCACAAATCAGAGCAAGCATTTGTACACTACGCATTTTCCCTGGAGAAATAATTATAATCTGTCACAGCCACAGATGTTGTTACAGTGATACAGTTTATTATGGTAAAAAAATAACATCAGCTTTTACATGTAACAAATATGTTTTGTTTAATTATCAATAAAGAAGTAGCATCTTTTGCCTAAGCTTTCAGAGGAAGCAGCACTGTTAAATATTGACTAAATAAGGTAATTTTGAAAATGATTTTACAGAATGGTGTTAAATGTTTTGATTAACAACAATCCAAATATGTACTGTACATCTTATATCCTCCCAAAAATCTGTTAACCTCATGGAAATACCAAAATATCCCATCCAATTGTCTGAAGTTATGGGTGTGCATGACATACTGCTCAATGCAAATGACAGAATGACAGTTCAGTGGTAATTATCCTTTTAAAGCATAACTACATTTTTTTTCCCCAACGTTTAATTATCAACAGCAACTTTTAGTAAATAGTATTTTGGTTGAGTTAATATGTGCCTTGAAAAAAAAAAGATAAACAATAATCATTTTGGGGGTCAGAAACTATGACAAACTTGCAGCTCTGTTTGTCACATCAGCAGTGAAAGCATCCAGCTCAGCATCAGCTACTTTCTCATTCATCACAATAGACACTCTTTCAGAGCGCCTCAATATCACAGCCCATATATACGTTTATTTTACACTTTTATAATAATTAGAACCACAGCAAGGCCTCAAAACAGTGCCGCCCTCAAAAATTCTGTGTTGGTTTTACACAGACATGTAGCTTGGGCTAATGCTGCAGTGAATAGCGGACTGGATAGGCTAGCGCTGCCTTAAGCTGATTGATCCCTTTGAAGCTTAGTCAACACGAATATTACAACCACAATAGGGTCGATAAATGCTAATGCTATGTAGCTTTATGTTAGATTAAATAAAGCATGCATAGGGAATACGAGAGAATAAATTAAACCCAAATGAGACTGGCTTACTTTAGCATTAGCATTAGCTGACGCGCAGCTCGCCAGTCAAACTCTTTGATAACGTTGCTGAAAAAAGCAGCCCTTATCCGGAAGTGCATTGCTTTTTAGATGCATATTATAGCTCTGATTGCTGTAATATATATCTAAGCGTAGCGTAAAGACCTCACCGCGACTCTGCCAACAGTTAAAATCACGTTAAAAGAAGTAGATAGAATATAAACACCAATGTTTTAATTCCTACCCACCGCTCATGACGACATTCGCTCTCCGTGAGCCTTGAAGACCGAGCCCATGGAGGAGTCCGCCCGCCCCGCTGCACCAATCCGTGGGCAGCACTCAGATGACGGACAGGTCAACCAACCAATCAGCTTAAGTAAGCGTTATGATTGAAAACTAAACAAACCAATGAAATAACGTTATTCCAGTACGTCAAGAGCAACAGGACGGTTGAACCAATAGCATTTTGAGTTCGCTCTAAAAGAAGGCGGGTTGTTAGGATGGACATAGAAAAGCCATTTGCCCAATTAGAGCAGGGGTAAAGTTTCACTGACGTGCTCTGCTGCCAATGTGGGCTCCCGGGGGCTGTTCGGCCAAAGAAGAATGACATTTGTGCGATTCAATGAGCTTTAAGAGTCTGGAGGCTGACCCGTTTACTCTACCCGAGGTTTATTATGGGCTGCGAGACCGTTATGCGTGGTACTAGGGATACTCAGGGATGGCTGTTCCGATGTAAAAAGCCAGCTGTTAACAGTAGGCTAAAAAAAAAAAAAAGAAAAGAAAGAAAGACACGATCCTCCCCACAATGATGTAACCAGTCTAATCATGGTTGAAGATGGAGTTTATATGTTTGGTAGAGTGGTAGTCTTTTTATATCCAGAATGCCAGTGATTAAATCCCAGCTCCAACCAGTGCATAGCCTACTGCGGCTGTGTTCTTGGGCAAAACACTTTATCCATCCGTGTGGATGCGATTGGTAGTGATTAGAGATGCTGTTGTCGCAGATTGGCTGCCAATATAAGAGTAAAACATAATTGCTGTTATTGTAATACTGTTCAAATTACAGTGATATTATTTGGCTTTATTCTATTCCCTGGAAAATCACTTCTTTCTTCTAGTTTGTCATATGTCATCTCCACCTGTCCCCATTCCCTCCAAGGCTACGAGCACATTTATGCCAGCACCACAATTAAGTACTAATATTATTAGCCCAGCCTGCACAATTAACTGTTTTTGTTTTCTTTTTTCATCTAAGTTTCATGTTTTCTGGAAGCACCAATCTCAGTCTAAAAACAAAAAAAAAAAACAAAAAAACAAAGAACAAAAAACAAACTAACAAAAAACATGGGTATAAGAGCATTACCACTGTGACTAAAAAGATTTAACATTGAGTTTAACTGCATGACACGTGCATCCTCCACTTTCTTCTGTCATCTCCATCTGGCCTTGCACAGTTAAGATCCTGCCTCTAGCGCTGTCTATTCACTTACTATATCCACACACACAATTCTCATTCACTATATGTTTCTTCCACCAAAGAGTGCACTTGACCCTATTAACAGACTGCAGCTTGCATGTTATTAGCTACATCACTGCGTCACTATATGGCCATACACTACACTCTAAAAACAGAATGTCTAAATAACTATTTAACTTCAAAATGTTTATCTTGATTTAAATTGTATTTAGATGAGAGATTTACTCTACATTATTGATAATAATAAGATATAGACACATTTAATACTATATTTTTAGAACATTCTGAATACTCAGATTCTCTAAAGAGACAAGCATGTGGGCAACCCTCCTGCATTAAAGGTGTATTGTGTAACTTTATTGGTGAAGGGACTATCAAATGCTTTTCTTCGTGGAGATGTTATTGCTTTGTCTGGAATGTTCCACAATATTAAACCTTTCAATCATCTTGGAAACCAAACCAGGCCAACTTACAGGTCCGATCTGTAGAGAGGAGACCCCACTTACAGTCAGAATGCAAGTTCTTCTAGGTATTTTTGAGCTATAAATCTACTATAATTAGTAGTTGAGCTATAATTTAATAAATGTAAGGTAGAGCTGTTTAATGTCATACTGTGGAACATTACAGACAGAGCAATGATGTAGCAGTAGAAACAAGCAGGTGATGAACACAAAAACAAAAAGTTGCATAGTGTACCTTTAAATACATTTTAAAGGCACTGTAACCCCACAGACAAATAAGAAAATAAAATCAAAATAAAATCAGACACAAAATAAAAATACATCTAAACAAATCAACATAATTTTTTTCAGTGTTTAAAATGTATGACCATTTGAGCTTTGCTTTTAGCCATTTCTCACTGTTCTTGTCAAGCTTGAGATATGCATTGGTTTTCACTCCCCTGGCGCTGCTAAAGACAGCCTCAAAGAGTAGCAAGCTGCATAATTCAACCCGATATCTCACTTTTCCCTTCCCCTAACAGGCTTCCAGCTCTCGCACAAGCTTTAAACATTTCTAAGTGAACTGCCTGTGTTAAAAATGAATCACTTTAATGCGTAGATTCGTCAACCATATAACCTTTCCTTCTGACTTCATTTGTTTGTTATCTTGCACAGAAGTTAATTGATTTTGGTGCAAATTTACAAATGCACTTTATTGTACAAAGATAAAAGGTAATTAGCCAGTTATCGCTGGTCTCCAACATGGTGCCCATTTCTTTTTAATTGGATCTTGGTTATTGGTGATAAGCGTTTATGGCTGCAGGGTACAATTTTGGTGTTTTGGTTTCTACTGAGCATGCTCACTCTTGCCAATGGGACATTTAAGGGTTAAATGCAGAGAATTGTTTTCCTTAAAGCGCACACTCTTTATTATTATTTATTTACTGATGGTAAGATAAATGGACGATAAAAATGAGACTTTAAAATATAATCTATTTATTTTACACAGCATTTTCTTGTGTAATAGTTAATACAGAACTGTATTGACCAGGTCGCTTTTTTTCATCCAATTAAGCACATTGTTTCTAAGAATCATGGGAAAATTGATTCCCTATCATGGAGCAGTGGCAGAACGTACTAAGTGGGCGGGGTTAAAAGTTCAAACTAAAACATTTTCTTGACACATGATTTGAAATCACAAAGGATCACAATCTCTGACTGATGTTTAAAACATTTTCAGGCCAATATGATTTTAAGAGGGGAGCATTTTCAGGGACAAAAACAGATTTCCTATTAAAGGACTAATAACTTTTCTGTTGGAGAGTTTGCCACCTTATCTCCATGTATTACGTTATTGCTTGCCTGGAATGTTCAGTATTTATCTTGCATTTGTTCAATTACAGTTATTTTCATTATTAAAAAATAACAATCCTACTGTGTAATTCCTTTCCACTGAGCTGACCTGTAACCTGGTGTCATTATCTGCTTGTCTCCATGGAAATAGATATATGTAATGTCATACTGTGGAATATTCCAGGCTTTACTTCTGTTCAATCACTTCTTTGAGGACATTTGGTGGTCAAAAGTACAATTGAGAATACAGTATACAATTCATACTGACTTTACTTGTAACCTATGCTCTTATTTACTTATTTATGACCAAATCAATTAATTATCATTCATGTGTTTGGCTGGTTGTGATGATACAGCAGTTTGGGTCTTTTTTAACCAAGTAATTAAATGGGAGATCCTACACCTATTGTATTATGGGGAAGGGCCCCACAAAAATGACAAAACACATTTTTATTTTTATGTTTTTACTGAAAACGCTGTAGCTTCAGGATACCGAGAACCAAATGAGCAAAATACACCTGACATTTGAACAGAGAAAACCTAGAGATTTGTCGGAGCAGATAATTGCACTCGGAGGCAAAGGATCATGGGAAGTATAGGTCATTTGGTTATGTGTAATTTGTTACTCCTCTGGCCCATTAAGGCTGGAGTTAATAAATGTGTCTTTCATACAAAAACAAAGCAGATCAAATTTAAAAACAATATATATATTTTTATATTAATATTTAAATTTTATTTTTAACCAACTGTAATCTTCACTTTCTAGCATTAGTCTTACTTTAAAATGTATTTTCAATGTTTATATTTAAGTGGAGGCTATTTCTACTCAACTTTATTTTTCTTACATCACACATTGGAGACAAAAATTGCACTTAAAGAATCTACTGAAATCCTACTTGAGGAATTGATAACTTAAAGGCACTGTACCTGATTTTTGCCATCGTAATATGTGAAAAACAGAACTAGTTCATTTTAAAATGTGGTCCAAAACATTATCCACAATACTTTCTTAATACATTCCTTGCATACTCGTTATTCACCACAATGAGTTTATAAGTGCTTTTCATAACTTTCAGAGACCAGAACAGAGATTTGGTGACATGTCACTGCTAACAACAACTAACACGCTAACAGTGCACCAGTGCAACAGCTTTAGTTCCTGTTTCACTGTTGATAAAAATGCTTTATAATTAGATGCATACAGCTTTCACAATATATGTGTACTGAGGGGTAACAAATTTTAAATTATTACATGAAAGGACTGGATATAGCCCCTTTGAAACTGAAATCAATGTCCTAATAATCAAAGATATAATAATAAAGGCCATATATGAGTTTTCCCATAGACCCTGCCTCTGTGCAATTATCTGTCATTGTTGAATGAACAACCCTCATCTTCGACAAAATGGAGGGAAACAAGAAAGCGTCAGCAGAAATTACTTGTACAAAGAAACCAGTGCATTTTTAGAGTTTTTAGAGTTTTTTTTTTTTTCTTAAAGTTCGATCATGTTTTAGTCTCAACATGTCCATCCTCTGTGCTCCTTTGGGTTCACTTCAGTTTTTACGTCTTTATTCCTTCAAGTTTCTTTTTTTGTATCAAAGCAGCAAAACAAAACCCCTCAGGTAAAATCCAACAGGTAGCAGATCCGTATCAATCAAACGGGACGCTCATTTCCAGGAACTCGATTGGACAAAGCCGGGGCCAGGGAACCAATCACAACAGTCCTCCATCCACAAACCTTTAAGAAACAGGACAAAATAATAATGTTGTTAATACGTATAATATTCATGGGGTTCAGCCTCTTGTTGTTTTTACTGGTATTAAATATCACAACCAATCCAGAAAAAAATCCAATATCGTGTATCAGTTCAAACGATATCCTGGTTAGACTGTTTATATTAATTAATACAAAGCTGTTCAATAGTTACTTGGAGGATACATAACAGTTACATAACACAATTATAAATTTTGTAATAAGTTAACTGTATTTTGAGAGATGAAAAATGCCGTTTTCAATTCATACATAGGTATCAGCTAATATCGGATATCAGCAGATATGTAAAGACATAGTATCGATATCAGTATTTATAGTAGCTTCCTAAACCAACCTTATAGCCACTTGGGAAGGTAAAAGTGGGTCATGGGGTTATAACTTTGTGATGCACTTTGAGCCTATTGTACACAGATACACTGAGATCCAGAATGCATTTTGGATGTTTATTCACAGACAAATAGTTATCACAGGAAAGAGGATGGATGTGACCAGTGAAAAAAAACTACAGATAAGAATGGATAAGTAGTGACGATCAACAAAAAATATGGCTACCCAGCTGTGACCTTCAACTAATCTGAGTCACTGGTAAGTGCGCACTTTTACAGTCTTCCACGTGCACAAGTGCGTGCACAAGTCTCCATGTGAGCACCAGAGCAACACACTCACACTTTCAACCACAAACATAGAATCAGTCCTGTCTCCTACAGTATCGGAACTGAAAAACCTGGATTGTGTATCCTTTATTTTTAGTTTTGATTTGTTAATTGTTTAATGGCTACACTGCTAATTATTCGTCACTCAGGTAAACATATGCAAGTTTCTACACAAGTTAAACCTATCTTTGAAACATTTGTAATATTGTGGTAAAAGTAAAATCAATAAATGCTGAATATTCAGTCATAAATAACATGGGGGTCTACCACCCCTATGTTAGATTAGGGTTGACTGTGGACCTCTTTATTAAAAACACCCAAGCTGATTATTGACAATTAGAAATGAGTGAATCAATCTTGATGAAAATTTGAGTAACTGCATTAGGTACAATTATCACAGAACGTAACAAGTGACATACTAGTATTTATAAATGCAACCAACACCAATATGCAAATGAAAATGATAACTCTCCTCATCAGTTCTGTTTCAAACAAAACTAGACTTAGGTCATTGTCAGTCTTATCCAGTCTACTGTATCCCTTTCCTGGTTGTGTTTTAGTTGTGAGAAACACTTTAGACTCACTGTTGTTGGTGTTTGGTGCTACGTTTGGGGTTCTGGCTCAGCCTCTGCCTCCTCACTTGATCGGACACTCTTCTTCACTGACATGTACATCTCCTCCTCCGGGTCGTAGTAATAAAACTTACTCAGGTATGAGATCAGCGGTCTGCATGGAAACAAAACATATAATAGCACATTACACAAGTACACACAAGTATTTGAGAATCCAGCTTTTACCAATACAATCTGGGTACTTTGCAGGGTAGTAGTAGTTTATTGGTCTCAGATTAGCAAAGGTTTTTCTTTTATTTTAAGCCTTAAAAATGCGACCATTGTAGTTAAAATAGCAAACTATAACACTGTGATGAATTGAACAGTAGAAGTGGTGGTTGTACTAGGAGAAGTAATGTAGTATTGCAGTAGTAGTAGTAGTAGTAGTAGTAGTAGTAGTAGTAGTAGCAGTAGTAGTAGTAGTAGTAGTAGTAGTAGTAGTAGTAGTAGCAGTAGTAGCAGTAGTAGTAGTAGTAGTAGTAGTAGTAGTAGTAGTAGTAGTAGCAGTAGTAGTAGTAGTAGTAGTAGTAGTAGTAGTAGTAGTAGTAGTAGTAGCAGCAGTAGTAGTAGTAGTAGTAGTAGTAGTAGTAGTAGTAGTAGTAGTAGTAGTAGTAGTAGTAGTAGTAGTAGTAGTAGTAGTAGTAGTAGTGTATTGTACAAGTAATTTTATTTTTTAGCATCAAGACAATGAGAGTTCTTGAATTGTGTATATAATTAGAACTAGATAGATTGCAGTAATTGCAATGTGGGCAGAGGTAGCTCCTCTAGATTGCATTCAGTATATATAAAACTATAATTAGCAGTAGTAATAGTAATAGCCCTAGTTGTAGATGTAGTATTACAGTGGTAAGGGAAAGGTACACTTTATTTCCTACAAAGGGAAACTTGCCCTCTGTATTTGACCCATCCTTCAATGCTGGGGCAGCCTATCTATACACAAGGAGTTACCATATACACCTGGGCAGTCCAGAAGTCAGAACTCGGACCTTCTTGCTGTGAGGCAGCAGGCTAAGTAGTAGTATTTGCTTGTACCTGGGTAGCTGAAGTTCCTGGATTTTGGTCATTATAATGTGTACAGTAGTAGTAATAGTAGGGTGACCAGATTTCCATTTGTGAAAACCTGGACACCTTACCAGGGGTGGGAGGTGGGGCCTCGACATTGAGTCGTCCCTCTCTATATCACGGTTCACCTTTCGCAGTCTTGCCGTTTCGCTGATTTTTTTTTTCTTTTCTTTTTTTTGTGTGTGTGTGTCAATTTTGCATGTTTTTTTTTTTTTTTTTAAATACATGGTTCAGGATTAAACCAGGTCTAAACCAGGATTAATCTTGGACTTAAGAGAGAGATCGCTGAGCAGTTTGTCTGCAAAGCGCGATTGGGCAATTGCCGCGTTTACCTCCGTGAGGTGCGGAGCTCTCCATCGGTCCTTTCTCCTGCGGTCACCTCCGGGCCCATTCCGACAGTGAGTCCTGTTTCAGTTCTGTTTTAGTCCTGGTTTAGTCCTAGTTTACTCCTGTTTTAGTCCTGGTTCAGTCCTGTTTTAGTCCTAGTTCAGTCCTGGTTTAATCTGCCTCTTCAGTCCTGGAATCAGTCCTAGGTTAGTCCTGGTTTAGTCCTGGTTTAGTCTAAATTCAGTCTGTGGCGTAGGCAGCACAAAAGCTTGATATAATCATGGGTTAACGGGCGGGTGCAGTGTTGTACTGAGTGAGTGCGGTGTTGTACTGCAAGTCTCCAAAAATGTACCCATGTAGGACTCTGCGCTGTAGGGCTCCATTACAGAATAAATTAATCTCGGGTTTGTTACATAAAGAAGGAGGAAAATAACAAAAGGACGACAGCAACAATAAGTTTTAAGAAGGATGTAAAAAGGGTTGCACCTGTCCTGTCTGAGAAAAGTGTATAAAGTTTGTGCTGAGGGGTTTTACAGCTTTAAAACAGATATAATAACTGTAAAATATAAAGTTGACTACTTTGCGGATTTCAACTATCGCAGGTTATTTTTAGAACGTAACCCCCGCGATAAACGAGGGACACTGTACTCTCACCTCGCAACCTGTGCACATGGACTCTCACTTGTCCCGACCGGGATGGAAAATGGAGAATTTCTTGTACAAGTCATTGTTAAATGCGCATTTGCGCTTCGGTATGTTGCAGGCTGACCGACTGTTTGTGGTTGCTCGCTCCTTCTGAGTCACAGAGAACTAAGAGAGATGCTCAGTTTAATGCCCCAATGAATGGTAATGAAAACCCAGACATTTCCATCACTTAAAAAAAAACAAAAAAAAAACAGCATAAGACGCAAAATATGGACATGTCCGGGGAAAAACAGACATTTGGTCACCCTAAGTAATAGTAGTTTACGCTGTATTGCAGTAGTAGTAGTAGTAGCTGCAGTAGTAATACATTGCTTGTACCTGGGCAGTGGAAGTTCCTGGATGTGGTCGATCCGGACGATCTGTCTGATGCAGAAGCGACACAGGTGCTGCAGAGACTTGACGTTACTGAAGCGAGAGACTGGATACAGCAGCTGCACCGGAGTCGGAGGAAGACCTGAGGACGTAATCATCCATAAGTACTTAGAAAAATAAAAAAACTGTTGAATAATAATGTGTATGGAAATATTTGTAAATGTATACATTTTATGTTTTCCCCAAAGAGTATATTGTAAAAGCAGTACTTTGTGACAGCTGCATGCTGTCTGTACAAGCTAATAATACAGTAAATGTATTTTATCTCTCAACCTTAAAGTAAGTGCACTCTGATTGGCTGCCCGAAAATTAATGCAGGTAGATACTGTGTGCTAAAGTGTGAGCCTCAGACAAGTTCAGCAGACTCCTCCTTTTATGGTGTGAAAATCAGGTGCATAAGCTTTAAATTTGTGTTAAAGCGCACAGAAAAGACAGAAGCAGTCTAAATCAATGTCAACTTTGGTTAGCACAGTGACAAAAATGTCAGAGCAGAAATGGACTGAATGAGTCAAGTGAAGATGAATGGATTTTAAAAGCACAACAGACCACTGCCTGCCTTATTAGATAGAAGATTAGATGGATAATTAAGTTTCCATTTATAGCCAGTAATCAGTAATCTGATCACTGATCTAACATTTTATCAGTTAAATTAATTGAGTATTCTTATGTAATCAGCAATCAGAAATCAAATTACTTTTGTAGAGTCAGTTAAATGTTCATATTCATATTCTGCATATATTCTAACCTGGGACCCGAGATCGCAGGAAGTAGAGGAATTTTCCATTTTTGGAGTGCATGATGGCCCTTTCAATGAACTCCACCACAGAGTGACAGCGGTCCTCGAACTTCGGATGACACCACAGACTAAACGTACCTAAAACAGGAAACAGGGAGGCCATGTTAGCCCACGTTATCATATGGACACTCAGTATTCATTATTCATCACTGTGTGCATTTTAGATGGCGGTGAGAATGAAGAAAACAGGTTAAATATCACTTAGCAGTCTGTGGTATAGTTTTCCTTTCAGTGGTAGACCTTACATGGACCTAACCTGGTCCAACAGTAATAGGCCAAAAATCAGGTCAAGACTCAGAAATAATGTACCTGATTATTACTGTTCTTTTATGATAATAACTGTTGAAATGTGAATGACGGCTTACCTAGGTCAATAAAGCTCTACAACATAGAAACAACAGCCAGGGTGAGGATAAAAATAAAAATAGACTTCCTCCTGAATATCCAAAATAAGGCACTAAGAGCAGCAAAGATAAGTATACAAAAAAATTATACAACATAAGAGTGTAGAGCTAAGCATGAAAAAAAACCAGACACAGAAACAGATAAAACTGGCTAAAGACTATTCAGACTGAGACTATTCATAGCAAGATTAAATTATTTTCAGAAACAAAGTATTACCACTGCAACCATGTTCATTTTATATGTATAGAAATGTACAAGCCCCCAGGCTCCAAAGGAAGATAATTTTGTCCCAAATAAAATAGGACTGCCTGTAATATTTAGCATGAACAAAACAAAATTGGTATTGTAGCAGTTAGTAAATTACATTTTTTTTCTTGTATCACTTAATTCATATTTAATTTTTGTCTCAGATTTAAATGCTTTTGCACAGGTTTAAAACTTTGAACAGAGTCCAACTTAAACTCAAAATGTAGTCACTAAAGCTATACTTTAGAAATGCAATAAAATATCCTTATGAATACAACTGAAATAAGTCAAATAAATAAACAAGAAAAAAACAAAGTCAACAACCACGTTGAATTAACATTAAACAAAAGCAAAGATGCCCATGCCCCTTTCCAGACAGCAGACCTGATCTACAGTAAGACCATGTCTGTCCCTGCACTGGCTCTGGGGTATATGTCTAAAAGCCTGTCCTGAATTTGGGCCCTGGTGCGTTCAAGCGTTCACCGCTCAGCGCACTCATCTGAGTGTCGTTTCAGACCCACTCTGAATAATGAATGTGTTTCTAGACATGACTCTATGGCCCCATAACACAACTCAAGCAATACATATTATGTGTGTTCCATAGAAGAGGATTTCATATATGGACAGCACTATCTTGCACTATGGTGGTATGTTGTCATTGTATGCACTTGAGGAATGATCTGATCCTGGAAGAGTCCTGTTTTAGATCTGGTTAAGACCTTATTAAGATCTGGCTACTAAATTTTTGGCCCAACTTTATTTAAACCAACATTTACCAATTAATAATAACTGCTACCATTTGCATTTCCCAAAGACAAAAAGAAGACTATTACAAAATGGTACAGATGGTACAGTACAGCTGTGTTTCTAATGTTCACCAGTGCATTTAAAGCTATACATTACCACTACTACCACCACCACTACTAATACTACTTATTACTTGCATTTAAGATTTTAATTTGATCTATAGCAGGTCTCTGTCTCTCAAGTTTCCCATGGTTCACCGCAACTACAACTACAACTACAACTACAACTACAACTACAACTATAGTTTATCTTCAGGTTTAATCCCAGTTTAGACCAAATGATAAAGGTCCTATATTATACAAAATTGACTCTTGTGAGCTGTGTTTTGTTTCATTCCCACATTTTAGTACCACATGACATCACAAACTAGAAGTGAACTGGAGTGTTTTCAGTTTGAGAGAAGAACTTGCTAAATATGCAGGGTTTGTTTGTTAAACGTGTGTGAATGGAACAAAAGAAAAAACCCAAGGCATGTTTGTGATGACGAAACATAGATCAGAAAATAGCTTAGTATGGGCCCTTTAATGTGATGTTTGTAGAAATGTGAATGCACTCTAATACAGTGATTGTGATGTTACGTTGCTCTCACCTCTGTAGTGCTCCATGCGTGTGTGGTGGGTGACCCCCTGAGACCTGAAGCTCAGACTAAGGATGTAACGTGGATCAGAACTGTCCCGCACCAGAAAAGACCCATCTGGTTTCCCTTTAAGCTTCATCTCTGCATCGCCCCAGTTCATAGGGCCCCAGTACCAGCCACACTGCAGAGACAGACACAACACATGTAAGCACAGAAATATACAGGTGTTTGTTGTGGTCCCTAAATTGGATATCAAGGCAACAGATTTTGGACAGATTGACTGTAATGACTATAGTTGAACTTTAAGTCAGGCATTTACAACTTAAGGCTTGGAAACCTAATGTGAGCCTCAGAACTACAACTCCTGGTGAGTTGGCCCAAATTACAAAAAGTAGTACTTTTTTACTGCACTTTTACTCTGTCTTGTTTGTGTTTCAATTTGCTGCTTTTGACTTGATGAAAAAAACAACAACTATTAGACAGTGCACCGACCGGGGACTCCGTTGTTCTACTGGTGGACTTCAACGCCCACGTGGGCAATGACAGTGACACTTGGAGAGGGGTGATTGGGAGGAACGGAACAACATCGCGTGGTGGTCGGGGACAGTACCTCTGGACTTGCAGACCGGGGGTGGTGGTCCCTCTGTATAAGAAGGGGGACCAGAGAGTGTGTTCCAATTACAGGGGAATCACACTCCTCAGCCTCCCCAGTAAGGTCTATACCAGGGTACTGGAGAGGACCAGCTCTATACTCTCCATTGGGTGCTCAAGGGGTCATGGGAGTTTGCCCAACCAGTCCACATGTGCTTGTCGATCTGGAGAAGGCATTCGACCATGTCCCTTGTGGTGTCCTGTGGGGGGTCTTGTTCATGAGTGAGAGGAGGATGGAGCATAAGATTGACAGGCGGATCGGTGCAGCGTCTGCAGTAATGCAGTCACTGTATCAGATCGTTGTGGTGAAGACGGAGCTGAGCTGAAAGGCAAAGCTCTCGATTTACCCTACCCTCACCTATGGTCATGAGCTCTGGGTAATGACCGAAAGGACGAGATCGCATATCCGGATGCCTCCTGAGTGCCTCCCTCGGGAGGTGTTCCAGGCATGTCCCACTGGAAGGAGGCCCTGGGGAAGACCCAGGACATGCTGGAGGGACTACGTCAGCTGGCCTGGGAACGCCTCAGGGTCCCCCCGGAGGAGATGGAGGATGTGTCTGGGGTGAAAGAAGACTGGGAGTCCCTGCTTAGACCGCTGCCCCCGCGATGGTTTTACAAGTGTAATTTTATATATATCAAAAGAGACAGTAATAAATTGTTCAAGTAGATCAGTACTTTTTCTTTCTTCCTTTCCTTTTTTCATCTGTAAGGCTCAATGTTTGTTTTGTTTTTGTTGTGTTTCTATGATTGCATAGTCCACCCATCAATCATGCTCATCAGAGAGAAGACCCTGTCCCAGACTTTACATGTTTGTAAATGCGTATAGTTTTAAAATATATATTTTTTATATATTATTGAATAATTAATATGATATGAGATTGCACCAAGACAGCAGTTGAAGGTGAAAGGAAACAGTGTGTTGTTCAAATAAGTATGTAGTGATATGGTATACAGCCAGCTCATACCTTCTCAAGCTCCCGTAAACTGGCTGCAAAGTTGCTGGCCTCAGACCGTCTCAGGGCACAGAGCACTGAGGGCGGGGCCTGTCGAGGGGGTGGGGCTTCAGCCGCAGAGGGGGTGGAGAGTGGGAGGGCTCGGAGGAATGCGTCTGAAACAAAAACAAGCAGTCATTATTAATAAAGTAATAACAGTAATAATAGTGATAGTAAGTAATAGCGTGGCCCTCGCCCACGTCACACAATGTAAATTGTGTGACCTCAAACCTCTGACCTTTTTTCCTCGAATGTCTTAATTGAGGACATTTATCACACACTCAAACTTTGCGGTTGCGCCACCAAAGACCATAGCCCTTGTCCAAAAACACTGATAACTTTTGATGCCCCATGTTCATTCCCACATGCAATACAAATTTGTGTACATGACTTGATTTGTGCACCAGTTGTTTTTTTTCCCCCACACATATGTATCTTTTTATTTACAGTAAGGGTTAACTTTCCCATGATTCTTTGCTGCTTACCATTGAGGCTGAGGCTGTGGTGGATGGAGAGGGAGGGAGGAGGAGGGGGGGGCAGGGGAAGGGACTGAAGAGATGCCCCCATCACACTGAGTACGAAGGGCCCCCGCTGCACTGGTACAGCACCCGCAAAATCATCTGAATGTAAAGGGAATATATACGGGGGGGTGGAAAGATAGAGGATAGAGGAAGAGAGGAAGAGTGAGAGGAAAGAAAGAAGGAGTGATGAGAGGATAGAGGGAGAGAGGGAGGGAGTGAGGCAAGAAAGAGGAGACAGCAATGAGAAGGGAAGGGAGAGGGTCAGAGGTCAGAAAACAAAAGCGAGAAGAATCAGGGGGTGAGATGCGTGCAAGAGAAATAAAAGAAGGTGGAGGAGAGAGAAAAGAGGTGAGAGAAGAAGATAGAGGAGTGGTTAGGAGGTTATAGAGGAGAAGGAGGGGAGAGAGTGAGAGAGAAGGGAAGGAGAAAGAGGGTATAGAGAGGGGAAACAGGTTTGGATTGAGAGAGTCACAAGAGAGAAGGGAGATAGAAGAAAGAGAAGAAGAGGGGAGATAGAAAGAGAAAGAGAAGGGGAAAGAGAAAGAGACGCATGAGAATAAATGGAGATGAGATTAGAAGAGACCGAGCAAGAATGAGAAAAATGAATAGAGAAAGTTAGAGGGGGAGAGGAGAGACAGAGAGTGAGATAAAGAAAAAGGGGGGAGTCAAATACAGAGAAAAAGGATGTATGGCATGGAGTGAGGACAGAATTCATAGAGAAGAGAGAATGGAGGGAAATAGAAGCACAGAGGAAAAAAGGAATAGAGGAAGACAAGGGTTAATTTAAGGGTTAACTTAAGGGTTAATCAAGGGTTAATCAAGGATTTAGCAAGGAATCAACATAAGGAAATAACATGCAGATCAACGAGTTACCTAAACACACCGAAAACTGAAGATGCCTGGTAGCATCACTGTCTCCATGGAGACTAAATATTGTATGTGGAACATTCCAACCAAAACAATAACATGTCCATAGAGAAAAGCAGGTGACGGCTAATATACATGAGTATTCATATATATGCATATCTGCATCAGTGTCTGGCCACATCTTTCCCACTTTCAGGGAATGATTTACTTCCATAAAACACTTCTTTATAAAAGAAATATAAAAAATCATATCACTATACTGTATATGGACCTATCATAAACACAGGCCTCCTCCACCAGAAACGTTACATAGAGTACCTTTAAAACAAAAAGTTTATTTGGCAGATTCATAATGTGTATTATAATAGATACTCAAAGAAATTGATTTAAATTTATTTCAAATACATGGATCCAAGTATTTTATATTATGCATTTAGGATGGCTAGGCTATTCTTCTTTTTTTTTTAGTATTTGTGGGAAACAAATCCATAAAACAGTCATGTTAAAATGCACCAATGGTTTAATGGTTTGCATGTTGCGTGTTTATCTGCTGTTTACCTGAGCCTGCATTTAGAGTGGTGGTAGTAATAAATCATGTCTGTAGGAGTGCTGTGGAGTTATGTGGGTCAGAAAATAAGAAATGGCTTGAAGCATGAGGCGTACGAGTAAAGGTCGAAGAAAAACAGAAAATGCACGTAAGAAAAACTCACTCAGCACTTTTAAGGCAGTTTAAAAATAATATTCCACTATCAGGAGAATGAAGCTGCACATATACTAGTCAAGATGGGTATAGTGAAGTTACTTTGAAGTAATATGTTTAAAGGTGTACTGTGTGACGTCTCTGTCTCCTGCTTCTCTCCATGAAGATATTATTGCTTTGCCTTGAGTGTTCCAAAGTAATCAAATAAAATATTGTATTGTATTGTATTCAAAAACATGTGTTCTAACTCTGAGCGTAGTTGCCTATCAATAGATTTGACCTATAACTTGCCATGGTGGCATCCCCTACTTGTTTTCATGGAGTTTATTTTCATACTACTGAAAGTAGCATTGTCAAGTATTAACATCTCCATTAAGACAAGCACGTGGCAAACCCTCCACCAGAAAAGTTACTGAGAACAGTGAACACTGAAAAAATAGTGATAGATGTTAGGCAATATAGCAACTACTTAAACGTCTCAACAAATATTACAAGTACCTTAACTCCAAGATGAGAGTACCCACACAGTTGATAAGGTCCAAAATATGTTAAAAATAAGTAGTTGTTATCAAAAATATGTTCCTTGTCAAAACCAGCCAAGCAAGACACACACATGTAATGCGCTCTAAGTTACGCAAATAAACAGTTCACTTCTCCTTTAAGCACAGAAAAGGAGAACTTCTTTTTTCATAAGAATAAGTTGCTGACAAAGATACAGATTTGAGGTTAAATCAGATAACAGATCAAGTATGCTTTTATGGTCTAAATGCAGGTGAAATGGATCATGTAAATCAATGTTCTATTTCACCTGCTCATATTTTGATTTGAGAGAATGGAAATATGAACTGCTTAATAAGAGTCCTATGAAACTGAGAGCAGGTTTGAAAGATTAATAATCGAATCAAAGTAACAATTTATAACTAAATGTAATTCTGCAATTATGTAGGAGATGTAATATTCTGTTCACAGATCAAAACATCCTGTATCCATGGAGACTACTAATGCATAAAATCCACTCAAATACACTGTAAAATTTGTATGATTCTTACAGTGGTTAAGGTGTTCACATTTCACAGTTTTCTAAAATGCTTAAGAATCCAGAATGCTCATGGTTTAAGAAAACGTGAGTCTGGTCACCAGTGAATCAGTGGATAAGCCAATTAGGGACATTCATGGCTCTTTGTATTGGGAAAAAATAAAAGAAAAAATATCACAGGAAAAACATTGCAGATTTTTACAGAATCAATGAGCGGAGCAGTAACTGTTAATCTGAGATGAGATATATTAAATTTTGTTGGTAAATGATAGGTGTCTAATGAGCGCCTTCCTTTCCATATAATATAATAATATAATAATATTCAGTCTGCCCCAGGGCAGCTGTGGCTACAGTGGTAGCTTACCACCACCAGGTATGGAGTGAATGAATAATGCTCTGTAAAGCGTCTTTGAGTGTCCAAAAAAGCGCTATATAAAACTGATGCATTATCATTATTATTATTAATAATAATATTTCCAACAGAGTGCGTCAGACCTTTTTTGGATGCTTTTTTACTGTATCACAGTTAAACAACAAGCATGGTCATTGGTTTGCAGCCAGTCCTTCTTGAAAATTTTCAAAATTCAGAATAAAAAATTCAGAACAAAATATAACTTCTTTCAACAGTTTCGTGCGTTGATTTTTGATTCTGCAGAAATGTGTTATTTCTCAGTGATCTATGTTGTTCTTCCCCTTTCTTATATATAAGCAGCCACGTTTGTTTTTGGCATGAACAGAACATACATCTCTCTGACTGATTATTTATCTGTCAATCACACCCTCTGGAATGGGGGAGACAGGATATGGCCTGGGGCCCACTCATCTTTATGAACTTTTGTCAAAGCATGTGGTTCTGGCTGGTCAAGTACATTTTTGTCATCAATACTTCTTCAAATGAGTATTTAGTTTAAACACTAGTTTTAGTATTGATTAGCTTTTGATTTCTGATACTTTTCACAATAGTCTCAGAAAGTGCTGGCAGTATTCAACTCCAAAAATTGTTAGTTGAAAGGCAATGAGATTCATATGGCAAGTTTGTGGACCAAATCTCTAAGAAATATTGAGTCAGACGATAGCGTACCTAAAAGACTGAGGGAGCGGCGTGGAGGGGGAGGAGGCGTGGGAGGGTGAGGAGTGTTTGTCCCTCTACGTGAAATGTCCACATCCACCAACGAGACCGTCTCACCTGAAACACAAGAAAGACCAAAACATTATAGGGAAAATGGCTTTAGTTAAAATGTTCCACAGTTTAATATTAAAGCTTTATAGCAACATTGTATGTCATCACTGTGGGCAAACCAATAATACGTAAATCAGTAAAAGTTAGCACACCTTTGAGAATACTTTATAGTCCCTGGAAGAGACTTTGTACTCTACTTCACCCATCCTTCAATGCCACCTGGTCAGCTCGTCAGTAGGCCTTTGTAATGTATTTAAATATGATTACAATGATTGGTCCAATGAATTACAATACATACAATGGAACAAATGTATTCTATCCATTCTGTCCTGAATGATATATGTACAAATTCTAGAGCAAAGACACCAGTCAGTATAATATTAAATATTCTTCCTCTGATTGTTCCCATTATTATGATTTCAAATAGGACCTTACGCAGCACTCAAAGTACAATTTTTCAAAAGTCAGCATTATTGACACAGTAAAAAGTGGTGAAATACATATGACTTCTAAAATTGAAAAGGTATATGTTATAAAATGTGACTTACAAAGTCCTAAATCTTATACTAAGTTCAGGTATTTTTTAAATTGCTGCTATTCAGCAAATTTCAGGACCACTGACAAAGTAAAACATGGTGAAATACATCTGCTCAGCTTTTAAAATTGCACATATCATTTGACCTAAATGTGATTTACATACAGTTTGAGTGACTTTATGTATAGTTTTGTTCTAAATTTCAGTATAAGAACTACTAACACTGGTCCTACAGCTATATACCTTGGCTGGAACTCATGTCATCAAAAGGAATCTAGTCAGTAAGATAAAAAGTAAAAGTAAAAGTAAAACTTTTTCATTCATTAAGTCAACTATCAATGAAACTTCTCAGTGTCCTTTGTTAAAATGAAAAAAAAAAGAAAGAAAAATGTTTCAAATCTTCCAGTTCCCGTTTTGGTAAAAAAAAAAAAAATCAATCAAATTTCATCAATCAAGCATGTGGGCTCTAAGGTTTTCTTTTAATAAGCTATGGCATTTGGGTATGTAGTGCTATTGTGCACACGCCAAAATTAGGTGGATGGTATGAGGTTAAAAATCATTGTAGATTTACAGTGTAAACTTTCAGACAAAAGTCTTTTTTTTTTTTGTAGACGACTTTTGTCATAAGTAAAACAACCTATAGTGATACACAAAGGTCTCAAGAAGACTACCCCGGATTGACAGGACTAAACAGGACTCTAGACCTTTATGGAGTGGATGGTCCCTCTATTATGGTACCACTATTGCAGTCCCTCTCACAATGATGTAGGACAGTAGCAGTGATACTCAGGGCCTGTGGGTGATACAGTGAATTTTGTGATTTCAGCAGAATTTATTTTAGTCAAACTACATCACCTCTCGCCCATAAAACCACCGGCCTCATTCTGCATCAATTTAGACATGATGGCTCTCTGCAACTGGGTTAGAATAATTTAAGATGATATGGGGTAATTTGGGAGTAAAGGGTATTTTGTAAGCATATTGGCATATTTTTAAGCAAATAATTACACCAAATCATGAATATTTACTGTTTTGTATGAGGTGTGAGCAGATTGTCATCCTCATCTCTCATAAGGTGCTTTATAAATTCAAGCTATCATCATTATTATTCTTAAAGATAATAATAATATGGAACTTTCTGGAGGTGACTCATCTCCTGCATGATTCCATGGAAATAAATACATTTTATCCAATACTGTGAAATATTAAAGGAACATTTCCCTGAAGGAGGTTCATGGTGATGCAAGCCCGCTCACAGTAAGGACACACATTTTCAGAGAAAAAAACAAAAAAACAAAACAAAACAAAAAATGAAAAAGCTGTTTTTGTTACACCAATAAAACCTAAACTGGATCAAAAAATGTGTTAACATTTAATGGCCAGCGTGTTGACATGTCACACCTTATTTTTTGGGCTTTAGTTTATCAAAAAGTTGGCCTATACTGTTAAAGGTGTATTAAGGAACCTTTCTGGTGGAGGGTCCACCACATTCTTGTCTCTATGGAGATGTTCTTGCTTTGCCAAGCAAGTCAAGACCAACACATACATCTGTTGAGAAGCGATCCCACTCACAGTAAAAAATCATGTCAAAAGGTATTTGGCATAGCCTAATACCTTAAATGCAAGACACATGCATTCCTGGTAATAATAAAGTAATGACATATCTTCATGAAAACAAGCAGATGGTGAAAAGATAAATTGTGCACCTTTAATTTTGTTTTAATTTTGAGCATGTTTTCATTAAGTTTGAATCAAGCGATAGTATGTTGACTTTGTTCTAAGCAAATACTAGGCTACTGATAAGTGCTGATACACAGAGTGAAAAAAAAGATTGGTGCGTAGGCTACATGTCAACAGAAATTGTCCTGAAGCGAAGAGGTTGTAGCCCCTTGTGCCCAATCAGAAGACCTGAATGAGTGAAGCCTTTACCCTGCATATCTGCACTATTTTTCTTTTTCTCAAAGATTAGGATCTGTACTTTAGTTAAATGCATTACAATAAACACAGGTAGGAGCTCTTACCAGCAAAAGCAGCAAGTGAAGCCGAGAGGGCAGCAGGAGAGAAGGCACTGTGGGCCCGGGTCAGTCTGGGCTGGCTGCTCCCCCCACAGCAGGAGGCAAAGAAAGAGAAGACACAGAAACAGGAGACAAGAGTGGAGACATGGGAGGACACAAGGAAACAGGAGACAAGAGAAGAGACATGGGTGGACATAAGGAGAAAGGAGAGAGGAGACAAGGAAACAGGAGTCAATTGAGAGGAGACATGGGATCAAGGAGAAAGGAGACATGTACATAGAAGAAAAGGGGAGAGGAGTCAGTGGGGGAACATTAACAGGGTTAGATAAAGAGATGTTAGTGACACAGGTATTAAAGATACTTTAAAAGTGCAGTGTGAAAATTGGTAAACAAAGTTCTGAGGCCTCCTGGTGGAGGATTTGAGTAGTGTTGTCCGCAAGGTCTCGTTTCAGAAGAATTAGCAATGATCAATCAACTTGGTTTAGGGGCCAGATATTACCATATTTGGATCTGAGTGAACTGTTCTCCTCTGCCTCAGTCTAAAGCTCCACGGGGTTCATGTGACATATATGTTTGTAGAGAGACTGACCTGTGTGCTGTGTCCTGCTCCGCGCCCACGTCCAGGAGGCTGTTGGACGATGACACTGAAGTCATGGAGGGTCGTTTGTCCAGGAGATGCGAGGAGCCACTGCAGCTCTTGGTTCTGAAGAGCTTACTCAGACGAACCTTTAGGCCTTTTTTGGACTTTCCCTTCAGAGTTTTCTCTCCTGATGCTGCTGCGGCACGGCTCGTGCATGGAGTCCGAGGAGCGCTCGAACAGCGCTCGGGTCTTCTCCTGGGCGTGCAAGTGAGACTGGGCATGCACGTGAGCCCTGGACTAGGACTACGGGCCAAGTGCAGCCCAGGTGAGACAGGAGTCTTTGCAGTTACCTGTGTGACGTCAGAGGGCACGCCTCCATCTGCACCCTGCACGTGAGCTTGCACCTGGCGCGTGAGCTCCGCTTGGAGGCTGCTGATGGATACTGACATTTTCTGCACAATGTCGCGTTTTCTGTGCAGCAGAAAGTCCTGCCGCGCTGCATCTTCCGCGTCGCTTTGCGGTTCGTCCAGTGCGCCTCCGAGGCCCTCCAGCACGAGAAGGGCATCACTGGTCTCCGTGGGGTCGTCCACCTCGGGCCCCGCGGCCCCTGGTGCGTGAGGGGCCTGACACGAGCACCGCGGCAGCTCCCCAAACCTCCGCGCGAGCTCAAACACTGCCCCCCGCGTAGCTCTGTCCGCGCCTGGGGGCTCGTCCGGAGGATGCTGCGCGTCTTGCGCGCTCAGGCCGTTGTTGTTGTTTACAGCGGGACCGCGGTCCAGATCCAGCTCTGGGAACACGAGCAGCTGCGGCCTCAATCCGGGGCTTGTGCTGAACTCAAAGCCGGGGCCCTCGTGCCTCTGCGGCTCTGACTCTGCTTTGTTGTCAAGGCCCTGCTCTCTGCTGAGCTCCAGAGCCGCTTTGCCTCCACTGTGGCCCAACGCCACTCCGTTTACCGCAGAGACGTTCCCATTCTCCGCGTCCAGCCGCTCCTCGGCCGCGGACACCAGCCGCATCAGCACGAAGTCCGGAGACATTTCCTGTGTGTCGTTCATAATGAGTCCTGTTGGAGCGGAGGATGACGACTGCACCGCGCTACCGCGGACCGCTCATCCTCCGTTCAGTAGCAGCAGCAGCCTTTTCTCCAGGGCGGGCAGGGCCCGGTGACTGGCGGCAGCGCGGTCAGAGACAGTCTGCTCCCTCCGTGGCCCCACCCTCCGCCTCTCGCATCAGCCGCGTTATGGCTCCATCATCACCGCGATAAATTACTGCACGGCGCAGCCTCTCACCTCATCTCACCGCGTCTGTGCCGTAAACATCCACAGAAACACGATGCACCGCTGCAGGCGCAGACCACAGCCTCTGATTCACCCCACAACGAGTCAATACGGATCCAGAGCGACCCCAGTCCGCGCTAAATCCGGCCGCGAGCGAGAGACGCTGTTGTTGTTTGGAGCAGGTTCAATCATGGGCATCATCTGTGGACCAATAAAACGGGTCCTCGCGCTGACACTTCCTCCTCCTCCGGGAGAGAGAGGCTGGACCAGGGCTAGCACAGAGGAACTAGCCGTCTAAACCACTGCATATTTAACACACACTGCTCAAAACAGCAAAATAGGATAAGCATACACCAGCCTTTCAACGCAGAGGATGTCTTTTAGTGAAGGGTGCAATGAGATTCTTCATTATGACACGAGGATGGCGCTCTGCTGCTGTCTTATTTCTCCAACCTGTAGTGTAGGCTTATTATAGCCTACATATGGCCTATATAAACCCATTATACGCCCGTATCATTGCATGAACCCCAAAGTTACACTGGGGTTCATGCAGTGAATGAGGTTATCCAGTTTATCTGATGCATGGGAAACGTAAATAGCATAGGCAGACAATGTATAAGAGTAAAATGAAATGTAATTTATTAAAGTGTAAATTATTTACAAAAGTACACTATTCATAAGGTATGAAGGTTTTGAAAATACTAAGGAGGCAACCAGCAATAACGCTTAGTCCCTTTGGCTGCAGGTGTAGCAGATAACCAACAGAGGGCACAGCATGACAGAAAACAAATAAACTATAGCCCGTTGAAGCGATTTAATCCCTTTTGTTTGGAAATAATCAAACTAACGACCTGTATGTCACGTGATGCAGGGGTAACACATCAAGACACGCTGTACAATTTGAGATAACGAAAACATAATTAAAGTGTTAGCCCTTGTTAACTCAGAACTCATGCTAGATATATTGGACATAAAGTTTATGTTGAGAGGGTTTGGACATGTACAGAGAATGGAGAGGGAATACTTGGTACAAAGAAGTCAGAGGTAATCATAGACTGTATATATTTTTATACAGTCTGTGGAGGGAATACCTGTAGGGGATGTACAGAGGAGGGAGAATGAATATCACTGGTTGAGTGGTCAGGTCCACTGACCCACAGGTTGGCGGTGCAATTCTAGTTCCCACAGATGAATGCTGACATTGTATCCTTTGGCAAGACACACACCTTGCCCTCAGTGTCTGTGTATGGTGAATGAAAGTGTGGTGAATGGTTCCTTGATGTAAAATACTTGTCTTGAAAGTGGAAAAGTGCAATATAAAATGTGATCTTTTACTATTTACAAAAGAGAATAGTTGGTACAGAGGAAGGATCGGTATTAAGGGAAAGTGACTTTATGGTACAGAGGAAGATAGTGAATAATACAGCTAGAATGGTGCTGAGAGCTTCAGGAAGTAGGAGGCCTAGAGAGACCAAATGTCATATCCTTAGGATAGTGAAAAAAGAAGTTATTGCTGTGAGGATAGCAGTGTCAACTTCAGCTAAAGATTAAAGGTTTATTATGTAACTTTTCTGATGAGGGTTGCACCACCTGCTTGTCTCCGTTGAAATATTATTCCTTTGTCTCAGATTTTTTTGATTAAATGTGTGTTAATTGCACAAAATACCTTGAATAACATATATTCAGCTGTAAGTGGCTTGCCTCTCCACAGGGCTTACCTGTCACTTGGTCTGATGGCGTCTTCATGGAGATATTGTGGAACATTCTACAACATAATGATCTCTCCATGGAGACAAGCAGATGGTCTACCCTAAACAAAAAGTTACATAGTGCAGTACAGCTGGGTATCGTTAACAAGTTGCCGATACAATACATACCTTGATACACAGGCCACAATATGCATCTCGATACAGTGAGCTTTCGATTTGATACGATATATTTCAAATCGATTCAATACGGTTCAATAAAAAATATCATAACTGTGATACTAAAAGTCTTTGTTAAACCACTTCTTGTGCAAAGTTAATATGAAAAACACCCAGTTTAATCATCAAAACAGTGAATAGGTTAAATGTGTTGCATAAATGAGTTTCCTTCCACTAAACAAACAACAAAACCGTAGCATTGTAACAAAATAATTTTGTAAAATATAACAAAAAATACTCTTGGCAATATATCATTACAGCAGCCGACAATATCAATACTGTATTATCACATTAAATGATATCATATATAGATATTTCACTTTTTTGCACACCCCTATAGTGCAGCTTTAACTGTGTGGTCACCTCTGAAGACATTTGACACTCCACCCACATTGGCTTATTGTGATGAGGAGAGCGGGTTTTAAAATGTCTTCACTTGGTGTCCCTTTAGTCCATCTCTCTCCCTCCACTGCCTCAGAGTTTTTATGTTTACTCTTATTCTGCTGCAGTGATGTGTCCCAGTGCAGGGGGAGGCGGGAGTGGTATTCGTTGCTGTGAGAACGAGGTGACTGATGCTCGGATGCGGTTTCCATGGTCACAGAGATTCCTATTATTTTTACTGCAATCGACCACTGACTAAACTAGAATATAAAAGGGCTAAACTATTAGTGAGGAATGAACCAGCTCTTAATCAAACCCAGATTAGGCTGACACAAAAACAAAAGCAGGACTATTTTTTAATTTAAGGAGTAAACTGAAAGGATAAATAAATAAAACAGTACTATAGAAAGATTTGGACAAAACACCTATGTCCAAAATTTTAATTACTAAATTAAATAGAATAAATGGGACTATGCAGAAGAAGAATGAAGACTTTTGGTCATGTTGTTACAATATTCTCTCTCTCTCATCTTTTTGTGTGGGCTATGACACCTTCGTATTTGTGTTTTATGTGTATAAGAATACTTCAGGTCTATGTGAATTGAGTATTGCAAGTTAAATTTTAATAAAAATATAAATCTGTATGAGTACAATATCTGCGGAAGCGCTGAGAAGTGAAGGAGGTGAAAAACAACATCAACTGTATGAGTTAGTAATTGTTAGTTGTTTAAAATGGCTATATGACATTTTTTGTATGTATGTTTGATATGCATAAATCAACAAATAAAATATTGAGTAGGCTAATGTTTAGGGACACCTTTACCTGCTGGAACGTTCCCGCCACTTGCTTGTCTCTGTGATGTTATTGAATTGTATGGAATGTCTCACAGTATGGCATTAAACTTATATACCTTGCATGCATGTGTATGTAAGCACTAGTGTTGTTTGTTGTTAAAAAAAAAATACCTTAAGAAAAAAAAAAAAACTTACTGTGAATGGAGTTGCCTCTCCACAGATCTGACTTGTAACTCAAGTGGCATCACGTTGCTTGTCTTCACGTAGATAAATACATTTGGTATTTTACATTGTACATTCCAAGCAAATCAATCACATTTCCATGGAGACAAGCAAGTTGCAGACTCTCCATCACAAAAGTTACATAGTGCACCACTAAAACAAGTCTATTTTATGTAATATTTCCTCTAAGCATTTATTCTTGCCACAAATGCTCATGTGTTTTTCTACTGGCCCTGTCCAGAACATACAGGGTTAATCTATTCACTTAACCATCAGGCGGATTGATATTGCTCAAATGCAGCGCAGCTTAGTCTGCTCTTCATCCTCTCACCACCACGAGCAAAGCGTAACAGATGTCTCCCCCTCTCTCCTCTGTCACCGTCAAACCAAGAGGATAGCGGAGAAAAGCACTAATATGAGCTGCTCCTATAAAGTGGACTGGTCTATAAAGGAAAAAAACGCACACACATCGTCGCGAGCCAGGACTCCTCCCACTTTGGAAGGGGATGCCACAACTTAGGGCTTTCCCCATTTTAATTCACTGCACCAGCAAAAGAAGATGTTTGCGGACTTTTTCATTAATACTTTAAAATCTGGTCTTTCGTTTTTTTGCACTGGATGCGCACAGAAAACGGTAAGTAAAATGGGATTTTTTCTTGTTTTAATACTGAACATGCACATATTTTGGATAAACAAATTGCAGCGCTTAGTGCGTTTGTGAGTGCTGCTGCAACAGTTGTCTGTTACGTTCGCTGTCTTATGTAAAAGGGAAAATTATCACTAAAATTATACAAACTATTGTATCTCTTAATATACTAGCATAAAATACTACATGGAACTTGTAGATTACAATTTATATTTCAGTGATTGTGATGTAGTTTAGCTGCAACAGAAAAAAGATATATACAGATGATAATGATGTATGCCAATGTGATATGCACAATTGTGGCATAAATATCACTTTATTCCCTTGTATGGCAGATTACACAGGAATATTTTTGCATTTTTTGATATGTTCAAATATATCATCATATTCTAATCAACATACTAAATATTCTAATTTAATTTTTTTTTCTAATTTCTTATCTTCAACAGAACAATTTAAATATGTATATGGTAACTCATCAGCCTCTATAGGTATTTTTGTCACAACATTCTTTCATGCTGGCTATGTGAGGTTAGAAATGACTAAGAAGATATGAAAAAAGAAAACACAATATATAGCAGGCTAACACAGTATTATAGTTATATTTCATATCATATTAAATTATTATGGTTTTAATGAACAAATCACTAATTTAGTTTAGGGTCATTGCACTGAATATATTTGAAAAGGAAGAGAGAGAGAAAGTATAGGAACAAATATAACATTTTGTCAGATTATGGGTGTTTATTTTAAAGTGACATACAACATACTTCTATGCTCTCTTAATTCTATGAACTGAGCACCATAAATCTGACTGCATAATATATTAGCAACAGTTTCAAATGACATTATAAATTGCTGTGGATTGTCGTTCACTGATCCATTTAGGCATATGTTTTAGTGTCATGAGATGCAAATCAGTGGACATTACAAGTGTTATGATCATTTTTGGCACTTACTTTTTTTGGCACTACTACTACTACCACCTCTACTACTACTACTACTACTACTACTACTACTACTACTGCTACTGCAGGTACTACTACTACTACCTCTACTACTACGACTACTACTACTACTACTACTACTACTACTACTACTACTACTACTGGGGTGGGACGTGACTGAATTTTCACGAGAGAAGATGCGAGATAGGGTCCATGTAAATGAGACAAGAATGGATTTGGAAATAATCTACAGTGGATCAATTCTCCACCAAACCTACATACTGTAGTAATTACACTTAAAACTTTAATGCTGAAGAGCTTATTCAATGTTTCTTGGGTTGTACTACTATGACTTTGACTACTGCCTGCTGCTAGCTAGCTACTTCTACTAACACTACATTTACTACTACTACTACTACATTTACTATTACAACTACTACTTCTATAGCTATTACTACTCCAGAAAAGTGTCTCTTCACTTAAAGTTCACTTTTTCTTCATTCCAGAAAGGAGAGCAAAAAATGTAGCATTTGAATTTGACCAAAACTCAGTGTTATTAACACTTCAACTGCCTGTTCACTTTTTCTGCCAATCTCACAAGTTTCTCTTTTCTCTCAGTTTTTGCACAGATGGAGCTCTGAATTTAGTGTCTGAAGGGATTGATTCATCTGCAAAAATGAAGACTATCGCAAACCAACACAACCAAACTGTACCAACAAATCATCACTTTGAGATATTTTTGCCAAATCTACAAAAACGTTGCAAAAGTGATCATTCAATTCAAGATGGCTGACCTAGACACATCTGACATTTGGATAGTGAGAAAGTTGCTCTAAATAAACTGGCATTCTCTAATTTTCTAATGAGAGCAGCTTCTCATCCTTACAAAACCAGTGAAAGACATTGAAATTGCCAATATTTTCAACATGGCTGCTTGGACCTCTGTCTTTATTTTGGGTCTTTTACCATTTATTTACAAAGCTCAAATCCCCTCTGAAATATCAAATTTAGAGGCAGACAATAGCACTTTAGATTTGACCAACTCTACCACAGTTTCCAATGCAACTTTTGGTCCATTTAGTCCTGCCAAAACAATTTTAGTTACAACCCCGTCCATAGCAACCACAACAGAAAAAGATGAGTGGTCACCAGCCGAGAACTACTTGTACACGGGAGATTCGGCTATGCTAGAAATATCACGTTGTAATCGAGCTTACAGCCCAACTGGACAAGATGGACCCTTACCTTATAGCTTTGACGTACCACTAAGACCAGCAATGGATGCATTAGCTAATACTGCCAACTTTCTCAACATGATCTACCAAGCTAGCGATTTGAGAGAAAGCACAGTGGAAGAAGACATGGAGTGGTATCATGCATTGGTCCGTGCACTTTTAGATGCTGATGGGCTAATTCAAAAGGCCTATCTAACATTTGATGCGGATCCGGCAGCACAAACTCCACAGCTAGTGCTACGTGCAACTCGTAACCCAATGGCTAAAATTCAAACTATCATCTTGCAAGATTTATCAAAGTATTGGAATACATTGCACCCTCCTGCTCCAGCGCCGGACGATTCATGGTTTAGGAATTTAAAATTTCCAGTGAATAATCGTCCAATAGCATCGTTGTCCAAGAGAGTGTTGTTGAACGATTTGAGCACACTGGAGACCCCAAAATGGCGGCAAAGTGACAGTTACGTGACCAGTCGCAGTGGGGTGAGGTGGGCCAGTGCTCCCTTTTTGGACTGTGAGGATGGGCGCTTTGTGCCCGGGTGGATGCTAAGTTTGTCCACGGCTTACTACGGACTCAAACCGGACCTGACTCCAGAGTTCAGGTAAGGACATTAAAATATGCTAATTAACCATTTACTATCTAATGACTGTGAAATTCTCTTAACACATTTTTGTCTTATCGAACTTTTTCTGCCTGGTGATAGGCTTTTGGTTCCTCATGGAATTATAATGTCAATAATATTCTTAATTTGGGGATGATTAACAGGTTATTTAAAAGTGCACTATGTAACCTTTCTTTTGTAGGACTGTACATGTCTACATGGAGATGTCATTGTGTGCCCGGAATGTTCCATAGTGAGGCATTCAACATATCTAATGTGCATTTATTCAAATACAGATGTTTTTGTTCCTCAAAATTCCTTGAAGAAAACACATTCTTACTGTCATTTGACTCACCTCTTCACAGATCTGGCATGAAGACAGACTGAAATACTATAGAACATTCAGGAAAAAGAAATTGCCAATTGCGATGATTTTAAACAACTGGATCCTGACTCAGTTAAGATTGATTTATTGCACAGCCCATACCTCATAAATATTTAAAAACACAAAGGAAACCAATTTTCCTGTCATCTCTCTGACCTTCATCCTATAACTGAATAAAACCTAAATCTCCCTGAACATGTGAAGTATGTTAAAGTGCATGTGACAGGTTTTCATGTTTTTATAATTATTACTTGGTCTGCTGAGATAGCACTTGTGGTAAATATTTTTCATAATTTAACACCAGTTAAGTGATAATGAGGAAAAAAGAAGAAAAATTAAAAATAATGCAGAAAGTAGCAGGGAGTTTGAAAATGTAATGTCTACTTAAGTCAGCACAGAAAATTCCAACCAAAATGCAGAGACAATTTATGTGCAAGGAATGCATTTTTCTGAGATTTAAAAAGCTTATTCAACTAAATAAAGCGTTTTCCTTTTATTTTTTATTAGTTTTATCATTTTAGATAATTGCAACATAATGGACCAAATTTTGCTAAATTTAACCCACATGTACAGCATTTTTACAAAAAAAAAAAAAAAAAACAAAAAAACCCCTAAAGTTAAATCTTAAATATGAACTCATGAAATGAGTAATCTAATTTGGGGGCGATGGTAAAAATAGATAATGCTGATCTACCTATGGTCTCTCAGAGAATAAGCACACTAACACACACACAAAATCAGTCATTGAAATGTTTTTGTCCAAAGAGGAAAAGTTGATTTATAAATTTTGTTATCTTCAACCATTCTACCACCATTGTTTTATCTTGTTTTGAAAGCTATAACAATGTTTATCTTAATGTACTTAAAATTGTATGTGAAATGAGCCAACATAAAATTATTACATAATACATTTAATTCAAGTCAACAATATTGGCTAGTGTTTGTACATGGGTGAAAAAAAAAAAAAATCAATTGAGTATCACATGAAACTTGAATAGGCTGTAAAATTTACCATACAATTGCAGAAACATCACTATATGCCCATATTTAGATTTATAATCAGCAACGATCGACGATATACTTTATAGTCCAATGTCATTTGCATATCTCCAAAACAATTGTGATATCATTATCCATTTTTTCATTATAGTGTACACCAGGGGTTTCCAAACTTTTTTAATCAAGGGCCACATATCTAAACACAGACAAAGTAGAGGGCCGATATAGGGCCATAGACTGGTGCTCAATACAGTGAATAATTGAAATGTGTGCATGTTTAACATGTTAGAATGAGCCATCAGTCTTTAGTCATGCTAAGATCCTTAAAACCACACAGTAAATATTAAATATTGGCTTCATCAAGATAGATTTTCAAAAAACTTGCGGTAAAAAAAATATTTTTTAATTGATGCAAGGTAATTTGGGCCAATTCACCTGGACATCTGAGGGCCAAAAAACATTTGTCCGAGGGCCGCATTTGGCCCCCGGGCCATAGTTTGGACATGCCTGGTGTACACTGTACCCCACTTCTATCACTTAAAGTACTGCCATAATAAGAAGTTAAGAGTGCTTTGTCTGCTTTGCAAAAATAATTAAAATCAATCATATATCAAAATAAATGAACGTAGCAGGTAATTGCTCAGATGTGGTTTAGGCCTGGTTTAGTTTTACATTGCAGTTTGTGGTCCAAGTTTTGTTTGACAGAATAACTAAATACTTTCCCATGTCTTCCCTTTAACTTGACTCTTATTTAGGCTCAGTGACATTTATGTTGCAGATAAAAGGGAAGTTTGATCAAGTGGTTTTGGAAATGGCAAATAAAAGGTGAAATTGTACAACTGAATTTAGATAAAAGCCAAAACATTGCTGTGTCGTATGGAAACAAATGTTCATTGTTCAAACAGATATTTTTGGAATGATGAAGTAAAGATGGAGTAAATATTATGTGGCTGGCTCTTTACTTTTCTGTGCAATTAATTCAAGTCATTTGTGCATCAAAACAGTTACTGACATAAGCAATATTTAGTTTTTTGGGTAGTCTCCAAATTGTACTAAAATATTATTATTAAATAAATAATTATGAATGTTACTGCAGAAATAAAAAGTCACTCAAACATTGATGGATCATCTGAAGGGGCTCCTTACAAATAAATACATATTTACCCAAGTGAAATTAAGGGAAGTGTCTTGCCCAAGGTCACCTGTGCAGTAATGGTGTTGCGAGGGAGTCAAAACTATCAAAAATCAAATACTAATCAATAAATAGATGGTATTGAAAGTTAATACTCATTTAAGAAGGTATAAATACTAAAAAAATCACATTAAAGGTGCATTGTGTAACTTTTCTTGTGGAGGGTCTGTCAAATCTTTTCTCCATGGAAATGTTATTGCTTTGTCTGGAATGTTTCACAGAATGGCATTAAACCTTTCTATCTTCACAGAGATTACAAGTTACAGGTCTATTGGTATTTTTGAGCTATAAACTCACCAACTGTGCCTTGAATAAATGTAAGGTAGAGCTGTTTAATGTCATAATATGGAACTTTACAGGCAGAGTAATGACATCTATAGAAAAAAATCAGCTTTATCAAAACTAGTATGGTAATATAAAGAAAATATTATTATTTTGGCCCTGAGTTTTGAGCCTATTCCTTGCTATTAAAATCATGACACCACTAACTTTATTTACTTGACAGAGGCGTGATCCGAGTGGACGTGAACATTCAGGACATTGATGTGGACCAGTGCGCCTCAGGAAACAGCTGGTTTGCCGACACCCACCAATGTAACCGCACCAGTATGGAGGTATGTGAAGAACACTGTAATGCCAGATCATCCAGAACATTATGAACACTGTAATATAACATATGAAAACACTGCAAACACTGACAAGTGACCGACATTATAATGTTTAGATTTATTTCAAGAATTCAAGAGTGGTAAGGATTTAAATGAGTTGATAAGGATTAGAAAACAGGGTCAGAGCGCCTTCAAAACTACAGCTCAGAGGTGATGCTGCAAGCAAAAAATTTAATAATGGCTTTTTAAAAATGTAGTTAGTCAAATCAGAATTATCTTCAATTATCATATGCTTATTACTAAGTTTTCTATTGGCTGAAAAAAAATGTGTTCAGATTTCACACGTACATATTTTTTATAAATTAATGCATATTGTACAAATTTAACCACATTTGGTAGCACATTCCTTTTTTGCAGTTGTATACCATAATGTTGCAATTAGATTTGTGCTATATATTTAAAAAGAGAGATTGTATTCAGAGTTCACTTTGTCAACAACTCCAGGAGCATTAAAATTTGAAAGAAGACTAAACTACAAGATTTTCAGTGAAAAGGCAGGATATTTTGTTATTTGCAGAGGACTTTCTTTTATCAAAATAATTTCTGCCTTTGTGATTTCATGATTGTGCCATCTCAAACTGCAATAAAATTAGATTTGATTGCAATATATTGTTCAGCCCTACAGTGAACAGTGAATATGTTTCTCTCAACTGGCCCCTGTTTCTTGTGGCCTCTGGTCACTATAGCCTCAGGCTCCGTCCTGTTAAAGGCTGATGGTTGGTGGCAGTGATGATCTGACGGATTAGAGCTTAATCCAGAGTCTGACACACTTCTGACTGAACAAGAGCAGTCTCCTGGAAAACCACCTCCACAGCGCAACCATTACTTTAGCATGTTAATAGCTCTTTGTTGGTGCTGCCAGATGAATCACAATCAAAACAAAATTGCTATTTCAATGGTCAAAATATGCAAATAGCAAAGACTTATATTTACAATAGGTAAAGATAAACTTTATTGCTCCTGTAGGGAAATTTGTCCTCGGATTTGACCCACTCTTCAATACCACTAGGGCTACCTGTCAGGAGCAGTGGGTGCCCCAGAGCTACACATGGGGACCCAACTCCAGATCTTGAGGTAGGCTTGGTCAGGTCTACCTTAGCTGGAGGATCTATAGTGCATGCTTTGAGTTTTGCAAAGAACTAAATAGCTTGTCTTATTATGTATTAAACTCACAAACTCTGTAGGTCAGAGCTCAAACAGTCTTCTGATATACACTGGATTCTTATATAAGTCTAGAAGTGCATATTTTCATTCTTATCTGAAATGCTTCTGTACCTTTTCTGGCCACACCGTCTTGTCAAAGCCTGATCTTGGAAGCTGTTTTGCGCAGGGTTAGTACTTGGATAAGAGACTGCTTGGAATAGCAGATGCCACCGTGTCGCAGCAGTTCTATTACAAACTGTTGTTCTGTTTTGGGGCAAGACACTTCACCCATCTTGCTTAATATATATATATATATATATATATTCACTCACCTTCCTTGACTCGCATATGAACTTACGTGACATTCCATTCTTAATCTAGAGGTTTTAATATGACATCGGTCCACTCTTTGCAGCTATAACAACTACAACTCTTCTGAGAAGTATGTCCATAAAATTGGGAATGGGATTTTTTGACCACTCTGCGCATTTGTGAGGTCACACACTGTTGTTGGCCAAGAAGGCTCTCAGTCTCCACTCTAGTTCATCCCAAAGGTGTTCTGTCGGGTTGAGGTCAGTACTCTGCAGGCCAGTCAAGTTCATCCACACCAAATGCTCACATCCATGTCTTTATGGACCTTGCTTTGTGCACTGGTGCACAGTCATGTTGGAAGAAGGGCCATCTCCAAACTGTTCCAACAAAGCTGGAAGTATGGAATTGTCCAAAATCTCTTGGTATGCTTGGTAATTCCTTTCTCTGGAAATAAGGGGCCAAGCCCAGCTCCTGAAAAACAACCCCGCATCACAATCCCCCCTCCACCAAATTTTACACTTGGCACAATGCAGTCAGACAAGTACTGTTCTTCTGGCAACCGCCAGAGAACGCATCTCCACTGCTCTAGAGTCCAGTAGCGGCATGCTTTACACCACTGCCTCCAACGCTTTGCATTGCACCTGGTGATGTATGGCTTTGATGCAGCTGCTCGGCCATGGAAACACATTCCATGAAGCTCTCTGTCCACTGATCTTGAGCTAATCTGAAGGTCACGTGAAGTTTGGAGGTCTATAGCAAGTGAATCTGCAGAAAGTTGGCAACCTAGCACTCTGTGGCTGAGTTGCTGTGATTCCCAATTGCTTCCATTTTATTATAATACCAGTGACAGTTGACTGTGGAATATATATGAGTGAGGAAATTTCACAACTGGACTTGTTGCACAGGTGGCATCCTATGACAGTACCATGCTGGAATTCAAAGCAACCCATTCTTTCACAAATGTTTGTAGAACAGTCTGCATGCCTAGGTGCTTGATTTTATAATCCTGTGGCCATGGAAGTGAGTGGAACACCTAATTTTGATTATTTGGATGGCTAAATACTTTTGGCATATAGCGTATATATCTTTGTGAACAAGTGTTTATTATACAGATTTTTCACACTGCATAAGAACAAGCTCCTAATATCATAATTTTTTCCTGCCTTTTTTGGTTTTTAGAGATTGCTTAGATTAGGCCTTTGTTATAAGAATAGTTCAAATTTGTAACCAAAGGATTGTGAAAAATACTTCATACAGCCTTAGACAATAATAATACAATAATACAAACTTTTACAGAAAATAAGCATTGTTAGAATTGTTGCCATAGCTGTCCAGCATGGGAAACTGACTCGTGTGTGACTGACTATGAATCTGGGCTAACAACTTCCTTCGAGCAATCACATCTAATTTTCATTGCAGAAATTGAACCACCAACCCGTGGGTTCGTGGGTAAACTGAGTAAATTATTCTCTGGTTGAGTGTTTTTTGTGGATATTTGTGCATATTTCTTTAAAAAACAGTGAATCCCCCATAGTGTTATACAGGCCAGATCCTCTATCTAATTTGATCATGAAAATATTGCATCATCAAATTCTAGTACATGAACAGAACCTGTGCCCTTTTAATAAATCCAATTGAATGTGGTACAACAAACCTATTCATCACAATTATATTCCATCACTTTGTTGCATATGTGCTTGATCTTAGGCCTTTGCTGTCTTGGTAATGTAATTGATATGTAAGCTGACCTAAAGCTGTTCACAGTAAACAAAAGCTGTGGATTTCCCCTGTGACAACAAATGTATTTCGACTTACATGTAGACGCGATGAGGCACTGCTACAGGAAAAGGCCATGGGCAATTTAATCCTATGGTTAATGTCAGTGGTAGCTCGTGCATTAGCCTTGTGCTGCTACTCCAGTTCAGTGTGAGTGAACCCAGGATTATAATGCTCTCAGTACAAGCATTATGTGTCCATTTAGCTTTTAACTTAGATTAATTGCAGCAGCCAGTGACAGAGTATGAGACAGAGGAAGGATAAGAGAACTTTTTTGTTAAATTATTGCAACAAAATATATGGTTTCAAGATTGAATCTTTAATACTGTGCTTGAAGTATAACTAACCACCTTCATGCTGAAAGAAACCCTAACTCCCCCTCGACGTACAATACTGTGCAAAAGTTTTAGGCAGATGTGAAAAAAACAAAGAATGTTTGCAAAAATATAAATACCGGTAATGATTGTTTTTATCAATTTACAAAATGCATATTGAGCAAACAGAAGAAAAAACTAAATCAAATCAATATTTGGTGTTACTACTAGGGATGTAACAATTAAAGAAATATTGTGATAACGTATCGTCCGAGGTCTCATAATAATATCGTGGGCCATCACAATATATCAAATTACAAGTCACTTTGCTTAAATTAAGAGTTATGGTGCAGCAATAGACTACAGAGGCTACAGACTACAAAGAAGGAACTACACAGACCATGATCCTTTGCTCCATTTCAGTGTAGACTACAAGAAGAAATAACAGTTCTAAGCACTTTTAAGTCTTAGTTCTTTGGATTAAGTCTTGTCAAGGCATTTTAAGAGGAAAAAGTAGCATATTAGCCTTCACAAAATATCACAATAAATATTGTGATATGGGTCCGGTCAAGCGGTAATGGAGGGAAACAGGGGCAGATTTTTTACATTTAAATAGTTCTTATTCAGAAACTAGAGGGACTATTGAAATAAGTAAGGTATCAGAATGTAGGAAAGAGTTAGCACTCCAACAGGGTAAAGTTAACCCTGCGATATTCTTTCAAGTTGTTGACAAAAAATTTAAAACTCATGTTGGTAACGGAGGGAATGAAATATGCAGCACTTTTTGGGCAATAAATACAAACAGTTCTCCCTTACATATCCTTAACAAACTGGTTTGAATATTTGCTTAATATAGTTTTCTACCATATGTTACAAGATTAGGTTGAAAATCGTCTTACTTTTTGAGTAATGAGATTTTTAATTAAAAAAGGTCATGGTAACGGAGGGAAAAGTAACAGAGGGAAAATTGTGCAAGCAAGTAGAAGGTGCATGATTTTACATAATTTGTCAACTTTTTTCTTCCGAATACTTTAATATTACTTAAAAATGAAAGGTAATTATTTCTATAAAATATGTCAGTCCTTCCAAGCTAATTTTTATCATTTTAAATTTAATTTTTTTGAAAAATCATGTACCTTCATCAACAGTTCAAAGATCGAATAACACAAGATATGATGAAATACATCCATTTATTTACATGATTTGCAGGTCTTTGAAATTTGGGAAATAATTTTTGTTCCATGTTTCATACATGGTCTGTTTAAAACATATGTAACTTTAGAACCAAAAATGGTACAGAAAAAAGGTAAACAGTTTCATAAACTAGAGTACATATGCTATCTGTTGAATACATTTTTATTTCAGATGCATTAACTTGAATTTTTGGCCTTGCTGTATACTTCTGCTTGACCGGGCCCAGATGTATATCGTGAGAATATTGTACTGAGAGATTTGAATATTGTTACATTCCTAATCGTGAGCATTCCCACCATATTGTGAGCTTTCACACGAAATATCGCAATAAATATCGTACCGTGAGGTTCATGCCGTGATGATATCATATCATGAGACTTGGATATTGTTACACCCATAGTTTACTACCTTTTGCCTTCAAATCAACATAAATTCACACAAAGGGGTACACACAAAGTCAGGGATTTTGTAGGATTATAGTCAGGTGTATGATCAACCAATTATACCAGACAGGTGCTAATGGTCATTAATGTCACACGTAGGTTGGAACACAGTCATTAACTGAAATAGAAAGAGCTCTGTAGGAGACTTAAACTGGGTGAGAAACAGCCAAACTTTACTACCAAGGTGAGGTTGTGGAAGGGTCTCATGTCACAGGTCATACACCATTGCAAGACTGAGCACAGCAACAAGGCACAATGTAGTTATACTGCATCAGCAAGGTCTCTCCCAGACAAAGATGTCAAAGTAGACTGGGGTTTCAAGCTCTTTTGGAGAAGCACAAAGAAACAGGCAACATTGAGGACTGTCAACACAGTGGTCAGCCAAGGAAACTTAGTGCAGCAGATGAAAGACACATCAAGCTTATTAGCCTTCGGAATCAGAAGCAGTCCAGCAGTGCCATCAGCTCAGAACTGGCAGAAAACAGTGGGACACAGGAACACCCATCTACTGTCTGGAGAGGTCTGGCCAGAAGTGGTCTTCATGGAAGAGTTGCAGCCAAAAAGCCATACCTCCAATGTGGAAACAAGGCCAAGTGATTCAAGTACGCATAAAAACATAGGTTACCAAAAAATGGCAGCAGGTGCTCTGGATTGATGAGTCAAAATTTGAAATATTTGGCCGTAGCAGAAGGCAGTTTATCTGTTAAAGGGTTGGAGAGCAGTACAATGATGAGTGTCTGCAGGCAACAGTGGAGCATGGTGGAGGTTCCTTGAACATTTGGGGTTGGGAGTTGGAGATTTGGTCAGGATTAATGGTGTTACAGTATTATCAGGGAGGCATATGATTGGCCCCACAGGACAATGACCCCAAACATACAGCCAAAGTCATTAAGAACTATCCTCAGCATAAAGAAGAACAAGACGTTCTGGAAGTGATGGTATGGCCCCCACAGAGCCCTGACCTCAACATCATCGAGTGTGTCTGGGATTACATGAAGAGACAGAAGGAATGTGAGGAAGCCTACATCCACAGATGATCTGTGGTTAATTCTTCAGGATGTCGGGAACAACCTACCAGCCGAGTTCCTTCAAAAACTTTATGCAAGTATACTTAGAAGAATCGATGCTCTTTTGAAAGCAAAGGGTGGTCACACCAAATATTGATTTGATTTAGATTTTTCTTTTGTTCATTCACTGCATTTTGTTGACTGACAAAAATAAATGATTAACACTTCCATTGAAGGCATTCCTATACAGCATTTTTTCCACACCTGCCTATAACTTTTGCACAGTACTGTATACAGTATACCCTGTATTGTGAAAGTACTGCACAATATCCATGCAGTCACCACCTTCTTAAAGGGGGAGGAGTACGAGAATTACCTCAATATGCACAGTACATTGAAGGTGTATTGTGTGTCTTTTCTTGAGTAGGATATACAAACTGGAAATATTCATAACATTACATATTGCTTAGCTTGCAGTGTTGCACAGTTTTGCTTTAAACAAACTTTCATTTATTCAATTACAGGCAAAACATAAATCACAACATAACATACATAACATAAAGCCTAATCTTATTTCTCTTGTCATTTCAGTGTGTCCCGATTCCCGGTCGTGGTTTTCGACTGGGACAGTACTGCTGCAGGTGCAAAGAAGGATTCTACAACCCAGTGATCTCCAACCAGGATTCAGGTAGGACGACATCACATGAAACACTAACCAAAGGATACCTGACTTGACACCTGCCACTACTACTACGACTAGTGCTGCTATCACTGCCACCACTTCTATTTTATCTAAATTATTAATCTTAATAATGGCTGTGTTGTGTTTTGTCTTTTGTTCACTCCAAATGCATACCTCAAGTACTACTATTCTACTACTATTAATACTGTATTATTAAGTTTAAAGTTACAGTATGTAACTTTCATGATTTTATGGACATAGAAAGTTAAAACCATACTTTGAATCATTCTCCATGGAGATAGATCAGTTTTATGTCATACAGTGACAGATTATATCCAAAGGAATAACATTTCCATGGAAACAAGCAGGTGGAGGCCTAGCATTGTGGAGATGCAAGCCAATCATAGGAGCAATAAATACAACCAAAATGAAAAAGACATGCTTTTATTTGGGTTTCTATTTTTTGGTCATAAAAGTTACATACTGTGCTTTAATGTCTGATATACGCACAGCGTGTGTAGCGTGTGTATCCTTTTATTAACTCCTAATATAATAACTACTACTGCTACTAATGTTAATGCTAATATTACTACTCTTTATATGTTAGTTATAATGATGCTCTCTTTCACTATTAAATTCCTGTTGGATTTTGAGAGCGGCAGACAGAACAGGTGGGCAACATTAGGAACAAACATTACATAACATTAAAAGACACTTTGAATAGACTCTTTTGGGCCATTATCTGTACGCTTTAGTTCATTTCAGCCTCAGTACCAAACACTGCATGAGTCATAACTTCACAGTGGCCATCTGTTCCTCGTGTTTTCGCCCAAACTCTTCTCTGGGATTGTGTGGTGAGGGCACAGATGTCAGCCATGTTGTCTTCCTCCATGGAAACAGACAGGAAAGGAAATATTTTATCAAGACTAGAAGTGCTGCAGGCACATAAGCATTTGGCAGATTTTACTGCTTTTATATTGCTACAGTGAAAAAATAGGAATTTTGGAGTCCCTGCACATGAGGCAATATATTGTCCAGGAGTGGTTGACGGTACAAACGTTTTCAAATCAAGTTTAATCATATTTGTTCTTATCTGTTTGACCAGATAATGACAATACTGAATTTATACTAAACTTAAAGGGCATATGGTTTTTGTTGTGTTTTAGTAATTATTACTTGATTTGGTGGGATAATATGTTTGTATGTTCTTGTATATTTATTAGAGATTTTACATCAGTTAAGTGGCAGTTTGCAGAAAAAAAAGTTGAAGAAAACCACAAAAAACGTAACTAGACCATTGACCAACATTATGGTTGCAAGGAAACAGAGAAGTACCTCTGTATATGTCAAAAGGAATTATAAACTTCACCAAACATTTTAAAACACTCAGACTACACTAGGCACATTTTTTTATAATATCTTTCTTATAATTATGTTGACTATAATTTAGTGCAAAAAGTGCATATGCACTTTAAGGGGAGGAGAGTGTATTCACACTTTATTACCTCCTAGTTTGAGCCCAATTTCATTCATATGCAGATATGGTTTAGTCCTGGTCTAGACCTAATAATAATTCAAGACATAGGCCCAGATAAATATGCTTGGTAGGACAACAACTGAGATCTACAATTGTTTAAGAATAATATTATTAATAATAAATATAATTATATTTTCAATATTATATAATATTTCATTATCATCCCTGACAACTGACAGGTTGAGAACCACTCCTCTGCAGAATCTTTACTATTAGAGTAAAATTACATTTGCTTATTTAAGAACTAAACAAGGACTGACCGAAACCAGGACTAGCATAGGTCAGAACCATTTGTAATTTAGCACAAAATCAGAAATGAACCAAGCTAAAAATAAGTTAAACTGAGACTAGAACTGAATTAAAACAGAATCAGGTCTAATTGATCTCTCTTATTGATTATTGTTTGCTTGAGCTTAGATGCCGACCATGTTGTGTTTCTACTGTTGGTGCCATGGAAACAGTGGCAGGAAAAGTGGTGTTATTAGAATTAGTGTTTTCGAATCATACTGGATCTTATATTGATCTTTCACTTTTTCTTTAGGGTTTTGAGAACTAGGTTTTAGTTTCATAGAAAATGACCAAGTCTTGAAGTTGATTCTGTTGGAACTTTGTTAGATTCTATATCTCATTTAACAAAATTATCTTGTAGTCACTCCAGATGCCCTCCCAGTGAACAGCAGCGATGCTTGTTACCCGTCCATGCCAGTGTGCCTGCCCTGTTACCCGGGTTGTGGTCGCTGTCAGGACGGTGCCCCCTGCAGGGTGCAGGAGGACTGGCTGCTCCGGACGGCGGTGCTGGGCATTCAGGGGGTCTTCATGGTTCTAATATTCGTCAGCATGATGGCTGCCTACAGACACAGGAGAAACAAGGTTATTACTTTCAAACTAATGCGACTACTGGGTTTCAGATTACGTCACAACAATCTATAGGCAAATACTTTTTAATACAAGGGAAGCTGAAATGACTATGAATAAAATTTTGATTGTTGTTGTAATATAGCAAATAGGAATTTGGCCTATTTCTTATTAAAATAAAATAAATTCAACAGGGAATCTGGTGGTTTTAACAATATGAGTATGACATCACTTTCTGAAAATCACCAATAACATTTATGTTGGAACCTATGTGAACCTATATGAGTGAATTATATTGAGTTTAAAATCAAATTGTGATCTGAATCCTTATGTTATTTTGGTGATATGTCCATATTGTTAATTAATTAATTAATTAATCATTGCATTTATATAGTGCCTTTCAAGATACCCAAAGCGCTTTACAGTTCTCTGTTAATTCACTCCACTCAGTGGTGCTAAGCTACTACTGTAGCCACAGCTGCCTTGGGACAGACTGACAGAAGCGAGGCTGGCAGTCTGCGCCATCTGCTCCTGTGACCAACACTCATGCACACACCACTTTCATACTAGGCAATATGGGTCTCTTGCCTAAGGACACAATGAGAGTTATATATATATATATATATATATATATATATATATATATATATATATATATATATATATATATATATATATATATATATATATATATATAGTCCCATGCCACATTTGAGAAACTGTAACTACACACTTTCTTGTCTTTGCAGAGGATCCGAGCATCTGGTTTGCTTCTATTGGAGACCATTCTCTTCGGCTCCCTTCTCCTCTACTTCCCAGTGAGTCCACTTTCTTGTCTATATACTCTCTACACCATTTTACATGAAAGAAATAAATGGCTGTCCGGACGGAATATGGTATACAGGTCTATTGTGCTGTGTGAAGCAGTGACCCACTGGTTGCCCCATGCCTAAAAAACAGATCCCAGCTCTGAAACAATGCCATTAACATTGGATCCTGGCGCAGCAGACTTCATAATGTTTTGGATGTTTTGAAAAGTGCTATATGAATCCAAATCATTATTATTACTACTATATAGGAGGTAATTGGTAGTGGGGCAGCTGTAACTACTGTATAGTAGCTACTAATACAGAGTGTGGAATATGGAGTGAACGAATAATGCATACAATTGTGGAGCAACTTTTCAGCATCTGGAAAAATTCTATAAAGTTTGAAGGTTAAAGTAAAAATTTTAGAAGCAGTGTACATTTTTTGAGAGTGTTTTCAAAGGCCATATCTTTAGTGTGTTTGAATGAAGATGCAAAGGCTGTTTGATAGAGTATATGTATAGCAGAGTAGAGTATGTAGAGTACAGTATATATATAGTTTTATATGAGTGAAGCAATACCAAATATATATATATATATATATATATATATATATATATATATATATATATATATATATATATATATATATATATATATATATATATAGTGTCTGAGGTATCAAAAAATATAAATTCTTGATCAAATGTCATTTAAAAAAAAAAATGCATTGTTTATTTTTTAGTCTGTACATTTATTTAATTTTTAGATCAGTTAAGGCTGGTGTGGAGCAAAGATGATGATGCCTAGCTAAAATTCTTTATTATCAAGGCATTTCAATGCATTTTAATACAAAACATATTGGTATCAGCATAGAATCGATATTATGATACTTACTTGCCATTGTATTTCTTGGTATCAAATTGAAACAAGTATCAGTGGTATTGCCCTTCACTACTGTTATTTCTGATCTATTGTTTTCATGTTACCTCCAGTACATTTTTATAAGATGATGAGGCACATTTTCCTCTCCCCTAAAAAGTGAATTGATTGGATTAGGGGTGCTTCCAGCCGACTGCTCTGTGCTAGATTACTTCTTCATAATGGACGAGTTGTAGCGAGTTGAACGAGGTGAGCGGTTTGTCTCTGAATAAATGGGCCACGAATGGTTTTCATAACATCATTAATCAGAGCAAAGATCAATTTTTCCAATTACGAAGGCGGTAAATGAAGGTGACGTCTTATACAATGATGAGAGAAGCTCAGTGTTCCTGTGTGAAGGTTGTGTGAAGTCAGTGATGAGAGGTTTAGTTCAATAATGCTCTGCTTCATATTACAATACTGTCCACTACTTTCCAGAGGACAGTTGCAATAGCAATTAACAATTAAAACAAAGTATTATATTTTTTGAATTGGGACACTGTTGTGGGCCCAAAGTGAGGTAGTTTCACAATGATTTTTTTTTTTTTTGTATGCATTCCTATTGTGAGCAGACTTGCCTCTTTTACAAATCTGACCTGTAACTTAGCCTGGTTGTGCAACCTGCTTATCTCCATTGAGATAGTGATACTGCGGAACATTCTAGACAAGTAACATCTCCATCAAGAAGATGATAATAAGATTGCATATTGATTTTCATAGTACATTATTCACTTCTCATTTATGGCGGGGTTTCTATTATTTCAGAAATCACTTTTTTTCCCCCTTTAACCATTTTTGTGACAACAGTAAACTTTAGTCTTTACTGTTTGGTCTAAATGTTTTTAGTTGGTAAGCCAGAATTCCGGGCAGGTCTAACCCATAGACTGTATATATAAATTGACATAGCTAATGTGCTAGCTGCTGCGTTCCAAATAGGAAGTGAGCATGTGGGCTCTTCCGGCTCCTACTGACCCTGGCTCCCACATACATTGAATTATTATTGCTCCTCTCTCTGTAACTGCTGCTGTGAGCCTTGTCATTTTGGTCTTAAAATGTTTGTATTAATCCACTATACATGATCCTGGGGAATTTTTTTTTGCTTTTTTTTTTTTTTTGCGATTCATAATATGCAGTCTGGTCCTGCTAGCATCGCAAGCTTCATTTGAGTGTAGCCGAACGCTATGGGTGACACACACACACTCGCTTTGTCCACTTTTTTATACAGTCTATGGGTTAACTACTAACACTATATACCACCACACTACCGTACATTCATACAGTTAGAGGAAGTGTCTTTCCCAGTGATGCAAACAGAGAGTCAAACACCCATCGTTTACGATTAGATACAAAGCTGACATTATACATCCTATAATATACAGAGGTGGAAGGAATAATGAAACATTGGACTCAAGTAAAAGGACATGACGAGAAATGTACAATTACAAGTACATATGCTACCACATTTGTACTTAAAAGTATAAAGAATGCATACTACTCAGAGCACTAGTTATTATTTATACACTTTCAGTAACATTTTAGACTTTTATGCAAAACTTAATAAAAAACAAAACAACAAAAACAAAAACAAAGCTGAATTAATTTATAATAGTAAATTAAGTTTTAAACTGCATTCTACAAAAAAAAAAAATAAATAATAATAATAAATTAGAGCAGACAATGCACAACTCAAGGGATATTTCTGATGAAGTAACAACATTTTAACATGGCTTAAAGCTCACAAGAGTCAGTTTTGTGTATTTGCTATCTATTTGCTAGTATTTGATAATTTGCTATTTGCTAATCAATATTTAGATTTTATAGTATGCAGTAAAATATTTGCCTGATTCATCAGCCAGTTTCACTTCATAAAAGCCATCTGACCTCACAGTGTTAGAATTCATTCGCTCGACAGTAGGCGGGTACTTTTCATCATTTAACCAATCGCTGCTATTTGGTAGTCACGTATGCAATGCGCCGCTAATGGGCTAACTGGTATATTAAGCTTTTCCCAAATCCCGTACAAAGAAGGGCAATAACGTCTTTCCCCTTGCTAAAATTCACCAAACATTCTCTAGTCTCTAGGTGGCGCCAGCATGGCTAGGAAAATATTCTCTTCCTGGAGTAAAAAATGGTGGTATCAAAGAAGAGGAGGACAAGAGGCTGATGATTTTGCCGCTGTGGTGGAGATGGGGAGGAGTGTTGAAGCTGAAATTTGTTGGAGGGCGAGAAAGTATATTTAAATAAATGGCCGGGGATGTGACAGGGAAATGTAGCAAGATGAGATGTGCTGATGACAACAGACAGATGACAGTAGGTAGGAACTAGTAAAGAAATATTATATTGTTTTTCTATGCAATTAGATTCGTCTATTTGACATAAATAATAAAACTGATAATAATGACTTGGATTTATAGGGTTTGTTAACCCACTAAATACTCAAAGTTGGCAAGTTACTATTGCCACAGATACCATAAGAAAGACTAATGGAAGCAATGCTACCAATTTGTGCCATCAGCCCCTTAGACCAAAATCGCTCACATGACATTCATACATACTCAGCGTGGGTGAAGTGTTTTGCCCAAGGACACACTTCTAATTGGTTCAAGTGGGAATTAATCAACATTTGGGTGTTGGGTATCACATTCCTCAGCCTCCCCGGTAAGGTCTATGCAAGGGTACTGGAGAGGAGAATCCGGCCGATAGTCGAACCTCGGATTCAGGAGGAGCAGTGTGGTTTTCGTCCTGGCCGTGGAACACTGGACCAGCTCTACACTCTCCATCGGGTGCTCGAGGGTTCATGGGAGTTTGCCCAACCAGTCCACATGTGCTTTGTGGACTTGGAGAAGGCATTCGACCGTGTCACTCGTGGTGTCCTGTGGGGGGTGCTCTGGGAGTATGGGGTCCGGGGCTCTTAGCTAAGGGCTGTCCGGTCCCTGTATGACCGGAGCAGGAGCTGTGTTCGCATTGCTGGCAGTAAGTCAAACCTCTTCCCAGTGCATGTTGGACTCCACCAGGGCTGCCCTTTGTCACCGGTTCTGTTCATTGTGTTTATGGACAGAATTTCTAGGCGCAGCCAGGGGTCGGAGGGGGTCCGGTTTGGGGACCACAAGATCTTATCTCTGCTGTTCGCAGATGATGTTGTCCTGATGGCTCCATCAAACCAGGACCTTCAACATGCACTGGGGCGGTTTGCAGCCGAGTGTGAAGCAGCTGGGATGAAGATCAGCTTCTCCAAATCCGAGGCCATGGTCCTCGATCAGAAAAAGGTGGCTTGCCCTCTCCGGGTGGGTGGAGAGTCTCTGCCTCAAGTGGAGGAGTTCAAGTATCTCGGGGTCTTGTTCACAAGTGAGGGGAGGATGGAGCGTGAGATTGACAGACGGATCGATGCAGCTTCGGCAGTGATGCGGTCGCTGTATCGGACCGTTGTAGTGAAGATTTACCGATCAATCTACGTTCCTACTCTCACCTATGGTCATGAGCTTTAGGTAATGACCGAAAGGACAAGATCGCGGATACAAGCGTTCGAAATGAGTTTCCTCCGCAAGGTGGCTGGGTGCTCCCTTAGAGATAGGGTGAGGAGCTCAGTCACATGGGAGGAGCTCGGAGTAGAGCCGCTGCTCCTCCACACTGAGAGGAGCCAGTTGAGGTGGCTCGGACATCTGTTTCGGATGCCTCCTGGACGCCTCCCTCTGGAGGTGTTCCGGGCATGTCCCACCGGGAGGAGGCCCCGGGGAAGTCCCAGGACACGCTGGAGGGACTATGTCTCTCGGCTGGCCTGGGAACGTCTCGGGATCCCCCTGGAAGATCTGGAGGACGTGTGTGTGGAGAGGGAAGTCTGGGAGGCCCTCCTCAGACTGTTGCCCCCGCGACCCGACCCCGGATAAGCAGAAGAAAATGGATGGATGGGTGTTGTACCTGGTTTTCCCAACAGTCTTGCATCCCAGTATTAACCAGGTCTAACCTTGCTAAGGTTCTTAGATTAGACAAGATAGGGCATGGACCATGTGTGATTGCTCAACATGTGATGCGAAAACTTTAAAATAATAATTATAATTTATTACCTAATTGTGTTATTTTTTGTCCTCTGCAGGTTTTCATCATGTACTTCAGGCCCAGTACATTCAGGTGCATCCTCCTGCGCTGGGTTCGAATGTTGGGATTCTCCATCGTCTACGGCACTGTCACTCTCAAAATGTACCGGTGAGCTTTATGTCAGATCTGTGGACTATACCACAACAGCATATATCCTGAATGGCACTGGATGGATGTCAACAATGGAAAGAATCTGAGGTGTCAATCTTTAGTTGGAGCCAGTGGCGGAGCATAGTTGCATTAGGCCCTGGTGCAAGTCTAGCACTAGGATTCCCCTGGGAAAAAAATTTTGTGAAAATACTCACCTTACAAATTATTGTTCTGATAAAAGAATCTTAAAAACATAAAATGAGAGTGATGTAGTGATGTAGTTTGAATTTTACCCAAGTCACACACTGTAGCTATGTCACCCAGGTCACCAGGGCCTTTCTATGTGGATTTCACATGTTACTTCCTGGGTCTAAGTAGGTTTCTTCTGGGCACTCCTGTTTCCCCAGTCAATCCAAAACATGCACAATAGTTAATATCCTTCAAGACTAGCTCAAAATCAATTTGGCTTGATGAAGGATGTGTCAAATGTAGAGGTAAACATTTTTTTGTGAGACAATAAAGTAAACCTTAGCTAGTTTTGACATGAAAAGCGCTTAGTGTTGGATTTTTGTATGAAAACAGCCCTGTAAATAAAGTTTGATTGATGATTGATTGATTGATTAAATAAAAATCTGCTAAATAAATCAAAATATGAAACACCCATAAGAAAATAAAAAACAAAAAAAAATTGACTTTTCTTTACAGTGTTTTGAAAGTGTTCTTGTCGCGTACCGCCCAGAGAGTGCCGTACATGTCCAGTCTGCATGTGATGCGTATTCTGGCTGTGATGCTGATGACGGTGAGCTGGTTCCTCTGTGCGTGGACCGTGGGTGTCCTCCAAAACAGGGACAGGAACATCCCCGTGTACCTGCCCACCACCACTTCTGACGGGCAGGGATTCAACCTCTGCTACCTCGACCGCTGGGACTACATGATGGCTGTGGGTAAGTGAGAAACAACACACAAGGGAGGTTTTGGCGACATCTTGTGGTAAAAATGTAAGCTGCTTTAACATGGAATAAAGAGCATTTTGCAGAAGTGAAAATTTTGTCTTTTACAAATTTGCACATTCAGAGAGACCTCAACCTGCTCAGATGTGAAGCGCTAGTTTATCTGTATCTTAGGCATTATATATGCTAGTACAGTCTGTGATTTCTACACAGTTGCTACATGCCTTAATTTGATTTCTTTCTATTTATTTAAAGTGCAAAGGTTAGCTTGTGAACACGTGGTAAAAATATCAGTTTTCTATTGCCACAAGTGGAAAGAACCAGTTTCCCTGTTAACTTTGGGTTGTTAGCCTCTATGTTGGAGACATGCTACTCCTGTGTAGTGTTAGGGAGTAACGGATTACATGTACCGCTGTTACGTAATCAGAGTACAAATTATGAATAACTGTATTCAGTTACAGTTACTGATTCAATGAGTGGTAATTGGATTTCAGTTACTTTGCTGAAATAAGTGGATTACAAGGCGGTATTTTCCTGTTTTCACATTTTGTGCTACATCCCATTTATTTATTTTTTTATTTCGGTAATTCCACTCATTGCTGGAAACCCAAACAGAACGTGGCAATAAGAGCGATGTAAACGTCATGTTAACGTTCGCGGCGTCAGTCACACATTGGACGAGGTCGAAGAGCCAGTAGAACAGAGCCAGCAATGCATTTGTGTCTTGGAAATTCTTCTCCCGACGTGAGATATATAAAAAAAAAAAAAAAAAAAATATATATATATATATATATATATATATATATATATATATATATATATATATATATATATATATATCTATATATATATATATATATATATATATATATATAATATATATATATATATATATATATATATATATATATATATATAAATCGCCTACAACTTAAATGTCAAACCGGAGCTACTGGCACTGGGGAAAACAACCTGCATAGGCTAATGATATCTGCAGTACTGTCCTATAGTGACCTGCCACATGAGGGGACACGCACGCAAACAAACACCTTCATCATCATCATCATCAACCTGAGAACGCGCGGACCACGTCTCCTTTCGTAGTTACTGTGCGGACACCGCCGTCCTCCCATGCGCTGCGTGTGGACCGTGTTTTCTCGCGTACACTGCAGAGACCGCGCTTCCTCCTGTGAGCCTCTAAACCAGAACTAGCACCAGAACTAGCACCAGGTCTAAACCAGGGCTAAATCAGGTCTAAACTATAGGACTAAACCAGGTCTAAGCCAGGACTAAACCAGAACTAAACCAGAACAAAACCAGGTCTAAAATCAGGACTAAACCAGGACTAAACCAGAACTAAACCAGGTCTAAAATCAGGACTAAAACCAGGACTAAACCAGAACTAAACCAGGCCTAAAATTAGGTCTAAAATCATGACTAAAACCAGGACTAAAACCAGGACTAAACCAGAACTAAACCAGGTCTAAAATCAGGACTAAACCAAGTCTAAACAATATTACACATAACAGTATGTTGGACATAATTTAAGGTGATCTCATATAAAAATAATTTCTTTATCAATAATATTTTTTTATATGGTTAAGGAAAGAGTCCTAATCCTAACAGATCCTAGTCTTTGCTTCTCTACAGTAAACATTTGCTTATTCATGGAGACTTTGGGTCAACAGAAGAATTTTCAGGATGTGGTTGCTACATTCATGTCGTTTTAAAAAGCATGACAATATCAAGTATTCCAAAGTATTCAGATTATGTTACTCACTTTAAGTAATTTAATGGATTACGTTACAAACTGCATTTTGGGGTATGTAATCTGTAATCTGTAGGGGAATACATTTTAAAAGCAACCTTCCCAACACTGCTCCTGTGCACGCTCTTTGTAGTATACATCACCAAACATATTCATAGTTACTTTGAGGCACAGAGCTGTTCTGCCTCTACAATTTGACTGAACCAGTTATTTACAACCAATTATAGATGCAAAAGTAGACGAGTAGCGCTAGCTGCCTCTTTCTCAGAGCAATAATGTGTCCCTTGAGGGTCTCCGTACATTATTGATGAGTATTGGCAGTTTGGTCACAGTTTGTAATTGGACTGGAAATGAAATGGAGAGTGATAGGTGATGACATGGGACTAGTAACAGCAAACATTGATCCAAGACCCATTTGAACATGTGTGTTTTCTGTATGTTAGGTGAGTAATTAATAATAGATCCCATTTTCACAAATATTAATTTACACAAATTCTAATGACATTTTCAGACCTGGAATCAAATCTTACATGTTACACTCCTTGGGGAAAAATATTTCAAAATATTTAAAAAATTCAATCAAGCCACACAGTATTGAATCCAGTAATGATTTGTAAGTACATGTTATTGATCCCCAAAAGCAAGTTTGTTCCCTGGTCTTGACCTGTCAGGGGCAGTTTATGGTTAATATCTCTGTAATTACTGGGTCTATCCACATGAAAAAACTGGTGCAAAATGTCTTCTCTGTCAGTATTATAACTAAAAAAGAAGAAATTCATCTCAGAAAACTGTTAGAGAATTTTTATGTTATAAGCATTTCTCATGTAAAGGTAATCATGATGTAGTATAAGTTACCAACATTGGCTTTTTGTTTTACTTGTTTTGTTGTGTTCAAGCTGTATCAGGTGATCTTGCTGATGCACCAGCTGACTCATTAAAGATAATGTACCAGGAGAAACAAATAGTAATGGTAAACATCAGGAGGTTAACACAGAACTCTGGGGAATTGCTAGAGGCTATCTACCACCTGGAATGTGAAACCTGTGTATAATGGGGGGCTGTGTCAGTGGAAGCTTGTCAGTCATGAGATAACATGTGAACAATAGGTACTGTATTCAAAGTAACCTACTGTATGATAATTGTGTGCTCTACAATAAAAGGACGTTGGAGAGAAGAGAGCTTCAGTTAGGATGAGACAGGCAGCTCTCTCCTACTCCTTGCACAAGTAAAATGAACCACTGTGTCCCTGGCTTGTTTTTAATATTTGAGGTCGGGGTAAATTCCCTGACAAAAACCATGCCATTATTCAACTACAAAAATGTGATTGTTGTCAGTTTAAAAAATGTTAAGCCAAGTTTGTGGACCAAATGATAAGGGACAACATTTGCAGATCATATTTGTTCCAGTGAATCTCCCATAGGGCCAAAACAATATGAAGAAAATAAACATACTGTTTACAGTACTACAAAACAGAAGCCTGCATGCCAAAGCCCGCATGTCTCCCTATAATGTATAAAATCTGCTAACCCTATAGATCTCTACAAATGTGCTGAAATGCACAAGATTATTGTTTAAGTTTTACAGTTCATGTTTCATTGTTCTATCAAATGTGTTAAAATGTGATCTTGACTGGAATTCCACAATTAAAACATAAATTGGGACTAATCACAATGCTTGTCAGAAAAATAATTTTTTGTCATATACAGCTCTGGAAAAAATTAAGAGACCACTGCATTTTTTTTCTGAAATCAGCATCTCTACATGTATGACAGCCATTCCATTCCAGCATCTGTTGAATTCCAACACACGCACACCTCATTCTGCTTACCGATGTACTGATTAGGTGATCAGCTGAACCAAATCATATTTAAGGAGGAAAGTATAAAAACACTGCTGTGTTCATCACTATCCTCTTGCAATAGGACCAGCTGGATGGCAAAAACAGTGCTAGTGGTACCTCAAAAATAACTGGAATCAAATAATAACTATTGACCATGCCAAAAGAGTTGAAAAGACAAGTTTTGAGTGAGGAAAAGAAAGGTTAAATTTTGGCTTTACTGGCAGAGGGATACAGAAAGCGTCAGGTTGCTTCCATCCTTAAAATGTCTAAGACGCTGGTTCATAACAACAAGGTCAAGCAGCAGACACTGGGCACAACGAAGCTACAGACCGACAGGGGGCGGAAACGACTCTCCACTGACTGGGATGAGGGTCAACTCATTCAAATGTCACTCAGAAACCGTAGGATGACATCAAGAGGCCTACAAAAAGAATGGCAGCTGGGGTGAAGTGCACAGCAAGAACTGTTTAAACAGGCTCCTAGGGGCAGGACTCAATTTGTATAAAGCTAGAAAAAAGCCCTTCATCAATGAGAAGCAAAGAAGAGCCAGGCTGAGGTTTGCAAAAAAAACATAAGGATTGGACCGTTGAGGACAGGAGTAAGGTCATCTTCTCTGATGAGTCCAATTTTCAGCTTTGCCCAACACCTGGTTATCTAATGGTTAGACAGAGACCTGGAGAGGCCTACAAGACACAGTGTCTTGCACCTACTGTGAAATTTGGCGGAGGATCGGTGATGATCTGGGGGTGCTTCAGCAAGGCTGGAATTGGGCAGATTCGTCTTTGCGAAGGACGCATGAATCAAGCCACATACAAAGTTATCTTTGAAAAAAACTTGCTTCCTTCTGCTTCAGAAAATTATATGTGTTGGTGTTATGGTTTGAATTGCATAATACTTGGAAATTTTTCCTTTTAATGAGACAGCTGAGATCATTGTACATTCCAACTTGGACAGACAGAGTCTAAATTTATTTTCTTTTAACAATATACAAATTTGAAGGTATTCGTAGAAATCCTTAACAGGTATATGAAATTCATCTCTAATTTGTTAAAAAGATTTTATGATATTTAATGACCACAGGTCTGAAAAGTTGGTAATGCCAGCAGAAACCCAAATGTTTTTTTAGTCTTTTCACATCAATCATGTATTATATAGAATATAGTTTTTACTTAACCTTTCCATGTTTATTGCATTACTGATAAACACAAAGTCCTCCAGTCTAATAGGACTACATGTAAAGGATTCCAGTTCAACCCAGTTCAGTTGACTGTCTCTTTATCTTCTTTAAAAAAAAAAAAAAAAACAACAGCAAAAAAAAACAAAAAAACAATTGCCAATCATTCTAATTTGGGCAAACCAATAGTAGAGTCGGAAATTGGCCAGTGATACTCCTAAGTGTTTTGGTTTGGTTGGTTCTCTGATGCTTCTTCCATATAATATGAAAACAATGGTATACAGTATTTTAAAGAAATTAATTGACAAGCACCGAGGTAGATTCTGAAACAAATTATTTAGTCTAGGAAGAACATGCATTCTGATGATGTTAACGGCATGCATTAACCAAAAAAGGTATTGGTAATGATGACCATTTGGTTAAATCTTCTTTTATTTTTTCAATTAAGGGTATATAATTAGCACCAAATGAACGATTTGGGTCAGCTGTTATTGTCAGCTGTTAGAATTCTAAATATTTGAGAGCCTTTTCAGTAACTTGAAATGGGAAATTTGGCAATTCCACAGGGGGCATGTTAAAAGGTAAAACAATTGATTACTAAGATTAATTTTGTATAAATGCAAAAGAATATCATCAGCAAACAAAGAAATGGTATGGATATTCCCACCTGCTGTTATTCCATTTATTTTAATGTTGGACAATATTTGAATTAAATAGCAAAGTCCAGCAAATATTATATTAAAATATTCATTCTATTTTCTAATTGTGTAGCGGAGTTGCTGTTCCTGTGCTGGGGCAGCTCTCTGTGGACCGCTGTGAGGCCTGTGCCCTCTGCCTTTCACGAGCCTCGTTACATGGGCATCGCCATCCACAATGAACTGCTGCTCTCCACCATGTTCCACCTCTTCAGGTATGCATGTCGTATATTATGTCGTATATTGTTTATATACTGCCAAAATAACATTATAAAAGTAAAAAAAAGTGACTCTCAAATCTTCTTCAAGGTTCACGTTCCCATCTCTGCACCCCGACTGGATGCTGCTGTTGTGCTTCACTCACACTCATTTCACCATCACAGTGACTCTCGCCCTGCTCTTTCTGCCAAAGGTAACCTGCACAACATAATACAGAACCAAAGAAGTGTCTCATGATGTGACAAATCTGGGTTGATTGGGTCATTAAAGCAGTCAAACACATCTCTTCAAAACTGCTTTCAAATAACAATGAATTTTAACTTACTGTACCTTTCTGTATGCTGTTTTGTTAGTCCTTTGAGTGTATTTATATTTCATTTTATTTATTTTGTATAAACCTCACATGAGCGCATAGTTTAAAATCACATGAGTGTAAAACAGAATTCTAGGTAGAATTTGCTTTTGCTGTTTAACATCTAATGCAGATGGTTTATCGTTAATATCTCTGTAATTACTGGGTCTATCCACAAGGTCTACTTTATTGTACTTATACTGGAAATATGTCCTTTGTCTTGGACATACTTATACAATTAGCTAAATCAAATATATCCTCTCCTGCCTTGACATGGAAAAAGTCATCCACTTGCTCATCTTCTCCCATCTATTATTACAACTCCCCTCTCTCTGGCCTTGACACCAAATCCATCTCCCACCTCCAACTGGTTCAGAACGCAGCGGCTAGTCTTCTTACTGGTTTTAACCAACATATCACCTCAGTTTTAGCTGTGCTTCATTGGCTACCTGTGCGTTTTAGAGTTGATTTTAAGATTTTACTGATGTTTAAAGCTAGTTTATGTCATGCAGTAAGTTACATCTCAGAACTTTTAACTTCCTACAAGCCTCCCCACAGTTTTAGATCATCAGGCAGGTCCCTGTTTCAAGGTTGAGGCTACAGCTAGGCTAAGGTGACCTTCTCAGCTTTGGAATGACCTGCCTAAGAAAAAGGTTGCCATTTGAACATTTTTAGTCAAGAAGTGCATGAAATGCATGTATGCATGAAAATGGGGGTGCATTAGCCACTCCAGGCAAGGCTAGTGCCCCCTCAAGCGCTCCACGTCACCTCTCCTGGTGAGGAGATAAGCTTAGGCACTGATGATACTATGTAGTGTTATCTTTGTTAAAGCAAATTTAAATTATTATCAAAATTATTATTTTTTATTTTGTGATTTATTTAGTATTTTTAATTAAATTGTTTGGTCCTACCTATTCTGCTAATTCATCTCTGATTGTCTGCTTCATTATCTAGTTTTTAAGCTTCCTTACTGCATGCTATCTTGCTGCTGATCTTGTATTAGGCTTGGTCAGGATTACATTAGCTAGAGGATTTATTGTGCATATTTTAGGTGACACTGATTAATATGACAAATTTGTGGAGCCAGTAAATGGTAAGGTCCAAGATTAGTGGAAATTATTATATTTTGCTGGATTCTAGAAGGTTGTGACCTCAACATGTTCAGTATTTTAATGTGCTGACTAGCTTGCTTCGTACCTTCTGTCTAGTTCCTGTACGTGTCCAAACCGGGTCGTGAGGAGATTGCAGCTGAAGTGTACGAAGACGAGGTGGACCTGAGGCGCTCCTATCTAAACAACAGTTTCACCTCAGCCTGGAGCGAACACAGTGTGGACCCAGAAGACTTCAGGGTAAAACATGAAAGATACCAGCAATACTACAGAGTGGACAGGGACATTCCGCAGGGCAACAAGAACAAATGAATATAAATGGATTTCAGAGTGTTGAAAATTGGGGCATAATATCTGAAGGAGAAGTGCAACAAACATTAAAATTACATATATAATATATATATATATATATAGTCAGCATTAAGCTTTTGTCACTTATCTGTAGTGGCAAGAGTAACTAAAGCCGTTATTTAAGTTAGAGTACTATTACAATGTAAAATATATCACTCAAGTTTGAAATCTACTCTAAAGTTACAAAGTAAATGTAACTGAGTACTACCCACCTCTGCCTAGAAATTAACCACTTTATGAATGGTCCTCACAACGGCGCTTATAATACTGAAACCCATGAATAAGCTAAGTTCAGTCACAATCAAGTAATGAAGATTAAACTGTCCTCTAAGATAAAATTCAGAAAAAGTAAACTATTGTCTTAAGTTTGTACTTTGTCTCATTTGTGATTCATGCTGTTGTCATTCATGCTGTTCTGTACATGGTTCCAGTAAAATTGTCCTGTTCTTTAAAATGTTACTGTTACAATTTCGACATAATTCAGTTTCACACCTTCCTACGTTAGCCGTTATCATATTTTAGAATATCAGTTTGACTATTTGATAAAGGGTAGGTATTTATTTCCCCAATTCCTTTGCTTTCCATATCTAGAATAATTTTTATCTGTTTTTCTTATTTATTATTTTCTTACTGGTGCTATTTTTATGTAAATATGTTTACAGTCAATGAGTGTTATTATTATTTTTTTGTCTATAGATATTATTAGGAACCTTGAGAGGGAATATATGCAAAGGTCTAAGTTTATTCCATTATATAAAAAAAAACATATTTGTCTTTTTATTTTATTATGAGTTTACTTTAAGGGAGAAAGGGGCAGGAGACCATCTTTTCAATATACACATTCACCAAATAGTCCAATATATTAACACCTTTTGGTACATTTTGAGTACTGAAAATGAGCAAAAAGATGATCAAGTATCACCTTTTTGTTATGAACACAAATGAAAATAAACCTGTCACCAAACTGATTCAACGCCGCTGGTCTATCCTCCCCTTTTCTCCACATTTAACTGTCTTTCCTGTGAAGTGCTTCTCTTATTGTCTTGTCCTATTCATAACCATTCCATTCTCTCCTCTTCCACCCCTTTATGATTCCTTTGTGTGCCAGGACGAGCTGAAGAAGCTATATGCCCAGTTAGAAGTCCACAAGACCAAGAAGATGGCTGCCAATAATCCTCACCTCCCAAAGAAACGCAGTTCTCGGTGCGCAATTGGACGATCCATCATAAAACGTATCACAGAATTCCCGGAAACTGTAAGTCGCCAGTGCAGCCGGGAAGACAAGGATGGATCATTCCGAAGTCGGAGTATTTGCCATTCGGATTCATTCAGGAGAAGCCCGGATAATGCTAGCATCAGTTACAGGAGTTCAATATTAACACCAACACCGTCAATTCGGAAGTCTCAAAGCGACCATCATTCCATTCAGGAAAATCAGCCATCTTTGCGCAACACGTCAAGGTTAAGGCCAGATATGATCAAAAGATGTTCACAAAGATCAGAAACTGACTCGTTGGATATGCCTCCTGGAGTGTGCAAATCAGCAAGCGCACAAAATTTAACCATAGACACGAATTTGCTATACCCAGACCATACAAGACTGCACAAGACATGGAGCTTGACAACAACACCTACACATTCAGTTGAAAATATTACTAAAGTTGAGCGATCCAACTCAGTGCTTTCAAAATCAAAGGAATTCATATCTATTGGTGAGCAAACGAGAAGTGCTTTGCAATCAGAGTCGTTTGACAGGTCAGAAATTTGTCCATGGGAAGTAGAGCTGGATCATTCCACAGACAAGAATCAAAAACATGTAACTATTGCAAATTCGACTGAAGACAAAGGAGGAGAAAACACGTCATCAGCCTCTCCTGTAGCACTGGTATGTCCATGGGATCACCTACCACCACCGGTTGAAAAGATACCATCTGAGGACCTAGAATCGTCAAAACCACCGCTAACAGTATCCGCTAGTGCACCCGCAACTCCACAACCTAAAGTATTCAAAGATCATCGAGTTTTCTCATTCAGAGCTGCTACGACAAAATGGCTATCTGTAAAATCGTTTGTGGAATCTATCGATTCAACAAATAAGTCTTGCAGTTTAAGTCGGGATGATTCCCAAAAAAGTCACGATGGAGCTGCTACTACTTCAAGGTTAGGAATGTCGAGCAGTACTAGGCGTCCAAGTGATGAGAGGAAAACATTGCAAAAGAGAAGTATGACCACGGTAGATGGGAAGCCAAATCTTGTCAAGCAGCATGCTATTAGGTTGTCTTCTGGTGATTCTTCTGAAAGGAGTCCTATAAGGCTAGCTGTTGTGAGATCTACAATTTGTCCATGGGATATTGAAGATGTGCAACGAGAAGCTACGTATGAAAATATCAGTTTGTCAAGGCAAAATAGCAAAAGAAGCAGTGGAAGTTCATGGGATACCGCTAGCCATTCAAGAACGCCCTCAATGCATAGAAGAGGTAGTAAAAGGCTAACTCCAGCTCGTAACATAGCAGATAGTGCAAGACAGCAAAGTTTTAAAGCTGAGGTTTGCCCATGGGAAGTGTCCGAAAGGGTCAACATTTGTCCGTGGGAGTCCCAAGAGCAAGAAAATAAAGCAACACAACAAGGAAGTGGTCGCGGTGATGTGTGTCCATGGGAAACTGAAGCCATGTCTGCCACTTCAGCTGGTCATAAAGAAGTCCAAGCACAGCCATCTTTGAAACGCAGTACAGACTTTTGTCCTTGGGAGTCTGCCGAACTGCAAGTACCTGTAATCAGACAAGACAATGAGTACGCCAATGTTTGTCCGTGGGAAAGCCCAGAAGTTGTGTACGAGAATTTGAACCCATTGGATTCTAGGGGATCACTGAAGGTGCCTCAAAAACAACCTGGAATTGTGAAAACAACGTTATTTCCAGGTGCACAAAAAGATTCAAAATCGCCAGTGCATTTAGGAGTACCAGTGTCCAAGATGGTCGAAAGCTGTCCGTGGGATTTTCCAGATCCGCCTCCACTTTTAGAAACAATTTGTCCTCGGGAGGAAGGAAGTATGGAAACCTTAACTGTCATGAAAAAGGACTCAACAACACAAATGACTATTAAAGTAGATGTGTGTCCATGGGAAAGCGAACAGCAAGGAATTTTAGAAGATGCTAGAGAAGGTAGTTCAGTACAAGGTAAAGACAGAGGTAATATTTGTCCATGGGAAGCAGAGCAACATGTGCAAGTTGCTAGCACCAAGATGGTTGCACAGTCACAAGAGAAAATTGCAAGTGTATGTCCATGGGAGAGCCAAGAAAAGTTGCCAAGTCAAGAAGCAACTTATGCAAATGTTTGCCCATGGGAAACTGAAGGTGGCAGTGAGGAAAAACAAGAAAAACAGTCCAAGCAAAGTTCAGGAGATCATTCAAGTAAAAAGCAGGATAGTGGTGGTGGTAGAATAAATGTATGTCCCTGGGAAAGTGATGATTCAAACACTGTGAAAATGCAAGAAAGTGTGAAACTTAACATTGTACAAAAACAAGATAGCAGTAGTAGAGGCAATATTTGTCCTTGGGATACTCAAGATGCAAAAGTTTTTAAAAAGCAAGACAGTTCTAATCGTGCTAATGTATGTCCTTGGGAAACTGAAGAACCAAGTATAGTTAAACAAGATAGTGGTGGAAGTAAAGACACAAGGATGGTGAAAAAGCAAGATAGTACCACTAGCAGTAGAGTTGATGTTTGTCCGTGGGAGGTACAGGAGCCCAAAGTGGTCAAAAAGCAAGAAAGCGTTAGAGCTGATGTATGTCCATGGGAGGAGGAAGAGTCTCAAGTTCACAATGTAACAAAAGACCTTAGCAAACAAGATGGTGGTAGCAGAGTTAACATTTGTCCATGGGAAAGTGAACTGCCAAAGATGGTAAAAAAGCAAGATAGTAGTAGTAGCAAGGGTGAAGTTTGCCCGTGGGAGGTACAGGAACCCAAAGACGTCAAAAAACAGGATAGTAGAGCTGCTGTATGTCCATGGGAAAGTGAAGAACCGCAAGTTGTCAAGAAGCAAGACAGTGGTGGAACAAATGATCAAAAAGTGTTAAAACAGCAGGAGCGTGAACAGGCAAATGTTTTTATAAAACAAGAAAGTAGTAGCGCTAGGACAGATGTTTGTCCATGGGAGAGTGAAGAACCAAAAGTTGTCAAAAAGCAAGAAAGTATTAGCTGTAGCAAGGCTGACGTCTGTCCATGGGAAGTACAGGAACCCAAAGAGGTAAAAAAGCAAGAAAGTATTAGCAGTAGTAAGGCTGATGTTTGTCCATGGGAAGTACAGGAGCCCAAAGAGGTCAAAAAGCAAGGAAGTGTTGGCAGTAGCAAGACTGATGTTTGTCCTTGGGAAGTACAGGAATCCAAAGAGGTCAAAAAGCAAGATAGTAGGGCTGAAGTATGCCCGTGGGAAAGTGAAGAACCACAAGTAGTCAAGACAAAACAACAAATCAGTGGGGGGACAAAGGAGAAGGTGCTCAAAAAACAAGAAAGTGGTGCTAGATCTGATGTTTGTCCATGGGAAAGTGAAGATCCAAAAATTGTCAAAAAGCAAGACAGTGGTAGCCGGACAGTTTGTCCATGGGAAAGTGAGGAACCAAAAGTACTTAAAAAACAAGAAAGTAGTAGTAGTGCTAGGGGCGAAGTTTGTCCTTGGGAAATACAAGATTCTGAAGTGAAAAAGCAAGATAGTGGTGGTCGAGTAGATGTATGTCCATGGGAGATGGAAGAACAAATTGTAACTCCAAGAAAGGATAGTAGTGGTGGGGAGGTGCGTTCAAGAACCCATTCAGTAACGTCTCGGACTCTATCTGTGAGCGACTCTCCCAAAATTCATGGAAGAAGTAGCACAGGGGAGGTTTCACCAGAGCATGGAGGAGCAGAAGAAGAGGGGAAAGCGAATCTTGCTTTGGGACGAAGAGATGCCCTTTGTCCTTGGGACATGAGCAGAAGTAGGTCTGGATCCTTCACGGATAACACGTCAGATGTATTCACGTGGGAGCCAGAAAATATACCTGAAGAGGAGGAGGAGGAAGATGGAGATGCAGAGTCAGCTGCAGAGGCACTTGTGTTCCCACCTGATTTGTGACATTGTTAGCATTGTGGTGGACTCCTTCCCCTTTGAAATGGCTAGAAGTTTTGACGTAAGTTGTAGACTGGACATTACAATTATGACAGGGAGCGACTGAGTAACCAACTTCAAACAACTAATTTAATCCACTGCTTGGCATTTGAAAGTGTAGAAATATTTTAAGTAAAACATATAGGTTGTATTTGTTGGAAAGTTTACAAATCACCTGGACTATAAGCTAATGTTTATAAAATAATATTACATAAAGCATATTTATTGTCATTCAAGATTAGGAGACGGTAGTTTAAGCAGAACATTAAAGATGGCAATTTCGCAAATCATATTACTCTTACACTTTTACACTTACTAAAAATAAAACATTAAATATTGTTTGTAAAGCAGGCTTTTTTCAAATTTATTCTTTAGTTTTTAAGTATAATGAAAATATTGTACTAATTTTGAGAACTAAAAACTGCATTGTAAAAGTACTGAACTTGACTTCCAGACAGAATACCAAACATATAATGTAAAGTTGTTTTTTTTCTGCTTCACTTTAATAACTTTAATTTGAATATCTTATCTCCATATGATGAAGTGATTGCCTTCCATTTATATATGTATGTAAAAATATCATAAAAGGTATGTTTTTTTTTACCAACTTTTAAATTCATTCAAGATGGTTGAATCTTGTATTTCTAAAATGGCAATAGGCAGACACAAAGACAATACAGGATATACACTGAAAAATTGAGATGTAGTGGAGTTTAAATATCAGTCAGCTGAATGCTAAATGTTGTTTTTTAAATTATTCACCATTTGTATCATTCTATTTAACTCATTATTTTGACTTCTTTGTTAGCAATTCAAGGGATGAATGCTCAAAAGGTTAATTGTTAGTGTACTTTATATCAGCTATAACAAATTAAGCAGCACATTTACATAATTTTACAACCCGTTTTTGTCAATCTGTGATATTGCATGTTTGTGTGTCTCACGAGTGAGCATGTTGTAATTTGTATTGACAGTTTATAAAATATTTACATTATTGGTTTACTGTCATTGATATTTGTAATGTTTGTCCAAGATTGTTACTGCTTAAATTGTTTGCACACGGCACTATATTTTTGTATTTTTAAACATGGACTTGACATATATTCAAACAGAAATAAATTCACAGAAATTTCAATTATGTTTTATCGGTACAAAACCTTTAACAACCAAGCATAGAAACTATGTGAACAGATAAGAACTCAACAAACACGGTGTTAGCCTATGTATTTACAGACGTAAAAATTTTTTGCTGTACATTATGAATTCTCAACTGTTGGAAGGGATCCTTAGACGCCAGTGCATATCCTCAGTTGTTAGCCTCATCCATTATAAAAACACAATAGTAAACAAATTATTCTTTATTTAAACATTTGATAGGTTTGAGTTTGCAGTTAAGATAATTGGGCCTTTCAGGTAGAACAAACTGATGTATGTCACCCACTTAAGTCATGTACCTAAGATTCAATAGTAATAACAAAGAAACTGCAGGAATACAGTGATAGGATCCGTGATTGAGATCGATCGGGGCACACTGAAACTATCCAACTAAAGCTGGATTGAAGGCTTCCACTGGCCCATACATTTTATTATCACAGTCAGTGTTTTTTGTTCAAAGAGAACAGCCCCCTCTGGTGTTACTTGTACCACTGCACTGCTTCAGGTTTTGGTACTTGGTAGTTCTGAGAGTCAAACTCTTCCCACGGCTTCAGTTCTGGACCAGGAATCCGTACAGTCTGAAAGAAGACATTTTTATTAATTTAATTTTAATGTAATCAAGATCCATTTATTTTAAATCATCATTGATCAACTTGAGTCTTTTTAATTGAGAGGTCTACAGACTAAACATGTGGTTTTGACATGATGTATAAATTTGATTAGATCTGGAGTGACCGGTCACCTTAATAATAGGATCTTTGGCAGGAGCCCAAGATGGCACGATCTTCCCATGGAGTCTCCAGCTTCCATAAGGGTTCACTAGGTGGCGCTCTATCACCAGATATTCCAACACATCTTTAGGCTGGTCCTCTCCTCCCAACATCAGCCGGCCAAAGCGGTCGTAAATGGCTAGAGTCTGAAGAACAATGAAGATGTGGGAATGAATAACAGTGCTACTGTGTACTGTGTAGCAGTTTGTCATTTTTTATTAAAAATATGGCTCCATGTTTGTTTATGGAAAAAAACATACATTTAAACCAGCTAAAATACTACATGACAAGTCCTCTATTAATAAAATGAAAAAATTTAATAAATTCCACAGTGTGCAGGTGCTTCAAAAGCATGTCAACACATTTACACTTGTACCTGTTTTGAGTGCATGCGGACTGTGACCTGTCCGTACAGATTGCCTTTGGAAACCATGTCTGGACACCGAGCATGAACAACCCGTGGAGGCTCCAAAGACTCAAGAAATCTCCAGCGAATCGTCTTGTATCGGTTTCCTCGAGTCATCTCCTGTTTTAAAAGACAAATGTTATATGGTATTAAGGAAAAGATGAGAGGAGAGATCAAGTAATACTGTGGTAGACTACTTACAGGGTAACATCTCTCTGTTACTAGGGAATGAAGTCTTTCTTTATTGAAGCTGTAACACATGAGAACAACTATCATCTGCTTGAATAAAACGTCACTTGTGTGTCACTTGTACAGACCCCACATAAAAGTCAAGACTAAGATAAAGTAGGACTTGCACTGGACTACACATTTACTGCACCTAATTTAAACAATAATTAACAATACAATCTGAAACGTTTAACTGAAGAATGAATTTAAGATAATAAGTGTATTTTCTTACTTTGATAATGCATTATGAGCTTCAATGAAGATTTCTTGAGCTTTTTCTGCAAAAGTCTTTGATGAGAACTCGGGGTCATTTTCTTTGATTTTACGAATTCTGTAATAACACAAATGAATTGATAACTATGAAAAATAATTAAATAATAAGTTTGATGTAAATGGGTGTGTGTCTTACGCAAGTTGTGAAGCAGCGCTCTGTCGAATCTGTTCTGTTCTTTGTTTAATTCCTTCTTTGGACAAAGTGGAGAGACGAGCATCACCTTCAGGAGGGATGTATGGGTCAAATATTCCAGCTGGAAAAACAAAAGGAATGAAAAAAAAAAACATTAACATCAGAA